ATGATCTTCAAATATTATCTTCTACTATGCCTGGCTTGTCTTAACCGCTTCATCCGAGACATGTTCTCCCTGGCCGCACACTCCTCCTCGGTATTTGTCTAGTCCGATGCTCTGCAAACGCGCTCTAGACAGGTCTTTAATATTTGCTTTTTAAGCCTATTTCTCAAAGATTTCTCAAAGCTAGTATCTAATCTCATAGTGTGATATAAAAGACTGATCGTCCTCGACTGATCCTGAGTTTTATTTAACTTATAAAGTCACTATTCTGCAAAAAATTGAGAATATTTTCGAAGACTACCTGCAGCCATAAATGTAGTACCTACTCCAACGACTATAGTTGCGGGATCATTAGCTCAGGAACGCCGGCATACTTCACTCCCTGATATATATTGTTGGCTAATACGGGCGATTCGGGGGCTTTCAAACCCGCAGAGAATATCATATCTATAAATATGTGATGAATATGTATGTTGTCATTAAATTCTTTATACTAAACTTCATTAATGATAATGTGTATAGGCTATGCGTAGACCGGGCGGAACTTTCAACATCGCTTATTACGACCAACACTAATAGGTCCGCTACTCGGTGTTATCTTCTATAAGAATATGTAACGCTAGATTATATTCTCTCCCCTATCGCCTCCCCTATCGCTAGAGAAAGCTTTCTTTAGACCACCTATATCTATTTTCCCGGCCTACTAGGGAACGCTAATGGCTTCGTCCTGCTTTATATTACTACGAAATTTCCAGCGAAGTTAGACATGACTACCTAGTTCTTTTCCCTAAGTCTACTTATTTATGCTTTGTTCGAAGCGGTTATATGGCGTATTAATGCACGGGGGTGCTTAGAGTTGAGTGTCGGTGCTACCGTTATAGGGCCCGGTCATTTATCTATAGTAGATAGACCTAGATATAGTCCTTCTTCTACTTAGTTTACGATACGTCCCGAGATAGTATATATCGTGTGCTACACTTAATCTAGGTGTTGGGGCACGGACCGAGTATAGTAACTTGGTTTCTGAAATCAATTCTACCTCTACACTCTTCTCAATTGACTCATAATATCTAATCTAAAACATATTATTAATATCATAATGGTATAGATGTTCTCCTTGAGGGTTGTATTGGAGCTATGGGTTCTCGAGTATAGAATGCAATCGGTCATTTCCGGCACGCTGGTATAGTTATTAAAAATCATTAATGAGTAGCTCGCCATTTATATAGTAATTAACTAAACTTTGGCACTGTGCTTAAGATTTGGGGGAATATAGAAGGGTTTTGGCGAAAATTATATATTTTCACATAGCTCTTATACATAAATCGGGATTATTAAGAGATGAATTTAAGTGTAAATCTATATAAACCTATTATGTATGCTAACTATAAATACATGAATTTGCCTATTATTCCTGTATATCCCTTGCCTATGTAATGATATCACCTATGAAGCGACGTGTAATACCTACTGTAACTCCCTTCTCGATGAAGAAGTTCGGATGCTGATCACTATGGATCTATTCAAGATCTAGACTATTAGCGAGCGTGACATCACGAGCCAGCTAGAATTGAGCTTTTAAAGTTTCGTCAATAACATTCGTTTCTTACCAAGCTCTATATTCTTTAATAGCCACGTCGCGTGGTCCGTTAACCGTGAGCATTACTACTTGCTGTTTTTGCTGGGAAGGCAATACCGATGCTGTAATAGAATCAATTGCCTATGGGGGCTGTCCTCCTAGGAAATTGATATTAATAGGTGGATAATTTCCGGGGGCCAGTGACTTGTGACTCTTAGACTATGAATGTTCTAGTCTCTGCTGCTCTTCCATAAACAGGTCTTCACGCACAGCTTCTGGGACATTATCCTAGCATTCTAAAACACCACCGCCTTCAACATACGCAATCAGGCGTTTCGAATGATGCGTTCTTAATTGGTAGTGTTTCTTTCCACGAGGGTCTTACCAGCAATGCGGCCCAAGGTGATAAGACGGTAAAGGGCAGCGCATTAAGCTATAGATAGCCCGCTAGACTGATTGTTATCCAGATACATGCTCTTTAGCATCAAGTTATGCATCCCGATCGTTAAGCATCCTATTCGTAATAGATGACTTCCCTCGTTTCTCGCCCCTACCTACTGCGCTTCTGGAAAGGTGGTCGTCTTCTATATAGTTGAAGATGATCATGACTCTTATTTCCTTGCCTCGCGTGCTAAGTTTACCCCACGCGAGCAGTTGTTCTTCTATAGTGGTCTAATTAATATTAAGGGACTTGAACCATATTTTTAAGTTCTTATGTTTGCGATCGTTAACCGACATAACCATAGACGTTCCATCTAACCTAACCCTTTAGCTACGTGGAACTCTCTCTTGCAGCGCTTTGTCTAACTTAGTCCTCAGCGCCGATGGCTAGTAGGCACTTGGGGTTAGGGTCATATTTTTTATCGTGTCCTCCCACTTAAAACGATTGTTTACTTTGACTCTCCACTCGATTATATACCAGATAAAGTTTAGTGGTAACTCGTCATCGGGTCCACTTGCTTCCCACTTATGGAGTTAAAGAAGTCTTGGTATCTCTTACGAGGGGAAAATCGGAGCTACGGGACGGTCCTGGAGGTAGTAGTCTGGTGAAGGGCTAAACCTATTATTTGAGGGCGTGCCGTTATGATATCCTAGAGTAGGGGCGTATTGCGAATTTTGGTCCTAAGTATCAGCTACTTGAGCTTGAGAATCATCAAGATAACAAAAATGGGTCGTTTATCATAGTGACCTGTTTCTGAATAATTCAACGTCAGTAAAATTGGGCTTGGAGGTTCAACAGGCTGTGGAAATAGGAAGATCTGCAAAGGTCCGTGCAAAGGGCTATAGAGGCGATGATAAACGCGTTGTCAAAAAAAAGTTACCCCATCAATTTTCTTTCTTTTCCGATTAGTGTATTATTTCGTTCATATGGCAGATTATGCCCGTGGGAGGAAAGTTGAGCGAAGGAGGGAATGAATGCCCCGGAGGTGGTCAACCCCCGTCTGCATTGTTTGACTTGTTTGCAATACTTGGTTCTTGTCAACGGATAGCCCATACAACACAATACAAAGACTGTTTTTATTCTTTTATTTACGATCGTACTAGATTACCGCCAAGCACCACATCAAGGGGGAATCTAACCGTAATAGGTATAGTGTTCTGTAAGATAAAATTTAAGAAAGAAAAGAAAAGAACAAAGACATGAAGCTGATTTCGAGCGGCACTGTAGTACTCTAGCTTTTTTATTCGAGAGCATTATCCTCTGTTGAGCTCCAAAATAAGATGAATATATTTTAGTAATGGTGTGTAGGTTTTGATTGGATTCACGAAGTCTATGTGGTCGGACCGCCTTCGTGTCACGGCCCCACAATGTGAAAGCCCTCATGAAAGAGATATAGCGTTCCTAAGAACGAGTCGAAGTACTTCAGGAACATGTGAAACCTCCAAATCATGGAAAAGCAGCTCCATAGTATTGAAATAATTTGACGCGACAGCTCGTTGGAAAAGGCCGAGACACCGCTTTTCATTGGTCTACTTCACGAGCTTGAGATTGATGGGCGCGGATCAAATTTACTCGCCGTGAGCTCCATGGTTTCAATTTGCGCACCGGAAAAAAAAAGGGAAAAAAAAGGGCATTAGTAATGAAATGAATAATATTTAAACTTGAGAGATCTCTTTCAAATGGCTGACCCAGAAAGAGGAATTTATAAAGCATCTACGAGCTGCTACTGCTTTGCTTTGCTCCAGCTTTCGCAAAGAAAGTGAACCGAAGCAACGACATCAAAGCCAGTGCCCTTTATTTTCCTACTCCAAAACGATGCCTTGGCCTTTCAGGGTACAGAAAGGTTCGTTGAATGTTCCAATGCCCAGCGGTCTGAGATATTAATGAGATGAGAAGTGTCGACAGAGCGTGCGACGGGGAAGAAACTACCAGCAAACATGAAAAGACCTAGCAAGCAAGCGCCCGTGAAAAGTCAAAGCGATTTCACGCTTAAAGTCTCTCAAGGGCTTTCGCAGACTAAAAAGGGGCCACCTTGAAAAGCACTATATATGCATCAGGCTTAGTGTCAAACCGCAAGGCATACGCATCCGCGAGTACTGAGTGAAATAACGATGAGGCAATTACTTGATTAAATTTTGGAGTAGGAGCCAACTTTTGTGAGGATTTGGAATAAATCATTGGTTCAAATTTATCATGCGAAATAGGATTATGTTTGCAAGGGCTGCTGTTAGCGGTAAAATACAATCTCTATGTGATGCTGGGGAGGGGCTTAGCTGGTTTTATCAATTCATAGGTGAAGTTAATTTATGTCCAAGCAGAGGACATACGGTAAGAATGGTAGGGGATTGTCAAAGCGTCACTGCTTGAGCCTACACCCCTTTTTCTCCAACGGTCCTCGATAACCGCAACAGTTGAATGATGTGCGGCTCGCTGCAAGATACAAATTAGGCTGCTAGAAATATCTCTACGTAGTCTGTGATAGCCTGTAAAGAAAGTAATTTCATAAGTTGCAGTTCAGGCTGTTATCTAGGAGATATTTAAATCAATAAGGCCAAAGGCTCTATTTGATTTTAGGTCAGAGCTAAGTCAGGTACAAAAACGCCCAATGTCAAACACAAAAGCACTGCCTGGGCTTTTCCGCGGCTGCACAGATGATGGGTTCTATTCCAAGATTTACATGGAGTGTTGCCTCTCATTAGGCCTACACCTGCGCCATTCATCTTCAATCCTTTTGCTGAGACCCTTATGGGCTCCTGAATACCTTCTTACCATGAGCATTTATCGTTCATTACCTTGACGATTTTTTCTCACCTCACGCAGTGAATAGGGTAGAAGAATAGTATACTTTGGCCTCAACGGGTCACCTGTCGCTGTGGTTTGAGATCATAGCGCCAATAAATCTACTTCCAATAAAAAGGTTTTGGATTGGGCAATGGGTATCAATTTCGTTTTCAATTTCAGTTAGATATACATGGTTCAATATCACGCCTCAGGCTGCTCAGATATATGCAAGCCCCATTGCCTGTCAAAGGCATCCCACTCCAAGCGGTCCCAGGACTCGTCATCATATACTTCTATGTCATCATCTGTAAATTTGTTAGCATTCAACTATAATTGAAATCCCGTTGAACGCACATGTGTAGCTCGAATGTCCAGAAGACATTGCAGTAGCAGGGGAACCCGACCCATCATCGCTGAAACAGCGATGCTCTGCCGGTATGTCTTCTGATGAGACCATCTGCCGACGCCACCGCTGGATCGCTTCACGAACGGAGGGATCGAGGGGTGGAAGCACTAGCGGAGGTGGAGAGGGAGGAAGCTGGCTGAGAAGACTGGGCGGGCGACGTGTTCTGGTGTCCGTCGCAGCTTTTCTTGGCTGAGGTGGGAGGCGGCCCTCTCTTTCCAGTTGATCATATTTGGAACGTATCGAGCTGACGCTCCGCGGCTTCTTCTTCTGCCGCAGATACTCTTTGCACTTCTTTCTCCATGGAAGATGCTTATGGCGGGCGAGCCATGCCCGAAGTTCCCTCTCTTCCTGTTTGTCCCATGAGATGTAGACTCGTTTCCCTTTTGGGGGCATGGTGCACAAATAGAACTCGTGAAAAAAAGAGGCTGGGGCGAAATGGACACGAAGGGGGAACATTGATCTATTAGGAGGGAACCAGCTATTTAATTTCTTTTTCAATTGCACGCTAAAATCAATGCCTCATGGCAGCTAGCGGTATCCCATTTACCCGGCCAAGTTGGAATAAGCGGAATATGTGGATGAACTCTGGGCTTCCTGGTCTGGTTCAAGTGGGTCGATAGCGTTCTCATCAATTTCATGACATTTTCATTGCATCTTGGAAGCATGAATTTCAGTAGAGGGATTGATTGATTTGCGTAGGCTTGATGAGTTCCACGGATTCCATGGCCCGCGCGAATTTGAGGGCGTCTCATGGCAGGCGTGATGAATTCTCTAGATAGCATTGAATTTCATTCATTCTGACACTTTTTTATGCCCCTCCATGGGCTGTTGTCTAGATGGCAGATCCTTGGTTCGACTGCGGCCCCTCACATTCAGCCGATCACACCCCAAACATTCTAGATCCCTAACCATTCTGGACTACACTCAGGCCCCTCGCACTATCTCTAGCATTGGTAGTCACCCTGTTGATGGCCTAGTCTTTCTGAGGCTCTCTTGAGTCTAGCGCAACTACTTGATGTCTAGCGTTAGTCCGCACCCATCTCCACTCAACATATAAATACGACGCTATTTTGTCCGAAGTAATATTTTCCTCCAGATCTTCTGCCAAGTTACATCGCCATCATGCAGCAGCTTGACAGTTCAGAGGATCTGATGTCCGCATACTATCAAATGTTCCGTGAAGAGCCGCAACAACCAGACTGCGCCAACATCATGGATTCATCTCCATCACCTCGGGGAGGGAACGCGGCACTGGACGATGACCTTGACTGTCATTTCGATATCACAGACGGCCAGTCTTACGAAGGGAGTCCCCAGCCCAGCTCCCTTCCACAACGAGCCGATGAATCCGAGTGGGATATGGAACCTCAAAGTCAGCCACCCCCGAGCCGGCGCAACATCCGTCGTTCGATTCTCTCAAAGAGATCAATGAGGCTCTGACATGGTCAGTCAATTAAAGAACAGTATCGTGAGCGGAAACTGACAGGCAGTCCCAGTCTAGATCGCCGAATGCAGTAGGCTCGCAGAAGAATTTCCCACAAGAGCATTAGCCATACTGACTTGTCTATACTAGGTCCGTCATTGATCAGCTGAAAAAGCAAAATCGCTGGAATGGAACAATGCAAAATCACATTGCCACTATGGCGCAGGGGTACGATGACATCGCTGCCCTGAAGGCTGGAATGAAGGAGTTACAGGGGCGGGGAAATAGTCTTTTCGGAGATGAAGAGCCGGAGGAGAGCGTGGAGAAGCCAACTGTAGGCCGACAAAAGCGGGCCGCTCGATGAGTTTGAGATGGATTCTGCCGGCAAAAGCGACGGCAAGAGCAGCTGCAAATATAATGAACACGTTTTCTGGTAAAACTGACACAGGCTGTTGACTTTACCCTTTGGTGTAGGAACGGGATAGCGGGAGAGGATAACCCGGGCTCCACTTTAATCGGCCAGTCTCATCTCGGGCTAAGGGTGGCCGCGCTACTCGATCCACGGTAGATGATGATGACAATCTAGAGCACAGATGATCGGCCTAGCCGGCATGTAGCCAAGCAGGTTGATCTGGCCACCGTGGCTCCAGGGTTCCATGGATCGCATTCAATAGATTGCTTTAAGTGTGCTTGCAAAGCTTCGCTTCCATCGCTATATTGAAAAACGAGCCCGCGTGCCGAGTTCCGTCCGTCGGCTGCGTTCTGGCCTGCACTGAATCTACTGAAATCGGTGATATAGGTCGTCTTGCGAGAACGTCCCGTTGTCGCTCCACTTCCCCTGACGGGTGGTTCCTCCCGGTCAATTGCAACGGTCTACATTTAGGAGCTATGTGTGTGGAGGGGCTCTGGCCCCACACCGGGGGCCTGAACTCCCGCCCTGCATGAAATCCCACATGAAATCCTGCATGAACCCTGCATGGACCCTGCATGGACATGAAGCTATAGCATCGGTAATTGAGAAGTAGCTGTCTAGGCTAATAGAATAAATCTTCAATGACTATGCAACATATCAGTGTTAGAAACTAACAACCAGTCAATAGTGGGAGGGCATCACCCACAGTACCCGTGTAATAACACATGAACCACGGCGTACGCTCGGCCGGCAAAACTGCTCTGGCATCTAGCTTACTGTTTGCGGGGTTTCTCGGCGGGCCGGTGAATCTTCCACGCCTTACCAATGCTGACCAACACGTCTCACCATCGCGCACCAATCGAGGTAGGGCATTGCGGGATATATTAGACCAGAAAAGATACCCATAATTGATTTTTCCGGGCTCACATGACACCGAACAGCAGTCCCCGCTCGATCTGCGGTAAATCACCGAAGATCCCACATTTCCTCCCCGGCTGCGCAGGTCTATCTGCCATCCATGGTTCGACCATTGTGGAATCCACCCGGTTTACGCAACCCGCCAAGCTCCCCACCGTTTGTGCGCAACAGCCACGAACCAACACTGGGAATTGCTCTCTTGCTGTAATCCGCTCCGTATCTTTCTCTCTCCGGTGCTGAAATAGCCCACAGTTGATGTACTCCTAAAAAGACTCAGGAAGATTCGAGTGCCTCGTGCTGATCGAGGTGTGGTCTATTTAAGGCCGCAACTGATGCGCAACAGATGAGGTCCGTGCAGAGCCGGCTATAGATCAGCAATATTCTTGGCGCTAACTTCTGTGAATGCCACCTTGAGCACGCCATTCCCAACAAAACAAATTGGACAGTAACGATCTATATAGTCGCGTATTACACTATCATGGGGCTACGATCCACTTAGATGGCCAGGGATTCTATTAGGGGTCAGGGTGCTGTCAGGACGGTGGACAGGGTCCCCGACTGTGGCTGTGCGATCAAACGGATTCGGTGGATCTCTTCCCACCCATTTCAAGGGCGACTAGGCTCATATAGAAAATTCCGTTGACATGGAGCAGGTACGGATTCAGGAGTCAAGCACATGGGGGATGCGGTCTAAACATCGCGCCCAGCCTATTCCGCGCCGTTAAATCAAATTCTCAATCTACCTATGCTCGAGCTACTCTATATTTGTATTTACATAATGGCTGATCTAAGGTACAGGCGCATATTGATCGGATTGCGACACTTCTTGTGGATTGACCGAAGTGGACATGTCCACATTCGTTGAGAAGAGGAGCTCGTCGGGCAGATCAAGCTGCTCCACCTGCTCGGCCCAGAAATCCTGAGTGAACCCCTGGAAAGGCAAGTTAGAGTCCAAGTTCACCTTCTCCGACTCGCTCATTGTCTTGACCACTTTGTCCGTCGCAGATACCATACTAGTATGAATCTCTCGAAGGATCCGATGGAGTTCGTCGCGCGTGATCCGATTGCGCACATCGATGTTGACCACATCCAGCTGCTGCTGCAGGCTGGTGATCTTCTCTTTCGCCTCGCGGAGCTCCTCGACTCCTTTCTGCTTCTCCAAGCCTATCTGCCGGATCGTTGTTTGTAGCTGGCCACGTTCGACCCTGAACTGCTGCGCCGCATCCGACGCCGCTTGCTGTTGCTCCGCGAAACGCGACCTTAGCTGCTGCTGGCGCTCATTGGCGGTCCGGATCACCTTGGTGCAGTTCGCATGGACGATCTCGAATTCTTGATTGACCTCCTGTGGCTTCAGCTTCGTGGCCAGTCCGATCGTCGGCTGTCAACCATGCCAATGTGATCAGCTTACAAGCCTTGCCATTGATAACAGTCAGGGGACATACCATAGTGTTTGTTTGTGTGCTCTGGGAGGCGTAGGGATGAGGACGACCTGCTGGGGTTGGCTGAGGGCGGGCCATGTGCGCGGACGACACGCCTGTCCCTGCCTGTGGTCGAAGTACTCGAGCGGGCATGGGGGGCCTTCGGGCAGTAGGTGGGACCTTAGGCATTCTGGGTACGAGGAAAGAGGAACTGGCTGATAAATATTGCAGCGGAAATGTAAGTTTCGAAATTCATTGCTGAAAGGAGAGTATATAGCTTAAGCCTGTCCCGGTCTGAACTGAATTGAATTGCTCACATTGATGAAAGTCTCTTCCGAGGTTGCATTGTTGAAATTCGACTAGCGCATTTCGAAATTGATGGCTTTTTGCGCTCAAGGCTAGTGGGAATTGACGGTGGATCCAGTCGGTACATCATGTCGAGGGATTAGATGTGGAACTAATCACTGCGTTTGCTCATGGTGGCAAATTTAAGATGCACGCCGATGCGCTTAAACCATGATCAATGTTCTCTCTAATTAGCATGAACTGTTAGCAATGCGTCTGGAACATTCATCGCTATTTTTACTGCTGATCCCTGGCTTACCTATCTACATAAGTCGTTGCCTCGCAGAGGACCGCCTGCAAGAGAGATACTGGACTTACAGATCGCCTGGACCCGGTGTGGGCCAAATCCAGTCCTTACTCGACTTTATGACTGCTTTGCTGAATGTATAATTCAATATGGTTTATACAATGAATCCAAGGGAAATATGCAGAGAATAGTGTGGTTTTAAATGTGTCCTCTTTGAGTACAGTAGGCTACTGCAGGGTCTTGCGGATAGCAAAGCATGGTGCTACCGCAGCGGGTGGAACATCATATAAAGTTCATTGGTAAACTTGAGTCTGTCCCACTCTAGAGGATTTTCCTTTTTGCTTCCATTTATATTCCCACGTCGCCGGCTTTTTTTACCGAAGAAGAGGTGCGCCTGGCCACCGAGCGGCGCGTGAAATATATTGGAGCAGCCAAAGTCAGCATCAGCCAAATTCAATTCGAACCGCCTTTGCTTCGGGATCTCTTTCCCAAAAACATGGACCCGCTTCGGGAAGTTCTCCGCAAAAACCGCTGTCGTCGACTGGATGTGAACAATAATGACCCTGAAGTCGTGTCGCAGCAAGTTCTGACCAACGCGCTATGGAAGGCGAATGCTACTCCTCAGTCGCTCCTGACCAAGGATGCTCATAAAATAACACGACTTACCTTTATGATGAGGCAATTTCAGGGCCTACACAGCTGATACCACTTCCAGGCTGGGGCAGAGATGCTCCCTCTGGCTGATCGCTGGTGGACGGTGAACCTTTACATGGACGGTATGTCGGGGATGTTTACTTGTTTCCGTACAACTACCTATTATAGAAATCGGCGAAGCTAAGGGGGTAAGCCGAAATACCCACCGTAAACAGGAAATTTAATGAAGTAATAGTATGAGCGAGATGCTACCAGGGATCTCTTCCCACTAACAATGTCGGCCCAGGTTGGCGACTTGCGACTACTACGTATGGACTAATCACATCTGAGAAAACAGTGCTTTGTGTCTTTCCACGCTCTTACCGATAGGTATGCATGAGTGCCTTCAAATGATGTGACTTTGAAGTACTTCGCCAATAAGCGGCTGCTTTGGCTCGAGCAAGAAAGCTTGTCAATCGCCGCAGGGCCCACCCACATGCATGTTCTGTCGCTCAATTCAACTTGAAGTGCTGAAACCACCAGAGTAGCATGCTATGAGCAGAAGGCTGCGACATACCTGAAAATATTTCCCAAATTTTCATTTTCAACCAAACCATGCTCTCCGTTGACTCTGAAACCAACCCTAGTCAAGTTTTTAGGAGGCCCTTGGCAGTATATAACTTACAGTATGAGCACCCAATGCCCCAAAGGACTTCGGTAGTTTTTATCAGTCAGTGTAGCACCATTGAGAATGATTTCCAAGAATATTATTTCATTGTACTGCTTTTGAATACCTCTGCCCACAGCTTCGAAATGACGGTGCATACCACTTAGTTTGATTGATCCCATTCGAAACTTGTCTGCGAGCCCGCTTGAGTGTCATTTACATCACCAGTCTGGAAGGTGTTAGACATCTTTCCACTTTCTTCTGGTGGCTTTGCAGTCTTCTGTTTTCGTCTCTTTCTTTTCTCTGCGCCTGTCATCTTAGCATAATTTTCGTCCCGCGCTTGCAAAATCCGCTACCAACGGCCTTTGTGTGGCAAAGCTGGAGGGGTTTCTAAGATCGAGCTGCTAGTTCGCAACGGGACTCTTCCGCCGTGTCTTCTGCAGTATTCAATTGAGAACGTTGCGGCACAATCGTGATTGGCCTTTACAGGGGCATGAGCAAGTTGCCTGCTGTGTTGCTTTTCAGTTGGCTCAGAACACGTGGCACCATCCTATCGGATCTATCTAGATATTCTCAACCCGATGCCAAAATAATTAGTAAAGAAGGATATTCATAATTTGCGATGAATTTTATCAAGTTACCACAGTGAACAAAGACACTTGGATGAAGATGTTGAACCGGGACCGGGACTGACGTTGGTGTACGAACACTTTCGATGAATCTACAGAGGAGCTGACAGATGCAGGGTCTTCCGGACCCCAAAATTTCATTTTCTTTTATTGGACACCATACTTGTAAGCTGACAGTTTATGCCGGTCTCGTTCAACAATCATTTCCTTCCTTAAAAGCCCACATTAGCGTCTGGAACTGCTATAATAGATGATGTATAGGAGGAGACATTCATCGCATTTGTGAGTTTGAGTTATATCCAGGAAACTATACTACGTTTTGCCGCAAAGACAACTGAGATGAGGAAAGTCTGAGTACAGGTAGTGGGTGCCAGCTCTAGACCCAAACAGCACCAAGCAGGAAATAAGATCCTAATCCACAATCAGGCCAGATGCCATCAGGGCTATGTGATAAATCTACCTACCAGTGGGAAGACATTGTCGTCAAAACAATCCACGCGTGATAAATACGCTGCGCTGACCCAGGTTGACAACATATATGTTGGTTGTAGGACCACTACTGTATGTCTAACTGCTGTTTGCCGCGTTATTCGAATAACTCTGCATCAAACACCAATACCCAGGTACATGGTCAGTCCAAAGTTTGCCAAACCCTTCGATGTCGCGGCGCCAGTCCCGCTGCATCTCAGCAGCCACCGCTGCCCAGTTCAGGAGCTGTACACCCGCTTGGGCCATCCGCTTGTGAGCTGCTTCACGTGTATGTTCTTTGAATGTCCCAGAAGCATCCGTCACCACATATACATCGTAGCCTTGCTCCGCCAGACTCAGCGCGGGGAAGGCGACGCAAATTTCAGTGAGAACGCCACTACTCGATGATTAGGATCACAATAATCTTTAAAAGACCATAAGATCGCGCAAGTACCTGATGATCACCTGTTTCTTCCCAGTTGCTTTTACTGCATTGACAAAGTCCTCGTTGTCCATCGCATTAACTTGTCCCGGTCTCCGGATCAAGGGAGCATTAGGCAGTGAATCCACGATTTCCTGGGCAATAGGACCATTGGGACCAGTGTCGAATGAGGTGGTCAGGACCGAGGGTGCGTTGAAATAGGCTGCGGTTTTCACCAATCCCAACACATTGGTCCGGAACTCTGTAGGCTCGAAATCGCGCACCAACTGAATAAGTCCGGACTGTTTTCCTTTTAAGTTAGATATTATCTGATTCTTACTCATCGCGTGCTTCCCTTGAACTGACCTGGTGGTCGATAAATAGAAACACGCAGTTGTCCCGGTCGAGCCGTTTGTAAGCTGGAGGCATGATCAAAGGTGGTAACGGTGAACGGAGCAAAAGAATTTAGCTTTGTGGTACAATAAAAATCTCAACTAACGGATGATGGGCCCATTTATATACGTAGATACTACACCGATAGTAGCTGTCGGATTATATAAAAATTAATCATACGAATCAATGTCGTCACGACTTCTTACTGCTTTGTCTACAATTATGCGATGATTTATAAAGTCATACAACTTCGGCGGACCCACCAGAGATCTTGGTGGGGTACTTTAGGGTCGGTTCACAGATCTTCACCGCTATCTACTAGTTGAGTGTTCGCCACTTGAGTCTGACCAAAGCTACATGTCTACCTTGGCACTGCCGTCAAGATTAATCATGCTTATGAAAGCACTAACAGTAGCAAGATCAGTGGCCACCCACCTACTACGACCTACCCCTTGCCGCATACATTGCGTAGTCCTGATGCTTCGATTGTCAGCTCTTTTTTTCATTACCTAATATCTTCACTTATGCTCGTTACAATTCGTACATCCTGCCTACGTAGTAAGGCTATTTGAAGCGTACCTCACCGTACACTCGGAGACAATCACGTGTCCAGATCCCTGGACTCGCTTCGTCTTGAGTCCTCGAACGAGCTCTCTCTCGTGTGGAAGATAATACAAGAGATACACCGTTGCTCGTAGCTACCAATCCTTCAAAGGGCTGCTCTGCCAGAGAAGAGAGTGTCAGAATGCATACTGTTAGGGCGCCCTTACACGTGCCCTGTGAGGATCGAAACCTCTTTCCCTCTTACAAAATAGCCTTGGTCAAAGTTACCTAAGTCTATCTTATTATTTTTGGGTGTTCAGCATATTCATCGGGAAATTTTGGCGGTGCTCAAGGGCGATGACAGAATGTTGGGTACCAGCCAAGACGTTTCCCCACCCCCAGCAAAAGTAGTGATGCTATTGGCTAAAACATGGTCTTGAACACTGAGACGAATTATCATTGGATGAACTCCTAAACATCTTTTTAGAACTGGAGCTGTAGTGGTCTCAGCTCGTGAGAGGGAGTAATGAGGTTTCGAACCCCAAAGAGATTTCATCAAGGTTTGGCCCCCATAATTGCTCCTCAAGAGGCCGGTGCTCAACACCGGTGACGCGTCCAGTCTAACGATAGTAGCCAAGACCTCTACTTGCTTATTAAGATCCGTTTCTATCTGACACTGCCCCCATTTGAAGGATACGCATTCCACCCCAATGGATGACGCAAGGGCTCAGTGTAGAGACTCCCACAACCCTTCACCGCCTCTGCAAACCCAGAGTAGTCATGGGCCTTCCTCGGATACTTCAGCCCCAGGACTCAAAATTGAAAACCCCTCAAGTGTGGGAAAAACGAACAGAATGGTAGAAGCTGTACCCTCAGCTTCATCCAGCGACAAGCGGAAGGCACAAAACCAAGCTGCGTAGGTGATACAAATCCTGGGCGTAAGCCGCTCTCAAGGGTAGAGGTAGGACTAACGGGCAAACTATCAATGCATCAAGTCAACGCGCTTTTCGCGAACGCAAGGAACGCCATATAAAGGATCTCCACGATCGGTTCGCCCAGCTACAGCAAAATATATCAGTTCTCCGTGAGGAAAATGACCAAAAGCGGCAAGAAATCACCACAGCCCTAGCGGAGAATCATACTCTTAAGGAGTTAGAGTCGATGCCGGCTGCGTTCCGACATGATTTAACGCCTATCTTGACGTACACGAGTTTCGCAGATATGGTCGCGCCAGGTGACCATAATAAGCAGCCTACGCACCGCGTTACAACTGATCCGGATACTGGCGAGCGATTTATGGACTTGGGTGCTGCTTGGGATTTCATTCAACAACATGCATTGTTTCAAGAAGGCATGCTCGATCTTGAAAAAGTATGCAACTACTTGCGGGAACAGGTGCAGTGTGACGGTCAAGGGCCGGTCTTTGTGGAAAATTGTGTTATCCATGCAATCGAGGCTAGTGTAACCGGAATGCGAGTTGATCAGCCTAATGCGCTTGATTCCCAAGCCTAATCGGCGTGACAGGCAGTTCTTTTCCCTTTAATCCCATTTTGTGCTCTTTCCTCTCCTTGCTTTGCATTTCTATATCACTGCTACTTAGGAGAGTTTATAACTCGCGTGTTCCGGTGAATGGCGGGTCACATAATTTGAAAGGAGATCTAGTCTACTTCGTCTCACTTGACCTCCGGCGGTACGTTTCTCGCACTGCACAGCCTCGATGAGTGTGTACCTCCCACGCACCGATTCCATGCTCTAGAGGACACTTATTCTTCCCTTTTTCATCTTGGAGCAAGTTTTCCGGCCTGTACTTTGGATTGACCTTCATGCGGCGAATGACTGATCCGTGAATCTTAGCCTCCTTAGGAAGATCACGTCTTTCCCCAAGGGGAAGAGGCCATCGAACAGGTCTCCAAGATCCATCATTTTGTAAACCCATCCTCCGTAACGGAAGGTACTCCACTATTTTCCAAGTTAAAACCGTGGGCCATGAGACACCATGGCCATATTGTAGGAAGTCATGTATATGTCCGTTTGTGGTTGCCTTCCAGAGCGCGGTCTTAAAATCGGATGCGTGGCTTGTCTCTTGTCCATCATTTCCATTTTTTTGGCTGCCAGTGTTCTGCTCCAGATGACGCGGAAGAACACTATCGCCAGCTGAGTCATCCAAGCAGTAGAATAGCTTCAATTTTTCGGGATCAAATCGAAGTCCCGCACGCTGCGCCTCCTGCACCATCCACACCAACGGCACATGGCTCAGCGCCAGGTCCTCATCTTCATCCAAATTTAATCCGCCGCCAATATCAGTATGGCATCCGGCGAACCACACCTCCTCGATGTCCTGAGGATTATCCTTGTCTTCCTCGAGGGGACCATCCTCAGCTTCGCATGGTGTTCTAGCCGAATTTGGGACCTGTGTATCCGGTCGCTGGTTACCAGGGTTCACATTTCGTGGACGGACAGGAGTGGCTGGTCGATAGAACGCCTCTCCTGTACAATGTCCTTGCTGATGATGTCCTTGTCGCTCCGGGTGGCCCTGTAATTTGCGTCGCGTTGACCGTGTGTTTGGATTGGCATCTGAAAGTAAATCCTGTCGGAACTTAGCACGATGCTCGTCGATAGCAACCGCATGCCGAATGACTTTGGCCGAAGTTTTTGCCGTAAAAGGGAACAAAAACTTATTACGATTCACCTCGAATCGTGGTATGCTATTGACAGTGTCAAATAATCCGAGGAATCGTATCTGCGACACCGGACGACAGAAAGTCTCCCGTAAGGCTTTCATGTACTCGTATAAGTCATCTTTTTCGTTCTGTTTAGCATCCACCCGGTTGACACATTTCGCCCACTTCGAGAATATCGACCAAACATAGTGGACCTTGCCTTCGTTCCCGGCCTCTAACAGGCCGATATGGTCCAGCATTTCAGCAAGCATGCGCGCAACATACGCTCCACGGCTAAAACCAAAAATGTAGATTCCATCCCCTGGGTAGTAAAAGCGCATGAGGAACCTATAACCGTCCATGACATGTTCGTCAAATGTCGTGCCCACCGCGGCATCCTTTGTATTTGAAAACCATCTTTTGATACGATTCTCGTTGACTTGATGGGACTGCCAAATTGAGGTGGTATACGTCCCAAAACCAGGCTGATAATAATGGAATTGACGAGCGTCATTGCGATCAAGCATCTTCTATCGGTGTAAGGATGGCCTAAGGGAACCAATTTCTGTCAAAATGACTCACTCTATAGATCTTGAGGACATTACTATCTGCTTCGTCTCCTCGAAATTTATATCCCGTGCCGTCAAAGCAGAGGACGAACTCCTTGGTGTCAGCGACAGCGGCTCTTTCCATGATAAGGCGTTGTTTTTGGACTTTAAGCAGTCACACGATGGAACAATAGGAAGAGACAGTGAAGATAGTTGGATCGAATTTTAGCCAGCTAGCCCCTCGTTCTTTATATGTTCCAGGGAGCGATCACAAGTGTCATCATTGACGGTACCCGCGGATAGTTTGTGGCGAAATTAATCTATCCTTCCTTTATTCCGATGTCTAGAACAAGCACTTCTGATATTCTCCTCCTCAGCTCTACTTTACGTATGTCCTGTAGAGAAGTAAAGCTGTAGAATCCCCGACCACGAGTTAGAGACAGACCTAACAATTTGATTGCCCCTTGTCAGGTTCCAAACTGATCCGAAGCACATATCGGCCAATACTAGCCTCGAAGACGTCGCAGCGGAATAGCGGAGATCCGTGATTGGTCAATGCTGTTCCTAAATGGCCCTGACACTGGTACCGATTAAAATCAAGATATGCTATGCTTTGTCGGATTAGCCCGGGAGTCTATATGCTCCGCGTCTGGTCATATACTGGCATTACGGCCAGAATAGATTTACAAATTTTTGCACAATCCTAAGTGTGAATAAGCTTACGATCTGGCACCCGGTAAGTAGTCGATTGGGTAATGATTAATAATTGCTACTAAATTTTCATTGGCTGATCACCAACACGAGCCATTTTCTCGCTCAGGATTTGTCAAACTCGTGTGGAGCGAAGCTTCCTTTCGCCACGACTCCTGATGTCATAGCATCCGCGTTTGAATTTGGAATTAGTAGAAAATCCAAAGGAATTGAACATTAAATTTTCCACCATTCTTTGCCATAGCTTATAGCGCGTGAACTATCATCAGCAAGGCATTATGTCACCTGAAAACGAAGCTGCTTGGAGTCTGGAGCCAAAGGGTGACCTAAAGCGATTCACTGCAGCCTACAACATCCCTTCAGAAGAGGAAATTGTCATCAAGGTTGCTTGGCTACTTGCGTATAATCTGCTACTGAAGTGACTTAACTGACAATCGCATTAGAACCATGCCGTTGCAATACAGCCATTTGATGCCAATATCCGAGCCCGAGCATACATTGATGTGCCTTACCCATTCATCTTGGGTAACGGGGTTGCCGGCATTGTCCATGAAGTTGGCCCATCAGTCACCAGGTTCAAAAAGGGCGACCGGGTTGTGTCTGATACACCCACTTACCAGCTCAAAGAAACTAAGTACGGAGGCTGGCAGAAATATGTCGTGAGCCGAGAAGCGACAACCGCTAAGATACCAGCAAGCACGACTTTCGAGGATGCTGCTGCGATGCCGTTTGCGCTTTTAACAGCCGTCGCAGCGCTGCACTTGCACCTAGGAATGAGTAAACCTGGAACAAAGTGCGGCGGAAAAGCACTCATCTGGGGCGCGAGTGGGTCTGTGGGCGGTTACGCTGTCCAGTATGCCGCCAGTGTGAGTGAGCACAGCTCGTTGATGTCATAGCAGAGAACTGACATTGTTTCTAGCTAGGATACGAGGTTGTGGCAACCGCCTCCCTGCGCAAATTCGACTATGTGCGTGGCCTTGGGGCCTCCGCGGTCTTCGACTACAAGGACGATGAGATCGCCTCAAAGTTGAAGAGACTCGGTCCCTATGAATTTATTATGACAGCCTCGGGCGATGCGAAAGGTGCAAATTCTATAAGCGAAATCCTGCAACCAGAAGGTGGGACATTTGCATCTGTCCGCCCGCGAAGTGATGAAATGCATCTTGCCGGGAATGTCCATCTGGCCTACGACTTTTTCAGCATGACTACTCAGAAGCCGGAAAATGCCGATTTCACTGAATGGTGGTATCGCGACTATCTCCCCGGAGCTCTGGGCGGAAATGTGACCCCCACACCCTTGGAAAAGCGACCTGGTGGCTTGAACAGAATCCAGGAAGCTTGTACCGACGTTTTGGAAGGGCGGAGCCCGAAAAAGCTAGTTTTAGATCCCCAAGCGGATGGTCTTTAACTGTTCCCCAATTATCGACCGTCGTAGCAACATCAAAACCAATCCACACCAGACACAAGAATCAGACTTTTGGGGTACATATCATGCTGGTGGATAAGGGCACCAAGGATCTCTTGATACCATCGACCTTGCCGCGAAAGAGGCTAGGAGTAATTCAGACAATTTACCTTTCCAGCAATCGCTAAATACTCGTGAATAATTGCCCTTGCTGAAATCCATCGTTGAGGAGATGCTCAAGCTCTGGATGAAAATGGGATAGGTTAGCTCGATCGATGCAGCCGTGAAAGGAGGGAACAAATCCGCGGTCTCCCACGCCGAACTTATGGGGGTTACGGTGGGCATTTAACTCGTAGCGTAAAACCGTCTAGATCCCGACCTCTTTTAGTGAAACCTGAGTCGCCATTATCATGGAACTAATATGTCAATGTCGTCTAGAAAGATCAAGGATTTGTACTCACGAGCTTCATAACGTATGTCCTCCTATATTTCTTGTATTTCAAGTATCGTCGAAGCTTCTGAGCGGGTAATTTCCTAAAGAAATCAATATCACGGCGGATCCAGGTCTAGCGAGCAATCGCCCTGCAAATACGAAAGTTTAGGCTGATGCGGACCCACTTTGTGGTGCTCATTACAGTCAGTCGAGATGCTTGGCTAGCAGTTCCGAGATTTCCCCAGAATGGGATAAGCTATAGTCAGTGTTGAAGTCATTCATTTATGCTTGAAGTACGGCTTACCAAACCTAGGCTTCAACAAGTTATGACTCTCATGGCTTAGACCCATCCGAGACCATGAAATTTCCTTTGGCAGTGACGCAATCATTAACCCATCGGTGCTGTTCTGTTAAAGTCTAATCAAGCCTAAACTACCAAACTACCCGATGAAAGGATAACCAAGAAGGCTAAATAAGTTTAGTCATATTTGCTAATCTTGACTAAGAAAGCCCGCAACTGCATGGTCCGTGCAGCCGCCTGTTGCGGGCCGCCCGTACGGTAATAGACTTCAGAGCCTTGTGGGAATCTGAGAGTTTTCTTTGGAGCATACAGGCCCCGAAAAAGCACCCTGGTCTACGTGCATCATAATCCGCCTCCAGTTAAATCTCTCTTTTGTTGGAACAGCTGGAGGATGCGTACGAAGTCCGAAGCATCCATTTGTGTCTTAAGGCCATCTGTCTGCTCTAAGGTCGGGTCCATTGAAACGACATTTCAAAGTCCTAAAAGATGTCGTCGATACTCCCTACAGGCAGCTTCTGGAGAAGCCAACGTGATGCTGAGACATTACCTTCGCCAACCACCATCGTCCCATTCGCTGGTCGCATTGGTGCCAATCAAGAGTTCTCACTGGACAAAAACAACTGCACGCAAATAGAATTATTGCAGAAGTTTCCGGATGCTGCTCCCTGGATTCCGTTCGGAGATGCTCTATCTCTAGAAAATATTCTACAGGTCGAACTATGGAAGGCGGCTGTTGTTGAAGCTATAGGTCCGTAAGCGCTAACAACTTCGCAAGTGACATGATTACTTACAACACCAGGAACATGCTTGTTGGTATACCTGACCTGCTTCGTAGCCGTGGGCTTAAGTCAGACGGTGAAGTAAATTCTGCTTGCATCCTTCTTTGACTGAGATTTTAACCATGTCACTGCGAAGCACCTTTGCATCCGGCGCACTCGTACCCAGCCTGCTTGGTGGGCTAACGGCGATCTTGGTTCTTCCGTTGTTCATTTTCGCTACAGGTCCAGTTTCTGGGGCCCACCTCAATCCTACCATCACCATCGCTACATTCTTCGGGCGTCTGGCCACGCTGCCGCGATGTATTCTGTACGTCACATTTCAGACGTTCGGAGGGGCCATGGCAGGTTTATTATTGAGAGCGAGTTTTGACACAAGATCTGTAATTTCCCATGCCTTTGATGGCCGCGAAGAACTCATACTGATGCATCTTTACAGTTCGCCGTACCAGGTTGCTATATTGATTCTTCAAAAGTCTCAGCAGGCAACGCATTCGCCATAGAATTCACTACAGATTTCGCTTTGATCTTTCTCTCGTTCAGTGTCGGTCTTGACCCTCGACAGCGGTCTGTATTTGGGCCAGCCTTGGGCCCTATTTTTGTTGGCATTGTTTTAGGAACGTGTACGTTTGTGACGGGTTTTAGTCGTATTGGTTATACTGGATTCTGTGAGCTTCCGAACCATTTTCTGCCAGATTTGGAATACTAATAACCCAAAAGCGGGAAACCCTGCACGGTGCTTCGGGGCAATGGTTGGCTCGCACTTTGCTTCGTATCATTGGATACATTGGATCGCGCCGTTGTGTGCCTCTATCATCCACGGGGTTCTATATTACTTCATACCACCTTACTCTCGGAAGAGGATTTCGGATGTGACTGACGGTACTTCTTGAATTCTGAAATCATCAATCAGGACTATGGACGTCGAGGAATAAATAGTAATTACCTGTGTCAGCATCACTCAGCCGAGGTATGAATATATTTTAGATGGAGACCTTCTAATTTATGATACACACGCCACACCACGCTGGGGAATGCCATAGGGTAGTGGAGGCTGTTATGGTGTATTTATTCATTTTAACATCTTGCTAGGCATCATTTCTTTTCATAACTGGGACTTTATTTTCTTTTGCAGCTCTGGTTACGGACGTGTGGTTTCGCAGACGCCCTTTGTGAAACCAGAGAAGACTTTAGATATATCATTGCCATAATTCGAATATGGCTTATACGCGAAATATACTATGTGGGCTGAGTAGTGTTTTAAATGGGTCCTTGTTGGGTACTGCGGGGTCTTGTAGAGTAGCAGAACATGGAGCTAATGCAGTAGGAGGAGTTGAGAACCACCTATAAAGGTCAGTGGTAAGCTTCAGTCTGCCTTACTCTGGTGGTTTTGTTGCTTTTGTCTGGTTTCTCTATGCCTCGAGCTTTATTTACCGAAGAAGAGGTGCGCCTGGCCACCGAGCGGCGCATGAAGTATATTGGAGCAGCCAAAGTCAGCATCAGCCAAATTTAATTCGAAACGCCTTTGCCCCGGGATCTGGATCCCAAAAATCTAAATCGGCTTCGAAAAGTTTTCCGTAAAAAACCACTGTCGTCGACTAGATGTAAACAATCATGTTCCTGCGGTCGTGTCGCAGCAAGACCTCACCAACGCGTTACGGACAGCAAACGTTACACATCAGTCTCTTCAGGTTTAATCGTGGCTTCATTTCTCTTTCTGAAATTCCTTGAAGTAGCGTTGATCAATCTTCAACTTTGTCTCAACGACCATAATTTCCTTACTCGGACACGATGGGCAGCGGATTATCGCTCAATTGCGGCAGCAGGCTTTCCTATCACCACCATTTGAATTTCAGCATTGGCTGTTGTTTTGAAATAGAGGCAGACGTGCATGTTGTTCTTGAGTAAGTCTGCATCAACGCGCCTCACTTGTTGATGCCGGATTTACAGGGTCCTGGCCATAGCCCACTTAAAATATTTTTACTGAGTGTAGCCATGCCACATTGACTGCAGTACTGGGAAATTTGACCCTTGCCTCCCTGCTCTGCTCATTGCCCACAGACGTGTCGTCCGCCAACACAGTGAGGCTTTGTGATCGTGATGAGACTACGCTACGATGCTGTGGAAGGTGTTCTGATTCTTTTCCTCTTGTATTATCCCTCCAAAGCAACCTTGCTTTCAGATGCGAAGAGGCCAAATATTTTCGAAGGTGCTTCTTGATTCAATCACTCGGTACCGCAGTCCGTGGCTCTGACGCTGATCTGTCCTTGACAACATACATCCATGACTGACACCATGAGCCGGACTGCGGCCAATGCTAGCCTTCGGATTCAGAGAACCTTTTATGTTACTTGTCTATGCTGCGTCTCTAGCACTCACATTATGGAAAAGATCAAAAAGTAGACATGTGATTATCGCACTATTGAATGGTACAGTATCACGTACTGTAGCTTGGTACTATACAGTACTCCCTATGATGGAAGCCTTATGGTGCCATCCAGCTTGTACTGCCCACGGGCCGGAATTAAACCCACGCACGGACCATACGTCTGCGATCTTCGACGCGCCGAAGTTGTTTGGTGTATACAATCACTTCCCCACATACCTCACCTACTTCACCGTCGTGGATGTCCCTCTCGCCCTATATTATACGACCCAAATCCACTTCCTTGTCTTCGCGAGAGGTCGTTCGGGCCCCGAGGTATACTTCGGACTTTTCTCTTGCTCCCCGAGACCCGTTGAAAGTGGGTTGAGCTCACGTGTCTATCCGGCATAACTCGGAATGGGATGGGTCTTTTTCGGCATATATTGATCTCTTTACGATGATTGTGAAGGATACATATGATCTGCATTAGTGGACAGAGTCTTCAACGCCAAATCACGAAACATGGCACAAAGGCCCCAGGCCTCAAGAATCTCAAAACCGAGCAGTCCGTTGATCTGCCTCAGAGATGATAGATTGAGCTCCGAGCGTTTCCGCGTCTGGAGTAATCGGCGTCTCTGTCTCCCCAGCCGGGACAAGTCTCGCTGGCTTACAAGCACCATTGGCTCGCGACCCGGAGGGCCAGCCTTGGTGACTGCGTCTTGAACGAAACGGTGGGGGGCGGCCATTTGGGGTCCGGCCATTTGGGGTCGTAAGCTCGCGCGAGGCGGTGTCATGCTATCCGAATCCTGATCAGTAAGACCGATGAAAGAGCGAAGTGGGTGAAGCTCCCTTACATACTAGCAGGCTCAAGGACTTGAAGGGTGACTTAGGCGGGCGCCACGAGGGGGAATCGATGTCTAGCATGGGCTTGGTCGTCAGTAAGATCGCACGCGGAGAGTTAGTTTGATTACCTATACTTACTTAGCAGTCATTAAATATTAATAGACTTGACAGAGAGAAAGTGACGTGGAACGAGCGGCGTGGGTTATATATGGAAGGATTCCGAGCCTTTCCCGAAATAGTTAGCTGGAAAGTCCGCCGTCCACTCCACGGAAACGAGCAACATCTGGTCGCTCAGGTTGACAGGGCCTCCAGCAAGTGCTCCTTCCACAGAGGCCGCCACTCTCCTGGCTATCGATATGCTTGTAACCGCCACTGCGACTAGGCCACAAGATGAAGACTCAATGCGGATGCTGGCAAAGTTGACGACTGTATAGCCTGTCAACCCTTAGACATCTAGAGATGTCCGATCTGGCCATCTTTTTGGTCGCAGACGCGCAATCTTTCCCGCTTTTGTGTTATTGCCAGTTCCCGCAGACGACTAAAGTTTTGAAATGAAAATGCACAAATGGCATGCGTACTGTATCAAGGTAGCTACAGTAAGGTTGCGCAATAGTTGTGCTTCACGCTATCCAAGGGCTAGTCAAATGAGATCTATTGAATTAGAAAGAGGAAAGTCTTTGCCTGATCGCTTTTGTTGATTGGATGAAGTTCATTTGATGCAGTTGATTAGATGAAGTTGATTAGATGAAGTTGATTTGATGAAGTTGATTTGATGAAGTTGATTTGATGAAGTTGATTTGATGAAGTTGATTTGATGAAGTTGATTTGATGAAGTTGATTTGATGAAGTTGATTTGATGAAGTTGATTTGATGAAGTTGATTTCACGGATTTTGATCATGGGTGCTGATCATGGGTGCTGATTTAATGAAAACCAATCCACTAACCCCAGATTCATTGGTTCGGGTGATATTCATGGACTACGCACGGACCTCCTGTTTGATGGTACGCGTCCCACGGCTTCTTTTCACCCAATGATCATGACGTGTCTTCGCGAAGCGAGATCTTATCCATGGTCCGCTCCGAGACTATTTGCAAATCGCGCAATTGTTTCTTACTCTGGCTTCGCGCTATCTCTCATAGCCTAGACAAGTAACTCATGTGATCTCCATGACTACGCAATTCGTTCCTATCGATGAATTGATCCGCATCCTCGAAGCACCTTCCCGCTACATCCGTCGCATTAACTTCATCCACTAACAACATCCCATCTAGAATCACAGTAAGACGCTCAATTACTCCGTGAAATAAAAGACTTTAACTCATTGGCCTAACGAACAGAGCTTGCGACGACTCCGCTAAGAGAATGCCAAGCCTTTCAGAAGGGCATGGTCTTGGTACGAAAGCTACCTCTCAAGGACAGAGCTCATCTCAAATGCTCAATCGGAGCGATGCTAGGTCTAACCGAAAAGTGAAGAGAAGAAAGCTAGTCGCCCGCATTCTAGATGACCTGCGGCGGGAAGAGCCGGAAGAGAAGCTTGACGTGCTCAACGAGGCACATGCTCGAATTGAACAACTGGAGCGCGAAAACCAACATCTTCGACAGCGTAACCAGATTTTGCTCGAAGGCTTCAAGCGCACGCGAGCCACGATGTTCAATCTCATGTCACAAGTGGCGAATCTACGACGGAGGATATAAGGTGTTAGCCCATCCACGGCGAATCTTAGTACCACTTCAAGCGCTGTCTCGACTATGATCAATGGAAATCTTGTATTTGTATATTCGGTGGATTGCAGTAGGAGGACAAAATGCCAGAGATCGTCGGTGGTCGAGATACATTTGAAAATCTTCAAGACGTAAGGATCGTAATCTGATGAATTCACCATGCTGGAATGTCTGAATGGCTTGATCTTGATTGCAGACCGGGGACAAGCATGGACCGAAACCAACCGCTTCTTACAACATGATCAAATTCCATCCCCAGATCCACTTAGTGAAATTTCATCAATCCTCCGTGTATTGGGCCCACCAACTGTCTTGGCCCCACTAAAAGAAGAGGCTGGGGATCAAAGTGCACATCTTGGCTGTCCTGGCTCCCCTAGTGTCATAGTATAAAGAGAGCTGATGTGCCCCTGGGAAGCTCTCCTCCCCAAGTCTTCCCTTCGTGACCTCATTTGAGGCACGATGACAGACAGTACCCACGAAGCGTCTACCAAGGCGTGAACGAGGAAGGTCTTCCCTTCGTGACCTCAGTTGAGGCATGATGACAGACTACCCACGAAGCGTCCACCAAGGCGTGAACGAGGAAGGTCTTTATGACAGTACCCACGAAGCGTCTACCAAGGCGTGAACGAGGAAGGTCTTCCCTTCGTAGCCCACACGCGTGGAGATACGAGGAGGGACCTCCAGCGATGGACAGACACCTCTTCGCGGTGCTGGAGACTAGTATTCAAACCGTTTGCCGACTTTTTGAAGAAGCCAAGATCTGTTCCAAGATTAGATACTGTATTTCCAAATTAGATTTCTGTCTTTCCTATCATTTTCAGACTGTGTTGAAGGATAAATATCATATCATCCGTAGATACACAGGCTGGTATTCCTAGTATATCCTTCTTTCCATCACCATTTCATGCTAAGCAGTCTCCGATAGAGAAATTTCTATTGTTTGAAATGCATATTGGAAGCTAAAACCATAATAAATGGAATGATTCAGTCATACCTACATATTCAAGTTCACGCCCAGTGATGAAGCAAAAATAACCGTTTAGCCATCTGTTCCAGTTTTGGATATGTATACGCAAAATGTATTCGTATCAATATCATGTCCCGAAGAGAATTAAGTATGATGACCGTTGTCAATACTGAACGAATTCTGCTGATCCTGGCTGTATCATTTCCCCCATTACTTGCCATACAGTCCCTGATGGAGAAGACATCTATAGTTTGAAGAGTAGTCGCCACCCATGGTCTACAGGTATAGCCCGCTGGTTTGCGTGCCAGGGTTATTAAACCATACATTAATAGAGCATCTGTCTGCTGCATGTGCATTTTCAAGCTCACGCACAGCGACGAGGCCAAAAGCATCTGTTCGGCCATTGTCATACTACCACGGGGAAAATTGGAGGACCTTAACAAATTCGATCAAGCTAAGTTTCCCTATGACATGATTCCTGATGGTCCCTTTGCGGAGACACAACATCTTATCCTACGTCACTACCCTGTTTGACCTGCTTGTAGATTTCCAAATTGCCTTGGGTTGAAATAATGCCATCCAATTTCATTTGTGGATTTCTTCCGGTATTCTTGAATAAAATTACGTCTATATGAATGAGGATTCCGGGTTTAATGGAATTACAGAAGCGCAGCTTTTTATGTACCCAGCAAGATCCTTACTCTGAGGCCTGGGGTGAATTCCACCCAAGTAAATGGCATCAATATCATTGATAAAAATGCACAGCAAAAGGACCTGTAAGAGAAAGAAAATAAACCAAGGTATCCGAGCAAGGGGTGGATGAGGATTATTCAACATACCGGTTTCTGTCCGTACAAGGTGGTTCTATGAGGTCTTTTATATGCTATGATTGAGAACAACCAGATTTGAAAAATTCATTGTGATCCCACAGGCTTGTGGGACATAAGATGCTTTTCCAAAACATGTTGAGTAGTGTGTGGTTGATTGCAGGGAACGCAAAATATCATGTTGGATCTGAAAAGGATAGCCCAAGAAACAAGGAAGAATGCTGGTATGTTCTCGGCGAATAGAGATATTCAAAGTAGGGCTCTCTGAAATTTGTAAGTTAATTCGAATGATCCGATTTTGGAAGGCTGTAGCAATGATGTGATGGTAGGCAGTCTGCATCTGGGCATGGCTCTCGAAAACAATGATCGCTGGGCGGAACCGTCAAAAGGGGAGCTTCTGACGTCTGTATCCATACCGATGGCCGAAATTTAGATTATTCGAATTAAGGATGAGGGAAAAGTGTTCAATTCTTCAAGGCCATAAACGGTTATATTAATTTGTTGTATCCAACTCTGACCTCTCATTATTGGAATTGAGTTTCATACTGCATTATCCATTATAGTCGTATTATTTAATCATGCTTATTGTCTGGAATCCAGAAATTTGTAATCCGACAGTTCTCATTTTCATCTCAGCGTGACCTTTATCCATTTGATGAAGAGCGCCGGATGAAAAAATCGGTGACGACAAATCTGCGCTCAAAATCTACTGGTTGATAAGGCATTCAGACAGCCGAAGAATGATCAGCTCCCGATTGCTTGTTCTCAAAGTATCTTGCGATTTGCTGCGATTTGCGATTAAGGGATGGCGGGGCACTAGAGTTGTATGAATTCACGGACCACATCCAGCGTTCGGATCTCCTGGAGCGTCAAATGATATTACGTTGATAATACATCGAGCAAAAGTACAGCCACGCTATTGAGAGACTATAAAGAGAGCAGAGGTCCATCAGGGTGGAAGTTTGACAGGGGAAGTATCTCTTGTGGATATATCTCGGCCGTGAACAGCACATACATCACTACATCACGCACTACCAGTCAGAGAAGCTATTCAATCACGTCATAATGGATCAATCGGTAGGCCAAATATTATTTTTATTTTGATTGTTATAACAGACCACGCTCACACAAATGTAGGAAGTCATTCGAATGATATCGACCTTCAACTCGCGCTGGGTTCTTTCGGAGCGCCGCCTTGCCAAATATCAGCAGGAATTGGCAGAGACACGGCAGTCGCTGGTACAGACCAACAGGGACTTGGATGAAGTTGCGAAGCTAGCAGAAGTGCTCTATGAGACGAATCGAAGAATGGGAGTCGTCACTGACTATCTTCTGAAGCATCAAGGCTTGAAAGATGGAGATAAAGAGCCCAAGTCGTTTGATGCGATGTTTAATTGGGCCGTAGTGCAAGCGGGGTTATCCTTGGGAACAGAGCCCGAAGAAGGCGGGGTGCCTGTCAAAAATACAACAGACAGTGATGTCAGAGCTGGGGCAAATGTTCTATTGGAAATGAGCAATGCAAATAAGTCTATTTAGATGTTGCTTGGTTGTATCAGGAACGAAGTCGTGCCATCGAATTTCACTGCCGGAATATCTATACGGATAATCAATTTTCAATTTTTCATCTTATCTCCGCTTTGTATAGATCCTCATGTACTTCCTTTGCAACAGAACAAGCGACCATCATTTGGAGTACATACAACAACATTCTGAAGAGGGCTTGAAGATTCCTCGACGAAGTAATCACAGAAAGAGAATTAAGTACGAATAGTGTGCTCTCTGAAAAAAAGCCTTCGACAAGAAGAACAAAGGAAGGAATGTAAATGTATTTATTTAATGTGACGCTTCTCTCAAGGTTGTTTACAACAAAAGTAAATTTGGGGGCAGTCGCAAGATATAAATGCTAGAATCATGACTTGGCCATTTTCCGTCCACGAGAGCTCAAAATGGTCAGAGCACAATCTACCAGTTATGTCATTTTCAAAGTCTATTCAGGGTCAGCTGCTGCATTGATGCCGACCGACTAGCCAGGGGCAGCAAAATTTGAACAATCAGCTCTTGGTTCGCAAGAATGCTTGCTTGATGCTTTATCCAATGCGAGGCGAGAAGCCCTTTACAAGAAAAATTGTACAATGACCCTTGGAAGGTTCTTTGTAGCGTTGACTCTGTCCTCTGTTCTAATTGTATGCTTATAGTAGAGGCTTGCCGATAGAAACATCGTGAGCATGAGAGCTCCTGAAAGTGTACTTGAGCATGAAAGGTGGGGCTATTGAGAACCAGATTTACGGATATGTCCATTGGCATATACGCCACGTCACTGTGCTTTCAAAGATCATCGAATGTCAGGTGTACTATACACAAGTCTGATCCTGTTTCTGCCCTGGCCTGCTGAGACTGGTTACTGGTGAATTGTCAAAATGTAGAGAGAGATGCAAACCTGTGAAAAACCTCGAGGTCCTCAAATATGCCAGTCTCGGTTTGATTCACAGAGTTCATCCACGTCAGCTGCGCGCGATACAATATCAAAGTTTCATCAATACTTTAATATTTCCAAGCACTTGAAAATGCATCTTAAAAATCGTAAATTTGATGGTATACATTGGTGTAGGCTTTGAAATTAATGAATGCGCCCAGTATTTAGCCTCGTAGTATGTTTCCGCCTTTTATAAATCTCAAGAAACACCCATTCTCTTCTAATAACAGGAAAGAAACCATTCTGATTTGACCGAGGTATTGCGGTTGGCTTTTCCTTTTATCTGGTTCCTGTATTGACTCTCGTTCACTTAGTCCGACTCCTATACACCAGGAAACTCCAGACTGACTGCTTCGCCGATAAGCTCCCAGCCTAGGACCAAGCGCTCAGTCGTGCCAGTAAGGTTTCCTCCGGCTGCCTTCAACGGTTTACATCCATCAAGCTCGCCCTCGATTAAACCACCCACAATTTGCATAGCCTCATAATGAATCTGAGACAACGACACTCTGGAAATATATCTGACGCAAGAATAGCACGACGATCTCAATTCAAGGTCCTCTTACGCCCACAGTTTATGCCAAAGAAGACATTACCCAAGGCTTTGAAACTAAGAGACCGCAATGCCTGGCTTAAATGCCTGCGGCCTAGGTCTACGCCCCGAGCAGTGTTTGCTGAGAAACCCGGGCTGAAGATATAATGCCTGTGTCACGTCTATCGAAAATGATATTTCACAGTTTGGCAATAGAGCGTTAGATTATCAATGGTCTCGCTTAAAATTGCTTCAAATAAATGCTTCCTTATAATATCTGTCTGACCATCGATATGGTACATCGGTCAAGTCCTGCTATTAGTCAATTCGTTTTGAGGGACTCGCTGATGGAGGATGGTGCCCAGTCTTGGGCACTACCCGTCGTTTGGCTCATATCGTCAAGCCTAATATTCAATCAAAAATAGCTTACGGATAGGGTACTTTAGGCTGTATTAAATTGAAACTAAGTATCGGTCATTAATTTGATCTAGATTGGTACTGCGCTTTTGCTTGAATGATAGACACTGTATGCCTTGATTGTCCACATTATGTAAAATCACTACCACTGATGTGTCCAGATTCTGCCTAGGTCTCTGAAGAAATGAATCAATAGTTTATATTCATCAATATTCTAAGTATTCACCAAAATGATCATATTCATTTCGGAACTCTAAAGCTTACTCTTTGAATAGCATATCCCAAGCCCAAATATTCTGATCCATTTTAATATTGACGATGTAAATAATTCCCCTCGTTGTAATCAACTTCATACGTGACAGGTAGTGACAGGTAAGCTATGTTATAGGCCGCAGTATGTCTTGATTCTTAAGGCCTTCACAAATGAAGTTTGTGGCCCGTGACTGGAATGGGTAGCCCGAGCAGCCAATCACAAAACTAGGAGGAAACTTGCATGAACGAATGCATGTTACCAAGATTCCTTCAATCAGAAAGAGCTCAGGTTATCCTAGCAATACGACCTTAAAATTTATTGCATCTGGTGCAGATCAGGAAAACAAACTCATATCGTTGGCGTGATTTTTTCAGATATCTACCATGAAGCCAAGTTGATAAAAAATAGATTTTCTCGTCATGCATGCTACGTAGCCTTATTTGCTCCCTCTGAAATGTAGAATAAATTAATATCCCTTAAACCGTGGAAAATATTGATTTGCATATTCCAGCGCAGCGCTAACACCGTGAACGCAAGCTGTATCGACGCACATTCATTGTAGCAAATGCGCAGGTTCGATAGAGTCCGCATTTTTTCACAGGCAGCAGGATAGTCCATATGTCAATTACACTAAAAGCAAACTAGGCGGAGACATCCGGCGAAATAAATGCGGGCCACTCTATGTTAACTATTCAGCAACAACAAACGAGCGACTACTTGTAGTGCAAATGGAAGACCCGCATTTTCTGAGATAGAAAACTGCCTCACAGTTCTTACAATAACGAGAGGGAAACTATAAAGGTCAGAGATAGCCACAGATAGAATAAGCAGCGCATATTCACTTCTCTTGGATGTTCACAGCAATGACCAATTCCAACCACGAGCAAGATATAGCGTCTGAAGTGCCCCAAATGGGTTCATCATACACACCTTCCGAAAGCGACTCTCTCTTCTCTACCCCTATGGACCAGGACACAGAGCAATGGACTGTGAGCGAGAAAAAATCCCTTTTCCGTACTCCTCTAACGTATCAGTGACAGGTGCCCGATGCTAGCCCCCCTTCCGCTCAGCCTGAAGCCGACTCTTGTCGGCCACTAACCCATGAACTAGTGCGCCTTGATCACGAGAACGGTGAGCGACCGCCTCATACGTCAGAGGTCTTTCGGCTTTACGCAGCCCTTTGGGACACTTACAATAAGAGAACTGCTGAATTGCGTCGTCTTGAGGAAGAAAATTACATGCTTCGTTCGGCGAACATTCAATTCTGCCATCAACTTCAAGCTCTTGAACGTCGCAGTATTGACCAAGGGGCAATGTTGGCATTTTCAGAACAGGGATTGGAAAACTTTCGAAAGGGAATCAGCGCCGTTCTCGAGGCATGGGAGAATAATCCATCCAATACTGGCTCAGTATGATTGGCAAGTACGCTCCCTTTGTCGGGCATCGGAATGATTCCTAGTTTTGATCACATCTCAAGCTCAATCGCAAGACGCAAAGTTGTTTTACGAGTGGCTGAACTAGGTGCATTTGGCTCTTAATAGCTAGGGCTGTGATTAAAACGAGGATAAATTGCTATTGTTTCAGATGAAATGAAAGACAATATCCAGTTGACTGAAGTCAACTTGACACTTTGTAAAGTAATCGCAGTATATAACTCTATGGTGTGGCTCAGCTTCTGGTTTGCGCCAGGCTAATATCACAACATATCACACTGCGATGAGCGATGGTGAATCATGAGCTTTGTTTGTTCTAGATACTAGAACGCAGCCGCTTGTCGAAAACTGAATATTGAAGGGCTCGTACAAGACGTAAAGTAATCTAGTGCTCATGAATTCGAGTGGACTCATTTAGATTTGGAACTCAAAGTGGCATTTGCTAGTGACAATAAAAAACAGTGATAAGGCGGTTAGATGGAAATTCATCCAATTGTTGACATACTTACCGAGTGGTCGATTAATCAACCCATGTCTTTAGAAAATGTCGCAGATGAAAGAGCGTGAATTGAAACGACTACAGTGGGGCGCCTATTTCGAACCCAGTGTTCGCCCCACATGAGTAAATTGATCACCCTAGTTCATTGAATTTTGATTAGAACTGATTGCACGATGAATAGCTTCTTCCCGGTATTACCATTTAACTATGCCTTGCGGGCGAATTTAGCATATTGTATAATATGAGAGCTGCTACCTGAAATAACAAATAGTTTCATCATTCGGTTGCTTGAAGGAATTGAGAGATGAAGGTGGCCAAGTGGGTAATTTAAAGCTGAAGTGCGAATTCATGTGCTTTCTAGATCTTCGAAAACCCTTTGCCAGAATGCATTAGCAGGAAATTGTCATCAGAATATTTCAGATGAACCCCCTTGTATAAAGGCCAAGCGGACCGGAAGAAGAGGTATTTCCCTCATATTTCACATTTCTCTGGCCATGGAACAGACAGTTGCAACGGGTCAAAATGGTCTCTCCGTCACACCGCGTGGTTTATGTCAAAATTCTCGTTCTTCGGATTGCCACATAGATTTAGATCTGGAAGCGCTGTGGAAAGACTTTCCTGATGCCCCGACACCGCCTCCCTGCCTTGCCACCGGAGATATCATACCACCTCATAATTCGAAAGCCATTTTGCTGAACCAACGACCTGAGATTGAATATATCTTTTTTTCTATTCCGGAAAGCAAACATGGATTCTACTGGTTTGGACCAGACCCGTTGGACCCTGAGACTTGTGCAAATGATATTTTCTCCCACATTTCCGCTTTCACTTTTATGGATGAAGTTGTTTGGGTGGAGTTTGAACTATGCAAAATTAGTCTCATCACTGGGGAAACGATCGAGAGACATCTGTTCTACCTACCACGACGACAGTCAGCGCTCGGAAACCTGGCACATATCCGTCGCCGTATACTGGAACATATTTCCGGCTATGATCATGAGACTGTAACAGGCCTTTATCGACTCCGACTGTCGATATACCCACGACAAGGCCTATCTCCACATTGTGAAATCCGAAGTAAAGTGATTTACGGTGGTGATTGCGATGGGTCTACGCTAGATCCAAACTTTTTTGTTCAAAATGTGGCGGCAAACTTTCAGGGATAATGATCAACCGACGTGAAAAGGATGTAATTTTAGAAAGAGGAGATTCATGAAAATAAGACCTATTATTCCAAGTCTGTTAAGCCTATTATTCTTTCAATCAATAAACAGCAGCTTGACAATGTAGTTGAGGAATGATATAAACTAATGATCCGGAGCAGTTTCCAGTGCTCTATTCAAAGGCCATCAAGTAACCCTCTGAACAGAAGCAGAGAGAATTTGAACCATCGATTGCCAATCGGATAGAATGGCCATCAAGTGTTGGTACAACGAACATCTGTGAAAAGTTTAACATCAATAATCTGTAAAGTGTCCTGATTCGTGATCTCCTAGACCGGCTCAACAAATGAATGGTGCACAGACACTAGATAGCTGATTATGGAAGCAGTTCTCTATAGGGGAGGTCCCCAATAGCTAGATTTCTTTGCTCGCGAACTAAAGCCCATTCAACTATTTCGAGAGACCTGTCTTCCTATGAGTAACTCCTCATGTTCCTAGCCTTTCAAAATATTTAAAATGACAGATCATGCCGTAACTTAGAGTCATCTGCACGAATAAACTTCAAAACCTGACTTCGTCTTCCAGTCGGAGGCCGTGTGATCAAACAATTCTTCCCCTCGGAATTCACCCTATGATAATAACTAATGGCCAGAATTAAATGAAGGTTTATTAGGCAGGCGGTTGACTGCACTTTCGTCATCACTAAATCGAGGTTTAAAGAAGGGCTCCGTCCCTAAGGCATATTAAGTCACAATCAGTAACCGAAAAACGCTTCTCATTTTAGCTCAAAAGATAGATTGAATGTATTGAAGTTACCGGGTGGGAAATTGCATGGAGACTCCTAAAAAATAATCCTTTGTCAATTTTTAGTGAGGGAATCAAAAAAGAATGCAAGATCACTTCATTTATAACGGAAAATCAAGAACTTGATCGCTTCCAAGTAAACGTACATCTATTATAAATGCCCCTTAGTCTATCTGAATATATGTGGGCTTCAACTAAGTCGATGATAGATCTCTTTGCCAGGCAGACTGCTTTTTGAATGCTGTACTGAAAGCCCATGCAACCCGTCCACCACCCAATCCATAACTTAGATAACTTTGATAGTACTTCCGAAGAGAAGACACCGACAGCTAGATTACTGGTTTCGTGAGAGGCTCACACCCTAGAAAGTTGAAAATGCGCCTGTTTTCAGGTAATGTTAGTCGCCTGATTTCCATTGGCGCGTTGTCTCTTTCAGGGGCGGTATTGGTTTGCCTGTCAGTTGTTTTCGCTGGATGTACTTCGTCTTCCTCTCCGTCCCATCTGTATTTTTTAAAGGTAAGACTGTTCTTTTCACATGTTTCAGATATCAAGGTTAACCGCCCATCAAAGGTCAATTTGAGCAACTTCCCGGAAGTTAGCGATCTCAATCTTCGCCGTTCAATAGACTTGACTGTGGTCACAGACGGAGCCACGAGTGTCGTCAATAGTGCGACGGAAAGTTTGCATAACGCAGCGGATGAGGCGTCAACTGCAGTTGAGAGTGCAGCAACCAAGATTTCGACCGCAGCAAGCGGGGTCGTCAGTCAAGCTAGTAGTGTCTTAGAAACATTAGAAAAACAGCTTCAGTTAGAATTACCAGCCTTCTACACTGTTGGCTTATGGGGGTATTGTGAAGGTAATGACACCCAAGTCGATTCATGTTCATCCCCTAGTACTTCTTTCACATTTAACCTCTCTGGAATTCTGAATTCTTTCTCTACGGAAATCGAGGATCTGATTTCAGACATCGACGCAAAAGCCTTGACTGGATATCGCGACATACCAAGAGTAATCATTTGGCTCTACATTTTTGGTTTCGTCGGGACAACCCTCGCCACACTTTTGGGTATTAGAAAAGTGTTCTTCGATGGAGGTCAAAGGCTGCTTATTTTTTTCGGCACGGTATTTAATTGAGCACATTCCAATGTCAACAAGCGCACGGTACTAATTGAGGCAGATTTCTACGGCTCTAATTACCGCGGCAACGATTGGCGTGACTGTGATCTACGCTTTGATTGCCGTTGGCATCAAGACTGTTTTAGGTAGCTTTGGAGCTTCAGCCAGTCTTGGCGTTGAGACATTATCCACTGCCTGGCTGGCAGTGGCATTTTCAGTTGCCTGCCTATTGGTGTGGCTGGTTGAATTGTGCTGCGGCTGTTTTTGAATATGATGTGAATTAGTGAGAGGAAGGGGTTTCAAATACTGTAACCCAAGGAATGCGGCCCCTTGACTTGACGAGAATTAAGTAATAATTTCTGCCATGGAAGTCTCACCACACGTGCAAAAGCTACAGTAAAGCAGATCCGAGAGAAGCGTGTCAGAAAGTGAATGAGATATGAGGGGTGTCTAGGGTCATGGCATTCTAGGCCCGTAGGTGTTTTGGATAGATTACTTGCAGCTTCTATTGGGGATTGGGAGGAGCCACTATCTCGGCAAAGTGTAGCAACATATCGGCCTCATATTGCTCACGTATCAAATGGAGGTAGTTTGAACATTCTTAATGAAATATGTTCGCAACACGCGATGCCCCTGGCAAAAGACTGACTGCATGAAGATGCACCCCACGATAACAACGTCAATACTTTAAAGCACATTTCTCATCCGATGAAACACATAGGCGTTTGACTTTAGTCTCTGACTGATACAGTCGCCTCTTTGCTGTTCGTGGGCGTTGTGAAATTGGTCGACGTGCCAAGATAGACCGGTGAAAGTCAATGATCAACGCTCGCCTTAGCTCTTCGTTCCATAGAATGTTGCTAGGCCGAATATCTTCTTAAATTATCCCCAATGACCTGATTTCTGCCTCTGACTTATGGATTTCACGACGAGACCGCGGGATTAGATTGATGGCTGCTGTGCTCCTACCTCCCCAGCCCATCAGGAGCAAGTGGCGAATATCCTCAGCCCCATGAAGAAATAGTACCCAAGCAAATCGGAACAACAGAGCCCCGAGCTTCCGCAGGACATGGTATACCTCCGCCTCGCGAGAGACTTCGTCCCACGGACCAGATGTGGTCCCTTTTCCGACGACAGTGTAATCATATTTGGCACAAGTAAGTTTGAATGGCGCAGCATATTATTCTAAGGGTTCAAGGGGAACACGTCGATCGATATTCTCATCAATTTAAGCTCTAAGAGAACGCATGAGCCCCTCCAAGGTGAGAATGGTTTGGATCATCGGGATGCTGGTGGTGGAGCATCATGTTGGGAGAAGACCCGTCTAGACTGCTATTATCCCGTAGGCCGAAAAGGCATCGCTGAGTGCAAGATGGTGCATTATGGCGTCGGGCGTAGTTTCCTCGACTATTCCCAGCCTTCTCTTGACGAGTGGCCTGCTGGGGTGACGGGGAGGACATAGCTTCAACATAGCTCCGCTTGCGCCGCATCGCCTGGTTCGAGCCGGAACCCGACGATTCTGGTGAATTGTGACGTCTTCGGGCATCCGAGGGCGCGCAAGACCTGGTGGATACTCGACGACCTGCGCTTGGAAATCGCAATGGAGGGGTGGGGATGGTTGGTAAGACCTCCAGGAAAAATAAAAGAATGCTCGCAATGTGGCCCTTGAAAATTGCATGGATCTCAAGCAGATCCACAAAGACCAAGGTCCCGGATATTTTCGTCTTAGCGACATTGAGGTTTGATTGGGTGAAGCGACAAAGAGACGAACCGAACCGCCATATACTTTGTCCAGACGTTATGCAGTAATTAGAGAACGTCACCCATTCAATTCAAATTTTATTCAAGAGTCGCGATTCGAGCTTGTTCTAAGATGTTTATTTCCCTGTTCCTTTCATCACGGAGTGAAAAGTATTCCAACTCTCTTCAAGGGCTGGTTGTCCCCAGCCTATCATCCATTCTGACTGCAGTGCCTGTTGTGCTGTCGCTCTCTCTCCCGGCCGGAAGGTCAGCATTGGGCGAAGCATTGCCTCAAATGCCTTCCTCTCCCTCTCCGTCACGATCTCCAGGCCAGCCTCGGCCCGAGGCTCCTGTATGCAGTAGTCAAACCTCAAGTCCCAAGTTCTGCGCACGCCATCGTGGCCGCTAGACGTCTCTGGCTTCAGATCCAATTCTCCCTCTTCGTTAAACCATTCAAGTCTCCTTTGCCAATTTTCCCACCACTCGTGAGGTAAAATGCCAAGAACTTCGACTTGCTCCGCGGTGACACGATCAGCAGTTGGGCGAAAGGCGTCAAATAAAGGTCGCTGGCCAAAAACCTCCCAAATGGTACAGGCAAGTGTCCAAATGTCCGAGGGAAATGAGAGTGGCTTATCGGAGAATCGGGCCTCGGGGGGCTGAAAGAGAGGAAGTGTCTTCGAAGAAAACCTGGGGGTTTTATGGGGGTTGAAAGATTCTCCAAAATCGCTGAGGACGATTCTTTCTTCTCCAAATACAATATCATCGCTGTGGACGCCAAACCAACCAGGAATGAAGACATGTGCAGGTATTCCATTCGACAGTGCCATGCCATCAAGACGAACAACGGCCTCTGACTCTGGCTCTCCAAATTTCTCATATAGTTCTGAAGTGGAATATCGATCGATCGATTCAGGAAACTGGACAAGAATGTTACCCAGATGAAGGTCTTGGAATAAATGAGGTCAGCTATGCAATCCAGTTGAGTCCATTTATAAGCTTCACATACCGCCATGTACAATGTCTTCACTGTGTAGGAAGGCCACCCCACGAATGAGCTGAGCGATGATTGACTGCGCGACCTTAGGCTGGAAAAGACCGAAAGTCGAGGCCTCTTTGGCATCAAACAAGCTCATCTGTGCGGGCGGGGTGACGATGCACTTGTGCTTCCCATTATGGCCGGCAACCCAGAATTCATCGATGAGAGGTGGAATAATTTCTCTACCCGGTCTAGACGACGAGTTCCCAAGAGAATGCATAAGACTAGCCTCACGTGTGTACGAACTGGTCTCGGCGGTGAGAATCTTCACTGCCACGTATCTGGTCCTTCGTCTGTCACGGGCTAACCATATAGTCGAGTATCCTCCGTATCCAAGCTTGTTAACCAGTCGATATCGGCCGTCATCCAAGTCGTCCCCAACTTTCAAAGGATGATATCCTCCGGGACAGTACCTGTCCAGGTCTTCCACGTATTCAATAAGCTTGTACTGAGTCTTGCCAGCTCGTGTGATCGACGGTCGAGATCCGCTGAATCCATTTGTATCCCGGCTCATTTCATCGGCTTTCAAAGTGACATAGGTGGATATCGATGGCGTCTTTCGGACATGAGACTGGTTTATGACGAAGCTGCATGCCTGTTTATGAAGTCGTCGGGTATTGGTGCAAGTACGTGTGAACATCTGCGGAGGCAACATGCAGCGTTACGACCGACCGCGTCGCGTTGGTCACTCTCTGTCTGACTAATCAGCTTTGCCGAAAGTGTGAAATATCCTAGCCTAACTAGTGAAGTGGGGAACTGTCTGCGAACCAGCACGCCACTGTGAACCAACCCACTCTTGAGATCTAGTTCGGCCACAGGAGGTAGTAGGAAACAAGAAAGGAGGACCTAGAAGTGGCTTGTAGAAAGAAATATGGTCTGAGTTGCTTATCTCTGCACGCATCCGCTTATATAACTACATATCGGAACGTGGTCGTTACAGTACGGACTAGTACGGGCCTAGCCAATCAAGTCTTTGAGAGGGTGAATTGTGAAATACTATAGAATATGCAGAATAAATGTTAAGGGGGTTGAACTCAGTAAGGTCGTTAAGAGCCTTAAGATCATCAGGCATGTGAGGGTGCTGAATGTTCCTCGGGCGCACTAGTAAAATTGCGACCCTCTTTTGTCAACACTACACCATTAGTAATCCTACACCGCTTCCCATTCCTTCTCGTAGGATGAAAGATGAGCTCGAACATTTGCTTTTACAGTAATTTATTGCTACAAAAGCTCATTCTTCGGTCCAGGCTCATAGTTCGTGGTTGCTGTGGTCCATCGGTCACTAAGCGCCCGCCAAAGAATTTCTGCACAGCGGCCGTTTCAGGTGGCTCCTCCGCACCTGTGAAGTCTTTTGCAGCCAGCCAATCCCTTGAAACGGGCGTTTTTTAAACGTATTAATACGTGGAACCCTTAGCTAGATGTTTTATTCATCGACAGCGGTAATATGATTGACACAATTCGTTAGTCACTAGCGCCCTTGGCTGCATCCAAAACAAGCTCCCATCCTTGATCTATTTTACTGGTCGCATTGAGAGCAGGTGAAGGCCGATCCAAAGCTAGCTGAGCGCTAAATGGTGAATATATTAGTTCCTGAAAATTTGTTCTTGTTTGAACCATGAATTCCTGTCCTCGAAAGATATTTGCACCACCAATTTTACATCTTTATCTTCCTTTCACTCATCATGTCAACCGTTAACATGGTCAAGTATTATTTCTACAAGGGAAAAATGCCGAAGAATCCAAAAGATTTGCAGGACATGGTGGCTCTGGCATATCAAACTGCCAGGGACATGAAACTTTATCCGCGGGCAATATTGATCCGGTGAGAACTGAAAATTCCTGGTAATTTACTGTTACCTTTATGGTATAAGATAACTAATTTAATTTCATGTACAGGTCCAAACATCACAAAACTACCACGGTCAACGGAAAAACTGGAGAGGATCCGAAAGGCTGGCATTTAACATTTTGTTATAAGGACGATAATCAACTCACGAACAGAACACATACCGCATGCCATGGATACACGAAAGACGAGTCTTCCTGGGAGCTTCTTGAATCCACCCACGCCGGCGACAAACCAGATTCGGTGAAGCGCAGATACTCGAAGAGCGCCAGTGTCTGGCCAGGACTTGAAGAATTGGATGAAGCTCCAGAGATCGGGTATGGCCACTTTCTGTAAGGCTCATGTTGGCACAACGAATTTTTGCCTCCCGCAAATGATGGCCCATTTGATATTATCATGCTAAATCTACGCTTTTCTTGATATCCTGATTGGGAAAGTGATCGGAATATCATTGCTATTCTTGGAGGTCCAGTGGCCTTAACCAGTTGCTGTCATCCCCTAGGTCGGCGCTTTCTGCCAGTCACACACGATGTGGGTCCATTTCAAACTGGCATACCCATGAGAACATGAACGGCGGACGAGAAGGTGTCTCAATAATTAATCTTCACTTTGCGCTATATCTTCGTAATACATACAAATTGCTATTTCCAAGGGAGCTTTGGAGAACTTGCATTGGTGCATCTGAGCAACATCCACAAAGATAGAGTAATACAGCACAGGATGAGAAAGCTTGAATATCCTGCGAGCAGTCGACATGAGAGGTGCGAGCCAAGTTCGCAGTACCAGTAGTTCACTCCAGCAATAAATTCGACCATGGCAAAGTCAAGAAACACCAGCGGCAGCCACATGATTGAAGCCTCATATTGTTTTGGCGTGGAGAATTCATCGAAATAAAATTGAAGCATCGATGAGGTGACGCGTGAAATGACTGAGGTCAATATGGCACTGGAAAACAGCCATGGTGAAGTGTACTCATGTTGAGGTACATCTGGGCGCGATCTTTCAAGCAGGAGGAAAGCTGTCGAAAGGACAGCAATGCAATATGAAAGTTGGGAAAGGTTGTTGTTTAAGCTCTTTGCTTTCTCAGAAATCATGTGCATGTCAGGCAGAATGTCCCCTGCAGGTAAAATCTCAATAGCTGGAGATTTCTCAATACGTTGGTGCTGGTGTTCCATGTTGCCCTTCGTGTGTCAAGTTTAGCGGGCTATTATGCCGTTTTATACATTTATAGACCAAAGCATATAGTCTCGAAAGTAAAGTCAACCTTAAAGGGCATATATTTGTAAAATTTCAAATTTAATTGTGTCAATTAATACGAGAAGGCTGTGGTGTGGTGGCAGCGCAGATTGATGGAAATGAATTTCAGCTGATGATTACAGGGTCAGATAACTTTCATGGACGCTAATGGAGTTACATTATGCTATCCACTGCCTGAAAGCCTCCCATGTGTTTTTGGACTGATTCAAGAAGAATCAATAAAATCAGCGGATTGGTGGTTTTACAACTTTTCAAAACCCAAACAAAAGATCTCATGAATCAATTTGATTACCATTTCGATGTGTCGATTTTCACACTATCCACATTATTTGCCGCAGTGATTATATGACTTGTATTATTTATGATACTTGATTTATGCTCCAGGGATGCGAAGTATACAGCTCAAATTGGAGCATATTACTCTGCTGGGAGCACACTAGGATTCTTCCTTGTTTTTCGAGTCGTTCTCGGATCCATAATGGGAATTTACGTTCCCTGTGACCGACGATCGACTATACAACATGCCTTTGAAAAGCACCTCCAGTCCTTCAAGCGTTGATGTGAGGATTAAAACAGATTTTCCAAATTACTCGTTCAAACAAACCTCAAGGAAAGACCTCACAAAACCACACGGACACACCTCGGTATGGCGAATAACCCTGATCCGTCCATTGGAAGCATATTCTAGGCTACTGATGTTCTGTTCCAGGTTTAATTTTGTTCCACTGTGCAATATTAATGAGAATACATAACGCTAGCATTTATTTGTGGAGATCTCACCCCAGGTATTGGAGTAATCTCTATGAACTCTACTATACTAGTTACTAGACTGTAGTGTTCCTGGGAGCATAATCCGAAACTTCCATGATTCGAAACTTCTTGGAGTCCCAAAATAATACCATATATTTATTAATGTACTGTGAATATTGATTTTCATGATTCTTCTCTATTTTCATTTCACCATGTTCATTCCTGTTGTCGTCAATCAAATCATGGAGATGATGTTGATTCCAGCTTTACTGGCACGGCTCCTAAGCTATAATCGCACATCAAAAGACATGAAGTGGGAGCAGTATTTGGACGCTGCTCTTTCTATCACCAATATTTGCCTACTTATCATCTTGGCAGTTATAGAAAAAATAACGAATGATGGAAGATGTGAGAAAAGGTTCCAATTCTTACGTCATTTTGAAAGCTAACAATACATCAACGCAAAGACCAGCCCATTTTACTTTCCATTGTTGGTATATTTCCATTCTTATTCGAGGTTCGGTTCTCAAGATAGCTTTGATTGCAGCTAGCTCACTAAGTTACTAGTGTTTACAGATGAAAGTCCTCCTTAAACCGCCATGTGACATGCCTCAATATCTATGTACTGTGGTAGCAGCAGTCTCGAGCTCGACTAAATTGCTATTTTGTCTTCTGGGTATCCATAACGCATCATCTCTTGAATATGGCATATGCATTGTTGTTGTGATTGACTACATTTGCGTTTCAGCTGTGTACTTTGCACTTTTTCGGAAGGCAATACCAAATTATCATGGGCGGAAGAAATTGCGCAAGGGTATACTACGCACCTTTGCGATCGCTGTTACTCTAGTATGCGTCACTGTTCCCGGCATTGTCTACAAAAGGCTGGCGTTTATCATTCGGTGTAAGTGCAGACTTCAGAAACCTTTTGGCTCTTAGTGTGCTGCTTGATTGACTGAATAGTCTCAAATGTTGATATGCTTCTATTGGACAGTGCGCGACGTCGCGGGCCGCAATGTTGAAACATCAGTCAGCTTTCCGACTTGGCCCCAGAGCTATGTTAACTCTCTTTCATCTCTGAACGCGGCTTCTGTAGCCTACCATAGCACAATATATGAAATCGAAATGAGGCAACAGTCTTCCGCCTGAGCAGCAAGCTTGAAGCTAGTCAAATCACCGAGACAGCATATGGCAGTCTCTTTACGAACGTGGGCTTTGAAAGAGCATATAGATGGGACGGTTTTCTTTTGCTCTAATCACTGAAATGGTGTTTGTGGCTTTTCTTTCAAGAAATGCTATAAGGGTGCTTCACTGACCAAACAATGAATCTTAGAAGGCTGTATAAACGTCTGGCCTTTGCGAGTATTGGCCAGTATAAGAATTATAATGGAATTTCACTTTTAAAATTCAAACCAGCCACTCCTTCGGGTGCAAATGCTCTAGATAAGAAATAAGATTACTATTGCTCGCTAACAAGCATGGTGTCGTTGAAGAACACACTTACATTTGTACCTGCGTGAATTCAGTATGCTAACTTGGGGCTGGTCTTTTTGTTGCCGTACTCACGGCGTGTCACTACTTTTAAAAAAAGATTGCGGAGACATGTGAACGGATAATATTATATTCAAGCTCCTGATCTTTGCTAGCCTCAAGATCAATCAATGGTGTATTCTTTTAGCTTCCCAATTGAGCGCCTGCAGTCGGAGGCTCAAATCTTCTCATTCAGTAAGCTCCCAGTGAACACAGATGCTTTGACTGTATCTCTTCCGTATAGCATGTCCTAAGTGAACAGGCTGCCCTCTGGTTCTTTCGGTCTTCACGAGGTCATTGAGTCTCAGGTTTCATCGTTAAAATTGCTCTCACCCACTGGAAATAAGGACGGTCCACACTGACTATTCGTCGCGATAGTGGTGTCGTATTGTATATCGCGTACTGGCATGTACTCATTGTGATCTTCTTGGGAGCTTTTGCGATCGCAGTGTCCCAAATCATCATGGTCCGATTTGTACTGAGCATCATCTTGTGCTCAGCGTTCGGTCGCCACATACTATCAAGGTGAACTGGAGCATGAGCGGGTAATTTCGCGTCCACTTCAAGTTGTCGAGCAATTTCGTTCCTTGTATATAACCAAGCATAGACGATAACATAGCGTCCGTCCGATAAGCGACGAAGATCGGACACCTTAGCGTAATCCATACCTTTTGGACCAATGTCGACGATCACAATATCGCCGCGGTGGATTGTCCACCGTGGAAGGTGTGCTGAGGAAACAACAGAGAGGCTTTCCCATGCAGCTGCTCTATCCACCAGGATTGGCCGGAGCTGTGCGGCGCCATCCCCAGTGACTTGATATAAGATCTGAGCAGAAGGCGCATGCGCGACCTTGACACTGGCTGTATTCACCTTTCTCTTTTCTCTCCGTTTCATCTTTTTGTTCTCTGCAGAAGTTTTCTCTTCTTCCTGCCAAATAAAATGTCAGCGACAAATTTTCACGGTGCTCTCTTCGCTTAGATTGTGGCATATTTGCAGTGGTTGGCTTACTTCGGGAGTTTGTGGGCCATCTTTCCGGAGTTCCGCTTGTATATTGTTAAAATACCTTCAATAAGACTGCATAAATGGCACGTATTCTTACAAGGCTTATTCAAAATGGCACTGATGCTCATGGGATTGACCGGCATCATGCTTGGGAAGCTTGAGGTATTCTTGTACTCTCTTTCTGAGCAGGAATAATGTGGGCAACCGCTTAACGGAGAAGCCGAGGGGACGTTTGCAAAAAGCCTTTTTATAAGTGTCCGACTCTTAGGACCATCAATGGGCTTGCACTCATTTTTCAGGCCACATTGAAGTTGAAAAATTTAGTAGTACTCCGCTATGGTGGAACACGACGACTCGGAGTGTCATTGATTCCAGGCCTCCAAACTGTATTGATCTGGAATAAGATAATAGCCATGTTGAAAGGACACACTCCCACGCCATGCATTGCTTGACAAGTGCTTGATTGAGCATATAACTTTTACTACCACGCTCCAAATTACATTGATGTCGTAGATATCCAGCTTGGTTGCGAGTAGACTTGAACCTCTCTGATCACGTAACCAGACAACCAATCGCGTCTTCTCCTCGGTGTAACAATCTGTTTATTCTTTTTGTTGTAACTCAAAGGAAGATTGATTATTTTTCTATTGAGAGGGAAATATGAGGCTATATGTACAGCGAGAGGGTCAAGTTGATGATTCTTCGTATAGATACTTTGGGATTAATTCCGATGCTTGGCTTGGTTCCTGATCTGCACCAGCCTCACGTCACAACACTTTTTCTTCCCTGCCACGCAAGATACCGTGCGCTGACTGATATCCATGAGTCGTAATTATTATCTAATCCATATAGTCATCCACAATTCTGACAGAATATCTCTAAACACGTAATCAAGCCCGAAAAGCATGTACCAATGGTATGAGTCATGTATATGTCCTTGTCTCTTTATTCTCTGGCTCCGCCACCGCAGTTTAATTAACATGTGGCATGTTGACGGATAAAACGGATCACATGATGAATTGTTCCAACAGAATCTGTCGGACACAGAAGCAGGTAAAATTGTGCAAACTTTCCCCTTTCCACCTTCGTATCGATCAAGTCATTCAAGCAACTGAATTAAAGCAAGTTTGACTGTTTTGAGGGGAACTTCAGTGCACATTTGACTTCCCGTAATTTGTGTTGGTGCGCAGCGGCGACAAGGAAGTAGTCAACGTAAACACAGACAATGCGGTCAAATCCATCAAATCCATCAAATCCATCAAATCCATCAAATCCATCAAATCCATCAAATCCATCAAATCCATCAAATCCATCAAATCCATCAAATCCATCAAATCCATCAAATCCATCAAATCAATCAAATCCATCAAATCAATCCTCAGCCCCAGTATCAGGTGACCATAGGCGCTAAGCGTACTACTGTTATCGCAAGGTAAGCATCCGATCATCTAGCAGCTAGCAGCGGCGCTCCGTCTATCATGCGACCGGCATGCTCCCTCTATTCGCTACACAACCCCCTTACTTGCCCCTTTCTTACTACTAGCGTCTGACCTAAGTCACTTTACAAAAACATGTCGCTATCCTGACTTTCTGCTAACCACCCTTTACGTCCTTCGCATTAATACTAAAGGTAGGGTTGGGTTTCAAGGTCTGTGGCGATCGAGAAAGTGTAATTCATGTCCTTCTGGATTGTCCCAACCCGAGGATTTTGCGGCGGGAGCTACAGCGAAGAGTAGGTGAGGCATTCAATAGTGTGGCAGTTCTGTTGGATGGTTGCAAGGCAGGCGACAAAGGTAATATCAACAATGTCTCCCGAGCCAAGACAGTGGATGCTGTGGTGGACTTTGCGGAGGCGTCACAACGGTTTCGAAGTCGGACGCCAAGCGGGCAGCCTAATAACGAGAACGGCAACTAGGTTACAGGCCTCGGCGGGGCTCTAAGTTCGTTCAGGAAGTGATACATTCAAATTGTACGTACACAGATTTATATAATTGTGGTAGGATGTCTATCGCTTAGCGAGTGGATTATAAACCTCATCCACTAGCTGAAAACGGATTCGTTCTTGGCCTGGTAGTCAAAGCTACATAACCCTTTCCCCAATTCGAGCTTATAAATTGCCTGAAACTTTCCTAAAAATTGCCGGACCGTGATGGGCGTTTCCACCGCCTTTCCGAGCTTTCGTAAGCACACCATTTTTGTCAAGGGTCGGCACGAAGCGCAGCGCGGCCCGCACCACACCAGATCGGGAGTTCCCGCTCTTTCCCCTACACTTCAGAATTCATCCGGAGGATAGATCTGCGAATCAGAGACTCTGCCAAATGTTCAAGAATTACTACCCTTAGTACCGATGACTCCTGCTGGTGTGGATTTGCAAATGACGTATTGTCTAAGGGATTAGCCGATTACGGACATTCCGCAAACAGAGGAAATGGAAACTGAGGTTGTAGCCTAACTGACCCGTTCCAAATAGATTCACAATGGTATTTTTCTGTTTTCGGAAAGTTAATACAGCTGTCGAAAATTTTCCTTTTCCTTTTTCTCGCGTTCCTTCCAGTTGCTGAAAGCCTCACTGAATATTCTGAGGTGTAAAACTGATTTGAGCTATAGGACAGTCCTTCAGAAAGTTAAGCTCGTCGAATCTACGACGTATCCTGTTCTCAAATATGCACGCTTCAAGGGATCATAACAAACAAAATCTGGAGCTTGTATGAAATAAGACGAGATATTATTGTCACTTCATGCTTTATCGAAGTCAGTCGTGAGGTGACTGCCATGACCGTCTAAAATAAGCAATCAATATCGACCAGAACTATGACCAGTAGTTGCAGGAATAAAGGCTGGTCTTGCGCCTCAGCCCTTCGAGGCACCAAATGCGCTCCACCGAAGTTCTAACTGTGGTATAGATGCGGACAACAGTTTGGTGGTGAACTACGTCAGGTGTGCGCGTGAAATTGTATTATATCATGACTAGCTCAGAGTTCTATAATAAAATATGGGGAGTAGAATTATCAGAGCTGGAGATATGGTACTACTGTAGTAAAATACTCACTGCTGGCCGAAATTTGTGTAATGTACTGCTAGAATACCTTTAAGTAGAATTCTTGCCTAGCACTTATCATACAGCTTTAGTATACGTACCACCAAAGGCGGCCCTGCATTCTATTCTTGAATCTCTTTCTGGCAATGACTACTCTCATACGGTTGGATGTGAGATTCAGGCTCTTGGTAAGTCAGGAAGGCCGAGAGAGTGACTTTCGGAACATCTTTCCGTTACCTAACCTTCACAGAGTTACATCAAAAAAGAGAACATACAATAGCACTAACTTTTTAAGGGTACATCAGTATCTCGAGATTTTAACCGTATTGCCGATCCCAGCAAGATTAAGTCATCCCATTGCTACCAACAAAGTAGTAGAGTTACCGTCATCCATGGCAGTTGGCTGGCGGAGCAAACCATTTTCCAGGTTCGTCCAAGCGAGGCACACGAGTTTTGTGGGCTCCCTTTCCATAGATGATTGTTCGATATTTTCCCCCAGTGGGACTGAGAGCAAGTCTCGCCACATTGTCTTTGCAATTTGCTCCAGCCGTAACATCAACTGCCACCATGGGAGCATAGATCTCGACATCCACGAACAGGGTTGAGCCCCTCAGTGAATGTTGAAACTTCAAATGATTAGGGGCCAGTGATGTGGCTTCCCAGCCATCGGATACACTGGTGGCTTTGATGTTTATGCCAGGTGGAGCATCGACTTTGAGTTCAGCCTGATCAAATTCCGAAACCATGTCAATCGCAGAGAACACTCCCTTGAGCTTCCGGAATTTCGAGAGATACTCAGTTGCTTGTATAAGGCGCAACGATTGATCTTTCAGCTCAGGAACCCGGCTGCCCTTGAGAAATTGGCCAATGCTTTGCACTTCCATATTGACTATCGCGTCATCCTCGGCGTTCCTCCGGCTACCCTGCCACGCAATGAACTTGTCCTTATCAGTTGGGTCCTGTGCTAGGTTTCCGTTGTTCGCAGGGTTGCCCCCGAGGACTTTGCACTGGTATCGACGGGTGTTGCGATACTCGTCGTACTCAAGCTGGTTGGTAATTTTTGCCTCAGCGGATACTATGCCCTTATATTCAAAATTGATATTTGCTGCAAAGGCCGTTTTTCTCTCCTCTTTCATATTTTCTTTCTCAATGCAGAGCTGGTATCGTGTTCCAGCTGTGCATCTGACAATTAGGTGAGTCCCCCAATCCTCGAAAAAGCTAGAGTACTTCTCGAAACTTGTGTTAGGGTCCCATTGTGGGAGGCCTCGAATGTCTTCGGTCAAATTCTGATTAAGAAACTCATTCGTGGCCGCATCAGCCAAAAATGCATGGTAAGTCTCCTGGTTGAAGCTGTACATTCCATACAGGCTGTCAACTTTGAATACTCGCCCATAATCATATTGCGCTGACGCTGACGCGCTGACACCGGCATATTGAGCCGTTAGGGATGCCTCGGCAGTGAACCGGTGTGCCATCTTTGTGCCTGATTCACAGATCAGGGAATTCGCTTGTCCGCTGGACCCCATACCCTTCGAAAATCGAACATTTATGGGCACGCGGTATTCTTTTTGGGATCCTGGGATCTGCACAATAGTCCCGTCATTTCCCATCTTCACGATAGTCTTTCTGGAACTGCTCGTAGCGCTTCGAATATCAAAGGGATCGACACCTTCCGAACTTTAGTCTTTTGACAGACGTGGTTGCCTTTGTTCAAACTCACCATCTTTAAACATATTGACGGCGCCGCCTAGTACATCACATACTGGTAGAATGTGGACAGTTGCCATGTTGAGTTTCCAGTCAAGCTATGCTATACTGGTGTGACATGTGAATGATAGGAAGATAATGGGGATAAAACTAGTAGGCCACCGAATTTATAGGGTAAGCGCCAGGGTTCCTACGCACTATGCGTGTACTGTTTTGATTGACAAGTCATCAGTTGATAGAGTGAGTAAATGACATCAATCAACAACCTTTTGGCGGGGCTAGGGAGAAGGTTACATTAATATCATCATCCTTTGGTTATATCCCGGTTTTCTAGTTGTATTATTAGTGCCATGAAGTCATTCGACGTCAGCTTAAACTTCCTTCCAACAGCTGCGTGCTCTGCTGACATTATTTACGAAAGATCATTTAGGGGCGAATGAGCAGTTAGTAGGACGAAAACAGTCAAATTAAGTGCAACCAGTTACACCCAGTCTTTATCTCCTAATCTCAACGTTGCATGCGGGAGACACTGACCAGTAACATCTCAAGCATACTTCCGAGGATGCCTTATTCCCTAGTATATTACATCAATACCGGCCAGTGGTGAGTATTCTGCTATAGTGGTACCAGTTCCCTGGCTCTAATAACGCTATATGAATTCCTCTCGGCGTTTGTCATAGACATCTGAGCTAGTCATGACATAATATATGATGCTTTTATCCGTACTCATACTCAGGTCTGGATGGAGAAGGTTATAAAGCTGTACAGTGTTCCACCAGATTTCAATTCTAACATTATCTTTCACAAACAACCAATCTTTACAACAGAAATATTTACTTTGCTTTTCACCTAACCAAAATGGTCTACTCGCAATGGGTGGTAGTCGAGGTCTACAACAAGTTCAGACATTCGGATATCACTATCAAAGAGGCAACGATCGACTAGTAAGTTTTTTGATAAGTATCCTACAGATGCTGATACAGCTCTAATGATGCCAGTGGTAAATACCATGAGAATGGTAACAAGGATAACAATCTCGAGCCTGAAGACATCAACGGAATTGTTATCAAGCCCGGAAAAGTTGGATATGTTTCTGCTTGTGGCAAGGCTGAGATACACTACGGGACCGATGGCACCTTTGCTTTATTTGATGGAAGCACCAAGATCTGCAAGCTCTTCTTTGACGTTCCATACCACAAATCAACCAATGACTTCCAAGTGAAGGATCGTAATGATGATTATGCGGTCTCCGTCTCTGAGTGGAATCGTGAGGGGGGTGCCTTGGGCAATGTCCGAGTTAATGTTGGAAAGTTCGGCTGATTTAGTGTTTTGTCGGCGCACAGAGCGGTAACTTACCACCAGAAAGAGATGGATCACATCAGGAAAGACATTCTTTTGTGTTTGTATTTAATACTTCTGAGGGTTAGGGAGAAGAGACTGTGATCAGCTATTGAGTATCAATTAGCACAGAACATATTGCGTTTCAGCCGCTACGCGCTGAGTCTCAAATTGGAGTCAGAGCAACTCATAAATATAACCCTTGGGGCAACATTTAGTCAGCGTTAAATGTCCACAGGGCGCCTTGCCACACCAAGCTGCGGTATTCACAGTTGTAAATGACAAAATAAAAATAGCTTCTGTATCAAGATTGTATAGTCCGGGTTGCTTCTAGCACTGGTACAGTGACTCCTCTCAAAGCTGGGGGCCTCAAAAAAGAGGTAGTCGAAAACCCGGCGTGTCATGTAAATATCTGATTCTCACAAGGACGCGCATTTGAGGTAAATGGACATTGATAATTTGCATGGACGCTAAGGGAGCAACATTATGCTATCCCCTGCCTGGAAGCCCCTCGTGTGCTTTTGGACCGATTCGAGAAGAATCAACAGAATCAGCGGATTGGTGAGCTTACAACTTTCCAAAACCGGAACGAAAGATCTCATGATTCAATTCAATGACCATTTTGATGTGTCGATATTCAATCTGCTTATGACTAGGCTTCACATGCAGTATCTTTGTAATTCAGAGAAGTCAAATCCGTGCTATAAATTTGAACCGACCCCATATGTATATAGTTCTTTCATGCAGGGTATGAACATCTCTCCTGAGTGTTTAATTTAATTTGGTTGAAAATAACGAAAGGATGATACAAAGCGGGCATCAGGTTTTTCTCCGTGGGCTATGAACTTGGATAACAACTTATCACGGTGAATTAACGGCCCCGCTTACTAAAACTTAAATAATTGGAGCTACAGCAAAAAGCATTTATGGGCCTAATTCGAAAGGACAAAGAGCCGTTGTTTCTCATAGGAATAGAATATTTTTGCTGACAGTAAGACTGACCGAGCAAGCAGAACTAGCTCACCCAATGAATGGTGATACTTTTTCATAATGAATCCTAGAAGTTTCAGTCTCATTTCACTCCGAATCCATATGACACTAGAGCCTCTTACTGTTTTCAGAGATTCGATGGAATTTGTTGCCGAAATAGCAGATAGGAACCCGAACGCATGCGATTCAACTGGCCAACGACTCAAGTCATCGACCCCTATGATTCCGTCATCTTTCACGTACTTTTGCATAAGCTCCATGATGATAGAGCCTAATGATTTTACGTGTTGCCTTTGTCTTTGACTTGAAGAGCTTGCCACACAAGACTCCAAACTAGCTACACAGAGTCATCGTCATCGTTATATTGATACCAATTTTTACCCACCGATCTTTACCACCCCATCGAGACCCCACAGAATATTCTGGCATGATAGTGATTGATGCTCGAATCCAAGCTGGTTCAAGTAGCATAGCCCACTCAGAATCTGTCATCGTCAGCAAATCCGAACAACTGAAGAGGTACCTTCACATATACGTGCCAAACCATTAAAGCTAATTCAATATCCGTCGGATACAAGAATCGGCACCCAACCAGGTGCCCCAGTGTGAGGGGAAGATCATCAACAAGAGCATACATTGAATCGCACTCTTCATAAAACGACTGCGCTGAAAGGATGTTGGTATGGCTAAATTTAGTATACGAAACACATCAACTTTCCTCAACCATTCCAGGCTTGTCGCTTGAGTGATGATTGAATGCGTCTTGATGCTTGTCACATAGTATGATTGTAGGCCACAGTATCTCTTGATTGTTGGAGTCTTCAAAATTGAAGTTTGAGGCCAGTGACTGGAATGGATAGCCATCGCAGCCAACCACAAAACTAGGAGACAAATGCATGTTACCCAGATTCCTTTCATTAGAAAAGGCTCAGTCTCATTCTAGCAAGTATGACCTTGAATTTTATTGTGATATAAAGCTGGTGCAGATTACGAAAACAAATTAAAATCATCGGAGTAACTTTCCGTGATATCTACTATCAATCCAAGTTGATTGAAAATAGATTTCTCGCCATGCATGCTATGTGGTCTCATCAAATATTGATTCCCACGTTCGATTTTAGCGCTAAAACCGTAAACGTAAGCTGTATCGATGCACATTCATCGTAGCAAATGCGCAAGTACGATAGAGTCCGCATATTTTTCACGGGCAGCAGTAGATATATATCCCCTTCCCATGGTCCCAACCCACCAAGGCTCTACTAGCAATTTGCCTGAAATTGATTCCAAATCATGGACTTCTCTGGGGTTGCTTTACCTATTGTATCATGTAAGAGGTCCGAACTATGGAGACACATCTCCGCATGGAGGATGATGTGATATAAAGTACCGCTGACCAGAGAACTTCGAATGAAATCTGTCTCATTATCCTCCATGTTATTATCAAACGGCTACTTCTGAACTCATGTGTCGATTTGATGTTATGAGGCATATATCGAAGAGAATGTCAAGCCTTTCGTATGAGCGCATTTGTCCATTCTCTGGACGGGATCGAAGGCTTGAAGATTTTGCAACAGATATGTCGTAATAGCTCTTCGACAGTATGACCACCCAAGAAGGGGGATTCTTTCCATTCATTTCGTCTGGGAAATGATCACGACATTTTGATGCTTCGTGGATGGCGTGGAAATTCAACCATCTGGGATGAATCTTAAGAATGCGCGTTTCATCATCAAAGAAGCGATCCACACCGGTCTTGTTCACTTGAACAAACTGCACAGCGATTGAAGCTAAGTTGAGGATTGAGAGCAGGCAGGCATTGATGGATCTTTTGATGTTTTGAGAGAAGATTACGGGCAACGACAGATCTCTGCCACTTTAAACTGCTCAATTTGTTCTTCCTCTGGTGTGCGGAGCGCATGAATGATTCGAAGCAGATTCCAAAGCATACTGAGAAGCCTCAATGGCTCTTTTCCCAGTGCTTCTCAAATCATTGATACACTCTGACCTGCCTGTTAGCTTCGATACGAAAAAATCTTTGTTGCTGTGATTGACACACCTGGGCGTGTGAACTTCCACTGTAAAACCATCTTGTATCTCCCGCTTCACGCAAAAGGTGCCGCCAAATCAGTGCTTTAGTGGAATTGTTGAGGAGAACGTCTGCTGATGCAACATCAGGCGATTCGGGGAAATTCCGGAGAAGATCTAAGTATAATGGAAGCACAGTTTCCTCATGCATCTCTATCGCAGCTTCCCAGGACTTTGTCACAGCATCCGCTTACTCTGATTTGTCAATCAGAATTTATCTATCTCTATTGATCTTTCCTCGCGTAAAAAAAAAAAAAAAAAAATTGTAGCAGAATCTGTACAGCTTCAAATTAGAAAAAACAGCCGGCAAGAATATTCCGCTCAGGTATAGCCTATTGGAAAGGTCTGCATCCAACACTAGGTCTCCCGCATCAGTCTCAATGGTATGAGACGGATAGGATAATCTGCGATTTTCAAGTGAGATCTTGGTGCATGTCCGAAATGTCTCATATACTTCGGAATTCGATTTAATTTAATTTTAATTTTTTAAAAAGTTGTCGGCTATCTTTCTGTAGTTCCGCTGGTATCTTGTTAGAATAACATGAGCAATGCATCATGCTCAGCACGTGCGCTTAAAAACTTGTTCAGAATGGCGCTGATGCTCATGGGGCTGACTGACAACCTGTATGGAAAGTTCGAGGTTTCCATGTAGTTTCTTCCTGGCCATGTAGATTGTATCCAACGTTTAATGCTGAAGTAAAGAGGACTTTTGCAGATGACTTTCTATGAACTTCCGACCCTCTAAGCTATGAATGATCTTGCAACTATCTGCCACTCCGCATTCAAGTCGAAAAGCGTAGTAACGAAACGCGAGCGCTCGGAGAGTCATTGATTCCAGGTCTCCCACATGAATTGATCATTTATCTTGGGAGAAATCACCCACGGACAAATGGTCACATTCCTACACCAAAAACTGTTTCACGACTCCACAATTGATTGATAAATACATGGTAGGTAATGGGAGTTGCCAGCAGATGTCCCTCACCATACAGAGCCTCAGTCCATATGAGAATGAGAATTGCACTGGTTCGATTGATTGAGAAATGAAGTGATGAAATTCAGGGTTCCAGTGATGAAATTGAATTAATCGCTTAAATTGTTCCATCTGACTTCTAGGCAAAGTGCCATGAAAGTAAGGTGGAATGTATATCCCTGGAACAAGTCAATGACCCAGGGGAAAGAGATAATCAGGCTTGCTTTCTGCTTTTTCAAATCATTGTCAGTCTGAAAAGGCGCGCTTTCCGAAGCGATCATAGCCAGAATTTGAGGCCATGATTTTATTAGATCCATGAGTCTCCTTAGCCACGCCAAGCCAGCCTACTGAGCATAAAATGTCCTTCCTCGGAATAGATTGGATAATAACATGGATTCATCCAAAAAATAAACAGTTTAAAGAGTCATTTTGCCATCGTAATCAATCGGCCAAATAAAGTTGTCAAGAAGGATGCTTAAATACTAATTCCTAAGGAGCCATAGAAATTTCCATGCTTTTTTCCAAAATCTTGGAATTTATTAGAGACGACCAGATACGAGGAAACTTTCGTGACAGTACCAAACATGTTTATTCGATTCATGTAAACAAACTTCGCGGTCAGATTGTGGCTTGTTGTAATATATCGTGGCTGTGTATAATTACAATACGTAGCTTTCGATACCATAGGAGATCAATCGTTAGACATGCGCCTCAAACTGTTATTGCATGGGAGATGAAAAAAAAAAAAAAATAGTGCGTCAAGACTGAGACTCCAATGCTGTTCCACAAACGATAAATTCTTTGTACACAGAAAGACTTTTGATTGAAAATGCCTTTTCAAGCACAAAAGCTCCGCCTTTGTCTCACGAACTCCCCAGGTCTTCGTATTAGATGAAAATAGAGGCACTTCAAGTACACCAGCTTGAAAAATTTAGTTTACCGTATACAAAAAAGCACAAAAGGAATACTCACAATCAAAATCAAAGACCCGGTCATTTGAGATCTGTATCTTGTAGCTCCTTTGATGAATAGACAACGGCGCCAGAAGGAAATGTCTTTCTTGCAATTGCAGGCTTTAGTCATAGAAGTGTTCTTCCTCTGTCATGCACTTCACTTTCCGCTGAGTAGAAGCCAGCGTGCCGCATTGAGCCAGATCACTGCTTGCGAGGGCTTCTGCGACAATATCCTCACATCTGCGTTGCATCAATTTAGCTCCGAATTGTATTGCGACTCGCAAACTCTCAGAATCATTACGAGGCGCATTGAAATAATCGGAAAGTTGCTGCAAAAATATTATCATGTCGTTGATAACCTCCACGTTAACCACAACCTGGTCCTTTCGAATTCTCTTTCGCCCCGCTTTAATCCAGGTGTCTAATTCGAGCTTGGAGCAGCGGTACGGCTTGTTCGATTTTATCGGGACATCTTCACGGCTGACATCAAGAAGACTTCGTTTTTCACGATGGTCATTTGGTGGCGTCGACTCCCTAGAAGTCGCCACCTCCGTGGGTACAGGCGAAGTAGCTGCAGCAGGCCCAGGGGCGCACGGAGTATATGACAGACGGTTGGTCTTGTATTGGCGGTGATCTTTGGGAGCCACGGAATCGAGCTCATCAAGGTGCAAACGCGTACTTTGGAAAGGTTTGAGTTCTTCTAGTAGAGAATTAGATCAAAGCAACGACAGTCGGGTGAAAAGATAAAGAGGTGATTAACCCACCATCACGAGCTTTGTTGTTCAGAGGGTAGAAATCAAAGGTCGAGGGTTTCCTCGAAAGAGTCGACTGAGTGCATCGGTCTGAATCCATAGTACTTCAGAATCCAGAGAAGATTCGGACGCCCGGAACAGAAGTATTTTTTGGCCTTCATATCGAGGAAGACGAACCTTCTTAAATAATACTTTGGTTCTCCCATACAGCAGGTCCTCAATTGATGGTCAAGAAGCAAAAAGTAGTTAAGGTGCGCCAATGCATGATTGTTTGGTGTGGCACATACTGGGCTCCTGGGACCGGTACGTGGCAAATTTCAATTCCATTTTTAATTGCGGTCGATACTTTGTTCCCGGGAACTGGAAAAACCCTAACACGCCTGAGCGAACGACAATGATTCCTAGGAGCATTTACGAAGATCAGAGAGGTGATACTTGAGGGTAGCGAGAACAGATTGGCAGAGCTGAGTGTTCCTGGGAGCAAAGTGCGAGATGGAAGCTGATAGGCCAAAATTTGCTACCCGTTCTTTTTGATCACGTAGTTCATTGTCAAATGAGCAGAGTACGTAGTCAAGTGGGCATGGCCATATGCTTTTGAGTGGGATGATGAAATTCTTGTTTTGAGCGAGTGGGGCCTTGCGGCAGCGTAGTGAAATTCGTTTTATTGGGGTAGCAGACGCATGTGATTGGCCTCCTTGGAGTGCGCTCAGTGACAAATCACATTACTGCGCAGGCTCAGTGAGCCGGGCCTGAGCAAACTGATCGGCTCACTGAGCATGAGCAAGGCTTATGTAAGACTCACTGATCCGATCACTGAGCCGGAGGCCGTGCTCAGATCTGCTCAGTGAGTAAAAGCGGCGAGGGGGTGAGCACTAATCCGGAAAAGGAAGCCAAAAATTGTCAAAGGAAATCCGGTACCTAGGTCATGTTAGGACCAGCCGGACCGGGCCAAGTGATCAGTGATGCTTCTTCATTGGCATTGGCACCTTCAATGGCAGGCTGAAGATAGTCAGGACATACTAATCAGATAAATCCCTTTGGGGGGGTTGCTGACCAGCTTGTTATATTTTCCAGCGAGGGTACGCTCGGTATAGTTCCCAAATTTGGTGATATTGTCGACCACAGTCGTCCATTTCAACTGCCCGGTACTGTGATTCAAGTTGTAATGCTCATAAAGATCGATAATCTTCTTCCAGTGCACTTTCTGCAAGCATTTGAACTCATCCTGGGCGGAAACATTCACGCATCCAAAATGCTCCGCCACAAAGGTAAAATTGCTATGATCCAGATCAGTGTTGACGCCAGTAGCCAAGGCATTGCCCGAGTGCATGATAAATCCGGATACAATAGGATCATCAGCATAGGCGTAGTTATAAAAGTCGGAGCTGGCCGCACCAGAGCTCTGACCCCACATCACCATGCGTGAGGTATCACCTCCAAAGCCTGCAATATTGTCTCGAACCCATGCCACGGCCAGTCTCTGGTCTAAAAGTCCTATGTTAAGATTTTCACCAGCCTCCGCCAGTGCCCGGGAATTAGGAAAGCCAAAGATGTTATTCCGGTAACTGTCCATAATTAGACTGATTTCAGGAAAAGCTCCAGGGTATACAAGGCAGGGACATACTTGAGTGCAACAACGATATGAGACTCTGTTCTCTAAATCCAATTACTCGGATCGAACGCGTTGGTCAACAGACCTCCCTCATAAAAACCACCCCCAAAGATCCAAATCAACACAGGAAGAGGGTCTTTGCTTCTCTTCAATGGGGTTCACACATTCAGCGTCAAACAGTCTTCATCAACTGTACCGTAAGGCTGCAACCATGGGGCATCGTACGTATAGACGGAAGGAGAGTTCTGTTTATTCAGAAGGTACTGCGGACATGAAGGACCGGTCTCGTGGGCGTATATCGCCGGTCCCGGAGACTTTGGCTGCGGAGGTCTGAACCGTAGACTTCCCACAGGGGGCTCTGCAAAGGGGATGCCAAGGTATTGGGCTATCCTTGGAGTCGTACTGTTTATCATGCCATGTACACGACCACTAGTACTCTCCACTTGGAGAAAATCAACCGCACGGCTGAATCCGCCCTGGCCACCAAGGGCCAATAGTAGCAAATATTGCGACAAAAGCATCATTCCAACAAATGAAGAACCATGGACAAAGAAATCCGTGAGCTTACAGCCATTCTGTGGCTCATATGGCCCATTTATACAGGTCACTCTCCAAATACAAACATTCGACTACGGTACAAGGTACAAGCCAAGATACGTGTGGGGATGCGGAGACTAGATTGTTTAGGTCCAGATCGCTCTTCCGTTTCCCGACTAAGACGCACTAGTCCTAGCTGGTTCATTTTGACCTCATGGAAAACGTGGGGACGTGGATATTCGTGGGGGTCTTCGCGGGTTCTGGGGATAAGTCGTATGTGATCTGCATGCAATCAGTATGCAGCGAACCCGAATACATAGCTTAAGTATCACGGAATAGGTTCTGAGCTACCCAGAAACTATGCTCATTCGCCATTACTACTGGTAGCAATCATATGACTGTTTCCAGGTAGGTACATCAGACCTCCGGAATGTGCTTGCACGTGGTATAGGAGATGTCTACAGAATGATGGAAAGTAGGCTCAGAGTTAAGGTCTACGAATATAGCAGCCTTCATGAAGGAACATCTTTCACCACGACTTCCAAACCCCATCTAGCAGACTGTCTTTATCTGTATTTGACCAGCCAGGCCCCCTACTCAACAACCGATGCGCGCCAAACCTTGATTTATCGCTTATGAGAAACAATATTCAAAGACATTGCGCTTGTGAGCCTTCTTCGGCCTACTGAAGCCCTCATAAAAATCAGCCGGGTGAAGTCCGAGGGCATAGAAGAGCATTCCTTCACGCGCGATGGATGGCAATGCGATGGTTGATTCTTGCTCAAGATACCACGGCCTTGCCTAATCTGTTCAAAGAAAACGTCGCAATGGGGGTCCTTGATGACGTAGATATGGAGCTGGTTGTTTTGCAAGCTGTGACAGGACAGAATCTTCCACGAGAAACATACTGGCATATTCGAGGGACTAGAAGAGTCGGAGTCTGTAAAGAAGATGTCCAGATGGTCTGTGATTGTGTATGGAAAGGAGTCTCGGTTCTATGCACTCGAATTAGACCTAATCCCGTCAGTTGATGTCGTGAACTGGGACTTCTAGCTAGAGCTGGAGTCAGCTTAAATGAGGGAGCGCATTCATGCATAAGATCATGAACAATTTTGAAACAGAAACAGAAATCCAGGATGAAACAAACATGTTTATACTTCTGCTTACCTAATCTCCGGTCGCAGTGGACCACTCGTGCCGCTTCGGGAGCTTTGTTTATGTATTGCCCCGCGGTTTAACGTCGATTTCTTTGCTTTGTTCGTTTATATTATCTTTCGCTGGAGCATTCAATCTAATACCTCCAGCATTCCATAGGGTGCGTTCTCTCCACGCCCCCTAGCGGCACGCGTGCCGAGATTCCACCACTTCGAGTCCTCCCGTCATGTCAATCACGTCGCGCAGCCAAAGCTCCTCCCCAGATATTCTCGGCCCTCCAGGAGACGCCGACTACTTGATCTCCTCTCCGATTAAACCATTTACCGGTCGCCAAAGCTGGATGTCTCCCGCCATAATAAAACGTCAGCAAACACCGGCCAAGCGACCGCGCGCGAGCCTCAGCCCGGGGAAGAGTGCGCATTCGATCCGCTTCAATGATTTCTTGCTTCCTGGTTCGCCGAGCAGGAAGCTGACTGGTCGCCAAAGGTCACTCTCCCCGGAAAAAATTCAACAAGATGGCAACGTGAGCCCGTGGCGTATTAGGGTCACGCTCGAGGCAACACAAGATGAAGAGAACCATGTCGAAGCCAGCCCGTCGCGCAAACGACGTCGACCCTCTACCGTAACAACAATGGTTCCTTTGAAAGACGAGCGCAGCCCTTTGATGGAAAGAACACCCGCAAGAAAGCGTGGGCGCCCACGGAAGTCGGACACCCTTCCTCAGAATGGATCGCCATGGCCAGGAAGCCCAGGACACACCCCCGGTCCAAACGAAGCCAGTACGGAGAAAAGGAAGCGCGGCCGACCACGAAAGGGTACCCCGAAGCCACAGCAACAGGAAACACTTATCGCCGAGGATGCGCCAACGCCAGCACAACCCTCGCCAATGGATATGACTGCGGACGTTGCTGATATGGGTCTTGATGATGCGGGTCGTCAATTGAGCCCGATCAACTTGGCAGCGGACGAAGGTTTCGATAGTGACTCTCTTGGAGCCGATGACTTACCCGTTGCAAATCTTCGCGCACCAACACCGGCGCAGCTCGAAACCTGGAACAATGATACTGGCCGCAAGTATGGCAGAGCTACCTATGATACCCCGATTATTGGAGATACAGAGCACCATTTCCAAGATAACGATCAAAACATACATTCCACTCCTTCTAAGATGCCATCACCAACTCGAGAAAGGCAAGGCTCGTCTGCTAGATCATCGCGCCGCGGCACAACCTCATCACCACGCACCTACCCATCTCCTAGTCCAACTTCTTCGCCGGGCGAGGAAGAAAATCGGGCTCGAGAGGATCGCCTGCAAGAAATTGAAGAGACCGATCAACAGCACTCTACGTATGATGCAGTAGAAGACCCGACTGATGACCATGAAGAGTTCGATTCCATCATGGAAAGTGAGGGCTTCACAATGGTTTCCTTGGATACTCTTCCCTCGGCCAAACAGTTCGGACTTGGACCTGGCGCTAGAAATGCTACAGATAATGCTTCAAAAATACTGAGGGACCGAGAGAAGGGCCTTATCGGTGAACGATTGAAGCGCAAGTTGGGTGGAGGCATTGATGATCTACGAAGCGACAGTCACAGCTCTGCAAGGCCGAGTCCTTTGGCTCAAGGACTTTCTCCCGTTTCACAAAGCCCACAGTACCCTCAGCCGGAGCCAATTCATCCAAGACAGCAAACTTCACCACATCCGGTGTCGTACCCTAACCTCCATGAAACAGAGTCACCCGAGAAACCACATGCCGAACAAGCTGGTACTTTTGAGCCCGAGGAAGATGAGTTCCAGGATGATGTTGAGTATGAGGAAGATGAATTTGAACAACCAAATCAAGACGAGCTGGATTTGGAGGAAGGTGGAGAAGAAGATGAGCCTGTGATGGTCGAATCACCGCAGTCCGTAAGAAAAAGCCCGCCGCAACATAGTCCAGCGGGCTTAAGCCAGGATCGAGAACATCGATGGCAAAGGGATCGAGAAATTGTCAGTCGGCATGCAGCGGATGCGATGAATTCAGGGCGCCTCATATACATCGATAGTGATGACGCCCCTCCTGAGGATGCTGATGGCAAGGCACTGGAGGACCTTCAGTCTGATGCGGACCCAGTCATTGAGGAACAGCCTTTCGACGAGGAACCTGATGAAGAACCCGTCAACGAAGAGCCGTTCGATGAAGAACCCCTTGATGAACCTCTTGATCAACATATCCGTCAACCTCCCCGCCAAACCATTTACCAACCTCTGTATGAACCCCTTGATGAAGAACCCATTAATGAACCTCTTTATGAAAATCGCAATCGACCTTTCCACCAAAGGGATCCCCAATCGCGCTATGAGGTTCTTGACGGAAATTTTGATGAAGAATTTGTCGATGAGGAAAATGACAATGAAGAACCGCTCGACGAGGAACTGCTTAATGAAGCACCTGAGTATCTAGAGCCAGGAGTGATGCCGGGGTCACAGCCCTCTCGGGAAGCCGGGCCGGATAACATCTTGGAAGAAGACGATGAATCCGTTGACATTTGGCAGCAAGAGAAAGATGTTGACGCCGATGTGAAGAAGTCAGAAACTAGGTCACACCATACCAGGTCTCAAGAAAGAGATTTGGAACCGGAAGTGCCCGACGAGGATGGCTTTGATGACATCTGGCAGCAAGAAGCACGAGATCACAGTTATATTTCACAGCAGTCGGATGATTATGGGTCACCTGTTCAAGAAAGCAAAAGCCCTTGGAAGAGGATTGCTCGTAGTTCAGCGCATCAGGGTAATCTGAGCTCATCCCCGGCTTACGTGACTGTGGAGCATGATGATGCCCGGTACTTTGATCGAACCCACATTCGCAAGCTGCGCGATCAAGAGGTTGATCTATCTGCTATCATGGCGAAAGAGGACACCCCTAACAGAGCCCGCTACTACAACGGAACAAGCACCCCAAGGAGTATATTGCGCCGGCCAGGCCTCCAAAGCTCCATCAATGAGTCCGCAATGAAACCTGCCTCGCAAAAGCCAGAGAAAAGGGTGCGTCTGCAACCTATCACCCAAAGCCCAGAGAGAGTTTCAGAAGTGGAAGACTCGCCTGCCGCGCATCGAAGCTCGCAATTTTCGCCACCGAATGAAATCCATGCCAATGAAAGTATTTCAGGCTCTGACAATAACGATTCTGGGCAGGACTTCACGGCTACTCCAGAACCTCCGCACCAGCAAGAGGGGGAGCCCGAAGCAACCTGGTTCCAAAGAATTACCAGCCTGACTCCCAGGTGGCTCAAAGCCCCACCCAAGTCTCGTTATGACGATACTTCTAGCGAAGCCTCTGAGGCCGAACAAGACTACGAGCAAAGTGACGAAGAAGAACCTGAGCATATGCAATCGGCACCCGACATCCGGGAGGACTCTGAGCACGAACCTCTTTCCAGTCCATCGCACCAATCATCTGTTGGACAGGTGGACGAATCGGCAAGATCACCGTCTGTGGATGAGGAAGATCACCTGCCTTCCATTGAGGAAGAAGCAGAGGATCCCTGGATTCAACCAGAAGTACCTGAGGACGCCATGGAATACGATCCTGTGGCCGATCATGATAAGCTAGAACGTCCGAAACCGCGTCCACGACCTCTGGCTGTCTTTGGCTACTTTTCTGATGCCCATTATAATTCTCTTCGGCGGATCTACCGAATGGCAAAGCGACACCCCGAGCGCTTCCCATATTTCGATGCGCCTGGACGCGCTGAGATTATGGGCGACTGGATGTGGACCTCAGACGGACATCACGGGGTGCCTATCACTGAAGTGCAATTTGCTGTGATTGATCGTTTCGTACATGAACTGTCGCACGCCGACATCGAGTACGGCGGCAGTGGGCAGGTAGATTGGACTGAAGCCGATCTACATCGGAGGCTGATCAGCGTCATCATTGGCGAGCAAATCCGAGAGGAGCGAAAAGCAAAGTCACTCCGAGGGGGCTCAGTTGATACCTGGCGATGAGCATGTATTGTTCCAATTATTTGATCATTGTTTTTTTTTCCCCTCCATGTATTTGTTTTTGTCGCACCCTTGATCCCTTGGCGATGGAGTCGGTTTGTTTTTCAACGGCGAATTTCTCCTTTACGATTCCCTCATGGCTGTTTTTTTAGGAGCACTTCCTTTGAGCGTATATCTGATACCTATTTTGAATTCATGAGAAGCAATCGATTATTGGGTAGAATTATTTTGCCACCTGTATGCGAAATCACCGATCCAGGGGATTTGGGCTTACAGGCACCGAATATTGACGTCGAATGCATGTCTACCAGACGGCTCAACCAGACTGAACCCTGCAATCATCCCTTGTTTTCCCGAACGATAACGCCAAATTATGATGTATACATCCTGCGAGGCAAACAAGACTCGGCATCCGTCATGATGTGAAACCCGCGTATGATCTCGGTCTACAGCATAATACAGTATGACCATCATTTCTATCATGACGCCTGCTTCAAACATGGCCCTGGAATAGCAGCAATGTACGACCGTTCTCGCTGCTGTGAGGTACACAAAGGCTACACCTGCACGGACACCAAATCCCACGTTGGGGTCTGGACCGAGTCTGCAGCCACTGATTAGGCCAAGCCAACCAGGGGGAAACCGGGAGTATTCCTCGCACTCGCGTGGCCAAGTATCTGATGTACATTGGGCTCTTCCCCACTCGTCGTGCAAGGAGCTGCGTCGTGATCGGAAGTACCACTGTGGACTCGGAACGGTCTCCAACGCCTGTTCTAGAACAGATATAAGAAGTGCCGTGCGCTTTGCAGGAACTGAAACCCATCCAGATTGCCAGATTCTTTTCCTTGTCGTCGATTGACAGACACGGCTCTAGGATACCTAATCTTAATCATTAATCATGCCGGTCTTTACTATCGTCCAACGAGCCCTCCCTTTTCCCTGGAGAAGAAGATCCTTAACCAGCAAAGGCAAGGAAAAAGAAGATGACCTTAACCTCGACTTCGAATCCTCCGATCATGATTCAGATCTCTACTTCCAAGAAAAGTTCGTCGGCAGTCAATTTGCCGCGCCTAGCTCGCCACTGCACCGTGACGTCTCCGACGACCTGCATATAGCGGTGAAGCAGAGTCCAGACCCAACGATCAACCCTCACGGATCCAATAGCGAGTACTCAGACTTAGATTCGGAAGCAGGCTCCGAGATCGACGAACAAGCCTCGTCTTCATCCCCGCACGCTCGTGTTGGTCGCGTGGTCAGCTGGGCGAGTATTGTCCGCAGCCGATGTCGGTGGACGCATGAACAAGAGAAGGAGCTTCTGGGTGCCGAGAAGCAGCTAGCACGATGTCAAAAGGCTTGGAGCTCTGAACAAGAGTTATGGCTATCTTATGTATGTTTTTCATCCTTCGTTTCATGTGTGGAAACGCTATCTCGTGAAGTATAGAACGAATGGGAATATTCTCACCAGGGAAAATCAAAGAAAGATATACTAACTTGATCCTGTGATTCCTTACTAAGATCCAAGTTTTACGCGAAGAGAAAGAAGCCCATGAAGGCTTTATGCTGATGCGACTGAAACAGCAAGATGACGAGCGGAACCAGTTTCGCAAGGTCTGGAGACGACGTCGGTCTATTGAGAGTGCCATAGAAGATAAAGAAAAACAGATCGCGGTCACGGTGAAGGGAAACATCAACGGCTTACAGAAGCTACGTCGCTTGCAGCTTGGCTATTTAAGTCCTGGTTTAGTGGCGAAGTCACCCGCATTGACATGTCAAGCATGAAGGAATCGTGCCGGTCCTTAACTAGAATATCAAAGTACATGCTTCTCTATCATTCTTTCTTTACTTCTCTGCAGCCAAATGTCAACTCTTCTTCCCCGTATCTTCTGTTACATGCGGCCACTTTCTAAACAAATCCGCAACCATATCAATCGGTGCAGTCAATAGCTCCACAGCAGTCTCGAACAGCGGCTTCGTAGAAGCAAGCGGGTGCGATCTCGATGGCAAGAATTTCTTCATCCTTTCCAATGACCCCGCCAACGCCTGACTATCCTCCCTCGACAACGCCCTTTCCAGCAAAACGAGATCTTCTTCCTCCTCACGTCGAATATGGCGCTGGAAATCCCCCAGTAGTGCCTCTAGCGTCGGTACGAATCTCGGATCCGTACACGTAAGTCCCTGGAACGTCTTTAACTGCTCCTTGATCTCCTGATGCTCAACCAGATTCCTCCTCGTTAGAACCTCTCCATCTCGAACATGCTTATCGATGGCAGGGTAGATGATTAGCTCCTCGCTAATTATATGGCGAGCTAGTTCCCAGGTGAGCTGGTTCTGGTATCTGGTTTGTTCGTCCGCGTCGGCTGAGTTTAAGATCTTATGACTGTGCGATTGGAGTTCGGCGTGTTCGTGTTTGAGTAATGGGAGGATGCGTGAGAATGCTTCTGGTGTTGCAGCTTCGTCCATGAATGTGCGAAGGGTTGGACTTAGGTTGCCGTGCATGAGGCTGAATTGGTCGGGGTTTTCTTGAGTAGTTGGTGTGGTCATTTTGCTTAGGATTTCGACCCTGGGCGTGAGGATAGGACGAAGCAGGCGGAGGTATGTGCTTGAACATCTGTAACGGGCAATTGGTGATTCGACTTCTTGTGTTTTCGAGAAAGGAAGCTTTGAGATGGGTGATGGCGACTTCGGTCATTACTCCCGTGATGGTCATTATGATGTACTCGAAGTCGGATTGGCCAAATACTTTGGGTTCCTTTTCTACTCCTAAAATAAGGCACTGCTTCTTCTCTTCGAGCTCCTGACTCCTAGATCCAAGGATATCCAGTCAAGAGAGGGTGCCAGAGTTTCCATTTTGGGGACCCTCTCGCTGCGATCACTACATTGAGTCACCATCTACGCCCAGAGCTAGCCCTGCGGATTAACAATGGTAGAGGCAGACATGTACAGTCTGACATGATCTACTTCAATACTTGCCTTTCATTACCAAGTCTATGGAGATCTCAGCCTAGCGAGACACTGTACGCATGAACAAAGTCAATTTCAAGAATCATTGTATCTAGCCCTAACGGGAATAGAACAATTTCTAGAGAATTTTAAACCAATTATGCTTAAAGTCAAAACGACATGTAGCTTTTCCATAAAGTAAAATTAAACCTTTAAAGATATCACAATATTATATATTATCACCCAAATACCAAAGCCCGAACTTCGATGCTCTCCCGAATCCGCGCCCCAGCCGGCGTCCGCTCATCCCAAAACGCCGTATGAGGCACCCACTGTGCAACATCCCCATCCCTCAATCCCCTCGAATCCGAGCACTTGAGCAACAACCGCTCATCACCCGTCATCCCAGACCAGTAAGACCATTTCTGGCCCTCATTATACTTCACACCCATTGTCTCGCCCGTCCGATTCGGATACCGATGCTGCACAGGCACCAAATCGTTTCCATCAACCGAGGCCGCAGACGCGAATGCCAACGGCGAAGACTGCACTGGCTCGCTGCTCAGCGGACGCCAGACATTCACGATCCGGTACCGGCCTTTCAGCAGAGTCTCGGCTTCCTCTGGATCTGAGATATGGAGACGGACGCGGTCTTCTGCGGCGCGAGGAGTTTGGTCGACATGGACGCGGGTGACTGGTTTGCGGGATGCGGAGTCTTTACCTCGGCGGATTGTGTGGTCGAAGAGGACGACCTTCTTGGCTCCTGGGATGGACTTTAAGAGAAGGGATTCGACCTCTGGATAATAGATTTGTTGGACGAGCTCGTCTGAGTCGAAGGTTGTATATGTTGTTTTGGTGGGAATATGTTGGAGGGCTTGGAATGAGTCTTTGTCGAGGCTGTACATGCTTTCATTGCCTCGAATATCGTTTATAGTGACTTTTTGTTCGTGTTCGCTGAAGTTGTATTGGGGTTGACCTGCTGGTGGTTCTCCGACGTAATTGAAGGGGGCGGAGTTGTCCGCTGGCGGTGCGTAAAAGGTTAATGAGGCGGTTGTTGGGCCGCGAGGGATATAGGATGAGTCCGTTCTGGTAGTTGTTGTGGCGTTTTCCGTGGTGGTAGACATTATTGAAGATTGGGATCGATGGTATTGTATAGAGGTAAAATGCGGGGAAGTATACGTAGATCCTGGCTAAGATAAAAGATGATATGCAAAGGCAGTAGATGAACCGTATTGATTAAGACCAAAGACCCTACTTATACAGAAACCCTCTGCTGATAAATTCCAAACCCTAAGTGAATTAGTGATCAAGACGGAGCAGAGTCACGTCATCGCATTTGTCATCCTGCCGATGCGGAGAAGCGGAGGAACGGGGACGCTTTTTTAGCTCCGATCACCTCATTTTGTCCCTGGATTCTGCAGAAAGTCTCCGGGGCAGGCTGACTAAGGGGGCGATACGAGGTTTACAGCATGACCCAGTGAAGTTTAGATTAATCAATGTTTGTATTAGGGGAAACCCTAAGAAGTCAAATATTACTTAACCAGTTCAGACTCCTCTGAATTAGGTAAGGAGCAGTTATTGTCGCGTTAAACTTCAAATAACACGAGAAGCAAACCATATAGACTGCACCACATAAGACTTGATTTAAGGACTGGCTGAGGGTAAAACAAATAGATGATTCTGTGAAAATGGTATTGATATTTGGTATTGATATTCAATATTGATATTGAGAAATGATATTATCTAATGTTCACCAGTCTCCCGATTGAAACAACTCTTCCCAATATTTCACTGCCTCTTCTGTCTTGACATTGTTGATCAAGATCAATTCTTGACAAACGTCGGTTTGCTTCCTGGTGATTTCAGGCCAGGTGAGTTTGTCAAAGTCTCCGCTAGGACAAATTTCATCCAGCCATTTGGGGTCAACGCTTTCCAGATCTTCGGGATCTACCAATTCGTCGTCGCCAATTTTATTTGTTTGCAGATACGAGGAACCATCAACCGACATAGGGTCGCTGGTGGTGACTGGGAGAGGTGTGGCGGAGGGGAAAAGTGTGGCCCTCGTCTCGTTGATGGTGGGAGGGGAGGAGTTTGCGCTGCCGGTCGAGAAACGGGAGGCTTCGCGAAGGCGGCTCGGCGTCTTAGGTTTGAATTGCTGGGCTTTGTTGCGAACTCGGGTGAGGGGAGAGGGGTCAGTGGCGGGCAAGGCGGGTTCGTCATTCTGAGTAGGGGTCTCGGTGGTCGTATCGTTGGTTCGGGCCGGAGGTGAGGTATCTTCATCCATTGGGTCAGCTCCTGCGATATTTGAGTTTGGTGGTGAATCCATGTCCATGTCCACGTCCATGTCGTCTTCATCGTCGGAAGAGTATGGCGTACGGAACGTTCCATGGGGGTTCGGGTTTCTAAAAGTCCTTGGGGCCGGCGATGAAACCGGAAAGATGCCGTTTGGAGATGAAGGCATGGCCTGATACATACCAGTTGGGGTGGTGGTAGACTCAGGCTGGGGGCCAGAGGAAGGATAATCTTCATCGTCGGAAGACGAAGGTGAAGAATCCCATCCGGGAGTTTGGAAAGTACCTTGTGTGTTTGCGGTGAAGGGAGCTGTGTTAATGTTGGGGCGAGTCTTAGTGACATCCGGTCCGTGGGAGCCTTCGGAAAGGAAGTCACTCGATTCAATAGTAGGTAAGTGGGTGGCTTGGTACAATCGCGTAGGGCGGTTGCGGTCGTATCCAGGACGATTTTCGGCCTTTCGGGGTGTTTGACGGGAGAGGATATGCCGGCGGCGCGTCTGATCTGGCTCTTGAGCCACGCGTTGTTTCTTCAAAGGAGGCTGTATAGTTTCTTCATTTGCTGCTTCTGCAGCCTTGGCAGCCGCTGCGGCTTGCTGAGCTTTCTCTTCTTCCGCCCATACCTCATCGTCATCATCATACGTGAAGTAGTCTTCGTGCATTCCGTAGCTGCAGCCAGGCGGGTTTGGGATGGACTCGGGAGATTCGCGCTTGCGCTTGTTGCCCAGCTCTGATGCTAGCGCATCCAAAGCTTCATTGCGGAATCCAGATGGTGGGAGAGTACGGCTTCGTGCGTAGCACTTATCGAGTGTATCCTTGCTGAAACCGCCACCAGGGCGAGCAGAGTAATCAAATGACGGTGCTCGCGGGCGTCGGGTGCGTGAGAGCGAGGAACGCCGGGGTGTACTGGCTGCAGCCACAGGCGTCATGGGCACAACCGCCATCTCCATCTCTGTGCTCACGCCCGTCTCCTCTGGCCGGGAGGCAATGACGTGGGTAGTGCTGGTGCTTGGCGCAGTAGCTTCGGCGACCAAATCCTGGGAGCCTCCAGATTTTCGGGGACTAATTCGTCCACGGAAGCTTGACCATCGCGAGGAGACATTGTTGATGATCCGTCGGGACCAGCTGGGAGAGGCACCGGTACTAGCGGCAGGGGCAGTCTTTGGAGTGGTGGGGATATTCGGTTCTGGGGTGGCAGGATCACGAGCAATCGGGACTGTCTCTTCCTCGTTGTCTGTCGCAGCAGACTCGGTGGTGGAGGACTGGTTGACAAGGCTCTCGAGCTGAAAAAGGGTGTTGACTACGCGACCACCAGCATTACTGCGGCGGCGAGCTGTGATGCTGGCGTAGGGGACTCGGGGGCGGCGACGCATAATAGGAGTCGCATTCTGGGGGCCCAGGGCCCGGCTGTTGACGATGTTGGAGAGGGGGGGGCGAGAGGGGGTATCAGTGGCACTCCGGGCCATCTGGGCATCGGAACACATGTCCTGCTCATCAGCAGAAGCCATAACGAGCGCCTTAGGCTGCTCAGTCAAGGCCGGTGATGTCTGCTTAGTATCAGGGACAGTGGACTTGGCCACCTTCGAACGGGGTCGGCGGGTGGTCTGTTGATATAGAGATCAGTTTCGTATTCTCCTACAGGATCATTGTTCACTGAGAGAGAAGGGGGGGGAGCTTGTTTACCTTCTTGGTGGTGGTGCGCTTTTTGGCTTCGGGCTTGCGAGTCTTAGCAGCTTCGGGCTGCGACTCGGTGGTTGGCTCGGCCGATGAGGCACTTCGCGTCGCGCGGCGACGGGCAGGCAGGTCATCGAGGGATTGGTATCCCCCGGGGGAAAGAGGCTGGGAACGGGTCCGCATTGTGGCGCGTGCACGTGAGAATTTTGATTCAGAAAATTACAGTCCGAACAACAAAGAATGCTGGTAAGCGTTCTGGTGAGAGTGGTTGGGAGTGTGGGGAAAGGAAGGAGAGGAGAGGAGAGAAGTGAGAAGATAGATTTGGCGTTGTTGTGAGGGCGTTTGACGGTCCTGTTGCCTGTGCGACCCAGCCCAGTGCCAGTTGAGAACACTCTCCTTTCTGATGGTTAAGGGAGAAGCTACTATCTTCACTTTTGCCTAATTCTCGGGAAGGGTAACTTGACGTCTAAAAATTATTGTTCGTGGCAGAACAGGATCCGAGGCGGTCAAAGAATATTCACACCTCAGGCATCAGACTTCCAGGGCTCACAGCGTACTACGAACAAGTGACAATGCAAGGGCTTTGAAAATAATAGATTTGGTTGATGACCCAATGAAACAAAATAAAATGCTATTTGTACAGATGATACCAGTCACTCTCAAACACAGGAGTTCTGGAAATCCAGGCCCAGACACTAGACCCACTAAATCCCAGGGATAGTTCCAGTCGATCTAAAGAAACACGCTGATGCTCACTCCAACACAAGGTGGGCCAAGTTTTTTCAAAATAATACATTCCCATTGTGCCCCCAAGTATTCCCCTAGAGGGCAATCTCCCCTTTCCATGCAGCCTCTGACAGACCCAATTTCTCCATCAGGTTCTGCCATCTGGGACCGCCACGCTCCTTCTGCCGGACGTAACGGAGCAACTTTTGCCGCTTGTGAACCAACAACTGCAGGTTGCGCTTGTTGTGCTTATCCTTGTTGGCAGTCTCAAGGTGCCGAGAAAGATTCATGATCTTGACGGTCAAGATAGCGGCCTGAACCTCGGGGGAGCCTGTATCAACACCAACACGAGGAACCTTCTCTGTCTGTGTCGAAGCCAATTGATGTTGCACGCTAGCAGGCTTGGGTGGTAGTACTTTATCGGTGCTGTGTCGTCCAAACTCGTCGATGCACTTCTGTATGTTCAACCGCATGCGATCTTTGGTGTTTCCATTGCTGAGGTCCACAATGCGCTGCATGGCCTCCTCTGCGTTGCGGTGTGCTTCATCATGCTTTTTCGATGCTTCCTTTTCAGCATGGGGGTCTGCTGTGTCACGGTCCGGGTTCCGAAGGGGCTCCGTCAGGTCCTTAGAGAATTCCAAAGCGCTTTTGAAATCGTCCACTTTCAAGTAATAGTTGATACCGGCACTAGATGCCGAAGATTGAGAGCCAGTTGAGATGGCTTGGATCTCTTGGATGAAAGGTGTGGCTTGGCTTTCGACCGGGTCACCGAGCGAAGCGTCCCGCTCAGCCTGGAGAACTTTTTGTCGGGAGAGATTGGCAGCCTTGCGCTGGCGAGCCTGTGCAGCTCGGAAGTAATCGTTTCTCTTCTGTGTTGGAGCTTTGGTAGATGCTGCCCTGATAGTGACGTGGGATGCATTGAACGATGAGGCGGCCGGGCTCTGTCCGGAGAGCGTACCTGCTTGGAAGAGCGCGTTAGTATTGACACAAACCAAAAAAAGATCAATGGTGTAGTAAAGCAAATGTCAGGATTCCAGGAGAGCAACATACCGGACAATGCCTTCCAGGAAGGCTGAGCTGAGAATCGCGGCGGCATATTGGTGGACTAATACTTATCAATGACCCCCGTCCGCAACCTGCGAAGTTCTTCGCATCGATCTTCTGACCGGAAAATCATGCGGCCCGGTCTCGATACGCTAAACTACTTTTGGTAGCTGTCAACTATGCCTCAGGCATTAGTATTATGTAAGGTTTAACCTGATTATTGAATCAGGAATAGCCCTAGCCCTAACTCACAACCGGCAAGCGAAATTCTCCCGAGAGTGAGGCGTGCTTTTCGCGGTTCGGCTTCAATCCTTTCCCTCCATCACCACGACAAGAGCCAGACGATTGATCTCTCCAATCCGTCAATACATCAATCGCCCACCATGGCCCCCTCTCAGCTCCCCCCGGTTTTCAACCCTACCCCCCAGGACATTGAGATGCTCCTGGCTGCTCAGGCCCACCTGGGTTCCAAGAACTTGCAGGTGCACATGGAGCCTTACCTGTGGAAGACCCGTCCCGACGGTGTCAATGTCATCAACATTGGCAAGACCTGGTATGCACAACCGAATTCAAGATATTCTGTGGAAGACGGATAGCAAACATTGAATGGCATGTCTAATTTTTGCGCGCAAATAACAGGGAGAAGATCGTCCTGGCTGCCCGTATCATCGCCGCCATCGACAACCCCGCCGATGTCTGTGTCATCTCCGCTCGTCCCTACGGCCAGCGTGCTGTCCTGAAGTTCGCCGCTCACACCGGTGCCACCCCCATTGCCGGTCGTTTCACCCCCGGTAACTTCACCAACTACATCACCCGCTCTTTCAAGGAGCCCCGCCTCATCATCGTCACCGATCCCCGCACCGACGCCCAGGCTATCAAGGAGGCCAGCTACGTCAACATCCCCGTTATTGCCCTTTGCGACACTGACTCCCCCACCGACTTCGTTGATGTCGCTATCCCCACCAACAACAAGGGTCGTCACTCCATTGGTCTTGTCTGGTGGATGCTCGCCCGTGAGGTCCTTCGTCTCCGCGGTACCCTCGCTACCCGCGAGACCGAGTGGGACTCCGTCGTTGACCTGTACTTCTACCGCGACCCCGAGGCCGAGGAGAACAAGGAGATCGCCGATGAGACCAAGGTCCCCGGTGCTGAGGAGATCGGTGCTGGTGCTGTTGAGTCCGGATTTGCTGGTGACAACTGGGATGTGAACGCTCCCGGTGCTGGTGCCCCCGGCACTGCCTTCGCTGCCGCTAGCGCCGCCGTCGGTGCCACCTCCTGGGAGGCTGACGGTGCTGACTGGGCTGCCAGCTCCACCCAGCAGACCACCGAGTGGGCCGCTGAGACCACCCAGACCACCCAGGCCACTGAGGGCAAGTGGTAGATTCACTCCGCAGTGACAAGGATAGCCGTTGAAAGGGGGGAAGTATGATCTCAAAACCCAAAAAGCCATGGTGATCCGGGATGATTGGGATGGTTCCTATGTCATTGGGACACAGGTCTCTTGTTTGTTCTTTTCCCTACGAAATCCATTGACAAAATGGAATAATACACCATCTCCCGCAAAATCCCTTGACATGTCTATCCTAGTTTCTGATCAGTGTCTCAAAAAACAAACCAAAAAGAAACTGAAAACAGCAGAAGAAAAAGAGCTTTTCACCGGGAACCCTCCAGTCTTTTTTGCATCAGTGGTCTCATTTTACCAGCACTCTTTTTTATTATCTTGTTTTTGCATCGGGGAGGAATAGCGACGTCAATCATTGACCTGGCGCTTATGAGGGAAAGATATCCAGTTGTGTTCTACAACTGGGGGAAAGCCCTGTGCTGTCAATCTACAAGGTGGACTTAATCGTTACCTTGGTTTCTCCCTGTTTGTATGCTAGTAATTGGAAGAGGATTGTGCTTGGTATTGTCCATCTCGATTGCGTAGAGTCGTAGCTCTGTATACACTAAGTCCTCGAAAACTGTCACATCCATAGGTGATATACGAGATGCGAACGGCAGAACCTCAACTTGGACACTCCAAAATGGTCCTCCAACAAGATTATTAGTGGCCCTGGCCATTCAAATCATATCTGTAATAGGACGTTTATAAAATATTACAGGCTCCAGCGGTTTGTCCACCTTTGTCCGTAGTTGACATTCCCGCAAGCCGTGCAAGGTCTTCAAATGTCTCCGGCAACAGCTCCCCCGTCACAGCCGAGCATTCTGCATATCTATCACAGCGCAGCTCCTGTGCGATGCGGTAGGCCTAGGTCATGAGTGAGTTAAGTGCAGGATGTCAATCCAAACATTTCTTACACACCTCTTGCGGGTAAATGATGCCCTCACCCTCCTTCCTCAAGTCTCTTTTCAAGCCAAGCATCATCACGGGAATACGCTCCCCACGACCATGTTGGAAATATCTTATTATATCATTTCGCCACTGTTTTGGTAAGCAAGTTAGTTCTCGCGAAGCAGAGAAGCAGAGATGTGCCTGCAAAAGGAAACATACTTCCTTTAGACCTGCCAGTGTCTCCCGGTTTGAAATATCGAACGCTATAACAACAACGTCAGGTCTGAGGGTCGACCAGTGCTGGTTAGGGCAGGATGTATCATAGAGTTCCAATGTGAAGGCTTTTTTGGAAAATCGGATGTCATAAGTGAACGGCTGGTCACTATCCCGTAGGGTCTCGAGTGCATTATCCGGCGTGGTGCCTGGTTGTGATGGCGCTGGCTTCTTGCCACTCTTCAAGCGCCTAGGAAATCATCAGTTATATTTTGTCAGCTTCACGGTTATTCGGAGCTAATGTTTTTGACAAGCAGATATCTCGGGACATATAACATTATGAAAAAGAGGGAAGAACATATTCAGACTCACGATAAGAATATGGACTTTCCACAGCCCGCATCGCCCAGGAGTAACAAGGTTACTGTTGAGTCGGCTTCTGGATATGGCTCTTGTGACATATTATCGGATTATTGCTGTTTGCAATTACACCATACATACGAAAAACAACGTTTCAGGCTGCGTGGTAAAGGACTCCAAGGTTGTGGAAGATAAGGTTGACAGGGCTCTGGAGTGGGCACCCTGATCTACACCGAGATATAAATCTTCCCCGTTTTGCCCCCCGGGCTTTCACAAATTTCTAGTAAACTTTGTAACATATGGCTGTTTTTAGTTGAAACAATTTAAAACTATTCCAGCATACTAAATGACCGCATCTTAAGACTAAATACATATAATTACGGCAGGGTTCTTGAGTTGGAGGAGGTTTCTGTAATCCAATACAGTAAAGTACAGCCAATTTTACCAAAAAAAAATACTAAATATTCCGCGAGCCCAAATTTCTAAGTTGCGACAAACCCCCCCCCCCCCCACCACCACCAAGTGAGCCAAGTTGACCTCCAATTCCCTCAGGGGCATGTGGAGACGACCAAGCAGATTATCAACACCACGTTGGTTCCCAAAAAAATCGCTTCAGTCCCAAGCACGATTTCTCCGCGAGTATCACGAGTCCCCGTCGCAAAAAATGGCGGACAAGGTCCAGAGCGAAAAGGGACGCACTCCCGATTACACAACTTGGAGCAACATCAGTCTCATTAAACGTATAAGTGAACTTGAGCGCCAGCTTCACTCTCAAACAACACAGTACACAGCGCCGACAGAAACACCCTCCGCGCCTACAGGAGCCCAGATCTCCAGCGACGTCCACGAGCCTGCGATTCCACTCCCAGAAACCAGCCCCGAAGAGCATCTCTCGAAGAAAAAGCGAGTACATTCCCCAGACACTGATATCACGCACAAGCCTGGTCCTCACCGTCCCTTGAAGGCGGAGCGGGAATTCGATGCATCGAAATACACTACGCGGTTTATTGCGCTGAAATTCGCTTACCTGGGTCAACGGTACAATGGGCTTGAGCATACCAATGGCAATTGCACACCGCTGCCTACGATCGAGGAAATACTGTGGAAGGCTTTGCGACGCACGAAGTTGATTCTTCCCGAGACTAGCTGTCCTGCCGAGGAGCCGAGTGGTGGTGGCCCGCGAGTGGTGCGACCTTACTCGATTTTCTGGGATGGATGTGACTACTCGAAGGCCGGGAGAACGGATCGTGGAGTCAGCGCCTTTGGGCAGGTCATTGGTATTCGAGTTCGTAGCACGCGACCAAAGCCAAAGGCCACCCCCACGAACGGAGATGGTTTACAAGAAGAGGGTGATGCAATGCAGGTTGAGGAGGAAGCCGTTGATCAGGATTGGGATGATGTCGCGGATGAGATCAACTATATTCAAGTTCTGAACAGGGTGCTGCCGGAGGATATTCGGGTACTGGCTTGGTGCCCTAACCCCCCTCCCGGTTTTGATGCTCGGTTCTCCTGCCGTGAGCGCCGCTATCGGTACTTCTTCACCCAGCCTGCATTCTCACCTACCCCGGGCCCTTTTGGATTTCAAAAATTTGTGGATGATGGTAAAGGAGATCGTGCCAAGTACCGCGAGGGATGGCTTGACATCGAAGCTATGCGTGAAGCCGCGAAATATTTTGAAGGAACCCATGACTTCCGGAACTTCTGCAAGCTGGATACCAGCAAGCAGATCGAGAACTTTGAACGTAAGATTTATCACGCTGATATTGAGTTCGTGAACCCGAAAACCAACCCCTTGGGATATGTTGGCCAGTCTGGGTTCCAACAGCAAGAAAACGTTCTGCACGACGTCGACATGCTGTCCTCGGAGATACCCCCACCGACCACACCTCAGGTCTACACATTCACTCTGCATGGATCCGCATTCCTGTGGCACCAGGTCCGGCACATGGTGGCAATCCTCTTCCTAGTCGGTCAAGGACTTGAATCTCCGTCCATTGTCCCTCAGCTGCTAGACGTGAAGTCCAATCCACGCAAACCAACATATGAAATGGCTTCTGATGCACCTCTTGTTCTGTGGGATTGCATTTTCCCAGACCTGAATTCTGGAAGTCGCGATGATTCTCTGAACTGGGTTTATGCCGGGGACGAACGGCTCAACAAGAGCCGAAGTGCCAAAGGTGATAACAAGTTTGGTATGAAGGGCGTAATTGATGGACTGTGGACAGTTTGGAGACAGCGCAAGATTGATGAGATCTTGGCCGGAGCACTGCTGGATTTGACCGTTAGCCAGGGTGACCTGACTGTTATAAAGGACATGGAAGGCAAGAATGGAACCGGCAAAAAAAGCAGCCGAGGTGCGAAGATTTGGCTTGGAGATAACGACCATCGCATTGGAGGCAAGTACGTGCCAGTTTTCCAAAAAGGAAGAACAGAGCTCGTCGAGGTCCAAAATGCCAAGTGGCTAGCAGCCAAGCAGCGCAAATTGGCACTCAAGGAAGATGCCGAAACAAAGAAAGAAAAAGAAGAAGAGGAAGCATGAATAGAGAAGGATGTACATACTTATATCGGTCATAGCATTAAATCGTATAGAATGTTCTGCTTCTGTGAATCAAGATTTTGCATCATAGAGACAACGTCGAGAGCCTCTCCAGACTTCTTCAAGTATTTCTCTCTTGGGTAATAGATGCTAGCGATTGGGTTAGCGTGGTAACGGTGGCAGGAAGGAGACAAGTTACCGGAAAGACCACCAAGACATCCGGCTCACCCTCCACAATTACAGCCAGATAAAACCGGACTTCGAAGCCCTTGAAGGCTTCATGGATAACGATGTCTTGAATCTGAGTTGTGGGGATGAACCTTGTTGCGGCCGACGACAGATAGGTTGAGGATGAGGTAGAAGTCTGGATACCGAAACCCCGTATGACCAGAAGCGATTCCTCTATATCGATAATCAGCTGGAGCACACGAGTAATAGCATATCAGAGAGCTATTCATACCAGTATACTCTCTTCTAAAAACCCCGTAGATCACTATAATGCTTATCGCTGCCACCGCCCACGGGTTGTATTTGTCCACTAGCTGACAGACACGAGACCCAAGGGGGCTCGCCCACATGGCTGGCCAAGATATAATCCCCCCGTCCGCTTGAAACGAGAAATGTCGTAAACGTGCAAGGGCGACGATGATCACGCAGCAGAACAGAACTGCCCGTAGCAGGATCTGGAAACCAAAAAGTATCTTCGCGGGGGAATTAGAGCGGCGCGGCGCATTTGATACCGTGAAGCTAACGGTTGTCGGAGAGGGCCGTTGAACTCGGAGTCGACCGGGCATTGTGGATGGGGAGGTGTATGATACAGTCTAGAAAGCTCAGGTGATTACAGACACCCTCAATAAGCTCTAGAGATTGACAAGATTGTTATCAACAATTCACGGGGCAAAAGCTCCAAGTCCGACACCAACACACTAGACCTGTTACGGACTAGCTTACTGCATCTCCCCGTATCTGGATCACGTGAAGCTACAGCGATCAACCCTCTGTTTCTCCGTTGTGATCGCGACTGCCTCGTCGGGCAACAACCATCTGCTCTCTTTCTTCCAATCAATCCATCATGGGTGACAGAGCCAGGAGTCGGTCTCCCAACCGGCGAGATGGCGACCGATCCCGTCCCAGGAAGACCGGGGGATTTCGATGGAAAGAGAAGCGTCGCGATGATGATACCCGCGGCGAAGAGCGCAGGCTAGACCGTGGATATCGAGACCGAGATGAGCGCCCAAGATCCCCCCGCCGAGATCGTGAAGGTGACCGCTATGGAGATCGCAACCAAGATCAGAACCGTGACCGCGACCGCGACCAACGACGGGATGAGCGTGATGCCCCACGGGAAGACCGAGTGGAGAAGAAGGATAAGAAGGAGAAAAAGAAGAAGAAGCCCGTTGTGCCACAGTCCTCGGAGCCCATGATTATTGTCTATGTCAATGATCGTTTGGGCACCAAGGCTGAGATTCCTTGTTTGGCCTCTGATCCGATTAGTATGTTCTGTTCCCGCTAAAAAGCAAGCTTGATGGATTGAATTAACCTCATTTCTATCTAGAACTCTTCAAAGCCCAGGTGGCAGCTCGTATCGGTCGAGAACCACATGAGATTCTCTTAAAACGGCAAGGCGAACGCCCTTTCAAGGACCAGCTGACGCTGGAGGACTATGGCGTGAGCAATGGGGTACAACTTGACTTGTGAGCTTACTTACCACCTTATCTCCCACCATTTAGGCTTTCGGTTTATACTAACTCGTTCTATAGGGAGGTTGGAACAGGTGACTAGAACGGAAGATTCATCCTGTGTGTATTCTGTGGGACAGTTTTTTCAAATGGTCGGTGTTTTTCATATCAAACTACGGATTTCTTGGAGCATGGGAGCGTGCACGAATGAATTTCTTCTTCTGGTTTTCTTCATTTCATATTTTCCATGGACTTGATTTGCATTTTGTATCATACCGGCTCAAAATGGATTGCTGTAAAGCGGTTTTGCCCGAGAGGAGCCACATCCCCGGGTTGCTGACCATTTGCTGCCGTCTCCTTGCGAGTTTTTTGCGTTTTTCCGGCCGTTTTTGTTCGAACCTGGGACTTCTGCGGGGCTAAATGCATTATGATCGTTGTGCCCGCACTATTCCCGTTTCGACCCCCGTTGACGCCTGAGTGCCTGAGGCCAGCCGCTCTTCAGCCAACCCGAGACCAAGACTCCGTTCCACTCTCCAAAAGAGGCTTTTTTCTATCGCGGGACTCACACGAGCTTCAATTCGTTTTTTTCTTCCGGGCCATTGTCCGGGCTATTCCTCGACCTCACCGTCTCTCCGAAATGAGGTAGTCGCTTGACTCTCCACTCTTGAATTCTGATATTACTTCCTCTTTTGCTCTTCTCTGAACCGATCTCGCCTCTCCGCAGATTTTCCGTCTCTCCAGATTCCTCGACCTCCACAACCAACTCCCTCCTCCCCCTCCCTTCCAACAACTCTTTCGATCCCAAATCAAACTCATCAAACAAGATGGTTCGCAATTTAGTCGTCATCGGGGGTACATCCCACCCACAGTTGACCGAGACCATTTGCAGCGTACTGGGGCTCCCTCCGGCGGAGGTGCTGCTGTCCAAATTTGCTGTGGGTGAGACTCGTGTCGAGATTCAAGAATCGGTCCGTGAAAAGGACGTCTACATTATCCAGTCCGGAGGCGGCAAAGTCAACGACCACCTGCTTGAGCTTCTAATCACCATCTCCGCCTGTAAGACGGCCTCGGCCCGCCGGGTGACCGCCGTTCTTCCTCTATTCCCTTACTCCCGTCAAAGTGATATCCCATACGATAAAGCTGGAGCCCCTCTCGTCAAGTCTTCAGTTCCGAACAAGCCCAACAATGGCTACACTTTCGAGAGCACTCCTCCTACCCCCGGTCCCGGTAAGCCCGAGGGCCTGGGCTTGATGAACGGCATCGACAACCTCCAGAAGAGTCTTGCCAAAGCTCAGATTGAGGAGCACAATGGCAGTCCCGTGAAGCGTCGCCCTGCTTCCGGAAACGCACTCCCCCGGAGTGATACAAATGACTCTCTCAAGTCTCTGGCGACCAGTGCCGCCCTTGAGGAATCCACCAGCAACTCTTCGGCTGCTTCAAAAATAAACGCCTTCCAGCCACGCCCTGGCTACAAGCAGTGGGTCGCGCAAGCAGGCACCCTGGTGGCTGACCTGCTGACGTGCGCCGGTGCGGATCACATCATTACCATGGATTTGCACGACCCTCAGTACCAGGGATTCTTTGACATCCCCGTGGACAATCTCTATGGACGTCCCCTCCTGAAGAGCTATATCCAGCGTAACATTCCCAACCACAAGCAGGCCGTCATCGTCAGCCCTGATGCCGGTGGCGCCAAGCGTGCGACAGCCATTGCTGACCAGATGGGAATGGAATTTGCTCTCATCCACAAGGTTAGTTTGCCTCTTTTTTTTTTTTTTTTTTTTTTCCTTCTTTACCCTTTTGAAGCTAGGTTTCCATAATGGATCTTCTGACAACCCCTGCAGGAGCGCCGCCCCACAAAGATCACAGACCGCCAGAATGCGACCATGATGTTGGTTGGCGACGTTCGCGACCGGATAGCTATCCTGATCGACGACTTGGCGGATACCTCCAACACAATTACCCGCGCAGCTAAGCTGTTGAAGAAGGAGGGTGCCTCCAAGGTCTACGCCCTTGTAACTCACGGTATTCTGAGCGGTGACGCTATCGAGCGTATCAATGCCAGCGCCCTTGACAAGGTGGTGGTGACCAACAGCGTGGAGCAGAACGACCACCTGCGCCGGTGCCCGAAGCTTGAAGTCCTAGAGGTTGGCCACGTTTTCGCCGAGGTAAGTATTATTTGTCTTATGCGCCCGGACCTTGCTGACCGCTCAATGCAGGCTATCCGTCGTGTCCACCACGGTGAGAGTATCAGTGTCTTGTTCCAGTATGATTGATTGCGAGCAACGTTTCTCTCTTATTTGGAAAATGCAAATACCAAAAAAAAAAAAAATCATGGCTGGTTATGTCAAGTCTGGCATTTTAAATGAATATGAGTCGATCTACCTGGCGTTGCTGATGTGAAGTCGTTTTTTTATTACTCTCCGGTGTTGATTGCACCATCTTCCATTCCTATATAGAATCCATGGTTAAAGTAGTCTTGCCCGAGACAGCTTTGTATTTGGTCCTTTGCTTCTCGCGGCTCGTTCTATTTGACCTTTATGTTTGCCTAGCTATCTTGGCCATTGCCACCTTGCACATATGATGAAATCGACCAAAAACGTGTTTATGTGATTTGTCTTATTTCTATCCGTATTCGTTGTACAGTTGTGTAATCCTTGCATGTGGGATATCTATTATCTGACCACGAAATGTATAGAATCAATAGTTCGCCTCGATCTGCCGTGTTACGAACTCGAAGGTTTATGTTGTCCGACTTTCCATCTCTAAATTTTCAACACTGACCCTTCTTCGATCAGTAAATGAAATAGAATAACATTAGTGTACGTAGCTAGTTGATAGCTCAGTAGGACGCTGCCCATAGAACTGTGGAACTTGATATTTGTATATTTCGTAGCCAGACACATCATCTGGTTCGACTATGCAGAATGCCCAGGGGCAGTCATCGTCTGTCTACAATCGATAGAAATAAGCTAGGAGTGTTCAGGTTACTGAGTGTTCATCTGACCTGATGAAAATTGCTCTATTTCACAGAGAGATCACGAAATTGCCAAACGCCTCAGGTGGAAAGAAGTCGAGAAAAACGAGAAAAACCGAAACCAGTGGCCATTTGCCCGGTTCGGGGCGATGCGCTCACTTCAATACTGAGAAACAAGAAACGAACTGGGTACTCGATACAACGGAATTGGCTGGTAAAGCCAAGTCATGCAGCCCAATAGGGTAAATACAGGAGAAATAGGCAGGAAAGAACAAGGTCATAATATCGCAGTCTAAAAGACGGAGATGAAGTTACCGATTCTCTCCTTCTGGTTCTGTGCAATGCACTCCGAGATCCAGGTGACATTTCGGATTTCCTGGTAGATATTAGCGGTGAATCTTGCATATGCCACTTTTAGAGGAGCTCTTACCTGTTCCTTCAGCTTCAACCACCCGTACACCACCGCTGGGGTAAATTGACGAGTGAACACCAACTTGGACATATCCATCTCCTTTTGGTAGAAAAGATCCTCAAGACTCTTTCCGTCGCTGCCACCCATGCCGCCAATGCCACCACCCTGGTTCAGACCCACCGCATCAAAGAAAGTCTTGTAGTCTGCAACGGCGCTCACAGCCAGGGCCACACCCTCAACATCCTCTGCCCGAGACAGCATCAAGCTACCCTCTGGGTAAAGCTTTCCGAATTCCGGGTACAGCTTCCTCCGCTCTTGCTTGGACAACTCAGTACCAAAGGAGTTGAGGGTAATATTAATGGAGCGGCGATCAGCCTCGAACTGCAGAATCTCTGACATGACCTCCTGAGTCGGGCCAGAGAAGTCCGAGTCGGTGTTGACAAATTTATAGAAGTCCTCGAGGTAGTTCTTGTACAAGGTGTTGCGAACGATCTCGATGTTCAGCTCGTCCAGGTCCTGGTGGCTAAGGCTACCCTTGAAGAAAGGAGCCAGTGGGGTCTCAATCAGGACGGAGTTGTAAAGCTCCTCAATGTTGGTTGCAACGCACAGAACGGGCAAGGTCTCGAACCAGCCGAGCGGGTGGCATCGCTCCAGGAGTTCTCGGGTGTCGCGCTCATGCAGAGTTCCGGTAATCAGGAGGGCAATGTTATCGATCATGTAGCCGTACGTGAGATACTGAAGAAATTTGGCCGTTGCTCCAGTAGACTGGGCGATCAGGTATCGGAACTCCGACACCAGCTTGTCTGTCATCCTGCCAGCGAGGGCGGAGGTGGAGGGGTTCGGGGGGAGAGAGGCGAGGAAGTCGCCGTAGGCTGGGCCCAGTTGGAGCTTGACATCTGCCAAAAGATTTGACATTAGAAATGACTTGCCACGATGCTGGTGGTGGGATTCAAATACCATCAATGGTCTCGCATTGTGTTAAGTTGGAGTAGTTCTGGCCGCTCAAAAGGCTGTTCCGATACCCTCGAACAATGCCCTCGACATATCTAGAAAATGTACGTTAATAAGCGAGGATATTATGACACAGATACATGCATACCCAGCATTCACATTGAAGAAAAGGCCCTCCATTGCGGCGAGTGAGAAGTGGTGAATAGAATCAGATCGGCTTAATCTACGTACACTGTCAAGTGCTGGAAGCTGTATGCGCGGTGGGTCCTTACATAAGCCACCAGCCACAGGGCTGTGGCTCGACCAATTTTGCACTTTTTTCTTTCCGTTGCAAAATTTCTAGATTCCCTTCTCCAACGGTGCACGCCTCGACGGTCCACTCATTCTTGTCCGTCTTTTTTCGCCAATCGAACCGGGGCCTTCTACATTTTTAGCTTGTTCTTTTTTCCCCCCCGACCAGCCACCATGTCGCTGTTCATCCTCACCGAAACCAGCGCCGGTTATGCCCTGCTGAAGGCCAAGGACAAGAAGCTCTTCAAGCGCGACCAGCTCCCAGAAGATGCTTCCACCGCCGAAGGTGTTTCAAACCTGTATGTGTGATTGTTGGCCCTGGCGAGAAAATTTAAAGAAAAAAAACCCCAATGGAGCGGGGGAGATCAATCCGCGGAATGGTCGAGAAAATTTTGTTGCGGTAGACAGCGATGCTAATACTGCCAATAGTTTCAAGTTGAAGTCTTTCCAGAAGTTCGAAAGTGCCGGTGCAGCTGTTGAGGAGGCTGCTGCCATCATCGAGGGCAAGGTTACTCCCCGCCTCGCTTCGCTTTTGGAGGGAATCAAGGATGAGAAGAAGGTGTCCCTCGCTGTTGCGGACCCTAAGCTCGGTATGTGAAATCTGATCATCTAGTCATTGCGCTTCTTACTGATATGATGATCCGTAGGAAATGCCATTGGCAAGCTGCCCGGTCTCTCTATTGAGCTGATCGCCGATTCTACTACCGCCGAGGCCTTCCGTGCCATTCGTGAGCACCTCACTTCTCTCATCCCCAGCCTGGGCCCCAGTGACATGTCCACTATGGCCCTTGGTCTGTCTCACTCCCTCGCCCGTCACAAGCTCAAGTTCTCCCCCGATAAGATTGATACCATGATCGTCCAGGCCATCAACCTTTTGGACGATATGGACAAGGAGTTGAACACCTACGCTATGCGTGTGAAGGAATGGTACGGCTGGCACTTCCCCGAGTTGGCTAAGATCCTTAACGACAACATTGCCTACGCCAAGCTCGTCCTGAAGATGGGCATGCGCACCAACTGGGAGACCGTTGATCTCGCTGAGATCCTGCCAGAGGAGATTGAGGGTGCCGTCAAGTCCGCTGCTGACCGCTCCATGGGTACTGAGATCAGCGAGGATGATCTTGAGAACATTCAGGCTCTCGCCGACCAGGTTGTTTCCCTGTACGACTACCGCGCCCAGCTTGCTAGCTACCTGACCTCCCGCATGAACGCTATTGCTCCTAACCTGACTGCTCTTGTCGGTGACCTTGTTGGTGCCCGTCTGATCGCCCACGCTGGTAGCTTGACCAGCCTTGCCAAGAGCCCTGCCTCTACTCTCCAGATTCTTGGTGCCGAGAAGGCCCTCTTCCGTGCTCTGAAGACCAAGCACGACACACCTAAGTACGGTCTGATCTACCACGCCTCTTTGATCGGCCAGGCCACCGGCCGCAACAAGGGCAAGATGGCCCGTGTTCTCGCCGCCAAGGCCTCTCTTGGTCTGCGTGTTGATGCCCTTGGCGAGTGGGATGACGATGTCACTGAGGAGGAGAAGGCTGCTCTCGGTACCGAGGCTCGCTTCAACCTTGAGCGTAAGCTTGCCGGTATGGAGGGCAAGCCCATGAAGCCCCGTGGTGTGGCCATTGCTCCCAACGGCACTGCCCAGCCCCAGAAGTTCGACCTGAAGGAGGCCCGCAAATACAACCCCGATGCTGATGCTCTGGATACTGAGGCTCCCGCCTCCGCCAAGAAGGAGAAGAAGGATAAGAAGAAGAAGCTTGTCGAGGAGGTTGACTCAGACGAGGAGATGGAGGATGCTGACTCTGACTCTGACTCCGAGTCTGAGGACGACTCAAAGTCCGAGCTCGAGAAGCAGGCCGCCAAGGCCGGCCTCAGCGTCAAGCGTTACCAGCGCAAGCTGGAGCGCGGAGAGATTACCTTTGATGCCTCTGGTAACCCCACATCTGTCAGCAAGAAGGACTTGAAGAAGGCTAAGAAGGAGTCCAAGAAGGCTGACAAGGAAGATGGCAAGAAGCGCAAGCGCTCCGACGAGGGTGATGAGAAGAAGGATAAGAAGAAGAAGAAGAGCAAGGGCGAGTAAGCTATGAATTGCTTTTGTTTCAAAAGTTTCGTGCAATGTGATGGATGGCCTCTTTTTGCGCAATCTGTATGATATCACTTTCTTTTCATGTCGCGGCCTTGCTCGCATGTTCGGGGGCATTTCAAAGGTTGATCTACGTTTTTTTGTTTCGTTTTTATGGCGCAGACGGTGCTTGGTCAAGGCAGTACAGTTTAGCTGAATAATCTGTTCATACTTCAAATTTTGAGTAGCATTCGGCTAATGATTTCTCTGTAATACTTGTGGACTTTAGTCTATGCGTAGTATGACTACAAGGTTATTTGTCTCATTCCCAATGTTGCAAGTCCAACCTGCAGTATGTGCTATAGTTTGTGTACTTTTGTCCAAGACCTGCAGGATATCACTGAGACCGCCCTCTTACCGCCCCATGTTATGCCGGCAAAATAAGCGATTTTCCCTCAGCTGCGACTCCCACCTTTTGAGGATCACTCACACAGCGAATAAACCAGCACAATGAGAGTAAGAAATACCTGATAGCCTAAAGCAAACATCTCATTAACTCAATGTCCAGATTCTCGATCCCCAATCTGCTGTCCTCACCAACATCGAGGTTCTGGCCTACCTAACAGCCAACCCGCCCCGCCGCTCTCCCGATCCGCCGCAGAATGCTGATCGATGGGTTCCCAGCCCAGACCTGAGAGACCACAACACCGTGGTTAAAGAGGTAAGCTTGCCTCTTGCTCATTTATATTTACTCGCATAATCTCTACAGAGGCTCAGGGACTAGTCATATAGTCTACCCGAAAAGCGGGCCGCTCCATCTCATCCCAAAATACTCAATGAATAGACGTACGAACAGAAACACAGCTAACATTCCATCTTAGATCCACAACTATGTCACTCGCATTTCGCCTCATATCCTAAAATACCCCCGCTACACCCCTCGTCCTACCTCCTCGCAATCCGCCTCCGCATTTGGAACCATGCGTCCCCCAGCACAAACCTCCGCATCTGATAACAACGATCTCACAAACTCTACAGCACCTCCCCGGGACCTCTTGTCAGAACAAACACCCATGGATCTTGCCCTCCGTGACTTGATCACACAGCTTAAGCCCTTTGGTCTTACCAAGGCCGAAGTAGTAATGATTCTGAACTTGGGTGTTGGGGTTACGACTTCGACCGATGGAGAAAATGGTGAAGAGATGGCTAATGGGGATGGAGAGATGGAAGTTGATGAGGATGGGAATGCTGTTAATGGGGAGGGTGGTGAGGAGGAGGATTTTGGTGCCATGGCCATTTTCGAGTCTGTTGTTGAGGAGCGGGAGCAGCGAATATCGGATGAGGATGTGCAGGTTGTTTTGGGGATTATTCGGGAGGTTTTGACTGAGCATTATGGGAGTTAGTATTTATGAGGTATAACTTTCTTTGGGTTTAACTAGATTTTGTGTCTTGTGCTTGATATCCCGGGTCCATTGGCCCTTCAATTCTATGCGACTTCGCTATCTTTCTGTTTCTGGATCTAATGGGTGAAACGGCTTGGTGTTTATCTGTATATAGAGTATAAGGTGAGCTAAGATAAATCCATTTCTATGTACGATCAGCTCGAATTAGCGACATCTGTCAAAAACTTGTGTCTATTTAATACAAATTCGAACTTGAATATAAACCAGAACCAAAATAAAAACGCCATAACTCTCATATGGCATGGGCCAATGCCATGCATGACCCGGAACAACAAAAAGCTCAAAGTGGTATCAAGTAGGAGAGGAAGACCTAAGGGTCAGATGCCAGAGGCATCAAGACAGTATGTGCAAAATATTCCCAAAACACAATACTCGATTACATATTTCCCAGACAATGTCGGTCATGTAGAGTATGGTGGAAATAGTGAGAAGTCAAGCGAGAGCCCAGGGGAGTTGAATGCTCCCAAACAGACGCTTTTACGGCTCCCCTCCTTTAGGAGGGTTTGGGGGTTCTTTGCCGTACATGAGATTACCGAATTTATTGTAAATAGGCTCATCAGGATCACCGTTTTCCTTAGCCCAAAGACCCAGATCATCATCGAAGAGATCTCGCTCCTGGCCCTCACAGACGTCCGAAAAGGTGACCCAGTTTTGTTCGTCTGTCCAGAGTCCGCCCCGTCCACCACGCATATTCCACCACTCTTGGCCGCCCAGAAGAGAGGACTGTGCCGCGTCGAACCCGCGAGCGGAACGCACGTATCGGCGGAGAAGGGCACGGCCCCAAGGGAAGAACCACATCTTCTCCCACCAAGTGTTGCGGAGTTTCTGATCACCATTGAGGTGAGCGAGAACAGGCACGGCAGCAGAATGGGGGTTGGTCATTAAGGGTGAATTATGCCAGGAATGCTCCTCCGGGTTTGGTAGCTTGTCCAGCGTGGCATTCCACTCGGGATGTGTAGTCTGAGATTTGGCAAAGCGACTCTGGTTGTACGGGTTTGGAAGGGCGGCGATGTCATCCGGAAGGAGGAGACGGTGTTCACGGGGAACACCAAACTGTCCTTGGAGTATGGATGTTTTGGTAATGTTGTTGTACATGATCCACTCGACATCATTCCGAGACATTATCTGAGTGAAGAACATTTGCGACTCGAAGTCGACTCCGATACCGTACTCATAGCGGTGCCCCGTCTCAAGACGGACACGGATTCCAGTTATGTTTGAGGCTTCATTGATGCCCAGGAGGCCTTGAAACCATTCTTTAAAACCGTTGGTGGTGCGACGCCGCTCCAGCTCGCGGACGACCTCCTGCCGCCCATACATCTGCGTCAGAGCTTGGTAATCGGCGTCCTTCTTGTGACGCTGCTCGAGAATTCGCAGAGCCTCATCGTAGATAAGTCGTAGATCCGCAGCCTGACCAATCACCGCGCCTGGGTTCAACCATCGGGGCCGATTCAAGTGCCCGTCAGGATAGATGTCCGTCTTCCAACCATAGGCATCCGGAGGTAATGATGACTCCGGGACAGAAACACAGCCAGGGTCCTCCTCCAGTGCACCGTAGCACAATTTACTAGCACCAAACAGCACGCGCTGCGAGTATTTTGGCACTAAATCCGGGGGAGCACCGGCAGTTGCTTTCTCCACCTTTGCGTACCCGTGCTTCTTGAGTAGTTTCTTGTTGTTCGTTCGCAGAATCTCCTGGAAACGTGTGACCAGAATCTCCGGTGGGAGCTGGAAGAAAACGTCCTCGGCATCGACAACCAGCACTAAGTCGTGATCCTTCACAACATGGCTCGGTTTCAGGTAATCGCGCAGGCGAGTGATCCGATCCACAATGCGCTCGAACTCAGTCGCACCGGGAGTGTTCTTTCCGTATCCGACCAGTGTTGGAGGTGGGTATCCCAATATCATGGCCGATGTCAGTGTTCGGCATGCACCGCGTGAGCCATGCTGCACAGGCACCAAGACGTGGAGATTTGGGTTGGGCTTGTCCAAGTCGTGAGGGAGGGTATCGTTGATGGCGACATCGGTTCGTCGAGGGAGTGCGACCTGCGCATTCTCGGGGCTTTCAGGGAATGGGTGACGCGATGGGAACTTGGTCCAGAAATCAGGCTCGGATTGCTGTTTTAGGCGTGGTTAGCATTTTGTTCCTGATCCTTTCCCCGGCGCTAATTAATTTGACAATCGAGGTGTATTCCAGGTCCAGGCAACGATATGGAAAGCTTACACTGGACGACGATAAGACCATAAAAAGAAAGACAAGGAATGCTAGAACGGAGTATGCGATGGCTTTTGACCTCGGGGTGCGCGGCCGTTGATGGTAGACCTGCCACATCATGGTAGTGGCAGATGTCTTGGCCTCCTTGAACTGCGGCAGTGGTGAGCTGGACGCCATGACCAAAAAATGCCAAGACTATCTCAGAATCAATTGAACAAATTGAACATGTCGTGGCACCTCGAGGTTGTAGGTGTCAACGGGAAGGCCACGCGGGACATACGCAATCGTTGCATGTGGAGATGGAAACGGCTTATTGATCGACAAATCCCTATTTCCGCTTCCAAGGGTAAGTTGGGACATATATACATAGTAGCATCGTGCAAATGCTGCCTTAAATTAAAGTAATTCTATCCCTTTGTACCTACTCCAAATATATCTCCTCCTTGAGTCGCTGCAGATTCCGGAATAAGCCACCCGCCGGTGCTCCACTATCACTGTCTCGCCTTTGCTCCGACCGCGACTTTAGACCGCGCTGGTTTTGATCAGCCATTGCTTGTTGATGCTCCAAATTGCGCCGTCGCTCATCTACAAGCCGGGCCAGATTATCCACGAATCGGTATCTTGCCTTCTCCTCTGCAGACCCTTTCCATACCGCTGCCAATGTTCGTAGAGTCTCCACGCGACGGGTCGCGGCCTCCAACCCGGCATGTCCACCACCCTCGCTGTCCAGCAGCTCCAATGTCTCGGTTCGTAGCTTTTTCATAATCTCCTGGCCCTTAGCTTCTTGGTCCGATCCTTCGACACTTATGTCAGGCCCGGAGACGGAAATAAAGGAGGATGAGAAGGAGATCTCCGACGGTGGCAGAGGCCACTCCATTGCGTCGCCGAAGGTCTGTACTACGTTCTCTAGTCGCGAGCGGACTTGGTTCAGTGTGCGCAGGTTGGTGATGTACTCCGGATCCGCCATTGTTGCATCCTTCTCCAGCGCCGCTTCGTCCGTGTCCTCGTCGTCCTCTTCATCCTTCTCGTCCTTAGTAGCTGTAGCGCTCTCGGTCGTTTCGTCCGTCGCCTTATCCTTGCGAGCAGCCGAAGCGGCAGTTGTATTCGGGGTCTCTATGACGAACTTGGCGATATCGTCCCGCAGAACCTCTGTCAAGGTCTCGGATAGGCCAATTGTTTCTCCTCGCAGCACCTCTACTTCGTAGGCGAGGCGCCCACCACTGCGAAGGATCTCATCGCTCAGCTGAGAGAGTGTGCTGGAAAGGCGAACGTTCTGGGCACTGATTTGCGAAAGGAGGGTTTGTACTTGGGCTGACAGTTCGGTTAAAGGCACAGAGCCAGGCGCTCGAGAGGCATTGGGTTGCAATGAGGCCACCGTCAGTGGGGAAAGTGAATCATTGAGGAAATCAGCGGGGTCGAAGTTGGGGTCGGCAAAGTTGGGGGTAAGGTCGGATGAGGTAGGGGATTTGACGCTGAGGCTGGCCCGTGCGGTCGAGCTGTAGCTTTGAGAGGACATTAAGTACAGCGCCTCACGATTGGAGTGATTAATTGATCCGAGCAATGGGGGCTTGGTGCGGGCAGAAGTCTGAGGTTCTCGTACAATTGGAAGCGTCAACATCGAATCCCCCAGATCCACTCCAAGCTTCACCGCCTTGGAAGTATACAAAGATACATTCTTTTATACTAAACAACGCAGATTTAAAATTCTTTCGATGGATTCAAGATACTACAGAAGATGAGGCATCTTGAAAGCAAATCAGCAGGATGATAACACTTTTGAATAATCAGATATGCATGGTTTGGGCGGATGATACCGTAATCGACAGCCCTAAAGGGAATGAAGATAGCATAAGAATAGATCCATCCTCGCCGTACCTTTGATCTAAACAATTATTCCATGCAGACGGGGCATCTGAAGGTATTGGATGGTGCACGTGATGTAGCCAGTGGTTGTGCTTTTTGTGGCAAAAGTTGATTGTGTCCACTCAGCCACCAACACTAGGTGCAGCAGACTTCAAACTTCAGACTCATATCCATTGACACTGATCCATGGATTCAAGACCTTAGCTCCGTTGCCTTCCTCTCTTCCGATCTCGCCCAGATCATGCCTAGATTAAAAGGAATCTCGATCCGATTCCCCTTTCTTCGATCTTCGTGGATCTTTGCGGATCTTCCTCTTTTCCAGCTTCCTGCTAGTCCAAACTTAACCGCTGCTAAAGTGCCAAGGTGCCAAGACACAACCAGTCACCCGAACACGAAGAAATACTGTAACATGCACGACCAGTCCAGACCATTCTTCATCGGGCGCAATCTCCCTCTTCCCCTGTGCCAGTCTGACAAAGTTCCGGACCTGCTGGTACCTGCTGCCGAACCCCATACAAACGGGGCTCGGTGCCGGTCCCTGAGCCCCAAACTTGGCCCACTCTTCGCCGGAAAACCCTGTATTCGCCCTATTAATATCCCCGATACATCTCTTCTGGCTGCCCCCGATCATGCTTTGGCTTTGAGGTAATGTCTCAGATGAAAAGTTATTCCCGCTTTCTCGGCCTTAGTTCCCATCTTAGCTCTTGTTGGCTCGCTTTCTGGTTTGTATGCATCCAGACTTGGAAGCATCACATTGTCTGCGGGAGATACCCACCCCTCCACTCCGGACTCCTCTGTAATTAAGCCAATCGCTTATGAAGTACTATCTACTAGCTCTTACCCGGATCATTTATCTTGACCAGATTAGATCCGACTCAGCTGATTTTCTTCCGGTCACTGAGAAATGCTCCATCGCCCTCCATGGTCTTCGCCTGAACAAGCACGCTAATGGGGGGAAAAGCCCCTCAGTTCATCGGAAATCATGGGAGAGGCTTGTTTAGCCGAAATCGAGAGCAGCCGATAGGCTTCCAGACTTTTGCTGCCCTGCATCTCAGGTACTGCAAGAAGGAGCCTTCATGCAGCTCTGATGCCACCATCATTACTGCCGGGGTCCTGCCGCCCAGAATGCTTGGCCGTCAATGCTGATTGGGTCATGTCGCTTTGATTCTCCTCTTTCCTGCGTGCCTTGCTGCTTCAGGTCAGGATCAAGGATGGATACAAATCCCGATATGAGCCGTGGACTCCGTTACTTCTCCCTACGAGAATATAAATTGCGCATGTTCGCCCCAACAATTAGCTAGGAAGCACGTCAGTCATTTCATGGAATATCTCCTGACTCTTGATACTACTGCTATTTAGTGCAGCTAGTACCTCACTATTTGAGACTTTACTGTCTTGTCTTATATCAATTTTCTTTTGGGTTTACTGCCAAGAGGTTCTGGTTCTTGGAACTAGACAGTGTTCTGTTTTTTTTTTCTGGGAATCTTCCAGTATGACTTCAACCTCATGTACTACAACTCCGGCGGTCAGTGGTCAGGCCACTGTCGCAGGAAACATTTTGGTGATTGCTAGAGATTCTTCGTCTCTAGTAGCTGCAACCGATGGCCTCAATGGCTACGGAATTCCTTATACCACACTTGTGGTGCCCTCAACCGGTGCTGCTCTGCCTACGCTCAACAATACCGATGGAGGTCTCTTCGGAGGTATCGTTGTGGCTTCAGGAATTAGCTATGACTACGGTGACGCGGGCTGGGCAAGTGGCCTGACTTCGGACCAATGGAATACGCTATATGCTTATCAGCTTGAGTATGGTGTCCGTATGGTCCAATACGATGTTTACCCTGGCTCGGACTATGGAACCACTGTTATTGGATCCGGATGCTGTGAAAGCGGCGTCGAGCAGGACTTCTACTTCACGGATATCAGTGACTTCCCTACCTCTGGACTGCGTACTGGCTCTGCTGCCGGTGTGAGCACTGAAGGTCTATACCACTACTCGGCCTCTATTATCAACACCAACAATACCAAGTCAATTGCATCTTTCGCTGCAAACTCGGTCGTCACCACTGAAAGCACTGCTGCTGTTATCAATGACTTCAATGGCCGTCAGCAAATGGTATTCTTCATGTCATTGGACCCCAGCTGGAGTGCTACTTCAGCATTCGTACAGCACGCCTGGATCACTTGGATAACCCGCGGTCTTCATGCTGGATGGCGTCGTGTCAACATCAACACCCAGATTGATGATATGATGTTGACGACCAACCTCTACGAGCCTTCTGGTACATCCTTCCGTATCACCACTGATGATATGGACGGTATTCTTGCCTGGATTCCCAAAATCAACGCTAAGATGAACGCCGGTAGCACATACTTCCCAGAAGTTGGTTTCAATGGTAACGGAAACATCGACCGCTCTTCAAACATTGATGATGGCTGGGCTATCTGCAGTGGTGGTGGTGTCTATTACACCGCTGCTGCGGCAACAACAGCTGAATGGCAGAAGCCTCTGGGTACTGGCACTGACCAGTGGCCCTCTACCCCTACCGCTTATGACTGGACCACCAACTGCACCAGCCGCGATCCTCTTCTGCTCTGGTGGCAAAAGAACCTGAACAGCTTCGCCCATCTCTCCCACACATTCACGCACGAGGCGGAGAACAATGCTACCTATGCCGATATCTACAAGGAGATCAGCTTTAACCAGGCCTGGTTGAAGCAGGTCGGAATCGACCAAGCTACCTACTTCACGGGTAATGGTATCATTCCTCCGGCTATCACGGGTCTTCACAACGGTGATGCCCTTCAGGCTTGGTGGGACAATGGCATCACGAACTGTGTTGGTGACAACACTCGCACGGCCCTGCTCAATTCCGAAAACTCCATGTGGCCTTACTTTACCGAGCTTGCTGATAACGGCTTTGCTGGCATGCAAGTCAACCCTCGCTGGTCCACTCGTATCTACTACGACTGCTGCACCCCTGCTTGCACCCTGGCTGAGTGGATCAACACCTCGTCCGGCTCTGGCGACTTTGATAACCTCATGGCCACCGAGAAGGCTGATACCATCCGCCACTTCTTCGGTCTTGCCCACGATCCGTACATGTTTCACCAGGGCAACCTCCGTAACGCTGATACCGATCCTATCACCGTGAACGGAGTCTCGTATCAGTACTCTCTCTTCCAGGTCTGGGTCGAGACTGTTGTGCAGGAGTTTGTCCGCCTGGTGACCTGGCCTCTCGTGACGATCAAGCACGCTGATGTAAGTTTCCTTTTCCTGGGTCATTCTAGACCCACTCTCTTTTCCTGTCTTCAGTGCTAACCCTCTCCCCTTATTAGATGTCCGCTGGTTTCAAGGCTCGCTACACTCGTGATGCCTGTGGATACGCCCTCAGCTACACCACTGAGGACAATGAGATCATTGGAGTCACCATCTCGGCTACTGATAATACCTGCAGTGTGCCAATCCCGGTGACTTTCCCTGTGGCCCCCACCTCCACTAAGAGCTATGCCACTGAGCAGCTGGGCAGTGATCCTTTGACCGTCTGGGTTGATCTTACTGGCTCCCCTGTTTCCTTCACCTTGTCCACCCCTATTCCCCTGTAAATTTCCAAATTCTTTTGGTTCAGGACTTGTATTTAGAGCTCTCGCAAGATACGAATGGCTTGTCTGGTCTTTCAAATGTGTGGTCTTGTTATTATGTGTGAATGTTTTCCCTTTTACCCCTAATGGTTTACATACTACAGTACTTATAATGAATTTCATCAAGTGTGCTTATTAAATGTACCCGGGGCACACGAGTGAGACGGACTTTCAGACTGGTGCAACTTCGCTTCCGTACAGAGTCACTAATAACCATATCCCGTTTTACGATCCCGTTTTACGCTCTCGTAGATTCCAGTCCTAAGGTTCTACTGTACGCGGTACCTTTGGTTATTGATTTGAAAGCTGTCACTCCCATGGATGCTTGGTCCTTACCTAGGTGGCTGGTTTCTCAATGATTTAGTAGTATTAACTTGGATGCTTTATGCATCCTACCGCAAACTCCTGCACCTGACTGGACGACCACTAAGTGTCTGGGTTAAAAGCCTCGGCATGTGCCACTTCTCAGATGATCTACAGGTTCGTCTGTACAATGAATTATCAAGGTAAATAGATAGATCCCCGGTCTAGGTACCACAGACGCTTACTTATGCCTCCCACTGAACGGATTCTACAATATAACTCTACGTTTCTCTGCGGGCCCGGTCTGTCACCCAAACCATTCATGATGAATGTGACAATTCTCAAGGTTCTATTAGTAATAGAACTATGTATTAGATTCCATGTAGTTCTATCCATCTTCAACCTTTCTATGTATACAGGGCATGTTTGAAATCATGCCTCAGGTCAATAGTTCGTTTAAGCGGTTCTCTGCTGCTCTTTCAAGGCCTCAGCCTCAGCCTCCTCCTTCGCCTTGCGCTCCTCCTCGCGCTTCAACTGATCAGGACGACGGACGGCGATATCCTTAGGACGGAAATCACTGAAGAAGTGCTTAAGCACATTCTCGATCACATAGCAACCGGCATAGTCGAAGATCATCAGCACAGTCAGAGTAACCTTGAACTCGTTGCTGAAGGGAACCAAGCGCAACTTTTCGTTGATCTCGGGAACAAACTCGGTGGCACAGGAGAAAGCAACAGCGGAGGCTGCAACAAGACCCCAGTACATGGCCTTGTTTTCGCGAATGGACTCGCGGAACGGACGACCCTGGTAGTTGATCGAGAATGTGGAGATTTGCTGGATCAGCTGGAGCAGGTAAATGGCGCTGTTCAGAAGGGACGGCTCAAACTCGCCCTCAAGGTCAATGTCGCTTGCTCTCCTGTGGTATTTATTAGTAACAATTTTTTGTTTCTCTGGCTTATGAATACTTACGGCTCAACCTTATAGACGTAATTGGAGAGGTAAATCAGAGTCACAATGTGAATGGCGAATTGACCAAGAACAGATCCAATGATGTACACGTTGAAGATGTTCGGCTGCGGGCGTTCCTTGGACAGGCCCTCCACAGACTGCTAATCATCAGTATCCATGTGACATACAAAATCAAAGAGGGATGCAACGAACCTTAGCGCGGGAAATAGACAAGAAGCAGACACTCATCAGCATACCACTGATAGTGACCTGACCGTCACCAAACTTAATACCTTCCAAATAAATAACACTCAGACTGTATGCACTAATCAAACAGTTCAAAGCGAGAATTTTATACATTTGGATTGTCGCAACCAAAGTGCAACGACCCTGGCGAAGAATGTTCGGAATCGCAATAACATTTGCCAACTTGCTGGTAAATGGCGCAGCAACAGAAGCATCACCCAGCTTGATAGTGGGCGGCTCGCTGTCATCCAATTCTTGTTCCAACATAGAAGAGGTGAGCTTGTCAGCAAGACCGGCTGCGGCAGCTTGGGCTTGCTGCTGTCGCTGTTGCTGGGGAGTTATGTTCTGCTGAATAGCTTGGGCACCAGGAGAGGTAATAGTGGGAATCGGCTCGCCGGGCTTGGCAACAGCACTCTTTTTGGACATCTCTCTCTCCATGGCTTTCTCATAGTGGGGGTTTCCAGGGCCAGGAGGGTAGAGATGGGCAATGTGCACAGGCACCGGGGGAGGAGGCTGGTTGAATCTCTGCATCATGCTGACCTGTTTCTCGTATAGCTCCTTCATCTTGGAAGTACGATAATGTTCGGCAATTCGGGTAAGATCGTCTTGGGAACCATTCAGAAGGGCGACACCAACATGAGCTTGCTTCAGAGCACCAACGTCGTTGGTACCGTCACCACACATCAGTGTAGTGTATCCAGCATCCTTAAGACCGAGCAGAATATCCTCCTTTTGCTTGGGAGACACACGAGCGTAAACCCAGGTGTGACGCAGAAGATCCGGGAGAGCCTTCTGGTCCTTGAACTTTGCCAGAGCGTAACCAGTGATACAGATGTCCTTGTTCTTCAGAATTTCCGGGTCCAAAGGCTTGGTGGGATCAACTTCAGTATTGAGCTTGTCGTCAATAGTACGCCAAACAAGTCTGGTTCCGGAGTTGTCATGTTCGGGAGCATCGAGAATAAGGACCTCTCGGTCAACAATCTCAACCTGGCGTGCGACATGGCAGGCAGTCAAAGGATTATCTCCAGTAATCATGACAACCCGGTGGCTGCTCTCGTTCAACATGCGGACGGACTTGATAGCGTCATCCTTGAGAGGACATTGCAAAACAAGGAAACCAGCGAAGATCAGCTCAGACTCAATTTCCTCCCGAACATAATTGTTCACGCGGCCCTGGGAAAGCTCAGATTCCGAAGAGAGGTACTTGTAGGCAAGAGCAAGAACACGAGCACCGTTACGAGTGAAGTACTTGTAAGTCTCCTCGTAGTTAGGAGGAGTGTTAACCAGCATAGAATTGATAGTCTCGGGAGCACCCTTGACACCAACGAAAGTAGCCTTGCTCTTCTTGGAGGTCTTCGGGTCATTGGTGGTGACGGTGGCGATGGTACTTTGGCGTTTCAAAGCGGAGGAGAATTGGAACCTTCTCTTGATTTGAACGGACTCGACAGGACGGGAAGCGACCTTGGGTGCGGTTCCCTTGGACATGAGAGTGTCATTCTTACCTAGCCCCCAGCCAAGCCACTGCAAAGTGGCTTTCTCCATGGGGTCACCAACGACTTCACCCTCGTCCAATTTCACCAAGGCGTGGGCACTGGCAAGAACAAGAGTGGTAGCAGGGCTAACATCTTCAGCCTTTGCCAAATCGGCATGAGCGCCGTCAGCTTCGACCTTGGCATCGGATTGACCAAGAGTGAGACCAGCAATTCCGTCAACGACGAGATCCTCACCAGTCAGGGTACCAGTCTTGTCGAAACAAGCAATATCAACACGACCGGCAAATGGAATGCGGAAAGGCTCCGTGCAGAAAATCGCAAACTTGCTCAAAGCAGCCAGACTAGTGTTGACAGCCAAGCTCAGCTCCATGGGCAACTCCGGAGGGACAACACTGGTAACAATGAGGACACAGTCCAGAAGGAGCTTGGATCGCTTGCGGTCTTTGGTGACACCCTCCTGCCACACGTACCAAGAGGCGGCAATCGCGAAAATGAGCAGGAAGAGAATGAACAACAGAGCCTCGGCATTGTTGGCGGAGACACGCTCAGTAGAGTAGATCATAGTGCGCACAAGGCTTCCCTGGCTGGTCTCGAATCCAGTCTTGACAACCACGCCGAGAGCACCGTTGTCCGGGGGCATCGTGATACCATTGGCCAGATTCGTCAGGGTCTCCTCTCCGTTTACATTGGGGTGAGTGACCTGGAGAACCTTGGTTCCACCGTGCACAAACGAGTTCTTATCCAAGCCCTCCGGTTCAATCAAGTCATCACCAGGGCGGAGCTGAACCGAGTCTTTGAGTAGAGGGGTACTCTCACCAGAAAGCATTGCCTCATTCACAATAACACTGCCCTCGACGAGAAGAATATCGCAAGCGACACCTCCATCCTCCTTGGTCCGGTTGACGGACATCAAGTCGCCGGGAAGAAGCTTATCGCTGGTGGTCTCTTGCCATTTGTTCTCACGGAAAACCCAGACATCGTACGGTTTGATGCTCATTCCACGGAACTCATTGAGAGTTCTCTGGCGCTGCCACACAACGGTGCTCTCGAACATGACAAGCATGAAGAGAGTGAACAGCGAGTAGTACCAATATTCATCCAACATCCACAAACCCACGCAGAAAACCTGGAAGACGAAGAAAGGCGCGACAGCATGCTCCTGGAAGAGCTCGATGAACCCAGGGACGGGAATATCGAAAGTATTATCTCCATAGTGCTCCTGAATGTCATCGACCTCCGCTTTGGTGGTTAAACCCTTGCTCTGCTGGAAGTGCTTGAGAGCAGGCTTAGGCTCCGCATCGAGGGCGTAAGACAGGGGCGCAAAGGTGCGACGTTCAGGGTAGTATAGGAAGCGGCGCTTCTGAAACAAGAACGAAATGGTCTTCTTGCCACCAGAGTTGTCGTGGATTAAGGTACAGATTTCAGCAATTCCAGCATTGGTGACCGGAATCACCTTAATCAAGCGGGCAGTATCAATGGACTTGGCGCTGATGGTGGTGAAAAGCGTTTTGATGTTAATATTCCACTTGGTCATCAGCCACAAGAGGGACTGGATCGTGATGATGGACCCCGCCCAAACGAAGGTCCACTCCTGGCCCTGGATGTAGGTATCATAACGCTCTTCGGACAGGTAGAAGGCGAAAAAGACAGGCCAAATGATCAGAAATGGCAGGACGTAGGGATGGAGTTGTATTGGAAGAGGATTGTGCAGGGACGCATGTTGAATCTGGGGGTCATCTGCGAGTTTTGCCCTGATGCGGGTTAGACTGAAGATGCATCAATAGGGGCAAGGGTCTCGATGAACTCACATGATGGCAATCGAGGTGACCACGAAGATGGTCGGGTGAAAGACAGATTAAAAAAGCATAAAGAAGAAATGACGACTACACTGTAGAAAGCTCAGAAGAAGCCACCTTGTAGATAAGTAAATTTGGTTTCCAGAGGGTTCGCCCGGTCTCCCCGACGCGCTAGACAGATTATGTAAGGAGTCCCAAGGTCGAGGCCCACATTACTTTTCCAATATAATGTCATAAGTCGAATCCACCTCAACAAGCCCAGCCGGGCTAGCTCAATCGGTAGAGCGTGAGACTCTTAATCTCAAGGTTGCGGGTTCGACCCCCGCGTTCGGTTCTTCTTTTTGTTTATTTTTGGAGGGTCATCATCAATCTAGGACTCAACAACAAGGTGATGATCCTATGACATTTTTGGTACAAATTCTCAATCTCAGTGGAAATTTTCATCGATCGGATTTCCGAAAAGTTTGATAAGAAATACTTGTGATAAAAAAAAATTTTTTGTCTTGACCTTCGATATACCTCGGTGTTCAGTAGGTAATTAGTGGTCTTCCAAGATATATATATATTCCTCACAACATGAACAACAACTCTAGTCGTGTGGACTAGGTGCTCAACTACCTACATCAGTCCGTCCAAGACCACCCCCTTCTCACGGCTCAACTGCTTCACCAACTCCGTCAATGCTTCCACCTGTACCTGTAACTGCTTAATCTCTAACGTGCAGTTATCTACCTTGATGTCAGGCGTACTTTGCTTGACTTCTTGCTTCCAAGAATCATCCAACTCAAAGTCCACATCCTCAGCTACCAATTCCCATTCTTGTTGATCTTCCTCGTCATCCTCTCCATGACGCCTATTCCATCGAATTTGCTCCGCCTGGTGAGTTTCGACCCAGGCTGTCAATACCAAAATAGGCGAGTAAATCACTCCCATTATGATGTCGTTGAGCTTCGCATAATGCTTCTTAGACAGCCACCATTCGAATGGGGCACTCACAAGCAAAATCTCGATCAGGTTGAAGGCTGATATATCTCATTAGGTTAACCTGTTTCTCTATATGTGCCACATGAAATAATGGGAGACAGAACTTACGCGGAATAAAGACATTCTCGTCGGGAGCACGAACGAATTGCATGGTTTTCTGAGCAAATATTGCCATGTACTCATCGTTAGCATTTCCAGAAATATCCTCATAGGCACTATTGTAAAGTGCAATGAGAATGTTCAGGAGTACTAGTGTACCAATCAGCATATTGCGCCTGAGGAGAGAAGCAAAAGTAACCCACGTACCGATCATGATTACAAAACTGAACACATAGTATAAAATGATTCCGAAAGGGAATGCAAAGTTCTGGAAAGTATCAAACTCAGGACTCTGCATAATAGTGTTCGCCATGCCTTGGATGATAAGCCGAGTGACGGGAATGTCACTATCCACTTGTGCCATGCCAATAAATGCCTGGAAGAAACCAGCCAGAACCACAAATAGGAGAGCAAAGAAAATCAAACTCTCCTTCATCATGACCCGAAGGACCACGAACATGGCTCCAAAGAATTTGAAAGAGTCCAAATAGAGCATCATGCGCATCCAAAACATGGGTCCGGCAAAGGCTAGGAAATTGTAGCTCAACCCATTGTAAAGTTGGCGTTCTGTATCGCTGCTTGAAGGCGAATGGGCCAACGCAACAATACGCAGGATTAAGGAAATGATGAGAAGACCATAGAGCGTAGAGTTGAAGGCATTCCAAAATTGAAGATAGTTCCACCCGACTTTCCAGAACTTCACAATTTCATCACAAAGGAATGCGAGCGTCATGCCGTACAGAACACCCTCAGCCACGTCGATGTCGCCAGTTGGGTTGACAGTGTTGATGACGGCAGTATAAACAGCCAGATAAATTAGAGAGAAGACAATCTGGCAAATGTTCTGGTAAAGAGGGGTTCGCATGCGATCCGGGTGGAAGTGAACCCAGAAGCTGGCATTAGCTTTCTGTTCGTATTCGACAAAGTTCGTTGGGTTTCCTTCTTCCTGGCAAATCCAGCCACGCCATAGGTACTGTATACACTTTTGATACCCAGCGGAGCTAATGATTCTCAGCGCATGGAGATCCACTGAGTGCTCGATCACATTGACAGCGTCACTTTCAACACCTTCGGCAAAGATAGAATAACGCTTGAGCAGAACGTTTTTCAACAGATAATTCTGATCTTGTTCAGACTCAATACTGTTGAAGTGTCAGTAACAGTGAAGATAAGAACCAGGCAACGGAGGACTCGTACATGCGCTTAGCGATGACTTCACAGGCCACAGCCCGGACTTCATGGAGATCAGCGTCCCAGAGCTCGACTGAAGCCTGAATCTGGAACCACCTCAAGCAAACAAGCAGACAGTAGACCACGCAAGCCTTATATTCCTCACCACCAGCTCTTTTGGCAGTCTCAATGACATCCTGTGTGATAAGACGGCTGTTTGGGTCGGTCAGGATATTCTCCTCGACCTCGCAGCAAACGACTTGCTCAATTTGGTATTTCAATCGTAGTGCAATTTTAGCAATCTCCTTGGATGAGTCAGATGACTGTGGCTCATCAGCAATGTATGATGGGAGAACTGAGGTTCGGTTAGCACTGCTGTTTTACACGGTGTTGATTATGACGTACGTCTGCGGCGCTCTACTGCCGTGCGGTGGCGTGCACGACGGCGATCGAAGTCGAACATATCCCTTAAACGACCCATTGTAGGTTGAAAAATTAAATGCCACCCAGAGAAACAGACTGGAGAGGCTGGAATGGTGAGTAGGTGAAAGCTTGGAAAGCGCGGTCCAAAAGGGATCCGCGGGACGATCCTAGCGCCTCCCCGCCATCAAGGGAATCCCGTGTGACGCGCTACGGAAAACTACTGAACTCAAATAAACATAAAAAAGAAAAATATCTCTAGAAGCATCATTGGCATTGAACGTCTCGGTTGCATCACACCATATATACATCAGAAAGTTGCATCTCACACCGTACATTCGAATAAATGTCGGAACATGGTTTGCCAAATGGCATAATGCCTGCTCGTGGATAGAACCCGGACTCGAGGTGCAGGTGACTGGCCTTGGTGGAAAGGCAATTCTTGACTGCAATCATGCCTGATAGCGCTTACATGGAGCCATCAAGCCTTTGTCTTTTCCATTGATCGCGTAAAATGTGCATGATTTTCTCTATCCATTTTTGCCCAGTTCTTCCTCCGCATTTTGCCTTTTGAACAGGTCAACAACACCGGTGTACGCCAGGCTATTACTTTACTCGGGCACACCCTCGTCGCTCTCAGAGCCGCTCTCGTCTCCGCTGACCTCCTGGTTCTCGCGCTCCCGCTTCTCCATAAGCTCCTGGAGAATAGCATCATCGTGCTCGGTAACAGCCTTGGGCGCCATCTTGACGGTGCAGTTACCTCCGGCGGCCTTGATGTTGGCCTCGATCCTTTGGATACCGGCTTCCAGCTGCTGAATACCCAGCTGCTTGTCCAGACATTGGCTGGTCAGGACGTACAGAGGGGGAGCGACCAGCTTAACCTTGATTTGGTTTTCGGGGGTGTTCTCGGCCTCGGCGGTGCGCAGGGCGTTCTTGACGGCATCGATACCTTCGTAGCTGAAGCAGGTGACTTCAATATCGGCACGGACCTTAGTGGGGGCGGGGGTGAGCTTCTTGCTGATGTAAAGCTGGAGCTCCTTCTTCACGGGTTCGCTGGGGAACTCGATGTCATTCCACACCTCGGGGTTGCTAAAGAAGTCAGTCAGTGGGGGTACCAGCAAATCCAGATACGGCTAGACGTACGAGATGGAGATCTTGAATGCATCGTGGGAGTGACCGTATTTCTTGTCCAGCGGCCAGGCAATCTGCTGGTATAGGGTCTCGAGAGGAGTCTGAGCTGCCTCGGCGACGTGACGCAAGATAGAGTGGACCGCCTTGCTCTTGTTGTAACGCTCCTCACACTTCACCACATCCTCGGGAGAGACACGGCGCTTCGACAGGTCGATGTAACCTTCAATAACCATCAGAGTCAGTTGCCGAGTCTTTGTAGGACAATGGAGCTTCGCTTGCCTTTCTCCTTATCGACACGGAGCACGATGACAACCTCGTTGCGGCCAATACGGATGAGCTTTTGGATACTGCGAATACGTCTTCTGGACAGTTCGGAGAGCAGGATCATGCCGTCAATGTTGTCGTACTCGAGCAGCTTCACGTATGCGCCCATCTCGGCAATCTACCAAACCCGGGAAAAAACGAATAAGCATGGCCAAGCGCGATCAAAGAGCAGTTTTCGGATCCTACCTGCTTGACATTGACCATGACATAGCTGTCCACCTCAGGGTACTTCTCCTCGTAAAAACGGCAATTTGTTAACGACATTTTGGCGGGGTTGCGATCTGATTTTCAGCGACGGGGTTTCGGCGGAAAACAGGACTGAGGAGACGACAGTCCAAGAAGCAGCGAAGGGCTCGAGCCTAAAAGCAAGGTTCTGAGCAGATCGAAAGGATCAGGGGGTTGAGAGTGTATCGCTGGGCGGAAGCACAATCACTTCAAATCACCATTGTGGCGGGCTCAAAACCCACACAGTCACGTGAGCCGACGACTTTCCCAAATGCACACGTGACTCACCGCCTCGATATACTTCGATTATGTCACTTCGTAGGTGCTCCGCTGCAAAGTACAGCTGACTCCACTGGTCCCATTTTATTTTGATCTGAATGTTGTACAGAAAAAGCACCGAGCGCAGATGGGAATCTCAACCCATTCTGGTTGGTCTGTATTTTCCCAATTGCAGGACTCAATTCAGACATATTACCTCCCACATATTATATGACAGATCTGCATGGACGAACTGTGATACATAGCAGCTCTGGCCCCGCTTATCGCAGACCCTAGTGGACACCGCCCTTGCTAGCCAGCCACGACAGTCGGATTGTTTTTCTCTTTTTCCTTCCTTCCCAGTCGCATTTCAGATTGTTTTTCTTGTCTTTCTATTTCATTCCATGGATGGAGGACTCAGGTTTATTTCTCCCCTGAAATTAGCTCATCGTCGGGTTCTTTCTTAAGCAAGCATCATGTCTGACTCTAGCCCGGCCGGGCAAGATACCGACGAGGCCCGCAACTTGCGAGATCGCCTGGCTGATATCTTTCGTCCCAGACCATTCAGCTCTGCGACGGATGATCGGGGAGTACAGGGTGCCCAGGGCCTGGGAATAACGAGCGAACCGGATGTGAGAACTCGCCTGTTGGAGTCGTACGACCGTTCGGACCCTGCGTGCGGTGAGAGACGTTGCAGCCATGGTACTTTTTCTCCACACATCGAAACAGCCGAAAGATTTGCGTACTCGCGGTCATCAGGCAGTCATATCGCGAGCAATGGGCTTGGAGAAGCAGGGATGGCGTCCAATCCCTTCCGCGGAGGTGATGGTCGACCGGAGTCTCACCAAGACTCGGAATACACGTCACAAATGAAATCATCCATCTCGGCTCTTTCCACTCAGGAATCCAAGAAACTGTAAGCCTTATTTGACGTATTCCGTTGAGGAGGCACTGTAAGCCACTTAAAAGAAGAGGGCTGACAACTCTTTACAGTTACGTATCCTATTACATTCCTCTTTTCAATTGGATTGGACAGTACCATTGGTCTTTTCTCCGAGGAGATCTGATAGCAGCATTGACTATCTCCTCCGTCTACATCCCAATGGCCTTATCCTTAGCCTCAAATCTGGCACATGCACCTCCAGTCAACGGTCTTTATTCCTTCGTGATCCATCCGCTAGTCTATGCGATATTAGGAAGTTGCCCACTCTTAGTTGTCGGTCCGGAGGCGGCAGGCTCTCTGCTCACGGGTGCAATTGTCAAGGCTAGCATTCATCCTAATGACTCCCCGGAAGAAGCAAGTGTGAAGAGTGCTATGATAATAGGAATAGCAACTGCGATGACTGGTGCTATGATTTTAATTGCAGGGTTGACTCGCCTAGGGTTCCTGGATAACATGCTCAGTCGGCCCTTCCTCAGAGGATTCATCACAGCCATTGGCTTCGTGATTTTCGTGGACCAACTGATCCCACAATTGGGGCTTGCGGAGCTAGCAAGTGAGACTGGGGCTAGCCATGGCACAACGGTGTCTAAGTTAAGTTTCATCATTCGCAATGCCCGGGAATGCCATGCACTTACTGCAGTGGTTTCACTCGTCAGCTTTGGGATCATCTTTTTTTTCCGGTACGTGCAAGAGCCCGCGTTGGTTTCGTGCATCACTGATATTTTTACAGAACCCTGAAACAGTGGATGGAACCTCGCTTTCCCCAAGTGGTTTACTTCCCTGACCGCTTTTTCGTTGTATTGCTGTCGGGGATTCTGGCTTGGTCTCTTGGCTGGGAAGAAAAAGGGCTCGAGCTTTTAGGATCCACCGAGGTCAGTGCAAGCCGCCTATTCGCCTTCCAGTGGCCCTTTCAAATGAAGTATATGGAGCACGTCCGCACTGCTATGAGCAAAGCATTCATCATTACTCTACTTGGTTTCTTCGAGTCTTCGGTGGCAGCGAAGGGCCTGGCCGATGTCAAGTCCGATGGAATCCAGGGTATGCACATTAGTGCCAACCGAGAAATGGTAGCTCTGGGAGTGGCAAATCTTGTGGGTGGTTGCTTTATGAGTCTTCCAGCTTTTGGCGGATACGGTCGAAGCAAGCTAAATGCGCAGACTGGAGCACGATCCCCAATGAGCAGCATTTTCATTTCCATTATCACTCTCATTGGCATTCTCGTTATTTTACCCTACCTCTATTACCTTCCGGTTAGTGTGATTCCTTTGGTCTCTATCTAAAACTGGCTAACGTCCGAAACAGAAAGCGGTCCTTTGTTCTATGATATCTGTCGTGGCATTTTCTCTCGTTGAAGAATGCCCACACGACTTAATATTCTTCCTCCGTCTACGTGGATGGACTGAACTCATGCTGATGTTCCTCATTTTCGTCACAACCATTTTCTATTCACTCGAGCTAGGCATGGCCCTCGGAATCGGTGTATCTGTCATAATCCTTATCCGTCATGCCACTCAGCCTCGCATTCAAATCCTTGGAAAGGTATCCGGCACTTCCACCCGCTTTGCAAACGCTGAACTCCAGCCCGAAAATACCGAGATAGTTGAGGGTGCACTAATTGTCAAAATCCCTGAACCTCTGACATTTGCCAACACTGGTGATCTCAAGAACCGTCTTCGTCGTCTGGAGCTCTACGGATCTAGCCGAGCCCACCCATCTCTTCCTCGCATGCGCCCTGCCGAGTATAACAAGAATATCATCTTCGATGTGCACGGTGTCACAAGTATTGACGGTTCGGGTACTCAGGTTCTCTATGAAATTGTGCGTGCGTACAACGAGGAAGGGACGAGAGTCTTCTTTTGCCGGCTACCCAACGACAAGGTGTTCCGCATGTTCGAGCTGAGTGGGATTGTTGAGGAATGTGGTGGTATCACACACTTCGTCCCCAGCGTTGATGAAGCTCTTCAATTGGCGGAATCAGAAGAACGATGGGACGACTAAAGTCGTGCTCTGTTTGCTCTGTCCCTTTTTAGATCAATCCTACCAGTGGAGCTTATCTTCAATTAGAATGGCCAAGCGGGCTCTTGGCCCGGCTTTGTAAATAAAGGCATGTTGTGATATTTGGTGCTAATATTGAGCGATGAATTTCAATTTGATCTTGTGTCCCATGCATTGTTGCTACTAAGACATCGACAGTAAAAGCCTCATCCTTGAAACGTTGTCGCTTTGAATAACAGAAGTAAAAATCAAGCAGCCGTTCGGTTTCAAGGTTATTTGATGGCGGCGATCATTTGCTGATTCTGGCACTGGGCTCAGTTGCACGCGGAAGGCCTTATTTCTCCCCTCTGATCTGCCAACCCTTGATTCCTAGCAGGGGAAATCATTGCGGTCCATTGTCTTCGTAGCAGTGCGGTCGTCTGGGTCGCGACAATGTTTTAGTAGTTGTGCAGCGTAGCCTAGCAGTCGCGAGGCGCTATCATGCTGCCCCCACAGAAGTCTTCCGAATAATCGGCGGATGGTGAAAAATCCTGAGCCCGTCGCAAGCACGTCATATTCATGTAGCGGTTTGATCCCCAATGACAGCCTTGCTAATGACGGCCCGTAAAAGAGTTTCGCTAGCATGAAGGACCAACCGCTCTTTTGACGGGGCATCATCCTCATCCTGACCCTCTGCCCGAGCAACATCAGCAACTAGTTTCATGCGTCCTTCGCCTCCCAACACAAAAACCGCACATGAAGCCTTCGACAATCGAACATGTTGTTTGGCAGCATTGCTCTTCGATGATCCTGTCAAATCAAGCTGCATTGCCAAATGTGTCTCCAGATAAGCACTGAGATTTGCAATCAAAGGACTGCTCAATTTCTGCTTCAAAGTACGTTTCGAGGTACTGTTTTCATGGCGCAAGAATCCAGTCAAGGAAGCTCGCGAGATACTGACATTAAGCGTTCGCAATGCCGGCGCAACCACTGCCGAAAACGCCAATGTGAGTTGCAGCTCCCTGATCACCTCTTCTACAATCTCATCCGCAGCTGAGCCTCCCAACCCCGTACGTAGCTTGTCCACGAAATTTTCCAGACCTTTACAGAGAAAAGAGGATGGAAGACGGAGGGGAGCACAGTAGGCATCGAAATTGGTCGACAAAAATGAAATGAATGTTTGTCGCAGCGCGTTTGGACATTTCGTCAACAATAACGGAAGAAACGTTGATCCTTCACGCGAAGTATCCCGTTGCATATTGGACTCTTGCTCTGAGAGGAGAACAGCTTTGTAGACTATGTTCTCATATTCTAGTGTCACCAAGATTCCGGGAAAGGAAGTGTTGGCGTCGCGTCTGTTTGATAGGTCGCGTTGGGATGAACCCGAGATGGATTGCCATCTGCATTCTTTGAGTGCTCCTGTTTTGGACAACGCGTCGTCATCTACTGCGCTGGCGGTGGCATGGAGACCAGCTAGGACATCGCCTGTCAGTTGATCGCGTAATCTCGTTGCGTATGTATTCAAAGCGGTTTGGTTGTTTAGTAGACTCTCGCAATCTTTCTTGTGGTGCAAGGGTGAGAGACGGTGTAAAGTCCAAGAAGTATTGAATATTTGTGAATATGACGCCGAATCCATAATGAATGAATTACTGTAATCCAGATTGTTGCCGTTCACACAAGGTGAAATTGAAGTTGACTATCAATGTTTTAAGCTTATCGATATGGACGCGCTCGGTGCAAACAAGGCAAACATCCTCTTGGCTTCCTCTTCCAGTCCATGTGCGGTTCTGCAAGAACACGCGAACTACATAGATCGTGGGGATCAAGCTCTCTGGAAAGGACGATGCCGGGAAGTGCTCATACTATACGAGCCACGAGCCAATTTTTCTTTTAAAAAATTGAAATGGGCTTTCATAGCAAATGACTGAAGAAAGAAAAAGAGGACTTGCCATGAGGTATCTATTACATAAACGCTACAACGCTCAATCTAATGCATTATGCTCTCCATCCCTGCGTGCGATGGCAATCCGAGCATCCAAACAGAATTGGAACTCCATTCCAGCGCCAAACGCTCTCTATTTCATGAGGAATCGCGTTTCTAGACGCGAGTTCTGCCTTGGCGGCATCAAACCAAAGATCGCGCACAGAACTATGCGTATTCTGCGCGTTCCGGCCAGAAGCCCGACCCCAGACCTTGGAATTCATGTGATCTTTTTCGTGCGCGTTCATGTCATGGTAGAAATTGTACATGAATTCTTTGCGCTGCATTCGCTGATTACCCCCGTCGCCAATCTCAGCGGAGAAGAATTCGACAATCCGAGCAAATGGTGACACTGTGAGAAGAGAGCTGATCCAGGAGTCGTCAGGCTCCCCCTCGGATGCCATAGTGTACCGGATATATGACACCAGTAAATGGATACAGTGATGGGTCGCAATGAGAGCCGCGGTATTGGTGAAGGGGGGTTCTCGAAGAATTCGACTTTGAAGTTCCCGATACATTTTTTGACGCATGGCTTGCGGTACTGGGACAGAGAGGTTGCCGGCTTCATATTCTCGAAGCAGCATGTTGGTGTGTTCGCGACGAGCAGAGGCGTACGACTCGAGGTAGTATAACGTGTAATACCTGAAAACCGTCAGTCCATTGACCTCAGCAGAATTTCGACATGAACTCACATCAATGGTGAAAGATGAAACCATAAGCTAGCTTTACCTCGCTTCACCAGTGCTGTTCGCTCGGTCTTCTTCGTTGGAAAGGAAGTTCTATTGAAAAGCGGCTCTGTCTGTACAAATCGATCCATCACCCTGTCTGCGAGGTAATAGCATAATCGCGAGCAAAGCTTTTGCCTCTGTCGCAAAGTCCATAGGTATCGAAATGTATACAAGTGACCACCTCGGGCGCTTTTGGACGGGGGGAATAAGTCGGACAGGAGGACCACATCATCTTCGGGGTTCCGGGTATAGATACGTTCGTTGTCAATGGGTGAGGGGAGGCTGCCATGGCGGTGTCGGCGGAGGTATAAGCGAACGATGCCATGTTCGTGAGAGGTCAAGACCTTGTTGAAGGACTTGCAGACTAGCTTTAGAGGGAGAAAATCGGCGGTCCCGCAGTGGGCGAAGATTAAGATTTGGATCTCGACGGGGAGGCCCCACGGCGGCAAAGGATTGGCATTGTCTAGACTGTCGCGCAAATGAAGAAGGGGAAAACATTAGCTAACGAATTTGAACCTCTATGCAATATAAAGCTCACCCAAGCGAAGACGAGGACGCCGGAATGTCGCGTTGGGATCGGTCCTTGTCTTTCGCGCCGGTCTTCCTCCCCTTTTGAATCGCAGCTCGGATTTTTTGCGCAGATGGCAGGATTTTGGAGAATCCGCTCATTTTGAAATTTATAAACACATGGATGAACCAGCTCCGGCGAGGCTACACGAATGGGAAAAGGTCAAGCCACTGCAGTGTCTCGAACGGGCGTTGACATTGATATCTGACTAAGCACGGAAAGCACTGCCTGAAGACGAAGTTTGTTTCTAGTTTCTCCTCTGGTTAGCACAAGCTCGGGGCCTAGGAGAAATTTCATATAATGATATGTATGGTTTTATTTGAAAGACCTTGGCTTGGGCGGATCCTCGATGTGGGCGAATGGCATCCCCGGTCCTCATAGCCTCGAGTTCCCAAATTTGTTGGCCTTTGTTTACGGACAAGGAGGACTGGATCTGATGAACGGCGCGATGCGAAGGTGGTCAAAGAAAGGACAAGGCTGTCAAATTGCTTATAGTGCTATTCTGGTACCTTTTCAGGGCTATGAATGTCTCGTTTCATACTCTTCAGGCTAGTTATACTTGGCACTTCACGTGTTCAAATCGACATCCCCACATACGTATCTTCCGATATCAGCTTCAAAGTAGCTTTAGATGGTGAACCAGTTTCAGTTCATGCAACTTTCAGAAGACTTGATTCATTACAACATATTCGCGGAACGCATGATGTTGTCAACAGTGTATACTTTGTGTCACCTCATTACGTCATTTGAATCTTGCGTCAGATCCCTGCCACTGTGATTGCAAGTATTCTGCCCAACAAGTTTTCAATTCTAACAATTGTCAACTCTCAACTATCAAGCACTCTTTCCTATATCAAGCTTACAAGTCAACGACATGAGCAACAATATCCTCGTGGTGGGTGCTACAAGGGGTCTTGGGGCCTCCCTCAGAGCACTATATGCAAAAGACCCAGCGAAACATGTCTATGCAACCTCGAGATCAGAATCAGCGCCCCAAACAGATAAAGCCACCACATGGCTGACTGGTATTGACCTCACGCAATCTGACGTGGGTCAAAAGCTGGTCTCACAGATTCCACCATCCACCAAGATCTCGACTGCGATCATTTCAGCCGGATACTTCGGCTTTGAATCATTTGATGCCCCAGATTGGGGAAAGGAGGTCCAAATGTATACTACGTCAGCAATTGCACCGGTGTTCTTGGTGCACCATCTTGTCAAGGCGGGTCTTTTAGGAGAAGCCAGCAAAGTTATCCTCGTCAGCAGCGAGAGCGGCAGTATCACTCTCCGCCACGAGAAGGAGGGTGGAGGGAATTATGGTCATCATGCAAGCAAAGCTGCATTGAATATGGTGGGGAAGCTGCTCAGCTTGGATCTCAAGCCCAAGGGAGTCGCTGTTGGATTGGTGCACCCAGGCTTTATGCGGACAGAAATGACCAAGGGTGTTGGATTTGACAAATTTTGGGATGCTGGTGGTGGTAAGCATGGCTTTTTGCAAGACTCTCAAAGGTATAAGTATGCTGACTTTTGTTCAGCTGTTACACCAGATGAAGCAGCTCAGTCCCTTGCATCATTTGTCGAGGATTTTGATATTAACAAGACTGGGGAGTACTGGGCACCAAGAGGGCCTGGGTAAGTCAACCCTTGTCTATAGTCGCACAATTATGTCTCGCTGCCGATCTAATATACAACAGGGATATTGGAACTGCAGAAAGTGTTCTTGGAAAAGGCTTGCCCACTCCCTTACAACTCCCGTGGTAAAGAATTCGAACATCGAAGGCTGTAGTAACTAAACAAATGGATACTTAGTCATTACCTAGTGCCTCGGTATGTGGCAATGGCAGTCCTGTGGCGCAGCACGTCTATCAAACTCGCCAAATCATTAACTCACAATATTTTTGTAAGGGATTGGTCGATGTTATTGCAGATTATGTTACATTAGACGATTATTTCGGCTTCCTCAAGATTTTACTCCTTTGCTCTTTCTTAGCACCATAGTGGGGCACCACTCTGATTATGCTATTTACCTAAATTTACATCATTTTAGCACTCTTCCGAACGTGGAAATACCCAAGCGACAGTAAATTACATGTATTACTAAAACACTATGTCTAGCTCCGAGCCACGAATGCTTAGCCCGCAAAATTACGATCAGAACAGTCAGTCCCATATTTCGTGATGTTCTCCTAGGCCTGAATTGCAAGATCATGTTGAATTCGATATGCGTAACTCAGATGGTGCGTATATAACTATCAATCTCTCCGAGTTACACCCTCTTCCCTCGGGGATCTTACCAGCCGACATAAAAAGCAATTTCACCATTGCGTCATACCTAAAATCAACTCAGCCGGCTCGATTTGAAGAACGAGAGCTCGCCTGGAACAAATCGCCGAGAGTTTTCCCTGGAATACCTAACAGCTCTCTTTAGGTGATGTGGTGCACATGGCCCAAGGGGTGACATGTCGGAATCCTGAAACTCGTTCGAGGCAAAGGACAAGGCTTCATACGGAGCCAGATTCTGTAAGGCGATCCGTAAAAGTCGCGGGGTTCAAGAGTCGGATGATAAGAGCGAGGACGCCGAGGATTTTTCAAGATAGCAATAAATTGTGTAATCTTACTCATTTATTCCCCTCAATTTCAGTGCATTAAGCAGCTTGACAATACCGTCACGCCCCTTCTCCGCGGCCAATAATAGCGGTGTCCGGCCCGACTTGTCTTGTGTCTCGAATGCGGCGCCTCTATCAAGCAGCAACCTAAAAATACCTTCATGCCCGTTATATGCGGCCCATGATAGCGGTGTCCGGCCCAACTTGTCCAGCGTTTCGATTGCGGCGTCTCTCTCGAGAAGCAGCTTGAGAATACCCTCATGTCTGTTAAATGCAGCCAATGATAGCGGTGTCCGGCCCGACTTGTCTTGTGTCTCGATTGCGACGCCTCTATCAAGCAGCAGCTTGAGAATACCCTCGTGCCCGTTATATGCGGCCCATGATAGCGGTGTCCGGCCCAACTTGTCCAGCGTTTCAATTGCGGCGCCTCTGTCAAGAAGCAGCTTGAAAACACCTTCATGCCCGTTCTCTGCGGCATATGATAGCGGCGTCCTGTCAAAATTGTTTTGTGTCTCGATTATGGTGCCTCTGTCAAGAAGCAGCTTGGCAATACGCTCATGTCCGTTATATGCGGCCCATGATAGCGGTGTCCGACTAAATTCATCAATCACCTCCATTCTGACATCATTTCGTGTCAACAGCAACCATATATGACCTTCCTGCCCTGTTTTCGCAGCGTTCAACAGCGCTGCGGCTGGATCTTTGCAACCCATAAAAATTTGTGTCATTTTGTCAAGGCAAATTTGCTCTGGACAGATGCTTTCGAATGTCATGGCATTTGGTTTTCTTGTACGTGTTATGCGACCGGCTTGGACACAAATACTTCTCACAGGGTATTGGGATGGCAGAAATATGTTTAGATCAAGCTGTTCGACACTTTCACTTTGAACCCTCTTAAATTGTTCCATGCATAAACGCGAGTCTTTTAAGTAGATGGCGATCAACTTGTCTTCTCCGCTTTTCTCTTTGCAGTCAAGAATTGCGAGCCCTAGGCCTTTGAGTCCTATTCCTATGAAGCGGAGGTCTAGATGAACCCCTCTACTGCTCATAGTGAAAGGGCTGCCAAGGGTACTAAATGGATCGCATCGGATAATGTTATGGGAGTTGGCGAACGCGCCTGGAGAGGTGGCGAGAAGTCCGCCGCGGTTGTCGGAAGACGACCATGCGAAAAGACTATTATCATCGGAGGTCCGCATTATTTCTTCCTGAAGTCTTATAAAGGCATTTTCTCCTTCTCCGTAAATCAGTGGCATATTGACGCTAAATATGCCCATCAAAGAATAGGCGCGGTCCTCCACTCTGGTAGTCTGTCTTTTTGCAGCCCATGACATTCTTTGCGCGACGCTAGATGCTTCAAGGTCTTCTTCTCCCAGCAAAATACTAGCAGGAATTCCTGTGCAATCGGAGATCTCATCCCGAAGATCTGCCTTATTTCCCAATACCTCCCACTTCTTGTTAAGAAATATCACACTTGATGGAGCAATTAACTCCTGAAGGGTCCAGCCCCTAGTAAGCCACTTACACTTCGGAATTCCGTCTTTAGATTGTACGTCCGCGAGATATGTGTAGCAAATCTCGGCGTTTCGGTACCAAAAGTACATAGAGTTGATCGCTTCAGACAGTTCAGCACTGCTTGTCTTGTCAATGCAACAAGTATCAACCCAAGCGTACTTATAGCCATTTGATTTAGCTATGAGGCAAAACTGCGTGATTTTCTCATATCCGCTCTTTTGGTTCGCGCTGGTCTTGTTGATTTCCTGATAACTAACTTCCTCTTTTGCCCAAGTATGTGACAAGATAACGTACGGCGGTATTTCATAATCTGTAAATTCTTGGATTGTAAACTCGCCATTTTCCCTTTTTTGCGTATCAATCAGACGCATGTTTCAATTCAGCGCGAATATTTCGTTGACTTCAGCGAATCAGGCTTGGAATACTTCCTAGTGGCGCGTTCAAGGGGGAAAATGGAGGGTGGAGAGGGCCAATCAGTCACTTTTGGGGGCGGCAGCTTTCGTACGCGAGTGGGACGGTGACTCGTTAGTCAAGTTCTATCACGGCGAGTTTCGAGATATTGAATTTGTAGGAAGGCCCTGGTGTATCTGTCTTCAGGAGAGGCAGTCGGTAGGAACGAGTAGGTCGATCTAGCTCAGCCGCCAGAGCAACGTTGGGTCTACACACACGTGACCACAACTTGTGTGAGAAGTTGCCTTACAGCCATAATACATTCAAACATATTGGCTTTCCTAATGCTACCGAGGGATGGAAGTTTGGCTCGAGCGTCGGCCCGAACCGACGTCGACCCATTCTGCCCGCGCCGCTCGAGAACCTTTCAGATTTGCGATGTTCGAGCAATACATGTAACCAGACGCTCTCGGTATTTTCATGCTCATAACGGTACTAAGATGACACGAATTCAGCCTAACGCAAAGTTTGGACCAGTGCCCCACTGTGGCGCTGAGGAAGAGCGAAGATTATAGAAGCTGAACTTGTCGTCTACTGTATCGTCATTTCAATTATAGCGACAACCAAGGCTATCAGGGTGAGTCGGCCGAGATATGGCAAACCCCTTTCCGTATTCCCAAAACCACAATCGGGGTCTCAGAACAATTTTTTGGAGTCAAAAGTACCCTTAACTTCACTTACAAGCTGCGCAATGACCCTACTCCAATATGGCGTTTAGAGTGGGGTTGATGGTGTTAATGATGAACATCTCTGACCCCTCACGCTATCATTGACTACAATGGCGCTAAATCGGTCCCGGTAGCTCTCTTAGCGTAAACGATTACTCAAGCCGCTATGTATCGTCAAATGCCACAATTTACAATTATGTCGCCTTGTCAATTGTTCCGATTTCGGACTAGGTGGCGTGTAAAAGGCTCTATATGGCGTGCAGACAATCTGCATACCTGAGGGGCAGGCTATCCGGTTTTATCAGCGGGGTGATACATCTGCTCAAAATCTGTCAATATGTTTAACTCTCTTTCATTTGATACATGAGTCAATTGATCCCACCATGACTCTACTAGAGAATCCGCAGGTCGCTACTTGTCCGTCGTTGGTCAATCTGTCGCAAAAGTCGGAGACCTTCAATCACCCTCTCAGTTTCACTCCAGCGCCTTCTGTGACAGCGAATGCTTCCAATAAATTGACTGCAAATGAGCACGAGGGAAAGATCAAATTCGCACTGGAGGAGCATCCCGTTGACAAAGTAAGACCTATTAAAGTGGGCATCATTGGGGCTGGACTCACGGGTATTACTGCGGGCGTGTTGCTACCAGCCAAGCTGCCTGGACTTGATTTGCGAATCTATGATAAAAACCGTGATGTGGTATGTGAAATGTGTTATCTCTAATCTTAACACTCATCTGTGATTTCCATCTGACCACTTTATATCCAGGGAGGTACATGGTTTGAAAATACCTACCCTGGTGTACGATGCGATATACCCGCGCATGCCTACCAGTCGGGCTTTTCACCCAACACGCAATGGACGGAGGAGTTTGCTCAGGGTGCAGAGATTAAAGAATATTGGCAAGGGGTTGCACGAAAGTACAATGTTTATCAGTACATTCGATCTCAGCAACGGGTCCAAAGGGCCGAGTGGCTGAGTGAGGAGGGAAAATGGAAGGTTACCATCGAGCACGTTGATGGCTCTAGCAAGGTGAGTTGATCCAGAAATATCATAACCATTCCATACTAACTCCTTGCTTAGGCCTATGAAGAAAAATTAGACATTTTGATCAACGCGATTGGCCATTTCAATGCGTGGAAGCTACCTGATTATGAAGGAATCAACGATTACAAAGGAGCACTCTTTCATTCCTCCAACTGGGACCATAATATTGATTTGAAGGGAAAGCGTGTGGCTTTGATTGGAAACGGAGCTTCAGGATTACAAGTCCTTCCTTCTATCCAACCGATTGCCAGTCATGTCGACCATTATGCTCGCAATCCAACTTGGATTGCAGACTCGTTTAGCGGTGGCAATGGCAGTGCTCGCCGCCTGGAACCAAACCTTATCTCTGAAGAGCTATTGGAGTCATTCAAAGATCCTCAGGTATATCTGAAATACCGTACGCAAGTTGAAAAGACATTTTTCCAACGATTCGGCGCAATTTTCAAAGACACGCCCGAGAACCAAGAACTGAAGAAAAAATGGTCAGATCTGATGCTAAAACGCATCGCTGATAAACCCGAGCTAGGAGATAAGATCCTGCCTGATTTCCCACCAAACTGCCGCCGTCCTACTCCAGGACCTGGGTATCTCGAAGCCTTGACCAAAGAGAACGTCAATTATATCCAGACGCGTATTCAACGCTTCACAGAGAAAGAAATCATTACAGAGGATGGTGTTGAAAGAGAGGTAGATGCTGTCATTTGTTCCACAGGCGCGAATACCGACCACGCACCGCCATTCTCGATTATCGCGAACGGCATCGATCTCAAATCAGCTTGGAAGAGGGACGGTCATTTCGGGTTCCCATACTCTTACCTTGGATTCGCGACACCCGGATTCCCTAACCTCTTCTGGCTCGGTGGTCCCTATGCAACTGGTCATAGTGGTACTGTCCCAAACAGCATCGAGAATCAGATCACATACGTTGTGAAACTCTTGAGAAAGGTGCGCAGTCAGGGCATCAAATCTATCGTGCCATCTCAGGAAGCCACAGACGATTTCGTGGAATACTGTGACAACTTTTATCCACGCACTGTCTGGTCTGCTAATTGCAGTTCGTGGTACAATGGCGGCCAGCCTGGTGCACGTATTCATGGGTTGTTCCCTAGCAGTGCATCTGCAGTAAATTACATTCGTCGAGATCCTCGCTGGGAAGATTGGGAATACACTTATGTTAATCCAAGTGGAAATCGCTTTGCTTACTTTGGGAATGGCTGGACTTCGAGGGAACTCGAGCCAGATGCTGATTTGACGCCTCATCTCAGAGTTCCCGAGGAAATTGATCTGCGTTCATATCTGGAAGGCTGGTGGGATGTCTGAAGGCTTTTTTTATAGAACATTATACGGATTTTGAAATTTATGTATTTACCTGAAGCTTAATCCATATATGCCTTGGTAGGCTATATGTTAAATTTATCTAGGCTAAATCATACGTATTTCCCAAAGTTGTCGCCCGTTAGTCCATAGGAGCCACAAATATGATCATTTGGCTTTGAATTCCGCAGCTTCAAGTTAATATGGCATCAGAGCATCAGACTTTGGCCATTACTTGATTGAAATTCGAATAACGATGTCCCCAGTATCTAAGGGGGGGGAATGTGTTTTCATTCTGTGTATGTATGGGACTGCCCAAGTAGTTTATCGGGTCTCGTCTAATGAGTAGGGAGGTACCTCCTCACCCTCCTTCCAAAAGAACTTCGCTCCATGATGGGTATCAGGGAGTCTTGATTGACCCTTCTTCCCATACATGTTCTCTCGGAATGTCCCACCCTTCACAGCATAATCTGACCAGAAAAGACCACGCCGTTGCAGCTCAGGAAGCAGAAGGTTTATAATATCATCAAATGTGCCATCAAGGCTGGCGTAACTCAGATTGAAGCCATCGACATCTCCAATGTCAACCCACCGCTCGAGCTCATCAGCCACAGTCTTCACACTACCAATAATCTTGACTCCATTGCCACCTAAAACGAGGTACTCCGCAATGGTCTTCTTATCCCACTTCTTACCCTCTGTTCCAGGCACCGTGCTCGCCCAGTGATTCACCATGCTTCGCACTGCCGGCTGCTCCACGAATCGGAAGTCCTGATCATCAGTATATGTCGAGAGGTCATAGCCCGTCCAACCACCAAACAAGGCCAAAGCACCTTCAGTATCTCCGTATCTCTTGTAATCATCAAAGTTGGCCTGTGCCGCCTCATCTGTGTCGGCAACAATGACAAGAGCCCCAGCGATGACTTTGATGTCTCTTGGGTCCCGTCCCAGATCAGCAGCTTGTTGCCGAATACTGTCAACGGAGGGGCGCACGAGTTCTGGCTTCTGTGCATGAAGAAACACAGCTTCGGCATGTTTTGCCGCAAAGGCCTTCCCAGCAGCTGAAGTTCCAGCCTGCAACAAAAACGGCGTGCGCTGGGGACTTGGCTCACAAAGATGAGGACCGGGAACTTCGAAGTAATTTCCCTTGTGATTGATCTGTCGAACACCGCTGGGGTCCGCATATCGCTGGCCGTCTACGGGTCCCTCTGGTGTTGCATCCTTCTGATTCCACTCCACCGCATCATCTCTCCAGGACGCTTCCCAAAGCTTGTAAGTGACATCCAGATATTCATCTGCAATGCGGTAACGCTCGTCATGCTCGACCTGAGTATCGAGACCGAAGTTTCTCGCCGCTGAATCTAGGTATGATGTAACAATGTTCCAGCCGACTCGACCATTGCTCAAATGATCGACTGTTGAGAAGCGGCGTGCAAGTGCATATGGTGCGTCATACGTCGTTGATGCCGTTACTCCGAAACCGATGCTCTCTGTCACAGCTGCCATGGCGGGAATGCTGTAGAGTGGGTCATTGATGGGAAACTGGGCACCAGCAGGAATAGTTGGCTCCAGATTTGCAGGGCCTCGGTATACATCGTAGCCGCCTAAGACATCGGCGAAGAAGATGGCGTGGAATTTGGCTTTCTCAAGCTTTTGGGCTAGGGCCATCCAATGCTTGATGTTCCGATAATCTGCGCCTTTGTCTGAGGGATAGCGGAAGAGTCCTGGATTCAAGTGGCTCGGCGATTGCATTACAAATGCATTTATGCAAAGTAGACGAGAACGCTTCTTCTCTGTTGAGCCCATTTTTGTGGTCTGTTGAGGTCTCGTCGATTGAATTAAAGTGGAGAGGAAACAATTGATAGTTGCAACCGTGAAAGTTCTCGATTTTTGAACCTTTCCATGTTATTCTTCGGTGCTGCAGCCCTTTTTTTTTGCTGCTAACCCCGCAGCCCATGCGGGCGCGCTATCGCGTGCATTGTTAAGAAGACGTGAAATTGGAGTCTGATGGCGTCAGCATTGGCAATTATCGCGGGTGGGGTAGGCTACAAGTTTCTCGACCGAGTGAATAGGTAACGAAAGAAACTTGAATTGATCCTGGTCAGGGAAGTGCATATGGGAAATGGATTAAAAAATCCAGCATTTGTACTATGCAAGTTGGTGTATGCTATGTATTGCATTTCCCGGTAAACTACATATATATACACCTCACGTCGTTCTGGTATTGGCCTACCCCCCACAGATTTGAATGATTACACTTACGCTTTTACAATAGATATTGTGGGATAGATTGTAAGTGGTCCCTTTTAGATGTGTTTTAAATGGTTATATGAGCATAGATGACTAACATATATAACGATGAAAGTAATTACGGATCAATACGTATGCGCGAAGTACAGTCCAATCCTGAAAGAAGTAAAAAAGGTATGCCTATATGAGCCCGTTGGTTGTGTTACTATATTCTGGTTGATAATTTACGTCTCACACCATCTTATATATTCTTTGCTCAACTGGATGGACAATCAGTACGGACCTTGCAATGGATATAAGCTAGGTAGGCTTCTCTTCAAAGTCTTGATATGGGTTTTGCCCTATTTGATAGGTTTTCCTATATCTTGGAGCAAATGCAGAGACTACATTATGTCATATTCATAATTATGCCTTAATCATATCGTGGGAGCGAAAGCTTGGTAAAATAACCAAGGGGGTAGGAATGTTGAGATCATTAATACAAAAGCTATTTCATGCTATTAATATAGGCCCCTACTTTCCTAGAGGGTTAGATTGTTACGGACCCACAAGGGCCGCACCGCCCGTGGAGCAAAAAGACCTAATCAGTCTCGAAGAGCGGGACATGAGGCTTCCGCACGACCAAGCGGGACCTATCCTAAGGTAGGTTTAACAGATCAGTTTATGATCAGGTAGGGCAGCGCGCCATTACGACATTTATTCTGCCCAGAGTATCTGAAGGTGAAGTAAACGGTTTAGCTTATGTCGGAGCTATCTTCCGGGGATCAAGCCGCAAAAGCGTGGCGGTAAAGCTGATTTCGAAAACTACTTAATGTATACTCCCTTCACACCTTCTAAGGTTGATCATGGATCCCAATCATAGCTCAATCCATGGATATACTTCCAAGATTTCGTTTGAGCAAGTGGTCATTACATCTGAGGTCGGGAGTTGTTTTATGGCAATTTTATGGTAGTATAGGTGAAATATATATCCTGCGATCTCGAGAAGTTCTGACTTATACAAGGAAGGTTCCAACGGTTCACGAGGCCCCTTGAAGGTCCGTGAAAGTTGATTATTTGGCATTTTTACAAATCATAAGTAATAATTGTGACGTATTGCTACGGCTGAAAGCAATTTCCCAGAACCTGAAGCCCGAAAAAAAGCAAAAAGAAATGCATCATCCGTGAATCGAACACGGGCCTCGTCGATGGCAACGACGAATTCTACCACTAGACCAATGATGCTAGTTCATGTAATGGACAGGAAATTAATGCTCTAACAACCTATAATAAATTGTCAATGGCCTTGACTTGCCCCCAGTAACTAGCTCCTCTCCCTTCACTTCCGGATTCATTTAACACCGGGTCACGTGCCGACTATAGTTCTAGACAAGGCCTTTTACTTAGTTATTTCTCTCTTTTCTTCTTCTTCTTCTTCTTCTATATCATACCTTCTATCAGATTTGTTGCTCCACACTATCGTCCAGACTGCCAGGTTCTTAACACTTTCACCAGATACCATATATGACTATCAAGGTGACTACCCCGTCTCTTCAATTTTCGTTACGTGAGCGGGCTTTCACATCTTTTTATATAGAAATGGACCTCTGAAGAAAGTCAAAATTGACCCTCTTACTGGGCAAAGGTATATTGATGTGATTGTTCAGAACACGATTGAAGTCATCCTGAAATACGAGACGATCATCTGGAGTCAATAAGACAGGTATCAATACACTCAACAAGACGGAAGCAAGATCAAATCGTCCATTGATGGTGAGGTCCATGACAGCCGATAGATAAGGTCCAATGACAGAAGAAGACATGGGCTTACTTCGTGACATTGTCTCGAACGTTGCGGGCTTATATTGAATACTGCCTTTCAAACGGGCGTCAGAACCGGGACCTGGTAATCGCGAAGTTCCTGTGCGTCACATTCATGGCCCGGCCGCAGACTTAGAGCATATTCGCATTCATTACACTCGAAAGTTGTAGAGGAACAAAGCCGTAGTCTTTCAAGTCCATTTTAATACCTTAAACCATTGAATGACTCGGACTGCTATGACGTATGTGAAATCAATTGGGTATTGACCTATGTCTTGTGATAAGAATTAATGCTTGGCACCAATTTCCAAGAGTCTTTGAACCGGGAATCTGAAAGGCCTAATCATAGGGTGGAATGGTGTCAATCAGCATACCCTATATTGGCAATCTTCTCAAGAGAGCGGCCTAAGAGATGTGATTCGGAGATGTGATTCGGAGATGTGATTCGGAGATGTGATTCGGCTGAATCCAAAAATTCACACCAGCCGCATACGAAAATCAAAGAAATAGGGTTAGTCTCGAATACCTTATCTCGGGTGTACATGCATGCGACAAGATTTGGAGCAAGCCGCGACATTGTCCACCTAGCAATAATGTCGAGGATATACCCGGGTACCTACTATTCCAGACTAGACTACCCTGGAATATGGAGGTGGTTGAGGGGTAATATACACTAAGCCGCCTTTTCCTACTTTTAATTGAGATTGAGATGTATATGTCCTGGCCCAAATGAAGCGTTATCTTGCGTGTTGGCTTGAATCAAGCGAAATGATGGTTGAGACTGTTTCAAATTAAGAGCTAAATTATTATCATCGCTAATAAAAAAAGGCATGAAACAAAGACAGACAAAAAGAGGGTGGGTATCGTCAAGGATCCAATCGCGTCCAGCCATACAAATAGGGCGAAATCCCTAAAGCTTCCAATCATCAACGATCATAATGATCGGGCATTTCCTTTGGGTAGCAAATATACAGCAACTGGGGGTGAAAGTCGTATCTTCATAGAAAGCAAGTATGAAAAGGGGGAAAGGCGAGTGTACGGTGGCATAGACGGGGCATCTAGATGTCCTCGACAACGCGCGCGTTCACCACACTCTGGAAACCATCATTCTGCTGCTCTTGGCCGTACCGGCTGGGACCCTCCCCGAAGCTATCGGCAGCAGCCATTTGCTGCGAGACATTGGGGGCGCTGGGCATGAAGATAACCTTGCTACCGGATGTCTTTGCCATAGACTGCATAGCCTCCAGATAACGGATCTGCATGGCAGGGGCAGAAGACAGGATATCAGCAGCCTGGCGCATCAACTTGGCGGACTCGACCTCAGCACGAGCAGCAATGACCTTGCTCTCACCAATCCGCTTGGACTGGGCCGCCATGGAAAGCGAATCCTGTAGATCGTTGCTGAAGATGATATCCTTGATGAGCATCGACTCGACCTGCACACCCCAGCCGTTGGCTACCTCCTCGATGATCTCCGATGTAGACTGAGCGATCTCCTCGCGACGCTCGATGACGTCCTGCAGAACGCGGGCTCCGATCACATGGCGCAGGGTGGTCTGAGTGCGCTCGATGAGGGCCTGCTTGACGTTTGCGATACCGAAGGCAGCGATGTGTGGCGAGGTGACTTGGTAATAGATGACGGAGGTGAGGTTGAGGGTGACGTTGTCCTTGGTCATGCAGACCTGGCGCGGCACCTCGACGATCTGGATCTTCACGTCCACGGTTGTCAGATGTTCACTAAGTGGGTTGACTTTGACCAGACCGGGGTCGACGGAGCGCTCGAAGCTGTTGGTTGAATTAGCACAATGCGCACGCGACAGGGTCGGTGATATACATACCGTCCGAATCGGGAGACCAGACCGACCTGACCTTGATCGACTGGCTTGAAGGGGTTGGGGCAGCAGATGCAACAGGGAATGGCACCACAGAAACCGATGCATGCACCCAGGTTGTGGACTGAGATAATAGAGAGGGATAATCAGCTACGCGACCTCATCGAAACGACAGATTGATCGATCTCTTCAATACTTACTCATTTGGGAGTACCATCCATGCGCATCTGGGTTGTCCACGTCATGTTCGATCGTGGAAGCATATTTGGGCTGCAGATCGGCCAGACGAGCAGGCTGAACTTTGACCAGGCCATGGGGCTCTGTGCGACGTGGGGCTATCTCAGGGTCCTGAGCTGGAGCCTTGCCGTTGCTTACACCGTTGACATCCATGTTTAGGGATAAGATAAGTGACAATCAGAGGCGTATTTAGGACGAAAATGGGTGGAGGTGGGATGAAAGATGGAGAGAATGTAACAGGGGAGATCGTAAGGTTTTAAGGATCCTTAAGTAAACAGAGCTCCCCGAGATCAGCCTTGGCCAACCGTCACACCCTGCAAACGATATGCGGATGAGCTTCTCCGCAGTGGGGCATATTTTAGGCACCCACCAATTACACACCACTATTATCGGGCGCTCAAGACCCAAGACTTCCTAAGGCTCTTGACTTTCTAAGCCCACTTGCTGAGCCCCCCGGGCGCAAGGACCCCAGAAGTCTTGGGTACCCACCATCAAGCCTGGATTGGTCATTGCGGCTGCCGTCTACCCGGATGCACTCATGATTCAATGATGTAACCTGCTTTTACTGCTTCGGGAAACACGCCAGTGTCTACGGAGCAGAAAACATGGTCATTTTACAATTAAACACCAATTCAAGGAATCGGACACGCCGAAGTATGTATAATCCGTGGACCAGTAATGGACATTCTTAAACTGTTCTGCTCCGTGGTATGCAGGGTTATCGACATTCCACACGTGAGACCCACATCTTTCCAGATGGTTTCTCTAGTGGGGAGCCAAGACGTCGGATTTCCTAAACAGGGGCAAGGCTGAGCTCTCCAATTCCTAGAGCCTTGTCTGATATTTTGCCAAAATTTGGGTGCCGAGAGAATACCTCGTTTTCGTTTAGCAATTTGACACGCTGATTTGCTGAGAAACTGACGCTAGTGAATGCGTTGGATGCTCTGACGTAAATGATATGTATAAACAGTTGGACGGGCAATATCGCCCCACGCGGGCCACGGGTTGTTCTTGAGGCAGTGCTCGAACACGAAAGTAAAATCACCATGGAGCCGCAACAGATCGTTAACTCGACGAGAAAAATAACGACACGAGGTATATCGCGCCCGACAAGGTTCCTCTATACAAGTAATTATAATTCTATCGACCGATTTAACTCGCTACATCCTTTTGTAGATCAAGCCGGGGTCCAGAATAACCACCCGACTCCTACTCCGAATTTCAGGGCAGCGGCGACCCATAAAACACACGCCATGCCTCCATGAGTGCGGCTCAGCCATCCTCCCACAATGGCCCCAATAAGGAGCATCACAACCCCACCCAACCGTCGATTGCGCTTCGCGTTGCGATTGAAGCCCTCGAATAGACCAGGGTCGGAGGCGATATCGTAGTAGACACTGGTCAAAACCACTCCAGGGATCTCATTGAATCCAAGCATACGAGTAGAATTAATAGAACCGGCAGATTGGAACGCTAGCAGCGCAATAGGAATTAGGCACATAAGGGGCTTCTCCAAGGTAATTGTTCGCCCATTCTGGTGTTGAATAGCATCCGTTTGAAGGAGGATGGCGGCAATGACGATCAATAAGGCCTGGAAGGCAAATGAGAGGAATAGCGTGCCACGACGACGGGCTCCAAGCGCTTTTGTGCATCGGGCAAAGGTGATAGCGCCAACGAGAAAACCAGCGATCGAGACGAGTGATCGAGCCCATCCATTAGGCGCTCCGAGTGGTTGCGAGGAGGCTCCTAGTCCGAGCACGATGGTGTTTCCTAAAGCTGTCAGCCGGAGTTCTTTGATCTCAGAATGTAAACTCTTACCTGTTTGCATTGCAAGGAAACACGACCATGCATTGAAAGCGCAGCTATCACATAGTCCGGTGTTCAGGCAGAGAAGTAGACATATCCGGTCTGCAAATGTTGTGTCGACGGTCTCCATCCATTTCCTGCGCATACTTGTCCTCCTACTTGGATTGCAAGATACTGGGAGCTCATCCGTGGGCTGGCCTCCTTGTTTTTCCAACATTTCGCACGTCACAAGGTTGAGAAAGGAGGTGAAAGACAGGGGTTCGAAGTGATCACACTGGAATAATGCTAAAATTCCCTTCGGCTCATCGGCTCAGCCCTAGGGTAAGGGAATGGAATCATACTGTGGATCCGGAGAACAGGTCTCTATCGATTACATAAATTACCACAATAATACATTAGGTGTTGTGGGGTGTCCGGGTCAGATTTGCATTTACGGAGACATACACTCCAGAGGATATGCTCCCATGCTAGTCTGTGCCAGTTCCATTCTCATTTGGAAGCGAGGTCGCATATGCAGTCTACACTGAAAAGAGGAAACGATACCAAGAGTACAGAGTCGGGTAAGACGGCTTCGAGGTCCGACGCATCACCCGCTCACACCAATGAGAGGATTTTCATTCGGTCAATCAAGGGATTTTGCCGCACTCAAAGCTTAGCCTAAAGCTTGTCTGCATAGCCGTCATTTCCGCTTCGGTTTAAGTTCAATTGTTGCACATACGATGAGATGAACAGTTCTCGCGGCGATTTCTTTATAGACACTAGACGTTGTTTAAATCAATGGCGAGCCTCTGAATTTTGATCAAAACTCTTGCTCATGAGTAATGCCTACTCTCCCTGGAGAGGGCAAAGAATTATTGGGTGGCAAAACCTTGGATATCGTCTCCGCTAACATGGACGCGTGATCGCGTAAAATAACAAGGCGGATTGAACCGGGTATTCGGCTCTACCCTTGCAGCAATAGTGACCGGAGAATACTTCATTAAACCCGCTTCTTCAGGCAGCGGTATTACGAGGACCCACTGTCAGCCCTATAGGGCGGGGGCGTGGACCCATATCCCTCGTGAGGGGGCCGCATCAAGTCTCACTGTCGTTTCTTACAAGTACCGGGATTAGTCTTTTGGGTTTCGCTGAAACGAATGACCTTGTACCGTTGTTTGTGATTGTTGCGCAACGTAGCCTGAAATCTGAGAGAACACCAAGTTATCTCTTCTCTATTCTTTGTCCCACTACAAGGAATTGATTTCCTCGCTTTTTCTCCCCTTGAAACCTGCGTCTTGCACGGAGATTGGCTAATTTGAAGCGGAGTTGGAACAAAGCAAGGGATTGGTAGACAGTAGTTTCAAATGCATCTAAACCAGACCAAAGACCAAGCAGAGCCCTGAGAAATTGGCAACCCATCTAGTGCTATCATGTTTTGAGAAAATTCACATGAATGCAAGGTGTGACTTATTCGCGCAACTTTTGTCCAAGTCGTTTCTCTGCACAAACGATATAACGGAGAGAAATGCTATTGGTACCTCGATCTTGCTAATTGTACCCTCCCACAAGATGGTCATCCAGTTTGAATTCTGGCCTCGCATGAGATGAGCCTGTCCTCCCCACTGATTGTTATTTCCCCCTTTCCCCCTCTAAGCTCATCCTAATCGCCTCCATTCCCGTTACATCTCCCTAGTTGTCCAAATTTTTATTTGTATAAAATAGAGCAGAAAGATTCGTAAGAAGGAAATAAAAATCAAAAACTTATATATAGAAAGGGGAGCTAAATGAACCTAGGCAGAGCATGTGATTCAGGAGGGGGTTATCATAACCGGCTAAGAAGACAGACTTATTTCGTGCGAGACCACAAGTTGAGCTGGATGACCATTTCGTGGGAGGGTACAATTAGCAATATTAAGGTACAGTTAGCAGAATCGAGATATAAATAGCAATTTTCTTTTTGAAAGTCATCCCAGGTCGGAATTAGCAGAAGAGAATGGGGGTTTTGTGTTCAGAATCGAATGTCTCTCAAATTGTACAAAGCTTGACAGGGATTGCTGGGGTGGTATTGCTGTTCAGTATCGCATCTTGATTGGCCCGGTTTGAGGAATGGACCATTTGCGCATGGGGACATACGTCAGGATGAGATATAAACAACAAGTAAAAAGATGACCATTATGCTAGGTCAACGACACTATGCAGTTCTTTTTCCTTGCCTCGTCGTAGGTGTCTCTACATGTCCGCGAGGGGAACCTGTCAGGACCGGGTCTGATCACAGGACTTTTCCGGAGCTCTATAAAGGCTTTGTTCTCTTCTAGCACATGAATTCGCCATACTATATTTCTCCGATACTTTCCGGTCTTCAACCCAGACGGCAATCATGAGTGGTCGGCCTTCTGTGAGACTTTGCCTCCAAGCTTGCTTGGCATCTCTCTTGCTCGGTAGTTGCCAGCCCATTTACGCCCTTCCTCAAGATGCCAGTCCTTATGGATGGGCATCTGCCGCTGGCAATGATGAAACGTCTGAAGGGGCTCCTCTGCGAGGTAGCTCGTCTCTCCTGGGTGTTGTGCAGGATGAAGTGAATCCCGAGAACAGTGCTACGGTTCATGAGTATGAGCTCGCCCCTGGACAAGGCGCCGATGCAGACTTGGGGATACCTTTCACCTTCGATAATGTCGCTCACCCCCAGCCTATCCGAGGTGACCTTGGCTCCACAGACGCCGGTCCACGAACATATGCCTACGACCGCCTGAATCCTAGTACCTTTGCACCACCGGGATCAGATAAGGGTGAGGTGACACAGGGGAAATGGCCACTGGGCCTCTCTCACAATCGTATCCTTCCAGGTCACGCAGGTTGGTCCCGACAAGAGAACACCGATGTTCTCCCCGGCGCAACGGAGATGGCCGGCGTGGATATGAAATTGGCACCTTGGGCTTATAGGGAACTACACTGGCATAAAGCAAATGAATGGAGTATAATTTTGAACGGAAGTGTTCGAGTCCAGGGAATGAACGAAGACGGCGAAACCTTTACAGACGATGTCACTGCTGGTGATGTCTGGTTCTTTCCATCAGGAGTACCTCATTCACTCCAAGCATTAGACGCAGGGGCCGAGTTTATGCTCGTTTTCGATGAAGGCGACTTCAGTGATGGTAACACAGGTTTAATCACCGAGATGTTTCTGCGCAACCCAAAGGAAGTTCTATCGAAGAACTTTCAGACTCCTCTTTCGGATTTTGATGACATTCCGAAAGATCAGTTATACATTTCCAATGGAACACCCGCACCGAAGGACGTGAAAGAGCAAACTGTTCCCGGGCCCGGTGGCGTGTTGTCTGGCGATCAGAGCTATACCTATCATTTGTCCAAACAGGAGGCATACGAGACACCCGGTGGAAGCATCAAGATCATCGACCCTGTGAGCTTTCCAGTTGCGAAAATGTTCAGCGCAGCCCTCGTTACTATCAAACCGGGCGCAATGCGGGAAATCCACTGGTACGTATCCGTTTAGTTTTGATCAATTTCTGTTTACGCAATACTTAATGATTCTTTTCCCTCTAGGCACGGTACCAGTGACGAGTGGGGCTTTTTCCTTGCCGGAAATGCGCGAGTCACTGTATACGAAGCGCCGTCGGCCGGAGCGACCATCGATTTCTCCGCAGGTGACGTTTCATACGTGAAATCAACGGCTTCGCACTATATTGAGAACACCGGTACCGAGGACGTTGTCTTCCTTGAGATGCTTCAGGCACCTCGGTTCTCTGATATCTCAGTCGGTCAGTGGTTGAAGCTCACACCGAAGCAGATCGTGAAGGATACTTTGCATCTCCCGGACAGCCTGTTGGATAATCTTTCTCCGAATAAGCAGTATGTTGTGCAAGGGAATCGGAACCTGACAGCCGTGGCTGGTGGATCCGGTATTGCATGAGTAAAGCTCCTTCTCAGTCTTGGCTATCCGGAATGTAATCCCGATGGTGGACTGGCAAACAAACAACTGACGACTCATTACTATCATTTTTTCTCTTATCAATAGTCGATTTGTTTTATTTTGTAGATTGAGACTTGAGACCCAAACCTGATGGATTTTCGCTAGGAGCCAATGAGGTTACTAGCTAGAAGTTCCAAGAATCCTCCAAGTGTTCAGGAAAAACTAGCTCAGTTTTTCATTCATCTTCAAATCGTGTGTCTGGTCCCTGAAATTCTAGGTTGGAAATTACTAAAGTTCTCTGCGTTGTTATCTACCTCGAAACATCATCCCGCGCCCCCACTTCTATGATCTCATAGTTTCCAAGACCGATCCAACGCCTATCCGATCTCTTTGAACTTCTCAAGTACACCTAGCTAACAAAATTGTTATACACTATGGCGACCAAACAGACTCTGCAATCCAAGCACAAACTGCTATCGGGCCATGAAATCCCGGTCATTGGATTTGGGGTGAGTAGCCTAAACCACACTCCTGAAACCAAAGGTAATGGAGCAACAAGCTGACCAGGTCCCTCGATAACTCCAGGTGTATATGATGTGTGTATCGACCGCGTCACCTATATATATACTCAGCTAACCAGACATAGTGCCCCAGGCACAACGGAGAAAGCAGCTCAAGAAGCCCTCAAGGTCGGGTTCCGCCATGTATGTATCCGCAACGATCAAACACTGTGCCAATCCCAATCCCTAATCAATGCTCTAGATCGACTCAGCGATCATGTACGGAAACGAGAAGGGCTGCGGCCATGCGATCCGGAACTCGGGCCTCGACCGTTCCGAGATCTTTCTGACTACCAAGATTCCCCCGGGATCAATGGGCTACAAGGCAACGGAACGAGCTATCGACAAGAGTCTACAGGAAGCGGGTACAGAGTACTTTGATCTGTAAGCTTATAAGCCTACCGATTGTCGGAGCTAAACTAAGAGACGAAATAGCATTCTACTCCATGCACCCTATGGCGGCAAAGAAGCCCGACTAGGTTCCTGGCGTGCCTTAGTCGAGGCGCAGAAAGCAGGCAAAATCCGATCTATCGGTGTATCTAACTACGGCATCCACCACCTCGAAGAGCTGGAGGAGTATATCCAGAATGGCGGGGGCGGCGAAATTAGCGTCGGGCAGTGGGAGCTGCACCCATGGCTGGACCATTCTGATATTGCAGAGTGGTGTCAGAGCCGCAACATTATAGTAGAAGCGTACTCCCCCCTTGCGCATGGGGAGAGGCTGCGGGAGCCTGTGTTGGCAAGTATCGGGAAGAAGTATGGGAAGTCGCCGGCTCAGGTCATGATCCGGTGGAGTTTGCAAATGGTGAGTTTAGGGATGAAATTCTTCATTGAATTGACTCTAAAATTGGACACGTGAGCTAACTATCTTAGGGATTCGTGCCTTTGCCGAAGTCGAAGACGCCGCAGCGGATCCGTGAGAATGCGGATGTGTTCGACTTTGAGCTCTCAGATGAGGATATGGGGCTGCTTGATACGGGTGAATATTCGCCGACTGACTGGGATCCGACCGTGGATAAAGATTGATTGAATAGGGAACGAAGGTAGAAAGTGGAGAATAGAAGATTAGATCCCCATAGAATGGAATTGGTAAATGCGGGAATTGGATTTGTCAGGGACTCGGAGACTCGGAGGGGTCGATAAAATGATAATCGCGGGGTTTGCAATTCCTCTCTTTGATCAACCAGACATTCTTTTGGTCCGCGCAACGCGCTCCACGAACTTCTCCTAATATACTATTTCTTTTATCTCTCCTCTACTCCACTGATCAACGCCATAATGAAGTTGATCCTCTCCACCTCGTAAGTCGCTTCCCGACTGCCGCGTTTCGGCAATCTGAGGGGAACAAAAAAGTGAAAGCGACTGACCATTAACTCCAGGAACCTTATGCAAAGCGGCCGGCCGTCTGTCATTCGCCAGCCGATCACACAAAAGTCCAACGTTGAACTGATCAACTCCCTGCGCGCGAATTTCCAGGCCTCACAGCACATTGAACCGTCCACCAGCGGGTCCCAGACGAACGGCAACGGAACTTCTAACGGCCATACGAACGGATCGCATTCTACAAAAGACCACAGTTATTGGACAAGAGAACAGGATGGAGCCCTTTATATCCCTGCGATCGACTTCTCACAGCCCGGATTGGCCGAGGAGCGGTCTCAATACGATATCACGGTGAAATTATTCTATCTACCAGGAATTCCGGCGTCTCGGCGATGCGCACACACAAGAGAGGCGATTGATTTGGTATTGAAAGAGCTACACGTGGAGTCTATCGATCTGCTCATTGTGTCCTTCCCGGGTATTCTCTTCGATGCGGACGACGACAGCGACGAGGAGGACGCTGAAACCACCGGCGAACCCGATGACTTCGACAGCATGGTGCAGACCTGGCGGACACTCGAGTCGCTGCATGAGCAGGGCATGATCGCCCAGCTGGGCGTGGCAGAGTTTGGCAGCGAACGGTTGGCACGCTTCCTGTCGCATACCAAGGTGAAGCCTTCCGTCGACCAAATCAACCTCAAGGACTGCTGTGTCGTTCCTAAGTCCTTGATTATGTACGCCAAGCAAGAGAAGATTCAGCTTCTTACTCATAATGACTGCAATGATATTCTTCCAGTGGGTATGACGCGAGAGCTTCTAGGCCCGACAGACAAGGGCGCAGGCATCCTGGCTTCTGCTCCCGAGGCGAATGATGGGATCCAAGGAGACGTTGAGCCACAGTGGGTGGTCAAGTATACTGCAGTTGTGAAGGATCGCGGAGTGGTTGAGAACAAGGGGTATTTCGCTCTGGCAGATGTTGGTACATGCCTCAATTCGCGGCCATGAAAGTCAGGCCTCTTGTGAGGTAGTTCCATATTCATCTCCATGATTCAGCGTGGCGTTTTTTCTTTTTTCTTTTTGTGGCATCAAATTAGAGAGGTTTATCGCATGCATATTCATATCGGACATTCGAGACCAGGGTCGGGTCAAGATTGAAAAAGCGACATCTTTATCCAAGCATGCTTCGTTTGCGGCCTCGCTGCCGCACATCCTCAAGTCTCCGAAGCGTAGAAGTAGCGCCCTTATTCCCCTCCTTATAACCGACAAGCAGCTCTTCAAAGAATGGCTCCGATAGCGGATGAGTACTTCCGATCGCACGCTCTAAGACATACAAATCCACTGCCCGATCCTCATCCTGGGTGCTTTGCGACGCAAGCCCAAAATCAATCAGGACGACCTCTCCATCCATAGAAAGGGTCTCGCCCTCCACTTTTTCCGAGCGCAGCATGAGGTTACTTGTCGTCAGATCACCGTGAACCACACCAGCCTTGTGTAGCCCAGCAATGGCTGATCCCATGCGCCTAATCAGTCCTCGTACTCGTGCCTCTTCCTGGGCAATCCGTGTCGCGTCTAAAGACGAGCGATTCACTTTCATCCATGCCTCCCACTTTTCAAGTACAACGCGAATTACCGGCCCCTCGATCCATTCCATCATTAGCCAGGCTCCGCCCCAGCCTGCCTCATCCCCGCCTTGCCCCTCCCAGTCAAGTGCAAGCACTGCAGGGACCTTGACGCCTTCGCGAACAAGTTTCACGAGGCATCGGGCTTCTTGAATAATGCGTTGACGGGTCAATTTCCGGTCAAGAATTGGGTGTCGGTATGGTTTGGAGGGGCGAATCTTCAGCGCGGCTGGGATGGAGGGGTCGAGGGAAACGGTTTTGTAGACATGAGCCTCGGCGCCCTGGGCAAGGAGGATGGGTGCCGGGTTGGTGTGTGAGAATGGAGAAGGGAGAGCTGGAGGTTTATAATCATCGGCCATTGTGAGAGTGGTAAGTGAGAAGAGCAATGGTGGTGGTATGTTCCAAGGTTGCTTTGATCTATAATGTTTGGAGCTGCAGCTGGAAAAAGTTCCGCTTGGGGTTTGGTGGGGTTAATCCACCAGTTGGTGACTTGGATATTTGGGCTCACACCAGAACTACACTATCTAGTCAAAAGTATTTCCAAAAGTATTTCCCCAAATCAGTCTTCGGGCCTACCCCATTAATTTCGTATATTTACTGAACAGTTCACCACACCACCATATCTTACTAAAATTCTATATAACTAGGCATAGTTATTAATACTCATCTAATGCACAAAGATTTTGCTTAGGGTTCTTAAAAAATCCCCCTTTAGCTTTTCAACCCCTAGTAGTTATCTCGTCACCCTTTATACTAACACATCAATTTTGAGTATGTTATTACTCACCATAATTCTGCTATATACCCCTGAAGGTACTATTAAATAATCATGTATCTTCCTCTATATATAAGCTCTAGTTAAAATCTAAGAAGCTCTCATTTTAACAACATATAGATAATATTAAAGGGGTTTAAAAGCCCAGTGAACGCCTCGGCGGATCCTCCACATATACACATTAACTTTCAAGCCGCTCTATCGTCACTAAAGCTTGATGGATCTTCGAATTATCTTCTCAACATACCTTTCTGTAGTCATGGGTTAAGTTAAGACTTTTTTGAAGCGAGTGCTCTTTCAATACTGAGTGGTACATGCCTTCCCAAAAGTTGGTTGTTGGGTTGACCCTACCGGACCCGCACTTGGGGAAATACTTACGGTCCCCATTGTGTGTCGATTTTACTCCCTTTACTTATTCTAGTCATGTGTTAAGCAGCACCTTTCCACTGGCCCTAGCACTTTTGTTCGATGTTGAGATACGTTTGAGGAAGGGAGATGAATGTGCTAGGTGTACCGTGTTGTGATGAGGCGGATCTAGTTCACGAGGATGGAGAGTGCAATTGATGGAACTATACGAACGAATTGAAAGACATGACCAAAGGCGAGCTAAAAGCATGGAAGCTATCTATATGTATTGTGCAGGGAGTTCCGCGTATCCTTGGAGATCACCTGACCTGGATACAAAAAGCAGCAGAAAAAGACAAGCGGTGATGAGGGTGTTACTGCATAACGCTAGGCCGAAATAGGGAAGTCATCAGCTCGGGGCCTAGAGTTCAGGCCCCGCTGGATCTAAGCCCCATTTATGACTCAAGGGCGGGCAGTGTCGGGCTCCTAAAACAGTTTAGCGGATGTCGGGGACCCCAAAGAGGAATGGACGACCCAGCACGCGCTCCCACCTATATACTGCAATCTGCCTCAGGTTCCTCGGGTTCCTTTCGAGTCCTTCGGTCTTCGAACTTACACTTCCCCGGGAAAATCCACAGGCCCCTTGTGGCCCTAACTATACCCTACGATTAATACCCTCTTTTGAGCCTCTTTGACCTTCTTTAGACCTAATACAACCCCAAAAGTGTCTAAGTACCCCGTGATACCCGAAGTCATGGCGTCTGTTGAAAATCAATTCTTCAATGTCTCAACCCAGGAGGAGTGGGTTGACTTTGATCAATTCCTTGACCTCTCACCGAGTTACAGCGATGATTATTCCGCTAACTCCATCTCCCCGGAGATGTCGCTCCCCTACGAGGCTGACATGTTTGCCAATGACCTGCCAGACCTTACCCAGCCTGGCTTCCCGGAGATGAACAGTTTTGATTTCTCGCATGATGTTTCCTTTGTCGACCAGTCCCCCGATATGGGTCTAATGCCGGACTTTACTGCGGCCATGGATAATGCCATGTTCCATGGCTACCAATCCTGTGACACCAACTTCGACTTCCGCCAAATGGTTGAGGCGCAGGCCGCCATCGACACTCGTGTTGCTTCTCTTAAGGAGAAGCGCCGAGAGGCCGCGATTGCTCTGCACCTGCAGCGATTGTGTGATGCCACAGCCCTGGACCTCGAATTGTCGTCTGATTCTAACACCAGCTTCTCGTCACCATGCTGGTCAGATTACATGCGCGAGAGCATCTCACCTCAACCTACGAGCGCCAGCCCAGAACAGGCTGCGGCCCGTCCCCCGTCTGTAAATGGCGGTGTGCCAATGGAGATGGTCCTTGATCTGAACATGAATGCCACTGCCAACCTTCCGAAGAAGCAGAAGCCTCGTTCCCAGGCGCAGAAGGAGAACTACATCAAAGCACGAAAATACGGTGCTTGTGAGAAGCACAAGAAACAGCACAAGAGGGTAAGCTTTGTTAGACTCAGCGATCTTGTTCTTGACCCTGACAACTAATTTCACTCCAGTGCAACTGCCTCGAGAAGGCTGCTGCCCGCGCGGGCGTCAGTGAAGTTCCAATGGACGTCGCATTGAAAGAACGACCGAGACCGCAATTACCGACGATTTCCACCGTTCCATCACCGCGTGTCTCTGGTGTTTCTGACCTCGGCTCGTTGCGAAAGGTGGAGGCTGTTCGTTCACCGGCCGGTATGACCAAGAAGGTTATGGTAAAATCTCCGGTGAACGACCCGTCAATCAGTCCGACAGGTGTACAACCATTTACCAGGGCAACCACCAAGGTTGTCCGCAACAACTCACCTCACGACCTGCAGTACAGCACAAGCTTTGTGCTTTCACCGGTTCCAGATACCAGTCAGAAAGCGAGAAGTTCAAACAACTTATCCGGTCATGGAAAGTTGCCTCAATCGTCGGGTCTGCAACCCTCGACCATATCGACATCGCCCCAAACGAATCGGCAGACCGTTGGCTTATCCCCATTTCGCGGCGCTTCTCCGGGCTCGACTTCGAGCGACAGACCTACCGATGCGGTTCGCAATGTCGTCGCTTCACAAAATGTCAGGAAAACCGCATCTACGACGTGCGATTCCGAAACTGGCTATTTCAACGTTCCGGGACGAGAAGTTCGGCGCCCGAGACTTACGCACATCAAGTATGTTGCTGCAAGCTGCCAAAGTGCTGTCAAACAAGCTACGTCAGCTGCTGCTGGTACCCCAAATCATGGTCTGGAAGTCTGTCACTCCAGAACTTCGCTGCTTCTGAATGCCACCAAGACCAGGTCTTCTTCACTGCCCCATGGCAGACATACAGATCAGTTCCAAGTTTCATTATCAGTCAGCAACTCTGGGCGCTCAAGCACAAGCGCACCAGCCAATCAACTTACCTCCGAACGGTTATCGACCCTTGCCCAAGGTTCGCGACGACCTGTGGAGATACCCTCGGCTCAACCAAAGTCAGTCAGGGACCAACCTCAAAACTCTTGTCGTGGCGATGGCTTGACAAGAGTCTCACAACACAATGGCCCCGATGGCCATATTATTCAGCGTTCCATCATTCAGTCCGTCATTGCTCAACTTGGAAAACCTTCGAGGATTTTGCAGTCATTATCTGGCACTTGGCAGTCCGTATCTCTGATCTCTTGGTCTGAGCTCGTGATATTCAAAGGCTTATCTTCCGTTGGAAGATCTCTCATGTCTGCTAAGAAGGGCCTTGAGCTCTCACAGATGAGGAGTTTTTGGTTTGCATAATCATCTTGACTGAACCTCAGAGCTTAAGCTGGTCTATTTTGGATCTACGAGTGATGAAAGAAAATTTGATCCGCCTCTTTCTTTTGTGACATGAAAAATTTGGCTTGGAGTTGAGGGTTCGCATTGATGTAGGGCTTGCTAGAGCAGTCCATTGGTAGAATCTTAGAATCTACGTTTACTATTTAAGATGGGATACTTTCCAAACGTGTTTGGAAATATCAAAAGCATGATCATTCCAATGACTTTCATTCTAATTCTAATTCTATTCTTGAGATTAAAATGTGAATCAAAGATAAGGTAGGAGACTTGTTGGTTTTGGCCTTCAACCTAGAAGTATAGTCATCCATGGATTGTGTTCCTTTAGGTTGATTGATTCTCGGATTTGATCAAACATGTTTTCAGAGAGGACGGCGTAGGTAAGCTGAAAGTCATCGGAGCCGTACAGGCGAGAGATAGCTAGTGATGCGCATAGAGCGTTTTACAGGAAGATGCAATCAAAATGAGAGACAAATTGTCATGTAGAGGCTCGAAGGTCGGTCTCCATCTTTGAAGTAGATGAGGGTATTGAGGGGTCAAGGAAGAAAGACCCAAAGTTGATTTATAAAAAGCTAATCCAAAGCGGAGTTGATCACTTCATATAGGTCGTGACCTACTTCCCTAAACCCAATATTCGTGTAGTTCGGAAGGAGGGGTTGATCAGTTGTGAAGCAGGCAGTATGTAGTCTCACCGCGCATTCAGCCCCACCGCGGGAAGGGAAGAAGCGCACATCCTCAACCTTGGAGAACCTCAACTTTGATTGGTATAAGATCATGCATTTGATATCAAACCCAATGACACAGTCAGCCCAATTCAAATTCTCTACGGTAACGGGATTCTTCCTCCAGGATGAGCCGGACACCGACCCAGCGACTTTCGACTATGTACGCGGAAAGCTTGACTTCCAGATCCAAAGGTGGATCACTCACATACCAACAATACAGTTCACTAATTCGGGTCTAGGTCGAGTCCAATTTCGGCCTCATCCTCCATGAAGAGGCCCCACTACACACCCAGTGGCAGAAGTTCATCCAGAGCATCAATGAGCTGAACAACCTGGGAGAAGGATCAGTACAATACAAGGTACTTTTTCTAGGCCGACACGGCGAGGGGGTTCATAATGTCGCCGAGAAACGCTATGGGAAAGCAGCATGGGATGTACGTGGCCCTCACTTTGCTCCCAAAATATCTTGACTCACCAGCTACTTTAGTCATATTGGTCCCTACTCGACGGAGATCAGTACGGCAACTGGGTCGATGCCCGACTCACAGATCTAGGAAGATCCCAAGCCAGAACGGCACACGACACATGGGAAACGCAGTTCACCAACGGGATTCCGGCACCGCAGTCATACTATGTGAGTCCATTGCACCGGACCTGCGAAACTGCCGAAATCACCTTTAAGGGACTGGATATGCCACTCACCGACCCATTTCGACCGATGATCAAAGAGGTGAGATCACGACTTACCATTTCTTGTCCCGAATTTATGATGAGACAAGGGAATGTCAAACATAACTAGTTACTGATATGAAAGAAAGCTCCTCCGTGAGACACTAGGCGAGCATACTTGTGACCGTCGGTCTAAGGCATCTGAAATTGGAGCAGAGTTTCCAGAGTATCAGTTTGAGCTTGGGTTCTCCGAGGACGATCTGCTCTGGGACGCCCATAGCCGGGAGACCAATGAGGAGCGCAATGAACGACTTGCTAGGCTACTGAATGATATCTTTGCCAGTGACGAGAATGTCATACTTTCTCTCACAGCGCACTCGGGTGCCATTGCTAGTATCCTCAAAGTTGTTGGTCACCGTGATTTTCCTTTGCAAACAGGGGCGGTGATCCCTGTTGTTGTTCAAGCAGAGCGAAGATGAAGAATTGGTAGCCGATTAGATGTATCTAACCGACATAGACTACCCATGAATGCCTAGTTCGCTCAATTGAGAGGAAAGTGAGTGGTAGCTGTTTTATGAGATAAAGATAGCCTTTAATATTGTAGATATTGTACATGGGCGACTAGCCCGCTTTCTTCTACTGTATGCATAATCCTCTCCACTCAAACCGGCCGATGACAACTAAAAAACCAAAGAGACCGGAGAAGCACCAAGATGGTGTAGTGTCCGTGTGTTAAAATAATACAAATGCAACGCCAAAGAGGAAAGAGCAACATTCCACACAATTACCAGCTGTAGTACTGGTTCTGGGCAGAAATCTTGCGGTCCGGCAGCTGAACCCAGAGCTGATCCTTTCGCTTCCGCAGCGCAGTAGCCTCCCGCTCCTCCCACTCACGAATACGGGTCTTCTCTTCCTTCAACATAACTGAGAGACCAGTGGCGGGGGGACGCAGCCGGTTGATCTGACCACGGGCACGGTGATCCATACCAAATCCATAGGGACCACGGTTGACCCAAGCTTGTTGAATGTAGATGTTTGTGGGGTCGGTGACGGTTTTGCGCTCACCAGACTTCAGGACGACGGTGAGGGGCTTGGCGGGCTCAGCTCCCTCCTCCGGCAGGCCCATGCCGGCACGGACCATGGCAACGTTCTTCGCGTGCTCCAGGTGACCTAGCACGTCCTGGGCGGCCTTCTTCTTGCTGAAACGCATCTGCAAGATAGCCTCATCGATGTTCTTGCCTGCAATCTGGCGGGCCAGGGGACCCAGCTTCTTGACAGAGGTCTTGAACCAATGTGACTTGGATAGCGATTCCCGCTCTGTCCGCTTGATCTGGACGGCCTTGGGGAGACGGCCGCGTTTGCGGATCTCACGGATGACCATCTTCTTCTCCCACCGAAGCTGGGCCTTGGGGTTGGGGTTCAGACCCACTTGGAGGTAGTCCTTGTTGCGCTTCTCCAGAGGCACGGGGCCCTCCGCGACTGCTTGATCTTGTTTGTTCTGCTCCTTTTTGCGGGCGGGTGATGGCCCGGAAGTGTTGCCAAGGTCTTCAGCAAAGATAGAGCTTGATCCGAGTGCGCCTTCCTCGCGCTTGGGGGCAGTTGGTGTGCGAGCCCTGGGCTTTCCATCAGACTTTCCACCAAGAACCCAATTCTTCATTGATGACAGGAAGGAGGTCTTTTGAGGGCCGGGTTGGTCGTTTTGGTTATAACGGATGGAGGTTGTAGTCAATGTCCGCCGGGGGACGCACGCGACACGGGTCCGGGCCGCTAGAACGAGGGTTAGCCATTATATGATTTCTATCGAGGAGACCAAATTGAAGCATACCAGACCGGACCAGCTGCCCATATGGTAAGACAGCGCCCATTGTGGCCGTTCGGAGATGTGATATGGAGATCGGAGATCGGAGCAGCGTGGAAAAAAGGTGAAACTTACGGTGCATAATTGGTTTTTACAGCCCACCGTACCTAGTGTTTTTGCCTCAGGCACTAAATGCAAGTCGCGACGTGATCGATCACGAACAATAGAGTAAAGAAAGTAAAAGAGATATATCATACCCACCCCACCACCCGGGAATAAGACCTGCAGCGTTTCATTGTTTTTCGATTGCGGTAGATTAAACACTCGGGCCTCATGGGGTTCTCGGCCAACTCTATCGCCCACACTGCGCCAGCTCTTCCCTCACACCGTCATCTCCACAGTGAAGATCCACTAGCCCTCATCTTCCCTCTTTCAGGGCCTTCAGCGCTCTCCTTCCCGGTTCTTGCTCTCTCTCTTCCTCATCAGCTCCTTTTCTTTCTCCATCCTCACGCTCCTCCTCCCTGGCAACTCGCCTGTGGCTTATCTCCTCTTTATCCTCCCCACGATCCCTGCTTCGACCAAGCTGCAGATTCCACCTCAACTTGCCTAACCCTGGGTCCCGCTCCTTCGGCCAACACGTTCCTTTACAACCCCCGGTTTTCACCCATCAGATAACACGAAGCTACCGCGACAGAAGAGCTCTTCTTGGTTCGAGCGGCCTCGCGCGATTCTTCTGCGATCCCGAAAATCGGCACAACGAGATTGGGATCTTAAGCTGCGCTGGTCAACATAGGAATGGACTTGTTGTTGAGGCATCCTGTGGCCCTCGTCTAATCTGGATCTCTGCTTCTTTAGCACTATCCGTGACCTCGTGACCGATATTTGACATTTGATTGAACTCGGTCGCTTCGCTTCCCCCTCTCATCCTTTCTCTCCGGAGCGCATCGCAAGTTTTTTTTTCTCCTCTTTCTCCCTTTGCCTTGGTTCCGCAAGATGGACATCAATTCATTGCTGTCCCCGGACTCGAATCCTCAATCTGGGACATCGACGCCTGTGCCCGGTGTCACGTCAAATAACGCACCGATCCCGAATGCAGGACCCTCCCCCCACAAGGCACTCCAACGGACGCGCTCCGGTTCTACTCGCAAAGGCAAAACCTCTTCACCTCTAGCCCAGCAGATATATGCTCCCACTGGGCCTGCCATCTCGGAAGCTTCGCCGCCAGGAGTTAGTCCTGTTGGTCCCAGCCAAAGTACCGGCAATGGTTCACCTGCGACCGACCGGCCGTCATCCACCAAGCCCTCGACCCCCGGCATGGACACCTTGGCCGACCTGGCTGCAATGCAACACCACCAGCCACAACGTCAGAACGCCCAAAACATGCTGCGTGGTACGGAGTCATACGAGCACCAATTATCTCCTTCCACCATCCACCCTCACGTGAATACCATCACCCACAACACCCCCATTCCTCGCACATCCTTTGATATTGCCATGTCTGAAGGTCCTCGAGAAAGCGCACGGAGAAACTATACCGACACATCGCTGGACCCGGACGCTCAGCGGTTGGCGACTGATCTATTCAATCAAATCCAAGAGAACCCTCACACCTACGATGCGCATGTCAATTTCATTGGTATTTTACATGGCGGTTTTGTGAATCATGTCTACCCGCCCAACAATCCGGAACTTCACGGCGACCCTCGGCGGTACGATCTGCTTAAAGATATGCGGATAGCTCGAGAGGAAATGGACAAGCTATTCGCCATGGGCGAGAATCTTTGGGCGGAGTGGATCCAGGATGAAAGTATGCTGACCAACTCTGCGGCAGATCGCGATGCGGTTGTAAGCTTGTGCAGGCGGTCAGTCATCGAAGAATTTGGTAGTACCAATCTCTGGCATATCTATGGCGAATGGGTCTTGTACCTTTACAAATCTGCTGTTGGGGAAACCGGCGGAGCTGGCCAGTGGACGGACGAAGACCGTCGAAGATTTACTTGGCAGTCGGTTCTGGATGTGTGGAAGGACGCTGCTGAGTCGACCCGGTGGAGAATCAACAACAGCCATATGGTATGGGATCGGTACCTTGATCTTCTGGCCCAGGATATTTCCCGGTCTCCTTCCCAGGAGAAAATCAACCACCTTCGTGGATTGTATGATGCTCGCCTGCAGACACCCCATGCAAACTGGGACCAGACTTTCCAGAGCTTCTCAGGATTCGTCTCCACTTACTACGAATCAAATTACGAAAAGATCATGACGGAGACTGTCGCCCAAGGAAAGAAAGTCAAGGCCATCTACTCCGCGCGAGAAGAATTCGAACATCGGCTGAGCAAAGCTGAGGAGTCGGGTGATAAGGCCCTCGAATATGCCGTGTACACGGATTATATCGAATTCGAGTTAACCCGTAGTCGGAGTCCCCGCCGTCGAGAATTTCACTTCGAACTCGCCAACGCCATTTACCAGCGTGCTGTCCTTCGTTTCCCTACCGACGTCGCTCTATGGGAGGGCCACGTCATGTTCCTTCTTGAGGAATCCATGCAGAAACATGTATCCACCACAACCATTTCTACTCTTGACCGTGCCACGCGTCACTGCCCATGGTCTGGCAACCTCTGGTCGCAGTACCTGCTCAGCTCAGAAAGAGAGGGTCTGTCATTCGCTATCATTTCCGATATCAAGCACAGAGCTACCGCAACAGGGTTACTTGATGCTGGTGGGATGGAAGAAGTGCTCAAGGTTCATACCACATGGTGTGCCTACCTCCGTCGACGCGCATTTCTCTCGGACTCGACCGATGAAGACCTGGATGTCGCAGAAGTTGGAATTCGCTCTGCAATTGAAAGCGTGCAAGAGCTGGGTGAGAAAAAATATGGGCGATCTTACCAGGGAGATCCCCTATTCCGCCTGGAGCGAATTTATATCCGATACCTCAGTGAAAGTGGTAGCTGGGACAGTGCTCGGGAGACTTTCAAGGGTCTGGTCGCTCGTCGTGGCAACAGCTATGAGTTTTGGCTGACTTATTACGCTTGGGAGCTCATCTCCTGGAGCAAGTTTGTTCAAGGCGAGGCGACAGTAGATGCTGCAAGACGGACTCCTACGCCCAGCTATGCCACTGCAGTTTTGAAGCAAGCCATCGCGCGAACCGACCTCGACTGGCCCGAAAAGATTGTGCAGACCTACCTTGCTCACTGTGAAGACTATGAAGATTCGGATGAGCTGCAGCTCGCTGTCATCGAAACCCGGAAGGTCATGAGAGCTGTCAATTCTCGAAGAGAGAGAGAGGCCCATGAGGCTGCAACGGCACAGCAGCAGCAATTGAACGTTGCTGTTGAAGCTGCTTCATCGTCGGAAAAGAGAAAGCGGGAGGACGAGACTGATGCGAATGGTGAGCCTAATAGTAAGAAGACTCGCAGTGAGGAGTCTGCTTCAGAGATCAAAGAAGAGCCATCAGAACCTCGTCGTGATCGGGAACACTCGACTGTAGTGGTAAAGAATTTGCCCAAGGAGACATCTGAACATCAAGTGCGACAGTTCTTCCGACATGTGAGTATCTTATTCAACACCTTCACCCTCCCCCAACAATCTTCCTAACAATTCGTTTTTGGTACTAATGCAAATGGTAGATTGGTACGATCAATGGCGTCAAGATGCTTCCTGGAGAGGATGGAAATTCCTTGGTTGCGAAGATTGAATTTGACACCAAAGAGGAAGCTCTCAGTGCCTTGACTCGTGATCAGAAGTCTTTCGGTGGGAACACCATTGAAGTTCAGCCTGATACCGGGTCAACTCTGTTTGTCGCCAATTTCCCCGCAACCGCGGATGATAATTATTTCCATGAGCTTTTTGGCAAGGTAAGCTATAGTTTCTCCGATGCTTGAGGATAAAAACACTGACTGATTTTTACAGTATGGCCGTATTGTTGAAGTGCGCTGGCCCTCACTTAAATTCCAGACCACTCGGCGATTTTGCTATGTTCAGTTCGCTTCTCCCAGTGCCGCTCAAGACGCTACCGAAATGGATGGAACTCCTATCGAGAAAGGGTACCTGATTGCAAAAATATCGGACCCAGCACAGAAGCAAAAGCGTGGTGGAGCACTTGAGGAAGGTCGTGAGATTTACTGCGCAAACTTGTCTTTCAAGTTAAAGGAGGAGGATATTCGGAAAGCTTTTTCGAAATTCGGCACAATTGAGAATATCACCCTCCCGTACAGTGTCGACTGTGGTTACAAAGGCTATTGCTTTGTGGTCTTCTCTACCAAGGTCTGTTCATTCAATGTCTCTTTTCCTGGCTCAGAAGATTCTGGTTGATTCTAATCTACATTATAGGAGGAAGCGGCTGCAGCGCTTGCCATGGATGGTGAAAGCCTCAAATCCCGTCCAATCCGGGTCCAAATCAGCTCCCATACTGGTGCTAAGCGCATAGCCAGCACCGTGATTTCTCGCGTTGCTCCCTCGGCTTCACCAACCCCAGAGATCAATGGTGCCAGTCTCGTGGAGACGATTGGGGATCGTTGGGATCGCACACTTGCGTTGATGAATGTCCCCGACACTGTTAATGATGCGCGGATCCGTGCCCTGGTTGAACCCCTGGGTCGATTAATCAAGATCGTGCTCCGACCGGACCACCAAGGTGCTATTGTTGAATTTGTGGATGTTCATGATGCTGGAAAAGCCACTTTGGCGCTTGAGGGCAGAGAAATTATCCCAGGCCGGCCACTCCATATTGGAACCGTGGAAGAGATGAAAAAGCTACAGGCTGAACACAAGACTACGCGGATTACCTCGACCAAGCCTGAGAAACCCAAGAGCACAATTCAAACTGCAGGCCCCATTCGGCGCCCTCAGCAACCCGGCTCCCGCGGTGGCCGCCGGGCCGGCCTGGGGATGAAACGAACTACTGCACCCACCTCCAGCACGGAGTCCAACAAGGACGACAAGATGGACACCTCAGCCGACGGCAAGATTGAAGGCGAGGTCCCGCTCAAAAAGAGCAATGATGATTTCCGAGCGATGCTGCAGCAAAAGCGCACGGAGTGAAGTGAGCGCTACAGCAATGAACGTTATCCGGCGCAACATTCTTATATCTTCTGGCATGAATTTGGACTGGCGTTTCTCTTGTCCTTTCTACGATGTTTTTTTCCTTTGTTTGCTGGGTAACAAGTCCCTTGAATGCTGCGATGAGACCCACGAGATCCATCTGGGTTGACTTATTTTGTGCTATGTTTTGCCCGCTAATACTTACCGGGTAGAATGTTTGCTCACTGTATATTATGCCTCTGTATTGCTGGGTTTCCTTGACCTAGGTAGTTCTAATGATGACGGCTGTTCTAAGAGACCCATTCTGTCAGGATGGGTCTCCTTGCAAATTGTTCATACTTCGTAAAGTGACCTGGATGGTAAGATAGTTCTATTCGCTGACTGGGCTTATACATCAGGTAGGTCGCATGATTACTTAGATAATGTTTTTAGTAGATATGGATATATTCCCGCCAATTAGGGGCCGTACAGATAACATAGAACAAAAGAACAGGGAGTCATTCCCGAGGTACCGACAAGCAAGAAAGACAATGTCTATAGTAACATGAGGAAATTTGAACAACAGGCTGTCTACTTAGCCAAAAAGACCCAGGAAATGTCGGTGTACAGATCATATGTTGTAACCGTATAGACTTGTACCTTGACCAAAGTAGTTTTGCATGACGCGGGTAGCATGAGCGGGGACTTGTTAAGGTGGGACAGGAAGTGGGTCAAAACCCCAGAAATCAAGTTCAATGTTCACTTGACTTCAATCGCATGGCTATTTAGGTTGAGCTCGGTTCGCTTTCTTCTCTCCCAAGTCCCTCAAAGAACCTGGACTTTCCCCAAAGTCTCTCTTTCATTTCTTCCCAGGATTCTTTCCCAGGTCCGATACCCTTACCGTCGCACGGACCAAACCTCTTCTATCGAACCACCTACCACCTCTCTCTACCTAGGTCCTATCCCTTGTTCATACCCACCATGGACTTCCACCTAGTACCACGGGGAACCGACCGCAACTATACAGGCTTCCTGACCAAGACGATTGTCTACACAGGCACCCTGGTAGTGTTCCTAGCTTGTAAGCGACACGTCCGCAGTCCGGACCGGAGCCAGGCAACAGTGAAGCTTCAAATGCTAACGGCACAGCGTTCGGGTTGACGATCAGCGCCATCGTTATCCCCAAATGGGTCAGCTATCACAGTGAAAAGGTTCGTGATGTTAGGTTTTGTTGAACATTTTGTGCGACCGCAGAAAGCTGACGGATCCGGCCTATCTTCCAGCCCGCTCACCACTATTCTTATGGCCTCCACCGTCGATGCTCCTCCTTATCCGATACATGTGAGGGTTTTCCCGCACGCGAAGACTGTCATGGCGAAGACCGATATTTCTGCTCTATGTGGCGCTCTGTGGGGTTCTTGATGTCCTTTGCCGTTGTGTTGCAGGCCATGAGTATCGTCGCCTACATGATCATCCTAGGAGGAGGAAAACGGCTCCGTGAAAATGGGTGGCGTGTCCTCAGCATCCTGATTATATTGTCTGCTGTTATTCAAGCGGCGAGTATGTCGATAGTGGTAAGGTCATCTTTTGAGTTTTTGGGAGAGGAACTATGTGCTAATTCTTTGGGGTTCAGGCATACCTCTTTGACAATGAAGATCGGTTCTTCGTTGGTTGGCAATTGGATGAGTCCTGGATCTATTGCACTGTTAGTCTGTGTATTGGTCTGATTTGCGCTGGCGCAGTCATCGTCGCGGCCCATGTCTTGCCCTCTGAGGGTGGGTATGAGCTTATCCCTGATCATGATGATATCAGGGTAGAGTCGTGAGCCCCATCCGACGCTGTATACGTGCTATGCGATATTATCGAGGGTCTCGCCTCTGGGAGACGGAAGTGTTGAGGTTATACTGGTTTGGCTTCGTTGGTCCGGCGTTATCTGATTTTCTCTCGCTCTTGGTTTCATTTGTTTTTCGCTATGGAGTTATAGGCTGTATATATACCTTCCTGTGAACCTGGGCAGGTCACGAACTAATTTGGACGGAACAATTCATTTCAGCGAGCTACTCATACATCCTATCTTCAGATTTTACTCATTGAAAAGAACTGAGGTCATCACATCAATCATATCTTCGTATTTCGGGTAGACCTTCAGTACGACCGAATCAGCCAGCACGGTCTATATTGAAAACGATAAAAAAGCAAAACATCTCCGTACACAACCCCAAATGCAGATATAAATAAGTCATCAAGATTCATCGCATAAAGTTATACAAGACAGATTTTATAAAAATTCACACCAGTCAGGTATCATTCACCTACCAAACAATCTCCTTTCCATTCAAGCCCTCAATAGCCGGGATCTGAGCCCGCAAAGCCTGGCCATAATCGCCCGCGTTAGGTGTGCGAAGCAAAGTGTGAATGTGGAATTTCTTAGGCTCCTCGTTGTTCAAGAACACACCAGAGTGGTGATCGAACTCAATAAGGATAACCGGGCTCTGAATGCGGTAGTAGAAAGGATCCTCATCGCCATTACCACCAATCCAGCAGAAGTAAGTCTCCGCCTCCCAGCGGCGGATCTGCTCAATCTTCAAGGCCCGAGACTTGGCCGGCAGGTAAAGAAGGTACTGCTCCAGGATGCCGTACATGAGCTTCTTCTGAGCCTCGTTAAAGGTGGATGCCAGGATACCCTCGTAAGGGACCTCCCGATTATCACGGTAGGCACCACAAACGTGGCGCTGGTCATCCTTGTTCCAGCGACCAGGCGGCATAGCAGGATCCTTCATCAACTGGAAGACGCGAGCCTTGGTTTGTAGCTCGACAGTGAGAGACTGCATCAGCTCCAGACCAAGCTTCTCCTCAACCTGCATAATGCGGGTACCAGCGTAAGGACCGGAATCAATCTCATTAGGCTCGGCGCCGGTGAACCACGGCGACGCGATAATCTGGCCCTTATACAGGAAAATGTTCAGACACAGGTGGTGGCCGTAGAAGGAGAAGCCCCAGGGCCGGGTAGTGGAGGGACGACCGAAGAGGGCGAAGTTGTAAGAGAACTCATTCATGACGCGGGGCGACTTGACCAGCTCGCCGAGGAAGTGGTTAATGCGCATGGCGTTGACGGCCTTTTCGTAGCCCTCGGGGGAAAGAGTGGCCTTGAGGACGTTCATGACAGCACCGCGGACCTGCTCGGTGACCTCGTCGAGGCGGACACCCTTGTGTGCAAGCAGGAATTCGGGGTTGGACCATGTGCGCCACTGTGGGGAGTCAATGTGGTAGCTGACGGCTTCCTTCTGCTTATCGTCTAGCAGGCCGAGGAAGGTCTGTGTGGTGTCCACAATGTGCTGGATCGGAACATCTTCATCTTGCAAGGTGAAAAGATCGGGGCGAACGCGACCTACGATTGATACATTAGAAACTGCTCTGGATGTATTTTATACCTCTTCTCACTCCATGATGCAACCGTTCTTACCGTCGGTGGTGACACCCTTGAAGGGCTCCTGCAGCAATTCCAACCAATACGAATACAAAGCATGCAGCCATGGGGGCTGCTTCAGGGTCTTAAAGTCGTGAGCATACTCGTGCGCGTCCTGCGTGCACATCACCTGGAAGCGCTTCAAGCTCAGGTCGGGCAAGTACTGGCGGTACTCGCCAGTCGGCTTCTCCAGGGCAGCCGAATTGGTGGACGCCATTATGTGTATAAATCGAAGGTAGGGTCAGGGGGGAGGAAATCAATTGAAGTGAAAGAGAAACCAAGAAGGGCGCAAGTGTATTATAGTATGCGCAAACCCCACAGATTCGGACTGAGGCGGCATCCCCACGAGCGTGGGGAATTGTGGGTGAAATATTATCCGTACTGGTCTTCATGGTGGCGAAGGAGCTCTACGTTGGCCAATCTGGTGGCGCCGGAAAGGCATTTACGAGCATTACTTAAGGGCCTTGACTTCTTCTTCTTAACTAAGCAAATTCCTCCGGTTTGACGGTTAAGACTTCAGGTCTCATAAGGATGAACGCGCCATGACCCGGATTAATGGAGATTGTGGGAGTGGGCGATCGGAGTTTGAGTTCCGTGGGGTCTGGGGGGTTTGCCGTCAGTTTAGATTGACTGATTACTGATTACTCTAGTGTTCGGCATTTCGCTGAGTTCTAGCTCTTTCTCGCGACGCGTCGTGCGGGGCAGGATTTGACCCCGCCATATTCGCGATAAAAGCTTTTTGGGCGGTTGGCAATTGATATTTGTTTCAGTCACAGTCTGAAATCTGAACTCAGAACTCTGAACTCTGAACTCAAGTTTTGTTTAAATTACCACGGGCTCGCCAAAGCCCCTAGGGCTGGGTAAACGCTGTACATGTAGCACCTGGACATCGATGCTCGTGCTTCGGCCTTTGTCACTTCCGCTGACTATACACATTCGCAATGAAAATCCCTGGTATTAGCGTTGTGTCCACTTATACCATGTCGTTTTACAAAAGGAACAAATCAGAATGGCCCAGTTTCCCAGTAGGTGCATCTCGGATCTTCCGAGCCACGGAACCCCCCACTCGGCAGCGAGTCCCCCGCATACCGAGAGTTGGAGTTTCTGTAGCTTTAAAACTTGACCACTTCCTCGTTCAAAAACTTCAATTTTGTTTTCTAGTCTGATAAATCTCTTCTACTTGTGCCTCACAGATCCTGCATAATGTCGCTGCCATTCTCAAATTTGCCCCCTAATGAGCGGGTTCCCTATGCCATCCCCCAGCTGGAGGGTGAACGCATCACCATTCCCGGTAGCAAGGGTGTCTTCCGCATCCTGACTTCCTCAAAGCAGACCGATGGCCTGATGGCTGTGTTCACCAGCGGGTCCACCATTTCCGATGCTCCCGGCTTCCACTACCACAACAAAGCCCATGATGTCTTCTTGGTGACAAAGGGTTTCCTGAAGCTGTACAATGGCGACAAGTGTCGCATGATGGGCCCTGGCGACTTTGCCTATGTTCCACCGGTATGTCATCCCCAGTCAAGCATATTCACAAGGAAACAGACTAATGATGACGCAAATAGCTGGTCGTTCACAACCCTGACAATGTCGGCCCTCATACCGAACTCCAAGGCCTCATTACCCCCGGCGACTGGGTCGACTTCTTCCGCTACGTGTCCGAGCCATTCGAAGGCATTCTGGTTCCCGAGACTGACAGCCGGGACTTGAAGTCTCTTCTGATCCCCAAGGTGATGGCTGCCAAGGGCAAGTTCGACGTCGTCTTCCAGCCTCACTACCAGCCCCCGAGCTGGGAGAGTGGACCAAGGATGATGAGAAGCTGCCCGAGGGATCAGAGGGATACTTCCTGCGGGCCAACACGGGTCCACGCTGGATGCTGGGCGGAGTGATGTCTCGACCCTTCATCACTACCAAGCAGAGCACCGGAGTGTGTGCCATCTCCAGCATTGAGTCGTCCAAGGATTATGGCGAGACCGTTCTCTCGAAATACATGACCTTCGCCAAGGTCGATCACTGCTTCTGCGTTATGGAGGGTTCCCTCAAGGTCCGTCTGCAGGGCTCTGGAGAGACCATCTTCCGTGAGGGCGAGACCGTTGTCATCCCTGCTGGACAGGCGTTTGCATTGGACTTTGTGAGCAAGTACGTTAAGGTGCACTCCTTCACCGATGGTGATGGTATTGAGGCCCTGATCCACGAGCTGGGTCAGCAGGTGGAGGGCGTGGTTCTGCCGGATCAGGCTCCCGAGTGGGACCCCTCGCAGTTGGCGTCTGTGGCGGAGCGACTGAACGTGACTTTTTAGGTCATAACTGTCATGACTAAGGTATAAATTTTGGGAGTACATAAATAGCGATTGTAAATAGCGAAATTCGAAGCTTGTTTCCTTGCGGCAGTCGGTCTTCCCTTCACTCCGTAATTCGAAGAAATTTGCCGAGATGCCTACCGGTCCCATGACCCTGCAAAACGAGTCTAATTCGTTTTGAGTTCACCTGAACGGGGTGATTGCACGCGAGCGCGCTGATTAGTTCCCCCAGGTTTCCGTTCCCCGCAGCGCCTCCATCACGTGGACCTGCGAACGCGGAAGCCCCGGAAAATCCGACTCCTGGGTTATCATCTATCACCTGCAAGCTTGATCCACCCCCAGATTTTCCTGCCGCTGTGGCATTATGTCTCAATAATGCAAGCCATACAGAATGCACCTGTGGATGATCCTGCACCTAAGCGGACCAAACGGCCTCGCGCTGCCCAGGCCTGCGACCGGTGCAGGACCAAGAAGTATAAGTGCGACGAGCAATATCCATGCTCGCATTGTAGAAGTAAGTTGCTGGAGGGGTATATCTTGAGCGGGGTTTCGGATCGCAGAACTGACAGGGTCTTAGAAAGTCACCTAGATTGCGTGTATCAGGGCAATTATAGGGAGCGCGAAAGCAACCGGTCGGCAAGGTAATTCATTCTACAGGACATTTGCGCCGCGGGTAATCCAATTCTTTGCTTTACATGGAAAGTCTGACACGGAAGTAGTTATGTCACCGATCTGGAGAAGAAAGTCGAGGAGTTGGTCTCGAAGCTACGCGCGGCCGAGGCCCAGATCATATCATCGCCACTCCCTCCACATGGGTCGATCGCGCAAAGTGTAGTTCCTGTGGCATTAGATGCAACACCTTGCTCTATGCCACGCACGGGCTCGACACCGCGTGATACAACCAAGCCACCTAATGACCCCCGGAAGAGTCCGCGGAAAGCGCGGACGACGAGATCAACGAACTGAACCATCATACGAACGCAATTGAATTCCACGGCAGCACTTCATCTGCAGCGGCCATCGGTCATCTGAAGAAGGCGCGAGAGCCGAAAACCCACGAGGAATATTATCCGCGCTCGGCAGACTTTTCATTGATTTCAACGCTGCATAACCCCAGCTTCTCTCCATCCACCACCGGTCCCAACCAATTAACCTCTATTGAACAGCAAAACTATTATTTTGATCAGGCGCATGTGTTCATGAATGGTTATTTTGAGAATATCCATTTCATCCATCCGTTCATCGACAAGGAGGATTTTCAAGCGCGCGCTAGTGATCTGTGGTTGAATCGTTCTCGTACTCCCGAGCCCAGCTTTGTCGCATTGTATTTGAGTATCTTGTCTTTTGGATCACTGGTACGAGTATGGGACGAAGATACTCTTGCCGGTCTAGGTCGTTTCGAATGGAGCCGAAAGCTATTTGGCGAAGCCCAAGCATACCTGAATCACTTGCGCTTTTCGAATGATCTTGAAACTGTTCAATGCCTCTATTTAATGGTATGTTAGACGAGTGACGCTCTCAGAGTATCGATGGTGGTTAACTTCTTTACAGGCTAAAATTTGCCAAAATGAACTCAACCCAAATTGTAAGCGATTCTCATCCCTGGTTGTCCAGTCAAGCTAATTATGTAGTGGCTTATATGTATCTTGGTCTGGCGGTGCGCACTTGTCTATCGGCAGGCTTCAACCGAGAGGTCCGGGGCCCTAATGATCAACGTTCGAGCTGGATCTCGAAAACGTGGTGGTAAGTAGAAAGAAGACCGGCGGGAAGGCTCAAGCTGACTGTTTTATTGAATAGGGGCTTGTTTTCCCTTGAAATGTAAGCATAATTCGATACCGTGCTCCAAGAGTTGATTTGAATTCTGACTTGCTGCAGAGAAATGAGCTTTTCAGTCGGACGACCAGATACATTGGGAATGGACGAATACCATAATCGAGCTATTCCACCCCGAGATGACTCTGAGTATGCCATCATCCCGTGGATGGTCGACTTTGCCCAGATCGTCCGTCGGGTCTCTGTCCAAATTTACCATTCGCGTATCACACTCCAGGAAAAGCTCCAACTGGGCCTTCAGATCGAAATGGAGATGGACCGTTGGCTCGCACGTTTGCCTGAAAAATTAAGGCCAGATATTGGTGCCCACAAGTCTCCTCGAAGTGCGCTTCGCGATCCAAAGTGGGCAAGAAGACAACGACTTGTCCTAGGAATCCGTAAGTTAGATCTAAAAATCTTGATGAGATGCACCACTAAGCTATTCTGGTAGGATATTATAATGTGAAGATGCTATTGTTCCGGCCATTTTTAAGCCACTTCACCCGCAAGCTTCGACATCCTCCAAGTGAACTGGAGGAAACAATCGCCAAATGTCTGGACGCGGCCATGAAGACCATTGAAGTGATACATGACATCTATCGAGTACATGAATTTTTCAGATGCTGGTAGGCTATCAGAGCCTGAAAATTAATTCTCTGTACTAACCTATTTTGTAGGTGGTACAACACGACATATGTGATGTTTGCGACGTCAACCCTTCTTCTCCCAATGTCAAAACTCGGCATGTGCGAAGAAACGATGCCACTGCTTCGCTCCGTAGAAATGGGAGTTGAGATCCTAGAAGCCATGGAGGAGTCCGTCGTGGCACGCAAGTCGGTTGAAATTATTCGACAGTACCTACGAGAATTCCGCGCCTCCGGGGCACAGCATATGGCCACAGGAAATGGTGGAGAGCATGGTGATCTGGCCGCGTCAGGAGAACCAGGGCCTAGTCAGCCCAGCTTTGAAATCCCAGACTGGGCCCACGGCTTCGGTTTCCCAGATTACTCATTTGATGGAATCGCCCGGTTGTTTGATGATATTGGCGGACTGCCTATGTTGGATGAGAATAATGTATGAGTCACAATCCTGCGTACTTAGTTAAATGAGACCAAACGCCTCCGAATCCTGCCATATCCATGGGTCTTTCCCTATTTTGACTTAGGCCGTCGTTAGTGCTGACGGGTGGTGAACCTCGGACCTAATTAAACTTTAACTCCGCCGGAACTTAGCAGTGTTCTATCCACAAACCTCATTTTTGAACCGCAATAATTTGAAAAACACATGGCAAAAGCTCCACCCTAGTTCCGCTGATCACCAGATCGAGAGCTTCGAATGTTCCTGACGTCATGTGATTTACCTGGTTGCTCCGACCACCACTACATAAAGTGGAGATGGTCTCCTGCGATCAACGATGATAATCCAGAATCCTCTACATACATAGTCAGTCCACTTGCAACTAGAAGCATCTTCCTTTCTTTAAACCGTCCACATCTTTGCAATCTCATCACAATGCCTTTGACACTTCACCACATGGGATTTTCCCAATCTGAGCGCATAATCTGGCTCGCAGAAGAGCTCGGCATCGACTACAAATATGTCTTTCACAAGCGCGATCCTATCTTCGCCCCACAATCCATCAAAGACCTCCACCCGGCCGGCACAGCTCCAGTGATGGAAGATGACCCTTCCCCCGTGACCAACGCCCGAGTTGTCCTCGCCGAATCAGGCGCTATAACGGACTACATCGTCGCTGTCCACGGAAACGGGCGTCTAGCACCCACCCCCAAGGATGGTGCCGCCTATCCCCATTTCTTGGAATGGTACCATTTCGCCAATGGAAGTCTTCAGCCCACTTTTCTAAGACTCCTGATGGCACGGTCCGCAGACCCGAGCTCCCCCTTTGTAGCTCGCACATTAGGTAAGGCACTGGGTCAATTGGATATGCTTGAGGACCGTCTAGCTCGGACAGGAGCATATCTTGCCGGGGAAGAACTCACGGTCGCAGATATCATGACCTTCTTTACCTTGACGACTATGCGGGGCTTCTGTCCAGTAGATTTTGATACGGAAAAGCATAAGCATATTCTTGCTTATTTGAAGCGGGTCTCTGAGCGTCCAGCGTATCAGAAGGCCATGAAGAAATGCGAAGGTGATGACTTTAAGCCTATGATTGGGCCCAAAGCTGAGCTTTGGCCCCTTATGAAGAAGGTGTAAGCGTGTTACTACCCTTCTGTACTATATGTATTATAAATTTCTATACTCGACTCTTGTGTGAAACTCCAATAAATAATGACTTTATCCTCTTCAGAGCCTCTAAAAGAGTAAAGGAAACCGAGAATGCGAACATTTGATCTATTTCGTGTATTCGGTATTTGAACTAACCATGCAATGTTGATCCGTGACAGGATCAAGAAGGAATAAGTACAGATAGCAATTTCATGTCTTCATGGGACGCCTATAAGATCTTGCAGGACGATCCGGACTCGGAAGGCCGCAAGAACAAATCCGGGTTCTGAGATACGGCCTTTTCGACTTCCTTGATGGCATCGTAGCCATACAGCCAGGGTTGAACTTCAGGACATGTCCTACATGAGACAATCAGCATTTATTCGGTACGAAAGTGAGGATTAGACATACCATCGGCTAGGGAATGCGCCCTTCAGCTCCTTGCCAAGCTGTGAGAGGAAAATCTCATCACGTTTTTGTTGCTCCTCTCCGTCAACCATGTGGAAGTCGTGACGCTAAAAGTACATGTTAACGCCGTTATAGAAATGATTGAAACACGGATTGATTACCTGCTTGAAGGTTTCCCGCACAATAGCCTCTCCTCTGGATTTGCGGAGGCTCTCGTATAATCTTAGAATGCGAGGCAACTGCGCCTTATCTGTCATGTGTCCTAGAAGCAGACCCAGGACAGCACCGTCTTCTAAAGATGAGTTGGCGCCTTGTGCCAAGTATGGTAGCATTGGGTGACAAGAATCTCCACTATAAGCCGTGTATTAGCAAAACTCCACGATGCGTTTGGGTGAGGTAGACATACATGAAGACAAGGTTGGACTTGTCGTTGACCCATTTCTCCATTTCAGCATCTATGAAAATGTCAGCGGGGAGAATCTGCCGTCTCGAGAACCTAGAACTCACGGTGCATCAACTTCCACTTGTCGATAGAAGTATCCACATATTTCAAGAACTTGTTTAGGCTAGAAACATAATCAGCAAAAATTGGAGACGCGTGCTATGCACAACACTCACATTGGATCCCAGCCAACGAAGAGCTCGCGCATCTCCTCCACGGATCCTGCCTGCTTCGACACTCCCGGGGGCAAGTTGTCAGGAACCAGCAAGACAATGTTGTACATATTTCCTCCGCGTAGCGAATATCCGACAGCATGAGCACCGGGTCCAATCCAGAAGTGGCACTCCGGGTTCTGAACAAGAGACTTCAGGTCTGGATCGGTAATTTGATCCGCAGTCAAAACAATCCGATAGGCCAGATCACCTGTTGGAAGTGGCTCGTCCTTCTTTCCAACAAAGGCCTCGCGACACTTAGACCAGAGACCATCAGCAGCGATGATCAGATCACCCGAATAGCGCTTCCCAGCCACAGAGTGCACAGTAGTAGTATCAAAGTCAATGCGCTCAATGCGCTCCCCGAGGTGGAAAGTAACACCCAAATCCTTTGCCCGAGCAAACAACGCTTGCTGCAGATCCACGCGGTGCAAGTCCACAAAAGGCGCATCGTATTTCGCCCGGATACTTTTGTTAAACGCAGGATCGTGAGCCAGAACTTGGCCAGAATACCGGTGGACCGTCAACTTAGTAGGCTCCGCAGCAGCTTCCCACACAGCAGCAGGAAGCTGCCAGTACTGCAGTAACTTGGATGCATTGGGAGTAATTTGCAGACCAGCTCCCACCTCGGCAAGCTCTTTCGCTTGCTCAATAACCTCCACCGAGTGCCCTGACAGAGCAGCGGAGATGGCAGTCGCGATACCGCTGAGACCAGCTCCGACAATGATTACGCGGAGACGCGCTTCTTCTGAGACCACCTAGAAAGCATCGGAGATAAGCATGTAAGCTGTCAGTTGGATGGGCTTCTTTGCTCCTACCATTGTGAATATAAATTATGCGTGTACTTTCTGAAGATAGAGAGTTGAAGAAGACAACAATCAGAGTTCCTCTGATTATAATTGTGGCTCGGAATGACCGAAGCGGACATCATGCCCCCAGCTTCCCCACAGTCTTCGGAATTGCCGACGCTCGGATATCCCAGGCGTCCTGAGCGCCACCCGCAGGGGATTGTGCATTGTGAACGGTTACGCATGGATTGTCAATCATGTCTGCGTGACCTCGTGTCTTTTTCTGGGGTGCAGGTCCGGGGAGGCGATCCCCCGTGGGTCTAGTCGGTGCCAAGCAAATGAAGCGTGGGTATCCGACTGGATCCATGTCTATATGTTTGCTAGCCTTGAGATTAACAGGCCCCAGTTCCTAATGCATTAATTATTCATAATGACTCATCTTGTAAGCTTGTTCCTATAGTTCTGATGCTAACTTTTCTTGCCCATTGAGATCATGTGACCAGCAGGTCGTAGATAGGACAAGGTGGTAAAATATGAAAATCAGACACCGATATGGGATAACAGTCTAGTGTATGAGCAGGCCGCGGTTAGATACGCAATTCCTTGAGCAGCAAGAAAGTAGATGTCAATTTATTTCCCTAATTATATAAATATGTGTTATTAGCTCCAAGATGCGAAGTAATAAATTTTTGAAAGCACGGTCATCTTTAGTCAGGATTGCCTAGCCTTCTTAACCCAATAGAGATCCTATTGATGTACTCCCGTCACCTCTCTTTCAGACCTCAGATCACCAACATATTCTTCACAAGTAGTATTCACTCGTCGAGCCATTTCAATGCTTCGAGATGTTTCGTTCTGCAGCATCTTCAAGTCTATCACAACAACGGACCTTACTCGCCTGTTTGTAAAACTGACACAACCGTGTCCGCAGTGAGATCAGCTCAACCTACTTATCCGCTAAACATGATAGGTCTGTATTTCCTTCCTTTTAAGTATCAAAACAATGTTTACAAGAATTCTGGGCTTTGCTCCTGGGAACTTTCTTCCTTCACAATCTCGCAAGCAGCGACACGACATTACAACTGAACAGTTACACTCCCTCCACCGTTCTCCCCTAGCTAACTTCGAAAAATGGCCGACGGTTGGCACATTGACTTCCGCGTCAACGGCGTCATTACGCATATCACAGCGGCAGTTGCCATGTTCATGGCGGTACGAAAGTTATGGAAGTAGTGCTGCAAGTGCCGAGAGCGACAAAGGACCCGGAGGAACCTTGAAGACCTGGAAGCCCATGCGCGAGAAACCCTCGCCATTGAACTCGCTCCGCTTCGGCGTACTTCTACCTTTCGTGTCCATTTGCCACGTCAGTGATTTTTCCCCCCCCCTCTCCCGCAGTTTGCTAACTTTTGGTAGGTCGATCGGTACCGGTGCTGGGATGGGTATATTTAGGTCTTTTCTCCTTTGAACGGGCAGAGTGTTTGAGACGGGCGCCTCCAATGCTACTGGAGTTGTTAGGCACACACCAGGCACACACGTGACCCCGGGTGGTGTTATGGTAGAGATAATCTCTTCTTATCATATAATCAGAGACATTACCACCCGTGACGTGTATGCTTGTTGCATCCTTCGTAACAGGAGTCCTCCCCAATAACCACAATGCTATAATTCGCTTCTGTTCATACACATTAACTTTGATAAATGGTGAGAAGCAGAGCACTGAAAGCAAACTGATATCACGTGTGGGCCTTGACGGTTGTGATCTGGATGGAGACTGCGTTCAATCTTATCATTGTTGGACAATATCCGTTCGAAGTCAGCAAGCGGAAAACGGGAGAGGGGGCGTACCTGTTCAGTTGCAATGTCGTGTCGCTGCCTGCGAGATTGTGAAGGAAGAAAGTTCCCAGGACCAAAGACCAGACTTCTTGTAAACATTGTTTCGATATTCAGAAGGAAGGAAATATAGATCTATCATGCTCAGCGGGCAGTATAATACCCACCTAGGCAAGTGGTAGCAGGTAGCACGGGAGACACAGATCCGGAGCCGTGGAAGGTGCTTTGGAAATTGGATCAAAGACAGTGTCGATTCCTTTTCACGGGTTCCAGATGACCCTATTGGTGACGGTTGGTACCAACGGAAACAACGCAGGTAGCCCCGATCTTCTGTGCTGGCGCCTTCGAATGTGTGTATACAGAAATATCAAGCTGATCGCTCAGTCTCAGACTATCTGGAAAGAAGGAAACAGCGGCGACGGCATGGGGACATAATGGAGTAGCCAGATGCTGCTCAGAGAATGGAGGTGGAAGTTTGTAGGCGAATGGGACATATCATAGACTCAACGGGATTATATTATTATTTTTCTATGTTCATAGTTGCACAGAACATTCATGACTCATGAAAACTCAGAGGGGCTAGAGATCACCGATGATAGATTGGTGTTCATTGACATAGCGCACCCGAACGAAGCCCTTGAAATCAACTCCACCTTAGTATTCTACCATAGACACCTCCAAAGCTTTTTCTTATCAGTGGAGCTTTTAGCTTCCTTAAAAAAAAAATCAAATGCTCGGAGGTGGAGGCCAACAAATGACTCATACATCAACAACAGGCTGTGCAAATTAGAGTGATTTGACAAGGATTGAAGGCCGTCGCATCAGCAGCGAGACCTTCAGCGTCGGAGGAGACTCTCGAGGCCAAAATACTCAATTTGATTTGTGCCTTTTGCGGGGTATATCTGGATCCACATGCTCCACCTGTCATATCCTGTTGCCATGCAGGATCATTGATTGCTAATTCTTTTTTTCACATGGCATAGAGATAACAACGGACCACGGGATGCCCAGTCGGATCCATGGCTGACGCGGCTAAAATGTCCCTCCGGGTTCTTGGTCACGGCCCGACCAAGGTTCACTCACTCTCGGCTTTCGATTCGATATTACATCTCCCCAAAACATGAAATCGATATGAGAGCGCGATCGACATAATGCATGAGCAAAATGTACATTATGCTCAGCGTGGCAAAAGTTCGGCAAATTATTTCAGGCCACAGAAGCGTTGAGAGATTTAGCGTCGCGCTCTTGCCCCGTGGGAATCATCGCTTAAAGTACGCCACGACTAAATGCGGTCCCGAAACGCATCCGAGCTACCCCACGGACATCCCGGGGAAAAGCTGTGATCACCAATGACATTGATTGCGTACCCAACAATCTGCGGGGAAAGGGGGAAGGAGTCTAGCTCCCTTGGAAATCCCATGGCCTGCTTTCCCGACTCAATGTGCCGGGATTTTGTTTATATGAGCTGCTGCCTCCCCCACCGTCCCATCATCATACGATCCACCCCCTACTTTCACATCTACCGAAAAAGACTTTACCCGCGATGACGGACGTCGATCCTAGGGTATGTTAGCGTGTTGCTTGATTCGCATTGGTATCGAAATCTAACGTGTGTATAGCTCCTCCCCAATCGGGTGCGGTGGGCCGCCCTCTTTGCCGTTAATCTGTTTGTCTTCATGGGAAATATGTACTCGTCGGGCCTTGCAACAGGCTTTGGCTCGTTGGCCGAATATTTCCGTATTGGGGATTCCCAGTTATCACCCCTAATTACTTATTCAGTCCTGTCCATGGGATTGGCTAACCTGGTCTGGATGCCTCTCGCTCTCTGCTTTGGAAAGCGGCCCACTGTGCTTTTGGCCATGGCCATGTTCCTCTGTGGATGCGTATGGAGTGCGGTTGCAAAGGACTACAACAGCCTGCTGGGCTCTCGGGTCTTTGCCAGCTTTGGTAAGTCACACCTATCACTACAACTAGGCCTCGTCCTAATGATTATTGTAGGCTATGGTGCGATCGAGTCTCTTGGACCCAGCATTCTCGCAGGTACGTCTCTTTTTCTCCTTTCCCGTTCATCTATTTTAAGAAAGCCTCTAACGCCTCCCTAGACATGTTTTTCGAACGCAACTACGCTAGTGCGATGGCGCTCTATGCTGCAGCGTTGTCGGGAGGTTCACAGGTTGGCCCAATGATTGCGGGCTTCCTCATCGAGGCCCGAGGATGGCGTTGGTTTTTCATCCTCTGCGCCATCCTTGCCGCGTTCAACTTTGTTACTGCGATCGTCTTCCTCCCAGAGACTACCTACGAGTCTGAAGAGGTGCCTGAGCAGGTTGACGATATAGAAAAAGAAACCCAAAGCCACATCGAGGCCGTCCGCGTTCAATCGCAAGGTGGCGACCACCTCAAGATGGATTACGGAGCCCACTGGAAGGGACTGTTCAGCTTCGGCCTCACCAAAGAGGCAAAGGAGAAGGGACTTATCAAGCACTTGGCCTACCTCTTCCTGCTGCCCTTCCCTCTATTGCTGGTTCCCGGCGTGTTGATCGCATCGATCATGTATGGAGTTGTTCTTGGAGGGTAAGCAAATTCACTTCCATTTACATCCTTATCTTCTAATCCTGAACAGAGTTGTCGCCATTTCTACCCTCGCTCCCTCGATCTTCTCTCCACCACCCTACCTCTTCAGCTCCTCGGACCTCGGTCTGTTCGCCCTCAGCAGTTTCATCGGTATTGTCATCGCCTGGCCCATCGCCGGACCCATGACCGATCTTCTCTCTCGCTGGATGCGCAAGCGTAACGGCAACGTTCACCAGCCTGAGCACCGTCTGCCTGCGCTGATACTCCCCTTCCTGGTCTGCCCCGTTGGCCTGATTGTCTTTGGATACACCGTCGCACACCAACAGAACTATATCCGCCCGGCTGTCGGCTCCGCCCTCTCTGCTGCTGGACTGACCCTGGTCCCCTCTGTGATGCTCTCATATGTCGTGGACGCCTACCCCAGAACGGCCGGCGAGGCCCTCGTCTTGGTCAACACATCGAAGAATGTTGTTGCCTTTGGACTGGCTACGGGTGCATACTCTTGGATGGAGTCCAAGGGAGTGGATACGATGTTCTATGAATTTGCTGGAGTTCAATGGGCAGTGTTGGCATTGGCTTTGCCTCTCTACCTTGCTGGTCCATGGCTACGGGCTCGAACCCAGAATCTGTTTTAGACGGATTTTATATACGGAGTCATATGTATTTTTTTTTAGCACGCGGTCTAGAACGACCTCGGGAAGCCAATGTTGCTTTCGTTCGAATTCATTCTGAAATTTTGATTTAATCCTATCCAAGACCCTGCTCACTTTCCAAAAGTTGTAAGAACTTGAGCCGAAGAACTCCAACATTGAAAGTTTTATCCAATCCGTAGCTACCATTTTGCCTCCAGTAATCTTTTGCCACCTTCATGATCAGTGATACCCATTGCAATCAGGGACAGCCAATTCCTGGCCGACTAGACTAGTCCACAATGCGGGTGCAACGGGAACTGGGGTTTGTGTGCTGACAAGTCCATCACTGCGCGACAAGTAATCGATTGAGGCATTAATCCCAATTAAATCATGTCCAGCGACCGAGAAATTCAATGTCAGAGGTACACAAGATGAATATACAAGTCACAGACTTGATTGTATTGCTATCCCACTCAACCTATAAGCCGGATAAGTTTTTTTGGATAAATGAACCTAACTCAAAACCAAGAAACCGGAAGCCGGAGCAAGCCAGCTGCTCTTGTACCACACTCGTGTATTGTGTGGTCGAAGTCAAAAGAACCCATGTACAACCCATCAAGGTATCCAGCGTGGCCACAGAGGGCAGCAATGCAAAGAAAAGCAAAATAAAAAGTATATGAAAGAAAGCAAATCATCCATGAAGAAAGAGAAGGCCGAAGGTCAAATGCAACGAACATAAAAGGATGTCAACACGAAAGTATATGATCATAGGCCGCGGGGCGTATTCGCCTCGATTCGTCCACAGCTCGTCCTATCTCTATTCCCGTCGTCAACCCGTTTCCAAGGTCGCGATACTCTCGAATCGGGATGTGATGCGTAAGAGGTGGAGCGGCTCAAGGAACCGGGAGAGGAGGGCGCTGATGACCCCGGAGTAGTGTTGGCTGTTGCTGAGGCGGTCGTGGCATTGATCCCAACGGAGGCTGCAGCTACGGCGGGGTTACAGTGTGAGCAAACGAAGATATTGAATCCTCGGCCCTGGCAGCTAGTGCAGATTGAGCCTCTAGAGAAGCAGACATTAGGGCCCGAGAATATTTAGAGTGGGTTCATTGCACGTACCTTGGGGCATTACCGGCGCAATTCCGACAGGTCAAGACTGTTCGCCCGCCAATGCAGGAGATGTGACTTGGATCAAGGTTGAGAAGAGAGTGTGCGCTGGCCATTGTGGCGGGTTGAAGATGATCGATTGCGATAGAATGAGGCGGCACCAAGTTAATGCATATAACTGAAACTGGTAATGCTGCAAGAATAGCTTGGCAAAGATTTTCATACAGCTATGACGCTGGCACCAGGATGTGTGTTTCTTTGTATTCTTTGTTGGTCGATGAATGTTGAAGTCAATTCAAAAAAGGCAGAAAGAGGTGGCCCTTTATCAACTTGACTCGAAGTCAATAAACGTCGGATCAATAGGAAAGAAGGAAACGCGTTGTCTCTAGTCATCGGACAAGGGTAAAATCGTGCCCAGGCCGAAGTATAATGGGCCCGGAATTAGGAGTCCAGGAGATCGACTCTTATACACGCGAGGGTTCGGTGGCACACGACATCTCAGGTCAAATGTTACATCCCGCCTAGCAGAAATGGAGAAGCCGCGAAAAACCAACTGAAAAGCCGATTTGTGAATGGTCAGCAGGTCATTCGTTGTAACAGTGAGCTTTACTGCACGTCAGGTTGGGTTCTATTCAATGATATGAGCCGGTCATATCCGTGCAAGCCACATATTTCCAGAAGATCGTTGACCAATGAGAGGACCAGGACTAAATCTAGCATCAAAACTGAATAGCGGCGCATGTGCCGTATTGAGTCTAGTCTGGGTCAGTCAGGCCCCATCATATTCGAGGACATGCGTCAGTGGACGCGCACAATAAGGCATGTAGGACGACCACACTAAGGTACCTACGCACAGCCAGGGTTGTTGAAACGGGCCGAGCTGGTGGGGTGGGTCGTGGTCGAGGGACGATCGATCTCATCCGCCGGGAACTAGATCGTGGTAGTTCGCCCTGTTTTCAAAGTGTACACAAAGGGAGGATTGTCAATGGCACCACCACTAGACTGCAACGGTGTCCCGGGTGACGCGGTTCAACAGAGGCAGTTCTACCCAGGCAAAAAAAAATTAGCGCAGGGATCAGTCCCTGGGGATATTCGGCGTTCACAAATCAGAACCGAACCTAACGTGAGCCAGGTCGTTACCCCGACCAGGACTCCGTGTTGCCTATGCGGAAAATAAGTCCCAGCCTCATGGCAGCCACCACAGCCTTGTGTGACCACTGTTCGCCAGAGTAGGTACCCAGGGTTGAGACGGCACCCATGCCCCTGTCAGTAAATGCAGGAAAATGTGGCGATGGGTACGGAGAGGGGGAGGTCAGTTAGACTCGGGATTTGGAGAGACCGAAAGTGGAAACCATCCACGGATAGTTGCATGGGGATTCGACGATGATCTCATTTCCACCAAAAAAAGAAAGAAAAACACGGATGACAGCGAGATGATCTTTGTCAGATTTAGAGACGAGTCCGACGTGGTGAGCGTCTAATTTGAGGCATGATAACCTTTGCATATTGTCGGGATAGAGCGGGTCGAGATGTATACATGAATAGCAAATCAGGGCGCCAGGCGGCTAGTTGGTATGCAGCTAGTGAAGGAGATTAAATCAAAACAGGAGACGTTATTCGCAGATCTTGAGAAAGTGCATGTATTCGAGAAGAGTGCAGGAGAGCGAGCTGGAGGGGCCTTGTACGCTCCTCGACGTCTAAATTGCAGGACCCCTCCAAGATGCATGTCGGACACGTAAATATCTGGGAAGAGTAAAATGTTGGTATTTCTACTTTGCTTATTGGTTCCCAATTGTCACGTCCGGAACAAACGGACATGATCGTCGCATGTCTTGGTGCGTGAGAGCTTTGTTCCAGGGATCCAGAGAAAGGTTCCCCTGGCTCAAATCGCAATGTGGATCGTTATGAGCTGCAGATTATGATTTTTAAGAAAAATAATTTAAAAATTAGAAAAACAAAATAAAAAAGAAGCTGCCTTGTGATCGACGAATCAGAGACCAAGGGACACGTCAAAACGTTGGTCTCGTGGCCAATCGCATCATGTAAGGAAATAACAAGAGAGCGACGCTCTCGAAGCGCCGTGGATACGACCTGCCAGATACCTCCGGTACCCCAAAGGCAAGCAGCCGTCAAGCACAGCATTGGAAGGGTCCGGGGACACTGCCACGCTAGGACTAGGCCCCGACAAAGGTATCAATTCTCATCCTCTGTGGATCTACGTTGCCCCAATCTGGGTGACGTAGATGCAAGGGGCCCCCGGTAACCGTTGAGCTCTTTGTTCACCTAAGCTCCTATCACTAGCTGAAATGTCTGAGTTATGAGGGTCAGATTTTATTCTCCGCTCAATGTCGCAGCCGTGTCAGTCAGCACCTAGAAAGTTGCCCTGGGTTCGTGGGACGATGGAGACATTAGCCTTAGCCCGTACAGAAGCGCCTACGAGCCGTTCTTGCAGCTGGTAGACTGATTTCTCCATCGAAAAGGTTCCGGGCTTGTTCGACTGAGAAAGTGGGATCGATCTGCAGCTAGCCACTCTCCATCACGCGCTAGGCTCGGGATTTCAACGTAGACCGGAGGCCATGGACTCGCACTAGGATGCGCGGTGGGCCTAGGAGACGAGGCCTCGAAAAGGCTGGAGATTAAGAAAAGCACAGAAAGGAATTTTGTCCAGAGGGTGTCGCTTCAACATGGTGTGACTCCTCCATTGCAAAACGGCAAAACAGAGTGGCCAGTCAGCGGACATGGAGTTTCAAGGATTTGTGCAGCCCGATTGGTGAAGTGGATTCCGATCCTACGCTCTAAGTAACAGGAATATGGACGATCTGATTCGAGGGTGGATGACCTCGGGCGATTTTGACCACAGGCGACATTCAAACCAAAGGATGAACTCCCTGTTATGCGGGTATACCGCTACTTCTGTCCTTTTTTCGGTTGTTTTTTTTTTTCTTTTCTTCTCTTTTTTTCCTTTTTCTAAGGATTTGGTGCCTCGCGGCCATGGGGTCAGGGTTTCGGAATATTTTAGCATCTAGGTCAACTCGGACCTGACGGAGTGATGCTGACGGGGCACTATACCTGCTGGTAGAGGCAATGATCCCATGCAAAAGTGCAGATCTGACGAGCATTTCCATGCAGTCCTCAGTATCCTCTCGCTCCTTGACTCTTGGAAATTACAGTGAGACCCATGTCCACACTAAAGAAACTACATAGTGTGATTCTACCTGAATCAAAGCCTGCGATTTCGGTGGACTGACATCACAGCGAGTCTTTTGAATGAGGCCGCCGACGAAGAACCGTACCTGGCAGCAATGCAGAGCACCGAGGCTGAGTGCTGATCATGTCACGCGGCATGCCAGGATCAGACAGCAGCCGAGAAAAGCGTTGATGAGAACTAAAAAAAAAAAAAAAGAAAAGAAAGAGAAAGAACCAAGGATTCATGGGAAGATTGAATTTGCTAAAGGTAGATATCATGAGCAACGTATTACCGTCTGATGAGGCATACTGAAGTCGACCTAGACAACCACTTTGGCATCATACAAGGGGGAACAGCAACGAGGGAAGTTTAGCCATAAATAGAAGCTGAAAACCAATAATCACCGAATCAATGCACGTAAACTCCCTGTCTCAAAAACTCCAATCTGGTCGTGAGACGTACTGGCCCACCGAAACATCGCTGGTAGACGAAAGGCTCACAGGGGGGAATAACCGTGGAATGGCCCCAACCGCCTGTGACAGAGGGAACGCCGAAAAGAAATTTAGTTCCTTTGATTCATGTAGCTGGATCTGACAGGAGGAGTGCTTGGATTCAAAAATAAGAAGTGGCAATGTCCGAAACACTACTTGTAGAGCCGGGGCTTGGGGTTTACTGGAAGTATTCAGCGGGTAGCGCTGCTAGAAGAGCAATTGTGCCCAGTCCTCCCAGGAGAGCACTAACAACAGCGGTAGCTGTGTAGGTTGCTAAGTTCGAAGAGGGCGATGACTTGACCCGCTTGCTCGGAGGCTCTGCCTCGGACAGGGCGGAGCTAATCGCAGTGGTGACTTGAGACTGCTGAATAGAGTTGAGGCTCGGTTCCTGAGATAGCGGAGCAATAAGCTCGGGAAGCTGGGCGTCTTGTGTCTCCATCTCAAAGGCCTTGCGCTTCAACGAGACTTTTGGCATGTCTCCCCATTCAGTCTCATTGGTCTCTTTGTCGACCTGGCCACCGCAGGAAAATGGCCCATCACGGTACAGACTGGGTGCATATCCAGGAAATTCGAGAATGGGTTGGTGTGGATTGATAGAGTCGCAGGATTTCGATACATCTCCCTGGGTAAAGGTTTGCGATGGTGGGCAATTCAAGAGAGAAGTGATGGGACACTTTGGGAAGCGCACATGAAGATCATGCAGGTGCTTCAACTCATCGGACTTGGGCTCTGAGCCGACATTGGCATTTGCGGGCAAGGCCGGAACGGTGGGAACATTACTAGCCGCGAATTCATTGTATATCAGAGTTGGATCAATGCATTCCTTCTCATTCTCCTCGACAAATGATCCGTCATCCGAATCATGGGAGTCGTTAGACGCAGAGTCATCATCAAAGGGCGACTCAGCATCAGAGTTATAGTCGGCATCAGAGGCAGAGTCAATGCTGGAACCTCCGTCGGACTTGGTACTAGAAAGCAACAGGTCGTTCAGCTCGCAATCGTCCTCATCAATGCTGGAGCTATCAGAGTCTGATTCGATCTCCGAGCTGTCTTCATCTTCACTCTCTTCGAACTCTTTGGTGAGCTCTCGTTCGACCTCCGAGGACCAGTTATCCTTGTAAAGTTTAACACCAAATCGTGGGTAATCCGATGGACCGCCGGTCAAAGATGAGTCAGTGGTTAATATGTGTGGCGGGTACTGCTTGTCTGTGAACAACGGGGTCTGGTTGCTGAATGAGGGCGGAAGTTGCTTCCTGGGATCACCAGGTTGGCACTCCATGTGCTCAGGAATAGAGTGAGTCTCAGAGGAGGTGAGCGCCGGGGAAACCATGGTCTTCATTTCATTTGCGTGAGTCTCTTCAGTCTCCTCGTATGTCGGGATAGATTGGAGCATGGTAACTTCTTCGACATCGCTATCGTCTTCGGGCACGCAGAAGGTGTTGGTTGAGGTCTGTCGGAGTGAAGGAACAGGTTTGGGCTCAAAATAAGTCGGGGATTCGTTCACATGGGTGACTTCGATATCGTGGGTTATCCTGAACAGGGGATCAGTACCGATCCAGGGAAACCAGAGTCGGGGCTTTACATACTGCCCCAACCAGTCGACCTTGCAGCGAACCACCAGGGCCGGGAAAACATCTATGGGGGGTGTTAGCTTAACCTTATGATTTAAAGGCATATACAAACCTTCACCGCGTTCTACATCCACGCCAAATCGTAGAATATCTCCGCTGAGTAATGGTGTCGCCTCCCCGAAGATCAATCGGTTGTTGTTCAGCCATGTTCCGTGGGTCGAACCGAGGTCGTTGATATTCAGGATCTGTGGTACACATTAGCATGATAGTCATGATAGGAAGACGAGCACCAGGGAATGATCGCACCATCTTGCCAGGCTGAATAAGTAACTCCGCATGATCCCGCGACATCACCCGAGAATCAAACCATCCATTATCTTGATGCGGAAGGCGGTTCTTCAAACCCCTCTTTGACGAGCGCCCGATAATAATCGTCTTGTCGGTATTATTGAGAGTGAACTGTCGGCTCACATCGTTGTCTACCCCCAGTGGGATAAGAGTCACCTGAGCTAAAGGCCACAGCCGTGTCAGCAGATACAAAGGAAGGCCCAAGAATCTTCGTGAGGAATGCAGAAAGAAAGCCAGGAATCAAAACTTACCTCGAAGCTCATGATCGGACATGGTGACTGATTCTGTAGAATGTAAGCCCGGATATTTACGATCGGGAAAGCCTGCAGGTTCCAGTTAACCACGAAAGCGTGGGAGAGCTTACCTTGCCCGACGAACTTCAAAAGGCTTGCACAGCAAGAGAACCGAGGCCAGAAGGGAGAAGAGAATCAAGTAGAGAAGGAAACAAAAGGGGGCCGATATTAGAGGGGGAAGGTGGGAGGAAGGTGAGGTAAGAGGGAAAGAAAGAGGAAGAGGGGTAGGATGATGGATCCGGTTGAGGTCACGGCTCAAACAAACGGAGAGTCGGGACCTTTGGAAAACCTTGGGCCAGACTTTTAGTGAGCCGGCACTTGCACTAGAATCAAAACTCTTTTGTTTCTAAGTCTTCAAAGAAGGATGAGCTGGTCAAATCAGTTAGGCAGATAAGGCAATGATGATGCTATAGTACAAGTGGGGCACTTTCTTATCGAACTTGAGGATCATGTGGATTCCGAGTGGATCCCGGTACCCCGAACACATGAGACATGGCCTCTTCAATACTCTATGCTGCCCAATGCAAGACTACTGAAATTTAAAAAGATTATAGCAGAAACGTTCATATTCACCTCTATGGTACACAGATTACTCTCCAACATGCGCACATCCAGTTGGACACAGCCTTGGCCCCAAACTTCCCGCTAGGCATCTTTCTCGGTTATCTCCGCGCTGCCCAAGATCAAGAAAAACATAAAGTGGAAAGGGGAATATGCCAGTGGATACTAAATACAAGCAGAGAAAAAACAGCCTGGGCAACTGCGAGACGAATCGAAGAAAGCCAGAAGACTGGGATCATAGAATAAGGGAAGGAGACATTGCAAACCCGACTCCAGATTTTGGGGAGATCAGGACAGAAGCGAAGAAAGGAGAGAAGATGGGGAGAATGTTGGTAGCGTGAAAGAGACATTAATTCAACAACCTCACTTTTACATGGGAGGAGCACCGGGGCCCATGCTGCCACCCATTGCGTTCAGGCGGGCAGCCAGCTGGGGGTACTGCTCCTGGACCTCCAACTGGGTGCGAGTGGCCTCAGCGTAAGAGATAGCATTGATGATCTCGGCCTCAGTACGAGCAAGCTCGGCTGCCCGCTCGAAGTACTTGAGGGCCTGGGAAACCTTGCCCTGCTGAAGGAGCAGCTGTGCCATGGTGCCGACGGCAATATCGCACTCAGGGTCGACTAGGAGATTAAGTTAGTATTGTGAGCAAAGGGAACCCAAGCAAAGAGTTACATACTGATCAGGGCCTTCTGGCAAAGGTTCTCGGCCTCCTGGAAGTCATGCTTCCACTGGAACAGGGCGAGGGCCTTGTTGATGAGCGGCAGGACGTTGATGCCCATGGGCTTGCTCAACTGTTCCATCTCGACAGCCTTGTCAAACTTCTCGATGGCCTCAGCGTAGTTCTGCTGGTCGAGGAGAAGCTCTCCGTAGTAGTTGTAAACATCAGGAACCTCCTCAAAGTTCTTCACCGACCGGCGGAAAGTGGCCATAGCTGAGGCGACGGAGCCCATCTTGTACTGGGTCACACCGAGTTGAATGTGGGAGAAGATGAAGGATCGGTCGAGGTCGATGGACTTCTGGTAGTCCTTAGCGGCCTCAGCAAACTCACCCAGGATGAAGTGGAGCTGGGCACGGTGGTAGTAAATATCGGGATCGTCCTTGTCGTTGTTGATGGCAAGCTCGAAGTCGTCGGCGGCAGCATCCTTGTTTCCTACGAATCAATCAGTAAATTGTTGTGCGAAATCAACTATGCGGTGTCGTTAGCTTACCAAGCTCAAGGTGCAAGCTAGCACGCTTGATGTAGCTCTGAACCAGGGACGGTTGCAGCTCCACACTCTTGTTCAAGTCTTCCAAAGCAGCGGGGGCGTTGCCGCCCAGGTATGTGAAGGTGGCGCGCATGTTGAGAGCCAGGGCCTCGAATTCTTCGAGATCACCAACCTCAAGGGCCTTCTCGAAAGAGGCAGCAGCCTCCTCGTATCCCTCGGCAGACTTCTTAGCCATGGCAACCAGACCCTTGCGCAGCAGACCCTTGCCAGAGTCTTCGCTCAGCTCGGCGGTCTCCTCCAGACCCTCGGGAAGAGGACGAGGGCGGAAGCTCTGCAGGTAGTTGGAAACAAAGGTGGCACTGGGCAGCTTCTTGCTACGAGCTTCCAGAATGGCCTGGCTCTTCTTCTCGGCAACCTTCTTCAGCAGGCGCTCCAGGGAGTTACGGCTGACGTCGTTGGAGAAAGCATCAATAATGCAGCTGGCAGTGAAGTCGAGGAGAGCCTCGCTGAATTTGCCGAGGTGCTCGTAGGCAATAGCCCGGCGGTTCAAGGCCTTGACGTATTCGCTGTCCATGGCAAGAGCAGCGCTGGTGTCCTCAACGACCTTCTCCCAGTCCGACTGAACATTGTAGCAGGCGGCACGGTTGGAGTAGAAGACGGGGTCGGGCTTGCAGATGATGGCTCGGCCATAAAGGTCAATGGCCTTGGGGTAATCCTTCAGACCGTAGGCCTTGTTACCGGCGGCTTTCAGCTTGGCGGCGTATTCCTTCCGGGTCTTTCATCGTATGTCAGCACATCCTCCGAGGAAAGGGGTTCGAGCAGCGTTAGGAACTTACCTCCTCCGACAGTTCACCCACGGTTGCCTCGTCAACCTCGGGCAGCTCCTCGGGCTCGTCGGCCTTCTTAGCAGCAGGCTCTGGTTATGATGTCAGTCACCGAATTCCATCATATGATGCAATGGACACAAACCATCTTGAACAGAGGCGGGCTTGGCCTTCTTCTCCTCCTCAACCTTCTTCTTCTCTTTCCGTCGCTGGTTCTTGCTCTTCTTGTGTGCGGGGGGAGAAGGCTTGCTAGAGTCGGATAGGTAGTAGACAACTCCAGCGCTGGTGACGACAACAGCGACACCGGCAATGGTGTAAACCAGAGCCTTATTCTCCGACACCCATTTCGATACGCGATCCCAGACGGACGAAGAGCCGGACGGCGGCAAAGTCGCAGTGTCCAGCACCACGTTCCGGGTGGGTGTAGGTGTAGGTAATGGCGACACGGACGACATTATGTGAGCAGGAACCGGGCACGGCGACCGATGCTATGTAAGTCCTGGAGTTCTAAGGCGACGAAAGATTCAGTTAATACAATGCGACGAATCGATGATGATAAGAGGGGGGAGACATACCGGTCTCTACGCCTAAAGCGGGAAGTGTGAGATAGGGAGAATGATGGAGCTTTGGAGGAAAAGTCAAGAACTCGATGATTGCGCTGCGGCCAATCACGCGCCGCGCGACGGTAAGTTCTCCACCGTTTGAACACCACCAACTCGGCTGCACCGGGAAAAAAAGGGATGCATCCGTGAACCTTTGCAGCTCGTGCAGCTTTTATTTTTCAACGAAGCTTTTCCCATACTAGTCTCATATTTGGTTCCCGTTCGCCAAGGAAGCTAATTGCTGGCGCGTGAGGCAGATCGCGACTAACCACTGGGGCTGCATTATTAACGGTTACACAGCAACAGCCTTTGAGGAATCTCCTCAATGTCTTCCAATTTGTTTGTGGTCGAACATGAGCATCCCGAGCAAGAAACTTTCGAGATCTTTTCATCGTTTCGCTACGACCCCAATCTTCCAAGCGTGGCCCTGCAACACCCAGAGAACTATCCCGAACCATTGGACTCGCCCTACTACCTCTTGGCCTACCACCAAGACCGAATCATAGCCGCTGCACGCCACTTTGGTTGGAAGGGTGTGTTTGACAATGGGCCAGTATGGATGAACGGAGATGTGAAAAACCTAGACAGATTCCTGAGTTGGCGGGTGCCAGACAAGTCTCGACCGTGGCGGTTGAAGCTCGTTTTACAACACAATGGCCATGCCTTTTGCGAGTTTTCAGAGACTGGCCCCATAGACCTGCTTAATTTCATGACTCCGATTTTGCACACGAGTACAGATTCGACTGTCTGGCGGGTGGTCGTGGACACGGAGCGTACAGAACCGTCTGGCTTCACCACGCACAAGACCTCTTCCCGAGAACACTACACGCTTGCTCAGTCCCGGTCTCAGGTTACCCCCGGGGCGAAGTCAGAAGAACTGCTCATGGTGAACCTGGACGGCGAAATCATGGAAGGTACTATCACTACTCCGTACTTCCGGCGCGGAGACACTTGGGTAACTCCGCCACTTACCAGCGGTGGTAATGCGGGCACAACAAGAAGATACGCATTGAACCAAGGATTTTGTATTGAGCAGTTGGTCAAAGCTTCGGAGCTTAAAGATGGAGAAGAGTGCTGGCTAAGCAATGGGGTACGAGGTTTTATGCGTGGTCGCATCTCTCTGAGTTCACCAGTGCAATAACAATCGAGCCTACGTATGATGTGAAATGTATAGATGAGAGTAATGGATATAGAAAATGCATTGGGCCCGGGAGTCATAACGCTGAAGTTCTTTTGCCAGGGTTTTAAAATATGTCCGTTTCATTCTTTGAGCCTTGGCAGCCTCTATTTCTTTTCGGCCACCACTGGGTTAGAGTTTCCCTTCCACTCGAGAGGGCGAGGACGCATGTATTCAGCCACAATCTCATCAGTGACCTTGGCCCGACGCTCCTGGAATCCAGTCACGTACGCCTGAAGCTCAGCGATGCAGCGCTGCTTCATCTCACCAGTCATCATTTCACCCTTCTCGTAGGCGGCGCGGATGCGCTCGAGTTCCTCGTCATCCTCAAGGAAGAAAGTCAAGTACTGAAAGGGCACATCGACCTTGCTGTTACCACCCAGCTCGCGGTGCAACTCAGCGGTCTCCTGACCACCGGAGAAAGCAAACTTGTTGATCTTGTTCTTGATCTTGTTGGGAGTGTCGCTCATGAAAATGGCAGAGCTATCCACACTGGCGGACATCTTGGAGCCGGGTCCTTGAAGGGCAGGCAAGAAGATCGAGTGGATGAGCGAGGGCTTCTTGTACTTCATCTTCTCGGCGTGTTCACGGCATTGACGGAAGTAGGGGTCTTGGTCGATGGCGCAAGGGATCAGACAGGGAATGGAAGAGACCTTCTTGAAATCGGTACCAAAGATCTGGGGGAAACTGGTCGCAAATGCTGTAGCAGACTGGGTGGCGCAGAAGTGGAACTCTCCGATGTTGTTGCTGTCATTGAATCCAAAGGTACCGCGGATCTGGTTGATTGTGATGCGCTTGGCCATGCGGCAAATGTTCTCGTAGAAGGCGCCTCCGACGAAGTCGAAATCACTGAAAATGAAGGTCTTCTTCATATCAAATCCAACAGCAATAATGTCTCTTGCGTTGGCCTTGGTGTATCGTTTGGCGTCCTCGATCTCGATCTTGGCGGAGTGCATGTATTTCTCGTCGTCAGTCATCATGATAACCAGGGGGACATCGAAGACATCCTGCAGCCACCTAAATGAAACAATGTTGATTAGCGCTCTGACTACTCAATTGGTGGAAGACGACTATGGCAGTCATACTTGGTGAACTCAAACGGCACAGTGTGGCCCACGTGCATACTGTCACTACTCGGACCACGGCCAGTGTAGAGGTAAAAAGGCTTGCCCTTCTCATGGCAGTCGAGGATCTTGGTCAGGTCACGGTGACTGAACACAATGCCACGGCGCATGAAACGGTGCGGTCGGTGGCCAGTGACCTTTTCGAAGCGCTCAAGGATGGTTGGAGTCAAAGGACTCGCGCCGAACTGTTGTACCAGCTTGTCGTAGTCGACGGGGAGAAGTTTGCCTGACTCATCCACACCACCGGATACATCGAAAGGTGTCACAATCTGGCCGGTAGACTTAGTCTCGGGGGCCTTTTCGGCAAGGCTCAGGCTGGTGAGCGCGGGGGGTTGACCTGGTTCGTCCGCCATGGTGTGTATGATTACCCGAGAGACTAGAGTTCTATCCCAGATGGAGGTAAGTATGGTACGGAGGATACCACAAGAAATCCTTACTTTCTGAGGTATATTCGATTGACTTCAAACTACAACGAAATTCTTCTGCCCCTCGCGGGCACGATCGGCGGATGAGTCAGGCCGCTATCAGTGCAGGCTCTGATTGGACGATACCAAGTGTCACATGGTCACCCCGCACTATACATACAAGCATCAACAAATTCATACAAACCTTGGAAGGCATGCATACTGCTATTGATCAGCTATCAAATCATACTTCAAAAGATTTTGCCAGTCCCTCGTCAATACCTAAACTCAATCCACCATTTGTTTCTTTATCTTCTGAAAATCTCTAATCTGCTGCCCTTCTCCAAAAGTCGCTGTCATTGTCGATGTCCTAGTCATCATCATCGTCGTCGTCATAAGGATAATCATCATCTTCAATTTCATCCAAATCTCTACCATCGTCCCGCTCCTCTTTTTCCACTAGCTCCACCACCTTAAGTGTCCACCCATGACTCTGCATTTTCCTCCTAATATCTGAGCTTAGACGGTTCTCACGAACTTCCACGATAATTTCTTGGAGCGATGTGATTGTCCTGAATTGAGAGGCAACCAACGCTAATGCCCTGCAAAATTTTACAGGGCTGTCAAATGAATCTATCATACACTCCATGAGATATGTGGTTAAAGGGGTGATTGTGAGGGATTTGAGGTTGGTGCAGTGTGACTGGATTTTTCCCAAGATACGACGGATACCTTCTTCCAGACTGACCTCGTCTCCAAGGTCGCGAAGTCCAAGAAAGTCGATGCGGATATACTGAAGGTAAGATGCGTTGATGAATCCAATAGCGTCAAGGAATTCGATTATTAATTCAGCATTCCAAGCGGTGAGGTCGAAACAGTTGTTGCCATAGAGTAGTGAGCTGGCCTCACGTAGGACTGTTGTGTTCGTGAAAAGGAGATTAGTCGTAAGCTTATTTTCTGCGTTCCAGGGCCTAACAGGCTCCCTGCACACTAGGAGATGCTTGTATATCTCGTTCCGGAGTTCAGAAGGAAGACTGAGGAAACTGGCTAACATTTCTCTGATTTTGTCCGTTATAAATGTTCAGTAGATGAAGTGGGTGGGGTCAAGCAAAGGCAAAGTTCATATCTGTCAGATGATGGGTTCGAACATATACTTAGTCTTTGTTAAAGTGGGGGACAGCAGATTGCATAAGCTGTCATCTGTGTCACGTGTAGTTGATTTGAATGACGTGTACAAAATCATGGCCGAATATTAATACTCGTAGAGAATTCGCCTTTTCTCACATAAACCAGACAATTTCATGTCTTCCTTATCGAAAAGACATCTGCTCGTTCCAGTATTCCGGAAAGATAGACTACGACTGTTAATTACTTGAAAGGTATTATCCAAGGAGTGTACTGCAACATATAATCCAATGATTAACGTGGGTCAGTAATATGCTGGCTTTAACATGCACGCAACACGGGGAAGATTTTGACGTACGAGAAGCAATCGAACATACCCGTCGCTTCCCGAGGTCCATGCTAGCTTTATAAAGCGTCCCGGGCGCCCCGGAGAAATTGATGCGCATGGGCATATGTGGTACTGCTTTGATTGCAACTGCAATATTAAGGATCACCGTAGCTACGACTCTGACAATGCAATGTAGGCACACCTAAGGAGCAACCACGACACTATCGTCGATTGTATAGTCCTTTCTTAAGAAGGCTTTTTTTTTGAAACGAGATGAAAAAGCAACCAATTGGAGAGCAAAATTTGGCTTCGGAAATTCCATTTCTGCCGAAAAGAGCTCCCATTTGCCTTTTTGTGACCTAGGCGTAGGAACATGCGAAGAGCTATGGAAAGAAAAGGGCTCGACATTTTGGTAGCTTCTAAAATACTACAGTATTCCAAAGGACGCGACAGAATAATAGGGCGAAATTGATTAAGATCCTTCAACATCAAGCTGAGACGCAATTGTACATGCCGCAGCAAGGTTTCACAGAGACTCAATGAGAGAATGTATATTGGAGAGTTACAGTGCGTCACGATGAGAAATATTCAATTACCAGGATTGCGTGCCAGAAATGACCTTAGCAAAACCAGCATGAAGGGACGGGGAGGTATCAAGGTTTCTTGTAAAATATAACATAATATATAACATGATCGTCCTGATATCGAACAGGCCTATTTTTGAAACACGATTATCTACGGATCTATCCATATGAGGAGTAGCGTTTTATCGGGGACGAGCCGTGAAACAACCAATGTGTGTCCAGAGGGGAAACTGTTTTCGATATCTACTGTGGCTTCATACGACAAGGTCTGCGCCCTGTCCTATCTACGTGCATGTATCGATGAAGCCCTGCGCTTGTTCCCACCGGCCTCAATGAATTTGCCCCGTCGCACATCACCGGAGGGTGCAGCGGTTCTGGATGAATATATCCCCGAAGGAACTTTGCTCAGCATACCGGCATGTGTGGTTTCACGCGACCCGGCGATTTTCCCGAGCCTGAAACCTATCGGCCGGAGAGCTGGCTTGGCGATGTAGGCAAGGAACTTCAGCGTTACTTTGTGTCTTTTAGGATCAGTGCCCAGAACTGTATTGGCTACAGATTATGTAATTTGAGCAGGCTGTTCTCCTTGCGTCGTTGATTCATCGGATTGAATCTTTTTTATCGGCACCGGAGTGGGAGCCGATGATTCGGGAGATCACAAATCTGAATTCGGGACCTATGCCTTTGAAGATTTGGAGGACAACGGGAGTGGGCGTTGAGGAGAACTGAGGGGCTGGAACGTTGATCGCCAAGGTGATGCTAGAATATGCACACTGGCAGGCTCCGAGTCAATAGCGCTAATTATCATGCAGCAGCATCTAGCTAATGCAGTTAAACATCACATTGTCTCAAATATTGGCCAAGGAATCTATCTTTGACTCCTCATGTCTGAGCTGAATGGTTATCACGGTTTCGTAAGACTACATGAATTGTCCTACTAATCAGATGGATGGTATTGGTCTAGCGCCAAGCCATCCCAATACCCGGTCTCTTCAACGGGAAGCCCAAGCATATAATGATGTCAGTAGACTTTCAAAGCCCGTGGCCATGGCAATGGCATGGCGATCTTCTCATTTAAAGCGCACTTGATCGGCAGCAGGAAATAGGTTTCCGTCAACTTGAAGCTTGGCCAATAGCCGATGAAAGCCAATCACTCAAGAAGGCAATCGCCGGCGAAAGTATAAGGTTTCCAAGCCCACGGCAAGGTTCGGCTGCTTTGGACCGTTTTCAACTCCTCGAGCGTATTTGCTCGTCCTTGCAAGTTGGGATGCGGGGCCCCCGCGTTTCGGGTGCGGGACGACTTTCCCCAGATTTGTGGTGACGATAGACAATGTACTATAAAAATGTCAAAATGTGCCCTTCTAGTCGTAGCATTGTGTTTTGACTATCAATCTACTCTTCATTCCATACTTGCCATACCAATATGTCCCCGTTTGACACCTCCTTGGAGGCTGGCGATAATACAAAGCATTTAAAATCAGCTCACGATGCTGAATTTGGACACGACGTACACATCGAGAAGGTTGAGGCCGGGACGAGTATGGACGATGTCGCTACCAGTGTCGATAATATCCCAATAAGCTGGTATGTGTGGATGGTTGCTCTAACCGCCTCGACAGCGGGTTTGCTATTCGGATATGACACCGGCGTCATATCGGGAGCGACCGCATACATGGGCAGTGATCTGAACAACAGACCCATTACGAGCAACGAAAAAGAACTTATTACATCTCTTTGCTCTGGAGGTGCCTTCTTCGGGGCTATCTTCGCCGGCAATACCGCAGACAGGGTACGTCGAGATCTTCTTTTCCTTCTTGAATTCTTGCATCCTGCATGTCCATAATCGCAGCAGCTCACACAAATCACCAAGTTTGGTCGCAAAATGGCAATCTATATAGGTTGCGCCTTATTCATCATCGGTGCCGTCCTTCAAGCGGCTGCTTATACCATCGCCCAAATGTCAGTCGGACGCGTTGTGATTGGATTCGGCGTTGGTTCAGCAGCCATGGTCTTGCCGCTATATGTGGCGGAGATCGCACCGGCCAAGTCGCGCGGAAAGCTCATCGGTTTGAACAACATGTCCATCACCGGCGGTCAAGTCATCTCGTATGCAATCGGTGCAGCTTTCGCCAGCGTGAATCATGGATGGCGATATATGGTCGGACTTGGTGCTGTACCTGCCATCATCCTGGCCGTCTTGCTGCCCTTTTGTCCCGAATCACCTCGTCATTTGATCTACAAAGGCCGTGAAGAGGAAGCCCGTGTGGTCTTAAAGAAGATTTACAAGGGCGCAAACGAGCTGCAGATCGACGCTGTCCAATTAGCAATTCAAGTCGCTTGTGATCAAGCCCGTGAGATCAATGATGGCGGTACCACGTTTAGCAAAATCAAGCAGCTGCACTGCGTCCCCAGCAACCTCCGTGCATTGATCAGTGCCTGCGGACTGATGGTTATCTCCCAGCTGTCTGGGTTCAACGGCTTGATGTATTACAGTGGCACAATCTTTGGCACGATTGGATTCAGCAGCCCTATGGCAGTTGGGTTGGTGGTTGCTGGTACCAACTTTATCATGACTTTCGTGAACATGATGGTGATTGATACCATGGGCCGTAGGCGTCTTCTCCTTTCCACGACCTGGGGAATGTCCGCTGGTATGATTGCGATTGCAGTCGCCTTCAAGTGGATTCCATTTGATCTTGAATCGGGAACCCTCGAGTCAACCAGTGGAGTCCCACCTGCTGCTATCGCGGTGATTGTCTTCATTATCTGGTTCGTCGTTTTCTACGGCGTGTCTGTCGGTAACACTGCATGGATGAGTACCGATTTCTTCCCCTTGGAGGTGCGTGCCATGGGCACCATGTGGCTCACATGTTCCAATTGGGGCAGCAATGTCATTATCTCCAGTTGTTTCCTTTCCATGATACAGTCTATGACGCCGTCTGGTGCATTTGGTTTCTTCGCTGGTATCTGTGGCCTTGGTTGGGTTTGGCTGTATTTCTTTTATCCTGAGGTATCTGGACTGGTGCTTGAGGAAATCCAAGAGGTATTTGAGCATGGATTTGGAGTAAAATATGCTAACAATTTGCGACGGGAGCGTAAGCAACTCATCGAGGAGCGCATGAAATCTCAGGATAAGCCCATCGCGATGGGGCATTAATCTACACGTGAATTCTCTGGAGGATTCATAATGGCATGATTGACTACTTTGGAGTAGATACTTCCATAATCCAATTTTTTTCCACGGTATCTAAGTCGATCAATGGTGTTTCAAGATACATATCTCATTGTCAGGGGAACCCCGACGTCTATAGGTACATAAAGAATAATCCCAGAGTCTCCCAGTGGCGCACGGGTATCGCTATGCTTACATGAACAATCAAAAACAAAAACAAAACACATAACCCCAAACATGCTTTTTTAGGGCAAGACAATAAAACCTCGAATGTCCAATGTCCAAATGGCCGAGACTTCTACTTGCGGAATGTAACGGACTTGCCAGCGATCTCGCGCTTGCCATGGCGCACACCCGATGGAGCTTCAAGCGCCTTTGCGTAAGGGTTGTGAGCCCTCTTATGCTTGGACTGCATCCCAGGGCCATGTGCAGTGGGTGCGTGTAAGACCGAGTCTGCGGCACCGTAATCAAACGGAGTAGAGTCGGCCTGGGCCTGAGCGGCTTCCCTTGCCTTTTGGGCCTTCTTCTCTTTCCGGGCCTTCTTGCGTTGCTTCGCCTCGGACTCTTCATCATTGCTGTCGTGGTCCATGCCGTCAAGGGTCAGTAGATCTTTCTCTGGCTTGTCAACAGGGGTGACTTTGCGCTTGCGAGGGCCGCCGAGTTCCTTTACAGTAAAGACCTTCTTTTCCTCTGGTGCCTCTGGTGCCTCGGGAGTCGTGGCAGGCGAGGGTTCCGCCTTGGGAGATGAAACCGGCTCCATCTTCACATCAACAAACTTCTGTCGCGCTTCAGCAACGGTAGATGGCATCGGCGGCAAAGGAAGAGAGAGTCGGAGGGCCTCGGTAGAGGCGGCAAGAGAATACTCGAGAGGAGTAGAAGGCTGGCGGGTATCCAGAGTATTACCCCAGAACTGAGACTTCTCATAGCGTTCAGCGACGGGATAGTCCGCATCCTCCACTGCAACTGGCTTTGGACCATATTTTGGCGGCGGTGCAATATCACGCCATTCGGGACCAGTGGCACCAGCAATCTTGGCCTCTTTAATGACATCCAGGAGATCGCCGATGCGTTCCTTGGTGATTGGAGTCATAGGTGATAAGGTGCGAAGCAGGGTGCCCATATCAAGCGGCATGGTCTGAGCCAGCCGGAAGAGCATGTGTTTCGGGAAAACACACTGGAAGCCCTCGTCTTCCGCTCGTGCAACCTCGTCGCGCCACTTGTGCACGGCCTTGAAAACGGCAAATTGCTCCTTGCTGAGTACGCCTGAATTGCGAGTCAACAAATCGTACCACCCTCCCGGGCCGTATCCCTTAGTCTCGTCATATACTGGGCGCTCATAACGTTGGAGTGCCTCGTTTTGCGATCGCTCATTGACATAGTCGATCAAGCTGTTGTCTGGGGTTGATGCTTCAATGAGCTCGTTTCGTAGATTGTCGTAGATGAAAAGAAGGTAATGGGTATCAGAGCGGGCATAGTCAAACATGCCGGATGGAAGTGGACGAACGCGCCAATCGGCCATCTGGTATCGCTTATCGGCTTCAAAGTTGACAAATTTTTGTAGCAGATACTTCAAGCTCCGCTTCGGATATCCCAATGCAGATGCTGCGTGGAAAGTATCAAACATGCCAACCATGTACAAGCCCAGATCGCGCTGAAGCCAGATTATATCCATGGTAGAACCATGCAGAACCTTCAGAATTCCCGGATCCGCAAAGACTTCGTTTAAGATTTGAAGCTCTTGTCTCCATGGCTTCAGGGTATCGACAATCCAGTCTTTATTCCGTGTGCTGATTTGCATCAATGAAACGAGACCATGGTAGGAATGGACATCGTGGTGTTCCAAATCAATCGCAATCTCCTTGGCTTCTTTCAGCTCTTTCAGCATCTCCTTGACTCCATCCAATGTATCGACGAATATAGCAGTCGTTTGCTCGAATGGCAAATAATCGATCGGCGGTGAGGTTTCGTAGACCGGCTTCTGGTATTGGGCAGCGCGAATCTCAGCATCGTAAGGGCTTGGGTAGCCTTCTTTCCCATCAATCTGCTGTTTCTGTAACGATTTTTCCAGCGGCACAGTCGCATGTGGCTTGGTGTTGAGAAGAGGGCGGAAAGGACCCAGGTCTGAATTATCAACCTTCTGATCAAAGAGCAACTGCGGCTTCGGAATCTTTGATGGGCCGTAGTCGTAAATAGTCGGGAAATTCGATGTCTTCTTCACGATGGGGGCATGTTCTTCTTGCGACGGGCTCAACTTCTTGATCACACCCGTAAACTCATCGAGGCACGCATCGGCCTTTTCTAGAAGCGAGTCGATCACGTCGACCACGCCGCGCCAATTGTCCTCGATCGACTCTTCGTTTTTCAGCTTCGGCGCTTGAAGATCCGTTCCATTTGTGGCCGCTTTCAACACTGCAGAAGTCAACGAAAGAATCCTTTCGCTCTCCTCGTCAAGCAACTCAGTGAAATCGCTGCTGGAGGAGCGATGGAAATTCAAATCCTCCGAGGCGAGCTGACCCACACTGCGAGTCACCTGTAACAAAGCGGCGGTCACTTTGTCCTGGAAAGGTGCAAACTCCGCGGAATCCATGGCAGGCTGAGCTCAAGCCACAGAATTCAAAAGAAATAGGGTGCGTTTGGGTAAGGGTGTGGAAAGCTCCGAAAAAAGTTGAATAGAGAAATCAGAGAAATGGCAGTTGTTGACCGCCTACCCTGAATAGTTATGGCCGGCAATGGATGTTTTGATTGGTCAAAGTGGCCAACCGCTCTTTCCTTCGCCTCCAGCCATTCTCGACTTCGCTTCTTTGAAACCGACATTCACCGGAATTGCCCTGCCTATTAACCTTGTTGGATCCTTCCGAACCGTAATACCTCAAAATGGCTGCCTCGATTGCCCCGGAGTGCAATGAGACGAAAGAGTAAGCTTTGGATTTTCCGCCTCTTCCAGGATTTAGGACCGACTAACATGAGACTTTAGGCAATACGATACTTGTTTTCTTAAGTGGTACAGCGAGAGTATGTCTTTCTAGTCCTGGCTCGACACTAAACTGTGGTTAACGCTGAACAGAATATCTCCGTGGCAACACCAAGTCAAATGACTGTGATGAGCTGTTCTCCAAGTACAAAACTTGCTTACATGTAAGTCGTGGCCACATTTCTTGTCTAGCGACTTGACACTGACAGATGAATTACCCTGTCGTGTAGAAAGCACTGAAGGAAAAAGGCATGGACAGCATGCTGGATGACGCCCGAAAGAGCAGCAGTGAGACCGATGCAGAGTTTCTCAAAAAGTCTTGACTCGGCACCCTTTGTACAATCCCCACTCTTCTATTATGTTTGTATTCTATGAGCGGCATTGCATTTGAAATTTGAATAGTACATACAGTATCTAGAATGAGCGCAGACTTCGGGATGGCCATGTATATATCTGAGACTTGGCACTCATATCTCGAGGTCAGTTGCCATTGTTGTAATGATTGAATCTTTGGACACTTGAAATTGGTTATGCCCGTGAATCCATGACTCAAACTGCCTATACACATGTATCTTCCCCTTGGGAGATGTTCGGGTGCCGGGCAGGTGAGCCAAGCATCGGCAGACAACTTTGGAAATCACATTGAAATCTCGAAGGTTAACCGAATTTCAAGATAGTGATTTTGTGTAAAACGTGCCTGGAAGACTTTCATATTGACCAAGGAAGTTGACATTGAAATTACCGTGAGCACATAATACCTAACTTGCTCTGCTGGCAAAGTGACTTTCCCACTATGTCGATCGCACGAGCTGGCATATGTCGCACCATGTGCTTGGTGAACATCCTACTCTTAATTGCCGGTTACCTCAATACGTAAGTCCATGGACCCTTGCATATTAAGATTATTATTACAAAGCATGACAAAGCGTGTTCTAAAGTTAGCACGGTAGCAGTTCTTCAGGGGCAAGATTAAGGCTGAATGCAGATCGGGTGTGTCCCAAGTTTATGTTACGAGACCGCCGCGTTGGGTCGCAAACCGCTCTGTAATAGGAATGGGCTCCACATTAGAACATTATTGAAGCTGAAAAATAGCTGATCGCTTCCAAAAACAACATGAAAAGCAGAGCTGCGCAGCGGATCTCGGATCACATCTATTCCCTGTATACAAATCTCGGACATAGCATCCATGTTTGTAGATCAAGCGGGGCCCGAGGTTCAGGCCCCGGCGTCATATGCCTGATCTGGGCTAGCGCAAGGATATCCGATGAGCCTTCTGAATGCTTCTTCTGCTCTGTAAAACATCAGTGATTGAACAAAACGTTATTTCTATGTATACGAGTTGTATCCTAGGGCGTAAGATACACTCAAACAAATGAGTGCCCTTAATGGACGACACAGACTCTCTAGGCCGTATCAACATAAATGACTTCTCATACCTCGGGTTATGTCTTTCTTCTCCCTCCAAGGTTCTTCTCTGCTATCTTTAACCCCACTACCAGAGAGTTTGCGATTTTCCGACCCACTTCTGAAGCCGAGATGACCTGATCAATAAATATAGGTTGCCGTGTGCCCAGGTGCCAAAATTTCTCTCCTATAACTATCTTGAACATTCGGCCTCGTCACGAGTGACTTAGAAATCATTCAGCTGTACAACTTCACCCAAACATACGTCCTCACTCAATGATTCTTATAACCCTTTGACGACCACAGAATATGACTTTCCGACTACATCTCATTCGGCATGCCGAGGGCATCCACAATCCCGGCCACGACACAACAATCAATGACCCGATATTGACAGAAAGGGGAATCAAACAATCAGAAGATCTCTGTCACGAATTCCCCTTCAGTGAAAGCGTGGGTCTGGTAATTACGTCACCTCTCACACGTACCCTTCATACAGCACTGGTGGGGTTCCAAAAAGCCCTGGACGAAGAGTACTACGCCAACAACTCCGGTGTGCCACATGGGGCAAAACTTCTTCTGGAGCCTGATATCCAGGCACACTCTGCACGTCCCTGTGATACAGGCTCCGACTGGTCGGTTTTGCGATCCAGATTTCCCTACTTGCTGTGGGATTTGCTTGAACAGGATCCTGCCTTCCCTGCAAAGACGGGACGGTATCTGCCCGAATGGGAGGCTCTAGAGCATAGAGGACGGGCGGTGCAGCAAAGAATGAAGAGGCAATTTGAGGAGTTGGAGGGGAGTGACAGACCGGATATTGCTCTTGTGACCCATGGAGGGTTTATGAAATTTGTCTCGAACGACACAAAAGTACCAGACACAGGTAAGTGTCGTACTGTCTTGGTCACATTCGATGAAGAATCTAGAGTGACAATGCAAAGAAAGAAGATTATAATAATGACCACTGGGGTATCAATTTAGAACACCAGATATTAGATATGCAAGCATCTTAAATTTTGATAGTATCAAAACTGCATATGTTCACTGACAATCATCCGGTTTCTCTTCATCCCCTCCGCAATAGCCCGAGCAATAATCTCTTCCTAGACTCAGCGCCAAAGTATAATCCAGCGATACTAAAAATATATATCTAGGTTAAAAAGATTCATTAACATGACGTCGTACCTCAAACAGGGCTGTCACCACCAGAATCCGAGACACTACCCTGCTCCGTCAATCTCCAGTTGTGGCTTGGATCATAGCTAGCAGAAAGATTCACCGCGACGGAAATCCACGCAAAGATCCCATCCTGGACATCCTCCCCCAATTTAACATAATTGAATACTGGATCCGAGGTAGTTCCTTCAACTTCATCCAAGAACAACCTGTCACGAGAATTAGGCGTAATAGGCACCGTATTAGTATAATACGGATATGTCCGCTCAATCTCATAAACAAGATCCTGACCCCAGAATAGCTGCCCAATATGCGCAACAGTTCCACCGGTAATGGTATCGTTGGGGAACCGAGTAACATTGCCTACATGAGCAATGACGTGAAGGTGTGTCGCGCGATGATGGTAGTGACCAGGGAAAATAGTCTGGAACTGAGCGACGCCTTCAGCATCTGTCCGCTGTAGTCCACGTAGGAATGTTGCGTTGAGATTCGATGTATCATCCTTGCCATCGTTCTCCCAAGACATCACACCCGAATACACGCCCGTAGAGTTGCAGCTCCAGATATCCCACCAGATACCCTCGACCGGCTCGCAGGTCTCGACATCGATGAACTGTGCATCGATGGTCATAGGAACGCCAGGCTCGGCCTCAGTGATATCTGAGCGGATAAATTCGCCTGTTACGTAGAATGGACCGAGCATGCCTTCGGGATTGAGCACGCAGACGCCATTATCACCGAATAGCTCATCTTCCGGGGTATTCGGGCCGATACTGGGATCTGTTTTGAGATGTGACTTCCGGAGTGGCTCTCGGAGATCAACAGGTTGCTTGGGATTGGAATCTGGGTTCGGATTGAGTATTTGTTGACTTCGACGAGCGGCAAGGTCTTGTCGTTGTCTTTCGACTATGCTTCGACGGCGTAGGTCGGCACGAGCGTTGACTTTGGCCAGGGCTAGGTCGTTGGTGCAGGCTCCATAGCCTCGTACGACTTGGGAGTGATACGCTCGCCTCTGGAGGGTGTTTGCACGTTTGATGTATTCACCAGGGTGGGCAGTGCTCAAAAGAGCGAGCCCTAGGATACGAGTGAGAAATGTGAAAATATACATTCCGATGATAATCTAGTCTCATATGAAGAGCGGGCTTTCGAAGTGAAGGAAAACAACATATGGAGTGCCCAGTGGTATATGGAAATATAGTAAGTTCGCTCAAAACTATGCAAGTACGCTAGGTTGCCGGACTCTAGATTTCGGGATGTGGGCCTCAATGTCAGTACATGCCCTATTCTCAAGCCTTTCAAACCGGGCAGGTACAAGGAAGCCGTCATGGCATGGTCAGTGTAAAAGGAATTAGAATAATCCATTAGAGATACTATATACTAGGGCATTATCAACAGAAACCTGCTCATCACCGATGACCACGTCTCCGGACATCACTCTGACCATAGTTGGGAGGCACTTTAGGTACTGGGTGGCCGATAGTACCCATGCTGCCTGCCAGTGATCCGGAACCGCCGCTACCACCCCCGCTTTTCTTAGGCTGCGTAAGAAGTGCCCAGACTTCGGCCATACCCGCTCGACGCGCAGGTAACATACTATACTGCATGCTGTACAGGTTGCGGCGGTGAATCGGCGGTACGAAACGGCCAGTGACGAGGCAAAAGATGACGCTGGGTGCCAGATAATGTTTGCGAAGTCGGTGGCCAAGTTGGAAGTACTGATCGAACATGGCGCGGAGAGGCAGTGGGATGGACTAGATATAATGTTAGTATGGAATGGTTTCAGGAAAGTCGAATCGAACATACTTCTAGATGGATGTAGGAGATAGTGGAGGAGCCCTCATCCTTAGAGTGTTTATCCACTTCCTCTCGGAGCTCGAATCGAATGCCACCGGGCAGTCGCATCGAGTCTTTCACTCGTAGCATCAACGCGAAGAGTGGGAAATGATTAAGGAAAGCTAGACAGGTATCGAAGCCAGCTTTCATAGAGATGATCAACATGCGGGCCGACGCAAAGGTCAAGTAGAAGACGATCACGGTAGGAAGAAGGAAGAAGAGCACTGTGAAGAGAATCGTGCCAAAAAGTAATTGATCAAGGTCGTAATCACATGAATCGATTCGGTTGCGCAAGACGTTTCGCTTTTTGCCACGGAACAGGTGAAAAAGCGAGATGATTATGGTAAGCTGCCAGTTGAAGATCCGGGCAGAAGCGATGTAAAAGGAGTAGATGTGGACGGTCAAGATGGACAGGAGATCGGAAAAAAGGGCGATTGGCATGCTGGCCCCAGCAAAACTGGAACAGCCGATGATGTAGATGACATGGGGAAGGTAGGGTTGGAGGTTGGCAATGCATGCTGCCCAGTTCTCGATGACCCAGAGAAACAAATCACCCAGGAAAGCTGCCAGTTCATTGTTGAGTTTCAAGCCAGCGGGCCAATCCATCAACCATGAAATGGTGCGCTGCAATCCTACCACGGTCCATCCCGTGAGGACGGTGTTGATTTGAGAGGCTACCCAATTGGCGTTGTCAATGATATATGAGCCGAGAGCGATCCCGATAATCACATCATTGGCTACGAGCCACAGACTATTATAGAACCGAATGTAATCCGGATGGCTGGTAGTCACACTCTCCCAATTGTCCTTTCTCTGACGCAGCTTGACATATTGTATGGGCCAATAGCAGAATTGCTGCAGCCGTATATCAACCTGCTGAGCTGTTGCCGAGATGTCTTTGATTGCTGCAGCATCAGGCCGGGCCCGCCACTCGAGAACCTGCAACACAACCTCTGCAACTGATCGATGTCCCACGAGACCAATGACAAAGACTCGAGTGACAACGGGCCAAATCCATTGCCAGAATATATGTGCAATAAAAAGGACAAATAGTCCCCAGAGAGTTGTAGCTGATTCCACCACACGTTCTCCGACACTCATGCTACGTTTCGCGCGCACTCCGATGAGACGACAGTTTTTGTGCATCAGTTGGCTCATTTCGTAGGCGCAGTTTACTTGACTGATTATCAGCGGAAGTGCTTGCTCCTTTTGCGATGGCACATGCTTCACAACAGTGTGGAACTTCAGCTTGTCGACAAGCACACGATATCGTGCTTTCTCCTTTTCTTCTTCCGACTCGACTTTACCCGACAACGGTCCACCATTTTCGACCATTTTCACCTTATCGCCCAAAGCGAGGGCGATCGGGTCTAAAGACATGTACTCCATACGTGTTGGATGCGGGCGATGGAACATGATAACCTGAACCGACAGATTCGCCTCCGGCGGGCAGTAGATGCGCGGTATCTGATTTTTCGAAGGTGGATGTGTCGTCACATGAAGATGGGCCGGGTTGAACGAAGTCGGTGGTGCACCTGCATTTGTCGTACCAAGAACATGCATCTGAGATCGACCACAGAGACTGAAGATGCGAACAATAGGATGCGGGCTGTTTCTGAATAGAATGCCAGCCCGAAGCGCATTGTCCACATTCCGTGGCTACAAAGATGATTGTCAGCTCTGTTTATAGTTTAGAGCAGGCATTTGTTACCTCGACATCTTCCAAAACCGTGAGTACGAATAAGTCCAGCTCCGAGTTGCGCCAACCGACTATCACTCCCGTCGATGAAGATCGCGGGAGATCATATGGCCAGAATACTCGCAGCAAGCCATCACTCATGATCATGTTGTCATCCTCCACTTGCCGGTTAGAAGGAGCCTCGACGGCGCAGCTGTTCCCGGGCGGAGACGCCGAGATTCACGTGGCGCGGATGCTGAAAAATATGAATACCGTTAGCGAATGCTATATATACGATAAAAATGCGGATGTCGATGTCCGTTTGGGTTCGTTCGGGAGCTCACCAATTGACCCTCTCTCGCAGCTAGGTGGTTGATAGGCAGGACAAGGAGGAAGAAAAATACGGACAGCAAAAGGAAGCCCTTCAAAGTTCGTGTCTATTTCATAGGCAACTTGTCAGCAAATATCCAATGGAAGCGCATTGAGGTCGAAGCGGGAACGGAGGGGCTTCGGGCAAGAACAGGGGAACGAACCACGACGCCGTGATCCCACGCAAAGATAGCTAATTCGTATAGACGGGTAACAAGATCCCACCTGGCAGTGGTGTAGCCCGCGACAAAGATCCCAAGGGTTAAGATGGAAAAGGGGTGCATGAATCAGGGTTCAAGCGGTACCGCGTTTCAGTGTGCGCGCATAGCTGTGGGGGAGTCGAATAGCAGTGTTTTGTTTGGTCGCCGAATTGGAGGGACCAAGTTAGCTCACGTGGTTCGCCTGAAGAATTCCTGTCAAGTAGAATGTCGGATATAAACGAGTGAATGATGCAATCTTGGGGTCGATTGCTGGTTTATCGTAGGCGCGTGTAGGTTCGGTGTCTAGACCCCCATTCACGGTGGACAATGGCCCCACGTGACCGTCTCCGATCTATACCAAGCTTGGCAGGTCAACTTTATATGAACCAACTTGATCAAGTCCTTGCAAAGATACTAAAGCATGCTTCTTGAAGAACAAAAACATTTCTATTGAATCCGAAATTTTGATTGATAGGCTCCTCATTGATGAACATGTTAAAAAATCCCGGCAACGCCATACTCCGCCCTAGAGCCTAATCTTCCCATCCGATAATCCTATAAAGCCTTGATACCCTGGAACACTTTGTTCGCTTGCAATTTGCCGTCTGCATTGACCAGATCGCGCATGATTTGCCGTTTCTGATCAGATGACAGATCCTTGCCCTCAATCTCTGCCTTCCACTTCACCAACATCTCCTTCAGGAGAGCGCTGCCCTCCTCGACCTCCTCCTGGGAGTACTTATCAAGCGAGGCAGGCTGAGTTTCTGTATTCTCAGCTGTGGCAGAGGTAAAGTCCTCTAGTTCCTCGGCCTTTTGGCGAGCCATGTTGACTACCTTGTCAGGGAAACGCACGAGTTCGGCAACGTGGATACCGAACGACTGGTCACAAATGCCTGGCTCGACACGGTACAGCAGAGTCACCTGACGCTTCTTCTTCGATTCAGCCTCAGCTTCACCATTAGGTTCATCACCGTCTCCAATGAATGCCACGACGTGCAAATTCTTAACAGATTTCGGGTATCGGTCCGCCAGTGCAGTGAGTTCGTGGAAATGAGTTGCGAAGAGACCGAAGCATCGAATCTCGGTGACAATGTGCTCCGAAATAGCCCAGGCCAGACCGAAGCCGTCGTAGGTACTGGTCCCACGGCCGAGCTCATCAATGATAATAAGAGACTCGGAGGTGGCTGATTTGAGAATATTGGCAGTTTCAAGCATCTCCGCCATGAATGTGGACACGCCCTTGAGTTGAGAGTCACTGGCACCCACTCGGGCAAGAATGCAGTCGAAAATAGTTAGCTCAGCTTCAGTACAGGGTACGAAGCAGCCAGTCTGGGCCATGAGCGCGATCACACCGATCTGTCGGATGTATGTTGACTTTCCGCCCATGTTGGGACCGGTAATGACAAGGAAAGAGGATTCGTCCCGAATCAAAGAGACATCGTTGGTAATGAAAGAAATGTCATCTTGCATCTCCATACAGGGATGGCGGGCTTCCTTGAGCACGGTGTTTCCCGTGCCGCGGGGGTGCATCTTAGGACGAACATAACCCGCGGGAGCGTGAACAGACGCATGGGCGAAGCTCACTACAACATCAAGGTGAGCCAAGACACCGGCAAGCTGCTCCAAGACAGGGCAGTATGAAGCAGCGACATTGACCACTTCACTGACAAGTCCAGTTTGGGTCCGGTTGTAGTTGGATGACAGCTGATCATGCTCCCGGCGAAGGGACTGCATAGTCGTGGTGGTGAAATAGACACCATTCTTCTGCGTAGAGCATTCTTGGTACCCCTTCTTGTTACGAATACAGCCCGCCTCTGCACGAGTAACGCGGAAACACCAGCCATGCACACGGTGGTTTTCCAAGAATAGCTTCTTCTCGATATCTTGATTGAGGTCTTTGGCGACGTTGCGATGCTCCATGTCCATTTCGTAGCGCATCTTGTCAAGTTTCTTGCGGATGACCCTGAGGCTATCATCAAACTCGGGCTTGATAATAAATTCGTGGTTCTCAAGGGCATCTAAGTCAACAGTAGTTTCCACCATTTCTTCCAATCTAGCCAGGCTGTCGGAATGGCTTCGGAGCTTGGATGTGTATTCTTTCTCCAGCGGGGTCTGATACTGCTCATCCATCACATCTCCTAGGGCATGGACAAACCCTGGCAAGCGAATTGCGACTTGATAAACACGAACAACATCCTCCAGATTAGCCTGCTTGCGCTGGAAGCGCTTGGCCAGGCGATACAGATCAGGGATGGCACGCAAGTGTTCCTCTTGCATTGTCTGTCTCAGCTCTGTGTTAACAACGAAAGCCTCAACAAGCTGCTGCCGGAGCTCGATAGCAGCGAGATCCATAAGCGGCTGCTTCAACCACTGCGCTAGCAAGCGACTGCCCACCGGCGTCTTGCAGTGATTCAGCAGGCCGAACAAACTCATACTTTTAGCTCCATCACGAGGCCCGGGCATCAAGTTCAACGCTCGCAAAGCAGAAGCATCCAGCTTCATATACTGCGACAGGTCATGCTGGTACAGTTGAAACTGACCGAAATTAGTCGCATCAGTCAAGACGCCCAGATATTTGATCAAAGCCGCCGCAGAGCCCATAGCAAGCTTCAACTCAGTCTGAGGCAGCGTCGCAGCGGACCGCTCATCTCGCAACAATCTTGTCAAATCCTGTTCGATATCGCGCACTCCAAAGTCCGCCACCGGCCGCTCGGAAATAGCAATCCCGCAGCTATCAGCGATAGCTCGAATCTTGCCCAGCTCCACGTCCTTTCGTGAAGAGTCCATTGTAATCAGGCATTCCTTGACACCAAGCTGGATCACCAGAGACTCGAAATTCGAGTAGACGTCATTGTCGAGGAACTCGCTGACTCCGAGTTCACGCACACTGGCATCCGCGAAGCAAACGCCTACGTTCCTCGCCTCACCAGCACGGGCGGAGATCTTGACAGCAAGAATGATAGGTGCTGAGTCCATTGACAAGGCACCCACACTGCCAAGCTCGTCCTCCACGTCTTGTAGGTTTCCGGGACTGGCTTGCTTGCCGAGTTTCCAGTTCCCCTTGCCTACACCACCCGACACCCATATCTCGACACGTTTGTTTAGTTGGAGAAGGGCTTCGCGGAGGAAATTCCGGAACACGGTCACGGTCATGGTGACCGAAGGCAGACCGCTACTTTCGCTGCGGCCGAGGTTGCGGAGCACGGAGGTTGTCTTGTAAACGGTTCGAGCGATGAATTCTGCATTGGCACCATGGGCGGAGTACCAGTCACCGCGGTCGAAGATTCGGAGGGTTTCATTATCATCAGAGTCTGTAATAGATTTGTAAAAGCGGATAAATCCGACTTCATCGTCGACCTGTCAGGGCGGTTAGCGGGGGGATTCTTTTTGGTCAGTGAAGGTGTAATGGGGCATTGCAAGAAGATACCTTCAAATCTGGTCTGGAAGACATCTTGTCAAAATAGGCCGCAGAAAAATGCAGCAAAGACAATATGGTCACCGAGCTTGGAGAGTTAGAAGATGCAGATGAGGGAGACGCGTCATGTCAACGCGGTCACGTGACACGCGTCGCGCGTTAAGTGAAATCCATGGCGTTACCAATCCAAGGTCTAGACCGCCGAGGGGTTGATTACTGGTAATATGCAGTATTTTTATCAGTATTGGTTGTTATTATTTGTAGGTAGGAGGCTAATGGCTAATATCGCTGCCATGCTGAGGCTAATAAAACATGGCAAGGTAAAGTACAGGGTATCATCACAACGCTTATGCAAAAACCGCGAGCGAACCGGCTCCACGGATGACGGGGGTAAAAGTAATTTAAACAAAGTCCACCAACGAATTCTCAAACCCTCAAGACAGGAACGGGCACACAAGATGCAGTTTTGTCCCAATCATCCTTCACCAGGGCAACTTTGGCACCGATATCTTTGATTGCAATATCCTTGCAAGACTTCAAGACAACCGATTGCATATCCTTGATAGTCACCAAGTTGACCCAGTGACCAGCCACGCGCGAATCAGCCAACATTTCAATGCAGATCTGGACCTCATCGGCCGGGATTGGGGTACGAATGGAATCCCGAACATGTTGGACGATAGTCTCAAGCTTGAAGGGCTTGCGCTGGTTGGCAAGCATAGCCTTGATACCAGTGCCAACATACCCGGCCGGACGCAGAAGGGCCAAGATGCCAGCGACTTCCTCTACATGCTCAGCAGCCGAACGGCGGACCAGCTCCTTCTTGGTTGGTGGGGGAGGGAGCTTGGACTGGCGTAGCTCCTTATTCTTCAATCGCTCCAAGAGGCCCTGGCGACGATTGCTAGTAGCAGCCAGGGGCTTGGAGTTGGTCAGATTGCCCTCGGAACGTAGCATCTCGGTCTTCATACGGATGACACCGCCTTTCAAGTCCTGCAGCCGTTGTTGACCCTTCTGAAACGCAGTGAACGGGGTAAGGGATTCCTGGATGCAAGCAAGGCCGAGAGTCTCGAGGAAAATGGCGGGGCGATCCTCTTCTTTGACTTCCTTCAAGGAATCCTCCGTCTGCTCCCAAAGCAAGTCAAAGGCCTGCTCGAACGCATCCTGCAAGACGGGGCCTTGTTCGTCGATTTGCACGTGTCGCTCAAGGCACACCTTGCCCAGTCCGTAGTTTGCCAGTCGGTAGGAAATGTCCTTGGCCTTCAAGCTGTGATCCCAGACCCAGACAAGGCGCTGCAGGTCCTTAATCTGCACCTTGCGTTTCTTCCAAATGCGGGTGATGCTGGGCAAAAATTCTCGGATATCGGCAGGGGAGATGGGGCCATTGTGTGCGACGTGAATGGAGAGAGCCTTGACAAAGGCAGAATGCATGTCCATGAAATCGGTCACACAAGGGACTCGTGGTGCGAGGACAGGCTCTTTTGGAGCCGGCACAACCTTTGCAAAGTTGAGAGTTCGTTGTTTGGAGGGGGTATCCGGAGTCGAGGGGCTCTCCGTGATAGTGGACACACGAGTTCGGCGACTAGGAGTGCGCTTGGGTGTAGCATAGTGGCCGCTGCGTGGAGAGGAGACAGATAATTGGCTGATTTTGAGGGTCTTGGAAGGAGTGTCGGGTTGCTCCTCAGCAGACTGCGGACCTGGGCGGTCGACATTCTCGATTTCCTGGAGCTTTCTCTTCTTCGATGGGGAAACGGGCAGGGAGGCGGTTTTCTTAGCGGGCAGCTGCGGCGTAACACCAGCCTTGGTTGCCTTGGTGAAGATTTGAATGGCAGGCTGGCTTTGGGGAAGGCAGCTTGCCCTGGTAACGCGCGGCATCGCGGCTGCAATTTTTTTCTCTTCGTTTCGGAGAGCGGAGTTCCAGTGGTTGGAGGAAGTTGCGACCGGTAAATGGAACTGAAATATAGTCAGGGTAAGAGATAACAAGTTATTAACGAGAATCAATATGAAGAGGAAAGTGCAAAGTGCATGCAAGAAACAGTGTAGTGTGGAGCGGGTGAGACTGCTCAAGGGTGAAAACTCCCTAAGACGCGTCGATTCGCGTTTCGGGTTAAAGTGAGACGCGTCGTTAGCGCCACGTCTAGCACACGAACTGAATCCCGAGCCAACAACTGTTTATGATCCTTTGTAGAAATCTTCAAGCAGAAAAAAGAGCGTAAAAAGTTATCTGGAATCTAGAACGCAAATTGGAAAATTCTTCTATATAAGTTCTCGAGCATGACATTCTCGTCGCTGCGGTGATCACCTGGCATTGGAATGTTGCGCCCAATGGATCATGCACAAGCTCGAGTCTACAATACAATGCCACTAGACAATTCAGTTACAATGTAGCAGTCCTTGGAACTGCAAGAAATTGAATCTATCTTAGTTGGGGAACATCCGCAATGACCCTGATAGGATTGACCAGATCAATCGACCCCACCCATATTCTTACACAGACCCTGCTGGACGCTCTCCCGAAGCCGCGGCAGAAACACTACAGATCTATCCTGTCGATAGAGATTCATACTAAGATAGGGATCCAATTCCATAAGAATATCAATGTTCAATTCATACCACAGCGCCAACATGAAAAATAACCGGACCTAATACCTAATGCTTCAGAGCACAGGCACATGAATTTATTTCTTGCTTCCAAACCATCCCTTAGCCTCAGACGCCTTCTGCTCAACAGTGCGATCAACTCTGTCGATCTCCGAGTTGATTCGGTTCTTCGCGTCATCGCGGAGCCCATCGAGCTTTTGCATTCCGTCCTCAAACCTGTTCTGTGCCCCCTCTTTCATCTCGGGGATTCTCTCATCCAGCTTGAACTTGGAGCGGGCGTTGTCAATCTGGATCCGGAATGTTAGCTTGGTGCCCAGTGAAGTGGTAGATTGGTGGAGAGTGGGGAGGAGGGGCAAATAGTATGTAGTGGATACACCACGAGCCCGTAGACGAGACCAGGAGAGGACGAAAGGAAAGCAAATGTGAAAGAGAATTCCAGTGGAACGGCGAAATGGATACATACAGCTTCATCAACGGTAGCACCAGCTTCCTTTCCAACGTTTGCACCCGCATTCCGCGCACTCTCGCCGTGGGGAAGCTTCTCGCGTGCCTTGTCGGCATCAACTGTTGAGGATATTATTAGCAGCCTGTAATTGAAACAGATATCTAGATCATCGCCAGCAACATACTCTTCATCTCCTGTTTCGCACCCTTGACATCTCCGCCCGACCGGTAGAGGTAGTACCCGCCTGCACCGGCAGCAGCGAGACCCAAGTACATTGGCGTTCTGCTTTTCGACATGATTGCGAGGGAATTGAAAAAAGAGGTGTATATTGAGGATGGTATAGAGTGAAGTGTCGAAGTTTGGATTATAATGTGAAATGAAGAACAAGCTGGGTTGGTTCAGATTTAAAGCTTCCGGGGAAATGGCGCCGTCACCAGACTATGACGTCTGTGCCGGCTATTCTTACAAGTACGGAGTCCAGAACCTCGTTGTGTGAAATGATCTTCTGGGGGGGGGGTTTTCATGTTCGAGCTTTGCTTAAACGGCTTGTCTACGATGCGTAATGTAGATGATGATCTCTTATCTTCATATTATAATGAGGACGACTCTCTTTCCATAGGACAGACTTGGGTCCTGGACTTTAGCTGTCAGTAGCTGTGCGCTGGAGTCCAGTTCCATTGCGGGAGCCCGGTTCAATGCACCGCTGTCGACGTCACCGGTTGGTCATTTCCGTGTTCGGGGTTTGTGTTGGATTGGGGTACCCAGGGTTGATGAGATTTTTACTCTGCCTTATTGCCGTCTATTCGCACGATTGTAGATTGCAAGTTGCTAATTGCAAATAGCAAACCCCGATTGATGTAGTTCGAAGTGCTGCTCACCAGTAGGTAAAGCTGGAGAGCTGACATGGGCTGTGCGGGGTAAACGTCATACCCAGGCACATGAAACTTACACTACGAAGAATCCGTGCATTTGCATTCCAGTCATATTGGCGTTATAACGATATCATAAAATCCTGGGAAAAGTCCGTGACATGATCCACCATCATAAAATAAAAAGCAGTATAGTAAAACAAGAACGGGAACAGTAAAGGCGTGAGACCGTCAGACAGGAAAAAGAAAAGGACCGCCAAGCAGAGAGACATGGAGGGAAGAGAATGAGAAACATGAATAGATCGAGGCTGGGTATCGTCATGCATACGATGCCATCCATACGCTCCCGTACAGAAACGCCCAGGACATGCGGAGAACCGGCAACCCTGCAAAACATCAAAACCGAAGACAGACTCCCACATACAAATAAGAACAAAATGGAGAGATAGACAGGAAAAAAGATTTCCAGTTCATGTATAGGTCGTCACATTCGTCATTTCATCAAAGGCTTCACATCCACTTTGCATGTGTGAGTTGCCCAGAAAGATAGAGGAAGGGAGGGTCGAGTGGTCCACATTTCAAATAATAGTGGGCGCAGTGAGTGTCAAAAGGGGGAAATAGAAAGAGAAAGAGCCATGGCATGATCATGTTCAGATCACGAAAAGGGGATGAGTCGGTTTACAAGAAAAATGGTATATAAGGTCTGAAAGTCCGGTGGGGCGAATGCACAATTTACAAGAACAACTTCGCGGCTCCTTTGTTCTCGCTCGTCGCAACCGCAACCAAAGCCTCAAGACGACCCATGCCGGTATCCCGGACAGAGGAGTCGTTGAAACCGTTTGTTCGGGGCTCCTGCTCGGCGTGGCCTGGGTAGCCGTCGGTGTGAGGGTCGCGTCGACCACAGATCTATGACGGCATTAGTAACCGAGGCGAGCGCCGTCCGTTCGAATGGGATTTCCTACCGGATGAGGATGATCGGATGGCAACGAGGACTCGTGTGATTCAATATATCCGCTGCTGTGTACTATGGCCGGATGATATTCTACCGACGCGGTGGATGGGGTATGAACTCCCTCACTGCTGCTGGAGTCCTCGGGGGATGTATGGTTTGGTCGAATGCTCCCAGAAGAAAGACTTGGGGCGTGGCCACGGTGCTCCTCAGGACTTCGTTCGGCCATGGGCCCAAAGGCGGGTTGGTAGGATGACGATGGCCGAGAAGAAACATTCTGGAGCTCCGCAATAGTCTGCTGACTCCACTGAGAGGCATCCCTCGAAGACCGCTGATCTCGAATATCAAGACCCGTCAGGTTGGTATGCAAAGACATATCCCATGATACATGGCCGCGTCGATGGCCTGGCCCTGAGATAGGAGGCGCTGGCCGAACCGAGGGCTGGGCGTAGTTGAAGCCCGCACCAAAGCCATGGGCTGGGGGAGGACGGCCGTGGCCATCAATCTGCATTGGACTTGGTTTGCGGGTGGGAGGGGTCAGGGGACGTTGAGATACCACTTTGTCGAAGCTCTCAATCCCAGGTAGTCGAGGTGGGTGGTCAGTGGAGTTGTTAGTGCCTCCAAATGATGGCTGGACTGTATCGGGAGTATGGTATTGGCTCAGGCCACTGGTAGACGGTCGACCAAATACAGGATATGTCGAAGGGTGCCATGTACGCCGCCTCATCTCTATCTCAGCGGCACTAAGGGTACTCTCATCTCTGGATGGAGGGTAGTTGGTGCTCGTGGGGCTGGCGAAAACTCCCGCTGCGTTGGGATATGCTGCTGCAGGCGAGTTGACATAATGTGGCGGATATGCGTTAGCATGTTGAGGAAGAAAAGGATGACTGCTCGTCGGGACAGATAGCCGACGAGCGGCTGTCTTCCCCTCCCAGAAATGTGTCGCACCAGACATGGGCGAGCTATATTGCGGACTACCATTTGCCCCGGTAGTGAACATATTGGACGGAGTGTATGGCGAACCACTTGCCGATGCTCCTGGAACTCCTCGAATCTGGCTTGGCGGCGTACTTGGTGGCTCCCCCATAGGGTCCAGTCCTAGGCGAGAGCGGGTCGTTGGGTCGTTGGCCATCATCAATGGCGGAGGACGGCGCCGAAGTTCCTGAGGTTGGCTAAAGGTCGAAGTAGTAGATGCAATGCTGGAGGTAGATAGGTTTCGACTGTGGCCCCGGCTGTGACCACCCGCACTACCGGTGGTACCTGCTCGTGCACGACCTGGTGGGCGTACTCGGTCCGTCCGTACCTGGCGTTGGAACCGAGTACCGGTGGCTGCCAAGGAATCCCCTGGTATATCCTCATTCACATGGACCGTTTGTGCATGTTGGCGCAAGTTATCAAGTCGAGAGAAGCGTCGAGAGCAGTGGCATTGAAAGGGCCGTTCGCCGGTGTGCTTTCGAATGTGGCGGGCCAAGTGTTCGCTTCGAGTGAAACTAAGATTGCATGGAGGGAAGTCGGTACAAAAGAAGCGCTGTCCCTTCTTCTTTTTTGACGGCGGCGCACTCCCCGGTTCTCCCTCGTGGTCGGATCCGTCTGGTTCTCCATCCGAGTCATTCATCTGTTCGTCGGACATGGACGCTGTCCGAGCTCGTCCTATTGATATGGTTGTTTGCACTGAGCCCTCGCTTCCTCTGCTTGTCTTCAGACCATCCGGGTGGTGCTCCGCGGGGGGAAGGTGATCCAAGGTGGCCTGGACGCCGTTCGGATTGGCGCGGGGTGTAGTCGCTCCGTCCATGGCGTGGTCATCGATCCTCGCTGAGTTGTTCACAGGAAGGAAAGAGGCCATGTTTTTTGTTGGCGACGTAAGATGTGGAGGCGGGTGATGTCAAAGTGTCGGAGAGGGGGGGGGGGGGGGGGGGTGGGCAGAGGCAAACCCTATCCGGTCGCAACGCCGGCAACCCGATCCGCTCTTCCTTTGAGGAACCCCAGATCCCGTGGGGGAGTCTATTGTCTAAATACTGGGAGTTGTCGCAGGAACCGCAGCTACAGGGATCGGAGAGAAGGTGCGGAGTTCTGGCGACTGTTAACATTGCACACAAACGTCAGACCGGTCCCACTACAGTATAAAGAACAAAGCACAAAGCAAAACCCTTCGAAAAGGCAAGTGGCTCGCAAGAACCCCATACTAGAAATAAAATAGAAATTCGACACGTACAGAAGCAAGTTTCTTTGGCGCCTACTCCAGGAGGGGGCGGTTTGGAATGTAGTCGTCACGCAAGGGTTGAGAAAATGTAAAGAAAGAAAGAGGCAAAGATTAGCCGATCGCAAGCATCTTTCCTCAAGAGCACGTTTGCGAAGACACGCGAAGGCAGGATCGTCGAGTGGGACCCGAGAGGTTTCAGGTTTATCCCCCCATAAGAAAACTCCGGAGAGGAGTTTCAAGAGAAAAGAGGGGAGAAGTATAGATAAGGCGAAGTCCGAACTGGGCAGGATTTGTCAGAGGGGCAGGGTATAGAAGTATAGGAAAAAGGAAAGGGAATATGCAGAAGTAAAAGAATGGTGGAGATAGAGTCTAAGGAAATGGTGACGACGAGAAAGAGAACGGCTTATCGGAAGCGAGGGGCAAAAAGCAGCTTACGCAGAGAGTCAGATTGAAGATCCCAGGAACTCAACAACTTCCGGGGCTACCGATGCGAATCATCGAGGGTTTCACCAGATGAGGATGCGACTATAACCGCGTGTCAAGTATCTCGAATGAAACTACCAACAGGAACCATGGAAGGAATGGATACTGTATCCATAGGCACCAGGTACGGGAAAATGTATGATTCATAGCGCAGCCACTCATCCATGTTTTGACTTTCAACAGGGTCCTCTCCTAAAGGTATAGTACCCGAGCCGAGTCTTTGACGTTCACCATCGCGCCCAGACCCTGGTGGCCGTGGGGCTAAGGAGTTTGGTAGGGTTTAATCGACTTCGACTGGTCTCGACTCTTGGGCTTTTTCGCCTGGTCTTGTCTACTTCCCATGCGGACCCCTTGCATTTATCCCAGATGGATGTATCATCACAGGGGGCTCATCCTCCGAACCCCAAGCTCCGTCATACTCTCCAGTTTCTGTATAAGGTTCGTATGGTTACGCGGTAGGGGGCGATTCCGAATGGTCCGTCCTGGAAGAAATGAATAAATCTCCGTTGAACTGAGATCACCTGCTCGACTGCGGGTACACCCTGATGGGCTTGAAATACCCCGTTTCATATCATATCTGATTCCTATTTGAATCTCCCAACATCCCATCGATCCGGCGGCAATGCACGGGTACGATCTGGGGGGGGGCATTGACCCCATTGATAAGAACTTTAGAGAACACGGAGTACAAGGTACCAGGGTTCCCTTTACCTATAGGAACGAAAATCAAGTTGCGGGACCTTCCCTAATTTTTAGTGATTCCGCCTCCTCCGCTCACGCTGCGTTCAGACAACCAATGCTCCTAAGTTCAATCATGAAACCTTCAGGCCCCCGGCTAGCACCGACTGGCCCGTTAAGGATTCACTGTGCCTGCGTCTCCCGTGTAAACTTCCCCTCCTTTTCCTTTCTCTACCATGGATGCTCGCTGCAAACGGCAAGACATGCGGGTTATGATATCGTCGATCGGTGGGTCAAAGTAAATCGGCCCACGTCGTACACAATGGGTTGCCCGCATGACAAGGTCGAATAAGATCCCACGGTACGCGAGGGCCCTTTAAATGTTTCTTTTTCCTTTGGTTCGTTCGAGATCTCGACCTTTGCTTTTTTAAGCTGTTTCTAAACGTGGTTCGGGATGTTCTATGCGAACTTTCGATGGATCTTACCAGTTGCATTCCTCTCCAGGTTATATCATACTCTTAATCTCCTGCTCACCAAGTCGTTCATTGCCCCCGTCTTCCCTGTTAAGTGACGCCACGGTCCGTGGGAATGATGTGCTTGATTTGATGATTTACGATTTCTAACTTGATTAAATCCTAATTCCCCGCCTTAGTAACAACCAGCTGGACGCGCCATCAGGGGCGGAAGAGGGGTGGTTCTGGAGAGGGGTTGTGAGACTTGAAGAAGCGGATTGGTGAAGACAGCGTTTGGGAATACACGGATGCCAGGCCTGTATGGATGGGCGTCCTGTCCCGGTTTCATGTGCATGGGTCCCAGATATACATGGGCTCTGACTCGAGGAAGGAAAGACCGATCATCGATCGTCCAACGCCTTTGCCCCTGTAAGAGCATATCGCATGGGCTGATTGGAGGTTGAAGCGCAAGGCTTGAGAGGGGCGGGTACCTGTAGGTACAACTGCAGGGCGCCACCGTAACGACGGGGGAGGCGCACGGCCAGGTAGTGGCAGGTACCTGCAGGGCTGGGGGGAAATCGTGCTTGGGGGTCCTTTTACCGTTCCGATCGGCGCTTCCACGGGTAAGGATCACACACTGACGTCGTCGACTATTTCAGCCCCGGGAACCTCGGAGTGCTCGTTAGTTTGGAGGGAAAGCACATCCATACCAAGTTGGTGAGCTTAATCAAAAGTGATCAACTGCGGAGTAATTATTATTCAATCATGACGGAGATTTTTGATTGTCGATTCCCACTTTTGGCCTCCATTTCGACTTTTGCCTTTCAAGCGGTGTATTCTCCAGATGATAGGTCTCTTTCTTACACACAGAGTGTACAAGAGTATATTATCTTCCTGGGTCTATCCAATCATACCGCTGGGCATGTCCCGGTCTATGTACCTGTCGTAATGGGGATGCGTACCTGGAGGGGTCCGGCCACGTACGTAGGGGAAATCAAGAAACACAAAGCACAGACATCTGTACTATCTTAGCCCTTGTCGTACATGAGGCTGCTCGGTACATCCCCGAATTCCACTCGGTAGAATAATCCCCGTGGATTTCATACTGGACGCAGCACAAAGAACTTGCTTTTTTGGCTTTTCATTCCTGACTCACCCTGTATCTCTCATTGATTGTAGAGTCTGCTTTTGCTTTTTGATTGGAGCCTTGACGCTGCACGGCAAGGCAACCTGGTGCAGCTAGGCCCCCGCCACCCTGCTTGTAAAGCCCTGCAAGGAGTCGTCTGACAGATACCTACAACGGTAATTCTGTAAATCTCCGAACACGGAGAAGGGCTCTTGGCTCTTTCCGTTATCTTTGTTGTTTCGATTTTGACCCGGGAGCCTGTCACTATATTGCTGGTTCCCAAGGTACTCTACTTCCAGGTACCTAGGACTTGGACCTGGCATTTCTGGGGTAAATGGTCCATGGTGCCTCATATTGCCGACCATGGCGTCAGGGACAAAGGTTGGAGATGCATGTGATTTTTCTTGCATTAGTCCGGTGGTTTCCACCCTATGGTAATGCTTGTCTTGTCCCATCTGGGTTATGGTTTTGAATTATTTAATACATCACGTATAGACCTTTATCGGTTCAAGGGACCGATCACAGCGCTCACCATCACGGTGGCTTCTCGTTCCCAATTGCCAATCTCTACCGTATCCGTTCCAGATCGACCCTTTTCGGCCAGGAGGTTGGTGGCAGAGACCTGGGAAGCCCGCATCACACAATCTTTGATTTCTGCTTTTAGTCGATCTCGGTTGGATCGCAAAGTGCGGGCGGACACGCCCCCTCGGTTGATAATTTCCTGCACGCGGGACGTGAGGGAGGAAGCGAGCGATCGCCAGAAGTAGGAAGGCAGGGATGAGGTATCGAGAGCCTGAAGGAGGGGCTGGAGGAGGTTAACCTGGGCTGGGCCTACTGTTTCTATGTCCTTGGTAGGTTGATCATCATCGGTTATGGATGAGAGGAGGGGATGAGAGGGCGGTCGGATATTTCGCAAGATGGACTCCAGGCCAACGATATCCTGGCATCGCGTGGAGATGTCGGCCAGGGCACGGTCCATCGTGGGGAGTTGGGACAGTGCCTTCGCGAGGGCGTTAGCTGATGTGATGATGGACGTCTGCATGTACCCTTGCAAGGTTGAGAGAAGAAGCTCGGGCTTGTAGTCAGATGTCGTGACAGCGCCCTTCGGAATAGGCGACAGGAGGTATAAAGTGGCTGCAGCGGTTGCCAGCCGTGATCGGGCTTCGCGCGCCTGTTTGTAGCTTGAAGGCACCGATGATTGACCACTGGTGGTCATGGGACTCGATAATGAGAATCGGTTGATGGTTTGCTGTGCCCTTGCCTTAACCATATTCTCCGCAGGGATTAAAAACTCATTACGCAAAGTCCGAGTGACTTTCACTCGATCCAAGCCATAACCTTCATCGTCCTCCGAGGTTGCTGAAAACATTTGACGAAGGTTCAAGATAGTAATGGCTGCACGTTCTAACGCCCGAAAGCCTTCTTTGCCAGTCGATGTAGCGGTCCCATCAGTGCCTATTGCCGGGGCAGTTGTACGCCCTGTCAACTCTGCCATTTGACTCTCAAGCTGCCGACCAAGTCCCAAGCAGCGCGCCACGGCCCGCGCTAATCGGACAGTAGCCAAGGAGTTTTCTGCCGCAATTCGAGCCTCCTCCGCAGCTTGCCATTTCTGAAGGACTTCTTTTTCCAATCGCTCGTATCCCTGAGTCACTGATGTGATCTGTGTCCCGGTTTCCTGTAAGATATGCTCCGCGGCAGCAGTTTGGTCTTGTGTGTGGGATAGAAGTGGCAGTGCCGACTTTGTCGTTAATCCATGAATGTGAGTGTCAATTTCTTGTAGATCAAAAAGCACACGTGAGAGTGGTGTTGAGAGATCCAGGGGGGTGTCTGTTGCATTGTTGGTGCTCAGGACCAATGAATTGGCGAATCCGGCCGGCGAGAACTCGGGGTCTAGAAAGGCCTCATAGTCAATGTAGGAGGGCTCGCCTTCTGACATTTTTGGAGATATAGTTGGAAGCTCGTGGCTTTTTAGATCATGACAAGCTCGTGGATTTTAGCTCATAGGAGATGCAAGAGTAACAAATGGGTATGAATGCGCTAGAAGACACCGGTGTTTTGACTGGTATGGAAGATGTAGTCGCCGTGGAGTTTCGGTTGAGAGAGAGATGACTTGGAAAGCGGGATTTCCACCGGGTTGCGCCAATGCTATCGCGAATTGAGCATGTCGTAGGGGTGAAAGGAGTTCAGCGAAAGCCAACTGTCGACAGCTCCGCGATAATCCCACATGGCGATAACCGGGGTCACGGGTGGCTTAGTCAGGATCCCATAGATTTCGATGCGACCTACGCACACCCTCCAGGGCTATATAGCACCCTGTAGGCTATAGTCATTATACACATCTTTGCTTTCCATGAATGTCATTCAACAAATATGGATGGTGCATATTGGACAACTTTGCAACGCATTGCCGACGTTATCTGGCCAAAAGGAAGGGACCATGATTGCATTCTTATCGATCCATCGTCCAATGGCCAACTGTTTGGAAGAGAAAAGTCTCGAAATTGTTATCTTCTATTTTCAGAGTAGAGATTAGGTATAAGGTATATTATACATGATAGAGTAATGCTATGCCACCTTGGGCATGATCTAATCGTCACTTAGCCATTGCTTTCCTCCTTCGTATAGACCAAAATATAAACCGCAACCAACAACCGCCATGAAGCTGTTAATACCGCATCCCCGGTACAGACCTCTCAGGCCTTCTGTTTTTATTATATTTCGTGTTGCTCTCGCCACTCTGTTTCTCCCAATAGATTCTTGCTCAGAAGAGTCTAAATTCACTCGTGTTTTGATAACGTCCAGTGGAGCAGTAAGCAAGCCTGTTATTCCGCCTGAGATGGCAGCACATAGGCCGGTGTTGGCCATAATTTCGGAAGTGCCATTCTTCTTGGTCTGAGATTCCGATTTAGATATGTGTCTTTTGAGAAATTCGTATAGAGGCATTTGAATGATGGTCCACGGTAGATTGTGCGCTAAGAGAGCCCAATATCCCCTCCAAAGCTTGGTAGGGCCGCCGACGGCCTTTACTACTGCTGCCAAACTGCGTCCCGGAGAAGTGCTTTGTTGTTGACAGGTTGATAATGATGATGACTTGGTGGGTTGTGATAGAGCGGATTGCGCATTCTGTTTCAATAGCTCAGTGGGAGCGCAGATTAAGCAAGCTGCAACTTCTGCAACAGAAGATGCCCATATGTCTGATAGGATCAGAGTGGAGGCAGTCTGTTTTGATGGACCTTCTGATACAAAGGGTAACCTAGACCGCATTCTTTCATATGTGAAGAAGAACAAACCCGCTGTGATGAATAGTTAGATTAACACTATGCATATTGCTGCGTGTGGTTTACCAGAAGGGAATGAGGTGAGAAGCACGGGTCCTAAGCCCCGGTATAGCCCTCGAAAGATCCTCGTATCGCCCAGGATGCCGGTCCTTGGGCCTCGAAAAGAACCAACATATTCACGAGATTGGATACGTGTTTTGATTGTATCCAAAGGATGCAAAAGACAATCTAATGAAAGTGAGGCGGCGGTACTGGCCTGTTTTGAAATGATCAGCTAGTATCCCTTTGCAATGAGAATTAGACTCACCAAGAATATGCTTAGTGCCGTGACAGTCATACCCAAGGGCGCCAGGGATTGAGAACTGTAGGGATGCCCTTCAATGATGCGTCAGAAGTCAAAGTTGAACTTTGTCGTGGCTGAATTCTCGGAATGTTGACCCGACAGCCTCCAGGGATATCGGGCGCCGCGGAGGCCGACCGCCAAGCTTTCCCTGTGCAGACAAAAACACCACAAACATGCCATATCTTAAAGATATCTGATCTTTAGATTTGGCTGATAAGCAAATCAAGGATCCACCTCGTTGATCAATCACCGGCCTACTTTACTAAACAAAAAGTGGATTCCGGCAAAGAATACCTAAAAGAATCAACGGAAAAGAGTCCGTAGCGCCGCCCGTAGACACGCCTTCCAATGACACAGGCGGGGTTTGGGGGTGATCCACTTCCATAGATAAGCAATTTCGTGATAAAACCCACTTTGCCCCTCGAACATTTAGAAGCTTCGTTCTTTGGTGAAAAAGACTAAATCATCAATTGGATTTATTACTTCCAGGATACTCCAACATGTCGACATCTACATCTGTCACCACGCAACAACAGGGATCTGTTCGTCTGGCTGCTGAGGATCAGCACAAGCTCTCCGATCCGGCAACTGATGCCACCTTCCAATCAGTCGCTCGTGGCGACCGAAATGGCACAATGAAGCTGCGCGGGATCCCTACCTTCTCGGACCCGCTTGAGAAGCGTCAGTGGATGAAGGAACATATGGCTGTTGCCTTTCGGTACTTCGGCAAGAGGGGATACAACGAGGGTATCTCGGGTCACATTTCAATGCGTGGTATGTTTTGTCACCTCGGTCCCTAGGCTATGCAGGAAGCCTAATTGTGGTCAGATCCCATCCTGAAGGATCACTTCTGGATGAACCCTTTCGCCAAACACTTCTCTTCGATTAAGGCCTCGGATTTAGTACTTGTCGACCACGAAGGATATGTCACTGAGGGAGGTGCGCAATTACCCATTAACGAGGCGGGGTTCATGATCCACTCCGAAATCCACAAAGCTCGTCCTGATGTTCTCGCCGCTGCCCATACCCATGGTATTCATGGCAAGACATGGAGTGCATTTGGGAAGCCGATCGAGATGCTCACTCAAGGTAGGTCACAACTGGGTTGATGTGATGATTTAACAGAAGCTGACAAAGCGTTGATCATAGATGCTTGCAATCTCTATGGACGTATTGGCCTCTATGAGGACCACGGTGGCATTGCTTTGTCTCAAGAGGAGGGGAGACAGATTGCCCAGGCATTGGGCAAAAACAATATGGCCTGCATTCTTCAGAATCACGGGTGAGTCATTCACCTCTTTCTCTTTGGCCGTTGGTCTGACATTTCTCTTAAAGTCTCTTGACCGTGGGCACAACGGTGGATGAAGCCGCGATTTTGTATTCCATGCTGGAGAACTGCTGCCACTCCCAGCTGATGGCTGAAGCTGCCGCAGCTAACGGTATTCCTAAGAAGGTCATCAACCCCGAGGTGGCTCAGTATACTGCCGATACTGCTCAGAACCCTGTGAGTGCGTTGCGATCAAATCCTCATACTTGGCTAATGCATGATAGCACAATTTCTATACCGAGTTTCAACCAGAGTATGAGCTCATCGTTGAGGAAACCAATGGGAGAGTTCTGCAATAAAACTTTTGAAAGCAGCCTTGGTGCTTTGGAAATTGGATTCTTTTGATCTAACAAGACTTAATAAATGTAGAAAATATTTCAAGAGACTGCACGGCATTCATTACAGTAGTATTGGAAATCAGATCTACTTCCACATTCTTCGACTTCGATTCCGAAAACCTAAGTCCTGATAATAGCAACCGCGTGGTACATAACGCGGCAGGGACCGCCCTTGGTTCAATTTACACGAATTTGCTGTACATTTGATACAATACCATTTTGAACCCTTCCTCTCCAACAACAAGCTTCTTCCATTTTTCATTGATTTTGAACGCCCCCTACTTTGCTTACAATATGGCTCCCTTGCTTCTCCCTCAAAGCTGCATCTCATTCGTGATATAATAGAGATGCAGTCACTAACCACGACTCAAAAAACCAATGAGGCCGAATGCAACATAATCAACATCATCAAGGTTTTGCTTCGTATCATCTCGGCCTAAATGGGTGAAGTCGGGTATCATAAGCGGGCTGGGTTCAAGCAGATGAGCTGTTTTCCATTTGGCCGTAGCTGATTTATATGTATCACAGTTCTATTATGACTAGCAATATCAGATATCACCTACGTATGCGCAGGACTAGATCGTTCTCTCGCATGTATTCCGCGACCCCATAGATGCCTGGATGATCGAAGACTCTCTAACTTAGCGTCTTCAGGACTATGGACACGATAGTCTCAACCAGACCCGGGTCATGGCTATGGATCATGCTTCATTCTATCACGCATATACCATCTCGTATATGTGCACGGATGCAAGGTTAGGATCGGTAAATCTCCCGCCTGACAGTAGTCTTCGAATTCAGTTCGACCTCATGAGTCATAAGTCTCTAGGGTCATAGCTCAGTGGAGCATTGGCAGTATTACGTTATCAGCCTCCGCACCCAAATGGATTCATAATCCAGATATTCATTTCCTTTGTCACTGGCCTAGTCCAAGACCCTACACCCTATCAACTCATCGCTCTCTGCAAAGTGCTCACTCTTCAGCCCCGCAATAGGCCCGATTATTGATAATGGGCTCAATGTCAGAAGTGACATTGATTCCTTGGGATCCACTGTCCGAGCCTCATCGAAATCTGCTCCTCAAACAGCGAGTGGAATGCTCTTGGGATATGGAGATGGTCCAAGAGATATGGAGAGATGCACAGATTAGAGGTGAGAAGTGCATCTATTGGATTGTAAGTTCTACTTTTATAAACACTCTAGTATTAGATGTTCTATTAGCTTGTGGATGCAAAGAGGTTTTAACGGATTATTATAGGTCTTCTCCACTAATGATGTGGGGGAGGAACGCGAGAAGCTGGCGGACACGGCCGTGTCCATTAATGCAGCAGCACGCCAACCAACACAGACAGACTTTATCCCAATTGGGCATATCTCCTTAGACTCGAAGAACAAGCAGGCCGAAAAAGTGGACTTGGAAATTCCGGCCGAGAAAGTCTTCTGGATCAAAACCTTCTTTATAATACATAAACTCCAGGGCAAGGGAATTGGGCGAGCAGCCATGGATGAAATTGAAAGAATCGCTGTTCAAGAGCCTCTAAACGCCAAGACTTTGATGCTGGACACTGTCGAGAGAGGAGATCAATTGAGAGAGGAGTTTGCTAAGGCTACCTATGGAGGCGTCCCGAAGGTAACCCTGATCATTCGCAGTCGGCTTGAGATGATTGACTTGACTAACATATCTGTAGATTACCAATCAGGATTGGTATAGTAGACGGGGCTATAGATCCCTTAAGATTGTGCAGAATTACTATGATGTCAAGGATAAGAATGGGAAGAAGTGGGATACTAAGACCATATTTATGCGGAAAGACCTTCAATGATGAACTGTACACAGTGGCATAGGTTGATTTATAGCTCTATCTCTGAGAGGAAGACGCAGATAAAGGTTGTGTAGCCAAGAAGCAGTGGGTAGTAGAGAAAAGATAGATATTTTTCTATATAAAACCTCGAGGTGATCCAATTGAATAAATGAACGTAATCTTCTCCCGAGATCAAGAACAATGTTAAGGTGTTACTCAGGGCAGACTGATCCGTTATTGTAAAATGACTCGACGATAAGATTTACCCCGATTTGGTCATAGGTTCCAACCATGGTTGTGTTATGTTGAAAGGTAATGTGCTAAGCCATTATTATTGGCCATCATTAAATTCATATTCACAATGTATCACTCTAAATTACTTCGAATTATGTTACACAAGGAGCCTGGAGTGCTGGCATAATTAGTAATCTGCTCTTTATCTATCAAAGTTTACCTCGGGTACTGTGGACTGTAGACTCATGTTTCCCTTGAATGTCCTGTTCTCCTCCCAAGGCCTTGAGCTCGTGGACTTCTGCTTGTGCAATAGTAGCTCCCATTGCAGCCTCGACATCATGCTCAGATAACCACACAGTATCAGGTCTGTTCTTCATCCGTGAAACAAGTTTCGCATCTTCCTCTAACGTTCCAGACACAGGTGTTTTGGTACCAATTTGATGGTGTACAACATGTAACAATCTGTCTGTATGTGGCTTCCTCGTATTAGTGTAAAATTCCAATGCTTTTTCAATATCATCAAGTAATAGCGGTAGTTTTCCATCGGATGATTTGACCACGTGCTTGAAGGCAAGGCCAAGTGCAAATGCGTCATCTAGCGCTAAAGAGCCTCCCGCAGCGAAGGCACCACCGTGAGCATGGGCAGCATCTCCGACTAGAGTGACTCGGGAGCCGAAAACCCAGTTTTCTAGTGAAGCTCCAACAAAGTTAGGATATAAATTTGTATGAGGGGTGGCCTCCGTTAGGGCTTGAACAAGTGGGTTCCAGTCCTACACACGGGTTAGGAATACCACCTCAAACAAGGACACGGGTACATAATTTACTTTGTATTTCTCCCTCAGAAATCTGACATCTCCCTTTTGGTCCCAGCTGATGCTTCTGTCAAGCTCCTCAGAGGGGCGTGGATCACTATAGGCCCCGACGATAGTGTATTGACCCTTACCTAGATCTTGTTAGTGGACGAAGGGCCATATTACAAAGCCTCTGTCCTACATACCCAGTCGAGATGCAAAGAAATTATCTTGAGGTCCCCACTTCGCAAAGTTTAGCAAAGAGATTCCAAAGTAACGGCAGATTGTGGTTTTCATACCCAGTGCGACGAGTCTTCAGGTAGGTTCGGAATCTTTGCCACCAGTGACGCATCAAATGTTGACCTCATGGAGATCTTTCCGCTGAAAAGCAATCTGTAGTTGGGAATAAATGATTGTCTAACTTTCTGTTTGTATATCAGAAAGGGTGCAACCTGCGAATAGTGTGCGTTAACGAACCGATCTAATGCCATCTGCCCCAATCAAAATATGACCGTATGCACAGGTTCCGTCCTCGAAGTGTAAAGAAACACCATCATCGCTGACATTAGCACGAGTAATTTTCTTACCCAAGTGAACACACTCTTTAGGGACGTGTTCCAAGAGCGCGGCATGTAAATGGCCTCGGTGAAAACGCGTAGTGTGGTGACGGGAATCAGGTACATCCGTGTGCGTGTCGACCGAGACGACTTGGTTTGTTTTCCAGTGACTTTGGAGAAATTTGTAAATTCTATCTGGAGTCCAGGTGTTGGATGAATGTGCAGAAGGGACACACCGTAAGATCTGTGGGATTCCACTTGGTCCCCTGAAACCGACTTCGTCCGAGAGAGCATTGTCTACGCCAAGCTTTTCCAGCGTTCGCATGCCCTATGGGAGTACAATTTAGCTCCCGCCGAATTTTAGGGCAGTTTATTCTCGGGGGGCCATACATTCGGACTAAGCGCGATGCTCGCGCCAATTTCCAAAAGTTGGTGAGCTTGCTCGTATAGTTGAATATCAAGGTCGGGGATTGAGGATATTCGCTTAAGAGATATAGCGGTTGCAAGCCCGGCGATCCCAGCTCCTGCAATAATAACCTGGAATTTGTCACTGTTTCCAGACATTGCTACTTGATTATTGCGTTTAAATATGGATTGCAATACAACGGAGACCAGGAATCAAAGAGAAAAGACTTGGGAGCGGGGTATGCAAGGGTGTAATTTGTCGGTCTCCACATCTGATTTCGCCATATAAATCAACCACGTTTACTGTGCAATTTTGTAGCGACTTGCGAGTCCAAAATAACGTAATCTGAATATTTCTGACAGCTACATAAAAGTGCCAGATAGTTTCCGGGACCGGAAATACTTCTGGCGAATTGAATCATGCCAATTACTTGCTACTTTATGATTACAGAGTATGAAAGTGTAAATGCTCTAATTGACAATGGAGATTGCATTAATAAACAATGCTCACGAGTATAGTACGTTGGAGAGCCCTGTCTATATTGAAATATCTTTAGTCTACGACGCAATCGGCCTCTCTTGCTTCCCGAAATATTGACCGTCTCATTGCTTATCCATAACTCATCATAGAATCTCATCTCTCCAGGCTGCCTTTCCAAGCTTTTCGCAGCTGATACCCTATGATATGAGTACCAATTACACGGAGCTTTCGCGGTATCAGTGGATATACATATCTTGTAGCTTGAAATCCAACATTGTATATGAAAGCTTTTCGTTTCAAGCCATATGCATCTCGTATCCGGCCGGGCAGATGTTCTGCAGCAATAATCCGAACCAATGGTAGAATTGGCCAGGCCCATAATGGCACACCCTGGCCCCACAAACCAATCCCTGCAAGTGTCTGTGCATCGTCTGTGACTTCCAGTTGCTCAATTTGCTTATTCCAATACACCCAGAACGACTGACGATCCGTTGGTATCATTTCGCGAGGGACACGGAGGTATGTCGCATGATAGAATGCTTGATGATAATACCTGTCCGCAGCGAATTCATCAAAGGGACCTAGGGCGTCTTCATAAACACGTAAGCTGCATGCATATATACAAGCTGCAAGCCACATTTGGAGCTCAGGATCATTCGCATTGTAACTTGGGCCCTTCACCTTTCCATGTGTGGCATCTACAACCCGAGCAATAGCTGCCTTTTCATCAGAAGTGCCAAAGTTCATAAGATAAATCCAGGCTATGGTTCCTGATAGGCGTGACACAGGGCGATGGAAAACCCTACTGTGCGCCACAATCGCACGGGCGACTGGAGGATTGGCGACCTGGAGGAGGAGGCTTGTCATTGCTGCGGCAAAAACGACGGGCTCTTCAAATACCGCTTGGGATTCGGGTAGCTCATTTTCGGACGATAGTTGTACCAAGGGCTCTGTTAGGGCTTGGTTGGAGGGGTTGGGAATTTTTTGAAGTGAATTCATTGAGGCGCTTAGTGATCGACATTGGCTTTAGACCTATGGAACATTTGTCCGTAGCAAGGTAGGTATCACTGCTGAACAAAGGCTCTTATTGAGGCAGGTAGATAGAGAACGGCAGAAATTTTATAGAAAACAGGAAACCGAACATAGCGAAGCTCTCGGAGTCCTCTTCTTGCAATCTAATTTGCAACCCAGAGAGGGAAAGATTTTCAAAGAACTTCCACGGTCCTCGCCAATTAGGACGGGCAAAACAATCTCTTCATTCAAACAAATTTGTAATATCAAGCGTGGCTGAGCAAAATAAGCAATGCTCGATTTTGACTTTTTCAGCCCAAAGCCCTCGTGAAACGTGGTCTGTCTTCAATGTACATAGTCACACCGCAGGTAGATAGATTTTGATCGGCGTAGAATTCAGTGTTTTGTCATTAATGCGGTCAATTATCAATACTGATCTTAGGCCTTGTGTTGGCTGAGTCTGGCCTGATGATGATTCCGATCTCAGATTTTCAAGATCGCTCTCTCTGGTCACTACAAGGTGGCTCTCTCTAGGCGTTTGAATACATTAATTCAAATGTATTGATTTAACCTGCGAGGTCAGAGTCAAGATTCTAATCGTTGCAAGTAGTCTGGCGGCTTAATTGGATCCCTAGTATCTTTCTATAGAAGGCAATATCCCGAAAATGGCAAAATGACAAAAAGCGAACACAATAATGGGACCAAATAAATTCGTGGCCACCCAGTACTGCTACCATATTTAGGCGAAAGGCTCGGAAACTTATCACTTCTAGCGGTGACCTTTCTTTGCCATCTCATTATCATCATCCATAAGTCATAGAACTCAAGATCGGGCCAAAGAGTATCCATGATTTGTATATCGGTATCTTGATGACACTGCCATAGTAGGAAATCACTCAAGCGATACACGCCCGATGTCCGAACCAGCAGATCGACAGGTGGATCTCCGGCAGTGTCCATTCTATCCGTGAGCATTTGCGACGTGATGCACGGCTCCAAGCCCAGTGCTCCCGTTGACCTCGCTTGATAATAATCCATAACGCTTTTTTGAACTGCTCTGGTCATCTCATCCTGTGATGTATACGCCACACAGACATTGAGCGATGTTCGTGTGCCGTTTCGAGTTGCATCAACCGCCTGTTTAAGCGACTCCCTGATATCTTCAGGCAACAGGTCTAAGCGACCTAGCACCCGAAGTTTAGCCTCGCAGGACTTCAGGAGACCCAGAAATCTGGAGTCTGGTTTGGTCATTTCTCTCAATATACTCCAGATCCCATCAATCTGCTCGGCGGGCCGCTTAAAGTTTTCGATGCTAAATGCGTAGACTGTCACGGTTTCGACGCCAACATCATAGCAAGCTGCCAGTATCTTCAGCATTTAGTTAGCCACAGCTTTGCCAGAGTCCATGTGATTTGAGCCACTTGCCCGCTCTAGTGCTACCCCGCCAAGGAGGTGACCTTCTTTGAATTCTATCCCGTGTCTTCTTGAGAATCGCCGGTTCCCATCCATAATAAACGCAATGTGCTTGGGAATAGGACCTTGCCCAAGAACCGCGGTCGCAATTCTTTGAGTCCAATTTGCGCTTGGGATCGCTTTCTTTAGATCTGACAAAGGCATGATTGCAGTATATGATTTTGTGATCGATGGAAAGGATTGGCAAAGAAGAATCGATCGGTGGTATAATCATATCTCAATCAGCCGGCGGCTATGTCTATGGCATTTCAAGTTGTAGATTTAGCGGTTGCCAACGTATTGTTTGTCGCGAGCACGGTCCATGTTACACAAACCCACCAGCGCTCAGCTTTGACCTTTTGCTCCCCTCTCGTTACACAAAGAGCCTGCCAAGGTGACACCGAGTCACTACGTCGTATCTTCGCTGATCATCTATGTTGAGCGATCATTTCACATACGTCAACAGTCCCTGGCATCGCAATGATTGAGTGCGGCTGTCGTCGGGCTGAACCCAGGCAATGCATCCCTTTCAATAATTATGTTTTCTTTTGGTGTACCTTTTGATGACTACCGCTTTGGAACTGTTTAAGCGAGCCCGTGGGTTATGGTGTGTGATTAGCATGGGAGCGGCGTCCATCTTCAATTCCGTGGTGAAATCTTCAATTCCTCAATTTGGCTGTGTCGATCTCAACACCGACATCACAACATCATGGTGTCCCGAAGAGACCGTGAGTACTTGGACTGGTATTATGCTCTTGAAGGCAAAGTCGGCCTGGACTATCTTGAGAGCATGCCAAAGCTACAACTACCCAGTATCTGCGATCGATCTAACCTGAACCAACCAGACATCCCAGTATCCTCTGCCTACGACCACCGAAATGAGAAGGCAACACGCAACGTACTCATTCATATAATGCCCGAAATAAAATTATATCACCTGGTTTACTTCATAATACACATAATATTCAGTATCATCGAACGCTCAATCCAGGCGTACTATGCGGTCATCGGCCACACTCTTTCTATGATCCACCGCGATCACCGAACGCCTGAGCTCGTTCGCAAAGATGTCTCGAATTTGAGAAAGCTCCCACGGCACCTGAGCGTTATCCTGACACAGGATACCACAGACAATGGTCTGGAAGTGCTGATGGACGAAGTGGCTGCGCTTGCCGCCTGGAGTGCCAGTGCTGGGATCACACAGTTAAGCGTGTATGAGAAGACCGGTACAGTTTCACTCGTCCCCTTTCCCCTCTCCAACTAATCCTTTCTATAGGAATTCTTAAATCCCACATGTCAGCTATGCATTCCGTGATCAATGCTAAACTCGCCTCCTACTACCGCTCTTCTTCTCAGCAACAAAGCTTACTGCTCTTTGCACCCGAACACCCTGTCGAGGGCAGCGCATCAATCAACGAGTCATCACTCAAAGTCCTCCTATTGTCCTCTACTGATGGACGTGAATCATTTGTGAATGTGACCCAAAGCCTAGCTCAGATGTTAACGAATGGCCAACTGTCGCCCAAGGATATCACACAAGAATTCGTTGACGCTCAGGTTAGCGGCATGACAGTTAAGCCATTACAAAGGTACTTGGACTTGGGGATTGACAGATTCAAATCCGAACCCGATCTTCTGTTGATCTTCGGGCCATGTCTTAAACTAGATGGATATCCACCCTGGCAGATCCGGCTTACGGAGATTTTCTGCACCGGAGAACAGAGTCATGGACTGTATAGATATGGGGGAGCTGTGGAGTACCAGGGTTTTCTACGGGGATTGAGGAAATATGCTGGCGCGGAAATGCGGGTCGGACGGTAATGAATAGATAGAATACCTCAAGATCTCATGGACCTTGATTCTTCTAATTTGCTGCACGATTTCGGTTATCTTTTGACGAATCTACTTGCCTCGGGGGAAGGTCTGGTATCTCTAGTTTTCGATAAAGCGGGACTTTATATGTACACAACCCTTGGAAAAATGCACCAAGTATATCTTCATCTCCGGACACGGCTCAAAGCTGACCACACGTCCACAGGTATCCAGAGACTGCATGTAAATGGCTTCATTCTCGGTCACCTGATCTCGTGAGTCAGCAGTACTTTCCCACATGTTATCAAGTTACGCGTTGCGACGTTACTATACCTGTTCCTCCATCGCTTTTCTGGTTTGCTTTTTCCACTTCTGCCCCACTTTCAGTAAAGCTTTTGCCAGAGGTTATCCCACGGCCTCACCCCTCAACTTCACCGTTACCTTTGTTGTTTACCTCCAGATATTGGTCCCCTTAAGAGAGCCACAGTCATCATGCTAGTTCACTTGCCTACAGAGCTGGTGCGGTCAATAGCCGAGATGCTAGAACATGGGTCGGATATAAATGCTTTTGCTCAAACGGCTACCTGCATCTATACGATTGTCGATCCATATCTGTACCTCTTTAATGCCCAACAAGGAGAAGGTTCGGCATTACGTTGGGCAGCGGAACGGGGGCGACCTGTGACAGCTCGAAAATCACTAGAAGCAGGGACTCGAACACAATCCAAAGTCCTACAAGCGGCATTGGCAGAGGCGGCAAAAAACGGACATAAGGCGGTTGTTGAATTGCTCCTCACTGCAGAATGTATCGACCCCGATTTGAAGGATTCCAAGGGGCAGACACCGCTATCAAAGGCAGCGGCAAATGGGCAAGTAGGAGTAATGGAGGTTTTACTTGCTACCAAAGGCGTCAATCCCGATTCCCAGGATGAGAGGGGGCAGACACCATTGTGGTGGGCGACTCGGGGGTCACATGAAGAGGCAACGAGAATGCTACTCGCCCTCAATGATAGTGTCAATCCGGATTCGCAGAATGCTTGGGGTGAAACTCCCTTATGGTGGGCGTCGCGTAATGGGCAAGCGAAGATAGTAGAATTACTACTTGCAACGATGCGTGTCGATCCAAATGAGTGGAATCACCTCCAAGAGACGCCATTATACCAAGCGGCACAGAATGGCCATGAGGGTGTGGTCAAGCTCCTGCTTGCGTCGCCAGACGTCATTCCTGATTGTGAGGATCGACGATTCGAGACACCGTTATTGGAAGCATCGCAGAACGGACATGAGGCAGTAGTCAAATTGTTGCTTGATACAGGAGCTGCCAACCCTGAAAACCGCGACTTGGCTGGCCGGACGACTTTGTCATGGGCCGCGGGGCATGGACATGAAGAAGTGGTTAGACTGCTCCTTGACGAGGGATATGTCAACGCTGATACCCAGGATCAGTGGGGATGGACACCGTTGTTGACCGCAGTCAAAGAGGGTCACAAATCAGTCGTCGATCTACTTATCAACAGTGGGGAAGTTGAGCCTGACTGTCCCTGCGATGAAGGAGAGACCCCCCTGTGGCATGCTGCATCGGGCGGTCATGCGGCAATAGTTGCTACACTGCTTGAGACGAGGGACGTCAACCTCGAGGCCTCAAACTCTGTTGGACAGACACCTCTAGCAATGGCGGCATATTGGGGAAATGTGGAGGTAGTCAGAATGCTACTTGCCGCCGGGGCAGATCCTAATAGTAAGGATTCTTTTGGGGATACACCATTATCATCAGCATCATCATGTCCAACAGAGGGCGGAGGCGAGGCAGTCGTCAAATTGCTGCTTGCTACGGATGGTATTCATCTTAATTCGCAAGACATGCGTGGACGTACGCCCCTGTCAATTGCGGCCGAAGCCGGAAACATGGAAGTGGTGGGTTTGTTTCTCACCACGGAAGGCGTGGATCCAGAGTTGAAGGATTATGTCGGAAGAACTCCCTTGTCATGGGCCGAGGAGAAATATGGAAATGAGGCTGTGGCTGAATTAATTCGTGATCGATTATCGCTTTGAGCCTTCATCCCACCAATGCAGACTGACAGATGGTGTTTGTGGGGGAGGTCCACGGTCCATAGCAGTATAGATGTTGGGACCCGCCAATAATAGGCAGCGTGACCAAGGATCATGAAGAACCAATTGATTGACTCGTAAAGGGTCTGGGTAAAGCCTCCGCACCCGGCCGACGAACGGCCTAGGCTCTAGCGTTTGGCGTTCCAAGGTTCCCCGGATCAAACAGCCGACCAATGAGATGTACGGATCGACCAGGTCGATTGTATGAAACCCCTTGGTTGATGGGTGCTCAGTCAGATCGATGGCATATTCTGCACGCCTCAGTATTCTGACGAGCCTGCAAGAACCAAAACCTAAGATTTCTGTAGGTATCACGAAACCGCGGTTACAACGGTGGGCTTAATAGACCATTGGCTGGATGGATTTTCCATGGAATATTTCAATGATCATTAGACAGATATATCAGAGGCTGCATGGCAATTTTGTATAGAACATCCTCGCTATAATATCTGAAACAATGGTCTCTGCAAAGCACACTCTTTTTTAAGAGCTTCTGACACCTTGCATATCTGCATCGCTCCGAGTTTGAGACCCGGTCAAAGGTATAGATAGCAAGAGCCAAGGGTCGCCTGCCCATATACATTAGATTTTGTCCTTGTTGAACATCTCCCTGCATTCCTTAACTGAACTCCCAGTACAATGCTCTACAACAGGTGTGTTCTGCTTTATACCGAAAAATTCCATTGAAAGTTCCAAGAGATGGGCTTGCAGCTAACGCTATATCCTTATTTTTTTTCAACGCAAAAGCTCCCAAAAGCCAGCCCCCGAGCCACAAGATACCTATCGATTTGTCTTTGCTGAACCATCCTTGAGTGGTCAAAATGATTACGAAATTCGTGGCTTTTCTCAAAACATGGGGAATGTGAAACCATCACCAAAGTGTGTACGCAGTGATAGGCCAAAGAGCGAGAGCGTTCTAATCAATACCTAACAGCGACTTGAGATTCCCTGGATGTGACATGGCAGAGCTCGAAGGACTACATTCGAGATATTGCACTCAGGATACTTCGGCAGCAATCCAAGACCCAAGAGCATCGTATACTGCCCAAGGCTCTCCAGTGAGTAAATTAGGGCGGTTTCCTTGGCTGAACACGGGGCTTTTTACTGGCCGCCTCGGTGACAGGAAAAATTCATACCAGGACGATGGCCAGATATCACCCAAACACTCTGTCGACACTGGAGGCGCATACTCTCTATCGGACTGCCTCTCCAGCTTCCAGCAAAACAATATCTGGGGCCCCGCACCGTGCTTGCCACTGTACAATTGCCAACCACGACCAGATACGAAAGTTCTTCCAAATACAGGGACACAAGCTTTGGGACCATATCTCTATCGTGGGATGGCCTACGAAACGACTGATGAGTCTCCTGATAGGTCGTGTACTGGCGGTAGCTTTTCAGATACCATCGCAGATGGAAGTGACGGTCCGTCCGCAGAAACCGAGATGTGAGTCAAATTTTTTGCCTCCATTTAGATCCTATCTAATTGATTCTGACCCTCAGATTCCGCTTTCGTTCTATTCTTCAAGCTCCGACTGCAATGACCAACGAAAATGGGGATCCTCCCTTGACCTACCTCAATAAGGAACAAGTCTATTACCTTACAATTCTGGACTCGACGCCACCTGCAACAAGTGACAAGGTGATCACATACCGGAGTTTTGTTCGAATCTCTTTCGATCTTGAGCAGGCAAGGTCAAGCCCAGCAGCCTGCTGGAAATTGTGGAAGGAAGGTCGAGGTATGAATCCAGAGCAACCACAAGAAGAACCAGCCTGTGCTGTTGAATATGCAGGCGGAGATAGCCCCCATTTCAAAATTGAGCAAAAATGCTTTGACGGATTCTGTGTCACTTGGACTGCGGATCCCTCCGCCGGCTTCAATGCATGCCATATACCGATCTGGTTTAATTTCTTATCTACGGACTTTACGCGCTCCAAGGGGGTAAGGGGAAGTCCCGTTCGTCTCTGTGCTAAGACAGAGCAACAGACAACATTTGATAATCTCCAAACTTCTCCAGAGTCGGAAGTTTGTTTTTGCAAAATCCAAGTCTTCCGAGATCACGGCGCGGAGCGAAAACTGTCCAATGACCATGGCAACCTGCAGAGGGGGATCGGGAAACTGAGAATGCGAATATCAAATGCAGAAATGGGATGGGGTTCTAGAAAGCGCAAGCGTGGCAGGCCCGATGTGAAGAACTTGAAGGGGTTGCCACCGGACTGTGTACCAGAGCAACTGAGCCAAGCTGGTTTACGGTCGAAATTGGTTGGGTTTGAGAGAATGGCGCTTTCCTCTCGGTCGTCGACTGTCCTTACACTCCGCGGGGACAAAGAAGATGACCCTGACCTGTACCCGATACATTTGGTGGATCATGACTGTTGCATCAAGACGACGCCTGTTGAGAATCCCACTGAAATATCCACCAGGAGTGACGGTTCGGAGATTATGACGCCCCCAAGTTCCGTTCACTCAGGTACAGAGACTACGGCCACACCGCAACTGGTAGCTGAGGATGATCTATCTGTCGGATACATCAAGGTAAATCGTATTGATTTGACCGACCAGGTTCTGACGGGTCGGTATCCCACTTCAAGTATGTATGCCCAAGTGTCAAAGGCTTAGCTTCAATGACCAAAGTCCAAAACAATCTTCATTGCCTTTACTGACATCTTTAGTTGCATGTTTTTACGTTCGACTCTTGGAAGATGATATCCACGAATACTATCGTGCGATTTATCTGTCGGAACGCACAGCCCCAGAGCTGGTAAAAAAGATTTCCGAGAAGTATGATATTGAACCAGTTGACAGCTTCAACTTGTTTCACATCAATGAAAAAAAGCTGAAAATCATGGTTGATGATGAATTTGTGCAGCAAATGGCAGAAGGCCAGAACATGAGTGTTGAGCTTCATCAAAATGCAGATACAAGTACAGGTGCCTGGGAAATGTGGTTATTATACTGATGAATTTACAATATAGTGAGTAGATAGCAATAGCTATGTAAAGTAACGATGGGATCAATATCATATACGCTACTAGATGCTGCAAAGGCTCCGCGTTTTCCAAACATGGTGTATCGATTCGACTGATATTCCCAGTATTCCGATCTGCTCACTGCGACAATTTATGAAGCATCCAGAAAATTCCACGGAGATGTTTTCGTTATTACGAGATTCTGCATCACCTTTGAAGCCGCGATTTAAGGTTATACGCCCGGAGTTAGCGGCGATGACATCCCGCTAGCCGTTTTGAGCCAGTAAGCATCAAGTAGAGACTACCTGGGACGATGAGGCTCTAATTCCTCCTAGTGAGCCGAATTCAGTCCGCAGGCTATCTATAAAAGCACAAGAAACCCGTCCCAGCTTGCTTTGGTCTCCACTCCAGACAAGCAATTCGTATTTACAACCCTAGCTCATCTACCTAATCGAAAAGTCAAATTCTTGTTAATTTCACGAAGTTGGACTCATATAATGTTTGGTTCGGTATGTTCCTTGTATGAATGTCCCCCAAGCCTTGTATACTCATGGACATTAGTTACCGGCTGTTCTTCCGGCCTGGGGAAGTCTATAGCTAGCACCATCTATGCTGCAGGCCACCAAGTGGTGGCGACAGCCCGAAAAGTCGACACATTCGACTACCTCCCCGACAGTCCAAGCGTCCTCAAGCTAAGCCTTGATGTGACATCCGCCGAAAACATCCACAATTGCTTCACCACCGCTGTGGAGACATTTGGCCGCATTGACATCGTTATCAACAACGTCGGGTATGCTCTCTCAAGAGATACCGAGGCTATAGCCGAGTCGGATGCACGTCTGGAGATGGAAACCATCTTCTGGGGTCCTGTCCACATCACCCGAGAAGCTGTCCGCATTTTCAGAGAGGCCAATCCCACAGGGCAAGGTGGAACTGTGGTTCAGGTCTCTTCTATTGGCGGCTATGTTACATTTCCCGGAAGCTCTTTCTATCATGCTGGGTACGTTATCGCTCGCCCATTGCTTTTCGTGAAGTATTTGTACATTGATTCTGACGCACATTTAGAAAACATGCGCTCGGAGGTTTCACACAGTCTTTTGCTAAAGAGCTCGAGCCGAGCTGGAATATCAAAATGATGGTTGCCGCTCCGGGAGGCATTCGGACCAACTATTTCACAAATACCCAAATGAGAGCTAGACACCCTGCTTAGGATAGCCCTAATATTCCGTTTAATCAGCTGCTGGGGTTCATGATGAACTTGGGTACACAGGAAACTTTCGCGGAGCCTGATGACCTTGCCAAGGTGCTCTTTGATGTTGTTGTGGGTCAGGACTAGCGAAAACTACCAGCACGTTTGCTGATGGGTGCGGAAACCCTTCCGCTTTTCGAGTCTTGAGTATAAGAAAGATGCGGATGAGATAGAAGTGTGGAGGGCGGAGACTGTTCGCTGTACCTCCAAAGCAAGCGTCAAGGTCATTCTTATATAGGTATTCTAAGCAGCTACTCGTTACCACGCGTTTTTATATATCGTCTCTAGTAATATGAAATCTTTTATCAAATACTCCTAGTACCGAACACGTTTCGTACAGATTTTGCTGGGTTAGAAGAGTTTGTAACTCGCTTGAATGGTCATTTCTGTCCAAGTCATTAATTAAAATTTCATTTCGGAGAACACTCTCCAGGATTATTGTGTCAAGGCTATATCCAACAAATGAAAATAGGTATTCATTCCCGTCATCCCCAAGAGAAACGCCATCTATACAGAGATGCAACCATGGCGGGGTATACAAAAAATGATAAGGATGCAAAATGAGATGTTTGCCAGGCTAAACATCATTGACAAGAGAGAAGAGAAAAGAAAAACGTCCCAAAGTTCATAGCCCACGGACACATGCCAGGGCATCCAAAAGGAAGAGGCAGACAAGCTGAAAGCACAAGACATAGAAGATGAAAAATATGGAAGTGACCTTCATACGGCACGATCACCGGTCTTCATATCATCCATTTCATACTCTTGAACACTCCTCTCTCTACCTCTCCCCCTTCCAAAGCTGGACTCCGCCTGAGCATCCTCAGACGGCTGTTGAGACGAGGAGGCAGCTTTACTGCTACCGCCTCCAATCCCACCGAAGCTAATCGGCTGGAGCTCGCGATGTTGGCAGGCCCACATGCCCAGGAAAGTCATCATACCCGCGCTGGCGAATTGCAACCCCCACCAGAGGAGATTTGCGGGCAAGGACCGAGTATAAAGTGTTGTGGCGACGAGATGCAAGAAATGGATTGTGAATGCGAAGTCGGGAACGAGCTTAGATCGCGAGACGAATAGTAGGAGAAATATTACACTGGGAATATGGAGTTAGCCTGGGATACTCGTAGTTTGTGTACAATTTCGAGGGATGTCTACCTGATGATGCAATTCAACATCCAGACTAGGCCCAACATCCATCCAACGGTCGTATCCCCTCTTAACGAGTCCCACCCGAATATCAAGTCTAGCGAGAATGGCGCGCCATAGACAACGGTTGTGAAGAGGATGAGGACTGTTGCGCAAACATAATAGGCCGTCTGAAGGAGGAGGATCTTTCGGATAATTTTCAGTGGCGGGAGGTCGGTTCGCGACCCCGCTGGAAGGCGCCGGCGCCCGGGCATCAACTAGGAGGTCTGGGAGGAGAAGGTTTTCCTCCCCAGTGACCTGTATGTGGAGGATGAGTGGTTGGAGCGCGACGTTTGGGGCTAGGCGTAGATAGGCGGAGTGGTCATGCAATATGAATAAGCCCTATATCGTGTAATGGTGTTTCAGAGACGAGATAGACGGGAGGTAATTTGTTCAATACACAGGAGAAGGAAATCGTAAGTATGAGGGTAGTGGGAAGAGAGTCGTGAAATTGTGGCAATAGAGCAAATTGGACAGCGTTGTGTCGCCGAGGGATCAACAGTCTTGGCACCCGTAACAACGCCGCATCCGCTGTATTTCCGACTTCTCAAATCTACATCGAAGCTCTGCCCGCCACCACAATCCAGCTTTCTTCTCTCTGCACCATCTTTCGATCTCAGTTTTTCGATAACCCTTTACCGCGTTCACCTACCATCATCATGGGCTGGCTCCCTTGGTCTTCGGACGACTCCAACAAGGCTTCTGACGGTGGCCGCATCGCGCCGGACCGGACAAGTCGTAAACGCTGCTGGGAGGGTCGGGATGCCTTCTTCAGCTGCCTGGACCGTAATGATATCTTGGATGGAATCAAAGATGATAAGGAAGCTCGTCGGAAATGCGCAAAGGAGGTTCTCGAGTTCGAGGCAGCTTGTTCGCAGACCTGGGTATGTACCGCATCTGTTGGAAGCGTGTTTTTTGGCCTGGGGATGGCACTTCTACGAGTCTTTTGCGGACAATATATGGATTGGGATATGCTAACAGGTTTCACAGGTGAAATACTTCAAGGAGAAGCGAGTGATGGAATACAACCGGGACAAGACGATCGAGCGGATCAAGAAGGAAGATGCAGACAAGATGAAGGAATTGAAGACTCAGGGCTGGAAATCGACTTAAACGCCATTTCCAGGATGCTTTCGCACTTGTACATTATGTACCATATCCACTCTTATCACGATCTCAATTTAATGTTCCTACTCGACATAATTACGATTCAAGTGTATTCAAGCAGCAAAGATCTCCATGTAACTCCAATAATGGACATGGTCATATTATATCCATATTGCATGAGCAAGACTCAAAACGGACGTTCCGAGATGAAACCAAAACTTATAAGGCAAATTCCAACCTAGACACTCCGTTCACCTTAGTATCTAGATTCTTAGTCCCGGCAAAATAATGCAAACGCCTTGCAATGGCTGGAAACCAGCATGAAATGAACCCGGAAAAGCTCCCACCATGTATGAAAGATGAGAGTGAGAACGCCGAGCCCCAAAGAGAATAAGATAAATAGCCAATAACCGTAAAATAAATCCAAAGCCGAGGGCTGAGCGTAAGTCACAGCGAAGAGATTCGTTCAATCATTGTTTCCACTTGGCCAACTGGTTCATCAGGTTTTGCACATTAGAACCGACGGCCGGCTGGCCCTGTGGCTGTTGCCCTCCAAGTCCCTTAGCTAGGATTGAGAGTAAATGGGGATCAGAGACAACAGGCCCATTGGGGGGCTGGAGATGGAAAGGGGGAGGAAGAGGCTGTTGTGGGTGCTGTAGGATCGGAGGTTGTCGAGTCGCGTTGGTCAAAAGAGTAGCCAAATCAGCAGGAGGTGGAGGGTTGGGGGAAGAAAATGGCGACTGAGTAGCTGAGACAGGCTGGGACGGAGGAGCCGGGCGTTGAAGGGCGGACAAGAGAGATTGGAGGCTAGGGCCATCCAGCGAACTAATCAAGTTCGCGATGTTGGGGGGATTAGTCAACGCGGGCAGAGTAGGCTGAGGCACCGGCACAGCCGGTACAGCCACAGGAGGAACCCCGAAAGCTGGATTTGGGGGGAAGGAACCAGGTGGAGGACCGCGTTGCATCGCTTGGGCCTGATGGAACATGACTTCAGCTGCGATGTTGGGGTCAACTTCAGGATAGTCACTGAAGCGGACGTTGTTTAGCCCGGGGCTTCGGTCGAAAATCTGGAGAGGAATCTTGCGAGAGAATTGGTTGGGACGAGAAAGCCTGACGACTGCAAGGACACCTTCAACGAATTGACGATGGACAGCCGCACCAAGGGGAATTCGAGGACCAAGCACAAGGACATCTACCCGCAAGCCCCGGTTGCGAAAAGCGTTTTCCACATGAAGCACGAAATTTCTAAAGACTGAATTAGCAGTATTCGGGGGTGACTTGATAAATGACAGGGGAGCATACCTGTCAATTTCCTCCAAGACCAGAACTTGGACCTCGGGCACGTCACGGGGAGCCCTTCGAGGTACGGGAAGATCAGCTTCCCCTTCATAGTTGCCTCGAGGTCTCGGGCTCGGGCTGCGATATCGCCGATCTCTGGAATAGGGGGAACGAGGAGACCGAGATCTAGGGGAACGGGAACGACGGCGCTCACGGCGATCAAATCGCTCTGGCGTTCTATCCCGCGATCGATACCCATCTCTAGGTCGAGGCCGAGGTGAAGGCGACCGCGGAGGCCGATACCCATCGCGACGGCGATTCAAGGGCTCGTCTCGAAAATCGCTAAATGGAATTCGGGGTTCATAAGGCCGGTCATATCGATCACTGGGCGCACGTTGGTTGGCTCGGGCGGGGCCAGCCCGGCTGAATTCTGGTGATCTCGAACGTCGAGGAGGGAGCGCTCTGGATGGCTCTGCGGGCGCGGGGCGGGAATTCCGCTGAGGCTTGGAGATTTCAAGATCTAGCAAAAATTAGTTCGCCAATCTCCAAATCCAGGTGATATTCCAAACACTTACGAATCTTTCTGCCTCGTACCAGAGCCCCCTGTTCCACCCCTAATGCTGCATGGCAAGAACCCGCTTCCAGGAATTGAATGAAACCGTAGGCCTGCTTGATGGAAATCTGGGCAAGTTTTCCGTACTTATGAAAGATGTGGAACATGTCTCGTTTGGTGACTCTTTCAGTGGGAAGGTTACCTAGTCGGAGAACACGTCAGTAAATTACTTGGAGAGCCCTTGGTCGGGGAAACAACTCACCAACAAATAGCCGGGATCCCATCGGGAATCGATCCCAGAGACCTTCCGTCACATAAACTCGTTCATCATGAAGGAACTCATCGTATTTCTTCTGGACTTCTGGTCCCCATGGCGCATCATCATCCATTGGCTTGACTAGCCGACCTGTCTGCTTGTCGACACGACCTTTCTTTGACACCTGAGGAGCTTCTTGGGATGTCTGTGCCTCCCCCGAGGAAGGGGTTTGGAAACTGGCAGTGGGTGGGGGAGGTAGGGAGCCAGTGCCCGGAACGGTGCCAGGTGCTCCGCCCGGTGCCATCGACTGGGAATATGATTGGGCATTGTTACTGGGTTGCGTAGGGTGGGCGAGGGGCGTGGCAAGGGCAGAAGGACGTTGATGGTATGTGCCATTATCATTTGGGGCGTAGTTTGTTTGGGTAGATGGGTCTTGAGGGGGCTGCATAGAGATGCCTTGGGGGTGATGAGGGTCATCCTTGGGTGCTTGGTGGAGAGACGAGCCTTCTGCTATGGGAGCTGCCCCGGAGGCCAATTCTGAAGGGGGGAGATGAGAGAGGTTGTCCAACAGAGTCTGGAAATTGACCCCAGATACGCTTGGCCTTGCATGTTCCTTCCCATCATCTAAGTGCTCTGGTGACCGGGATGCATTTCCTGTATTGCCGGCATTGTCTATTTCACTCGTAGTGGCAAAGCCTTGATGGACCGGCACAGCCGGAGGTGCGTGGGTCTGGATATGGGTGTTTGGATTCGCGTTAAAGTCCCCAGCTTGTCCTGTGGATGGGTAGGAATGGTAAAAGTCCGCCGAAACAGCCATATCATTCATCACAGGGTTCCCTGGCTGAGCGCCATGCAAGCTACCTGAATCCTGAGCATGTCCTAGGCCACGCTCTTGCCCTTCTCCGTTCCATCCATCTTTTGCTTGAGGGGTTCGAAGCTCTACCGCACGTTCATATGTCGAGGTATCATTGAAGACGGGGTCCATTTGGTTCTCCAGGACGGGAATATTGGCTGGCTCCGGGATATGCAGTGGTCGAGGGCTTTCCGGAGTCAGTGTCTTGCCGCGGAAGTGAAGCGCTTCATCGGGGGAACTGGGCGTCATGTAGACAAATGGGGGGCGGACGTTTCATCTACAACACGGGGGGAACGGGACAAGATAAAAAGTATAGGGGGGGGGGAAGACGAAATAGTGGGTAGACAGAAAGAGGAAGTTAGATTGTGAATTTTCGTGATCGCAAGCTAAGGTGGGGCGATGAGAAAAAAGGCTTTGGGTTGGAGGGCGGTAAGGGTCCCAGATAGGGTAGATAGCGCCGTAATGTTAAAAAAAAAAACCGAAAATTAAAACCGAAATCCAACCAAATAAAAGGAGATATAAATAATAGAAGGGGATTTCTAGAAGTGGAAGAGGGTAATGTGGTCTATCAGCAGGAGAAAGTTCTGGCAATGCAGGACATGCAGGAAACCTGTAGGATCATCCTCGAACTGCCTACGTAGTCCAACGTGCATATAAGGATCTCCCTTTTTGTTTTGGATCTGACCCTATGACTGGTTCGTACGCTTTTCTCGAAATTTTTATTTTTTTATTTTTTTTTTTTCAGTCTCGGTTTGTACTTCCATAAAATTGGGGGCATGTTTGAAATGGATCCTTTTGACGTGTCAAAGTTCCCACCAATAAGAGGATCGGAGGTTCCATAGAAACCGAGTGCCTTTACAGTCGTACATTTCATACATAGTTCATGGAAATCCCTCGCACTAAGAATAAACTAGTTCGTAAAGCGAAAAAACAGGGCCCAGACCCAGATCTCGGGGTTAATTACGCGCTTTGCGGTTTTGGTTAGTCATGACCTCTCCACCATCAAAAGATAATCCTTCCTTTTTGCCTACTATAGTACAACTATACTACAAGGTCAATCCTCCCAGATTCCAAGTTTCTCGGGTTTCAAAGTTCCCTGATTCTGAACTCTTATGAGTCTTGTCTGGCACGCTCGGTTCCGATGATGGGGCCGCGAGTCATTCGACTTTGGGTCAGAACGCCCTGGTTACGCCGGTTTGCTTCAACAAAGGGGTCATCTGACCAAGAGGTCGAACTAGCGAGACTGTGGCTGAAAACTCTGGACTCCAAAACCGTACCCCGCCAGATCGGTGAGCTGTCTTTCAGTCGGTCAAGCGGCCCAGGAGGCCAAAATGTGAACAAGTCGGTGCATATCGGTGCAATTCCGAGTTTCTTCATCTCCCCGTGGTACTATCGGCAGGGCTAACGGTGGGGGGTAGAGTCAACACGAAAGCAACCTTGAAGGTACCTTTGGCCGCGCTGCTGCCTCTGGTGCCGCGTTTGCTCCACCCCAAACTGCACACTTCGCGCTATGCGTCCGACCGGTCTCAGGCCTTAATTTTTCAGTCCGACGAATCCCGGAAACAAGCTAGCAATGTGGATTCGTGTTTCGACAAGCTCTACCAACTGTTAGAAAGCTCGGCCAAGGCCGTCATTCCGGGGGAGACCTCCCCAGAACAGAAGGACCGTGTCCAGAAATTGTAAGCTTCCCCTCCTGCAGGGTGTGATCCGGTGACCTGAACGTTTAGACAACGGGCTCAAAATGAGTCTCGACTTAAGTCCAAAAAATTCCAAAGTGACAAAAAGAGTAATCGGCGGGGGAATAAGTATGATGATTGAATTGGGGGAAACTGGCTAACATGATTCCCATATAAAAAAAAAAAAAAAAAACCTTAAATGTATATGCCTGGACACTTTTTTACTTCACATCCGACCAACGCCTCGCAAGTGCAAAAATATTTATAGAATCCCTCGGATATTCAAATCATTCCGACAATGTTCGCTCGGCATTGCGCATCGTGGACAAAATGACCTTCTTCAACGAAGGATCCAGATCCTCGGTCTCGGCCAGCGGCTTCAACCAGTTCACCACTTCCTGAGCAAGATTGGCACTAAGCGGCTGCGACTCCTTCAAACGAGCAAGCGAACTTCCCAATGCACGAGGGAATTCTGGAGCTGTGACTCGAACCCCTGTGGTTGGGAGTTGGATGTAACAAATCAATGTCCGAGGGCTGGTGGGTTTGTGAGCCTGCATGTTCTCCACCACATGGTTAAGGATCTTGGAAAGACACGGCACATCATCGAACTCTGACACCATCTTGTAGAAGTCGAACCCAAACTGATCGTCGTTCTTGAAGTTTTTCATGGCAGAATCGAAAATGGCCAACGGGATGGCACCGCTGAGAGCTGGGGTCGCGTTCAGCGTTTCAAGGGCATGTTTGTCAACCTCATCACCCTCCACTGTCGGATTGATATCCTCCTCGGTGATATCAGGGACCGCAATCATGTCGGCATCGTGATCCACCGCGGCGGACTCGACGGCCTTGGGCCGTTGGCTGGCCTCGTCCAATCCCAAGATCCGTTGACGAGCCATGAGCTTAGCGACATAGATCAATTCCAGCTTCGCATATTGAATCCATAGGAGTCGGGCACCCTTGCAAAATCGCAGACCGCGCTGGAAATAACTTCTCGCCTGGGACATATCGGCATGCTCATCCAGGGAGTACTTTGCGGCATAGATCCATAGCTCTGCGCTGGTGGGGTGGAATCGCAGGGCATCGGTGAGGATCATGGAGAGCTTCTTATAGGCCTTCTGTTTCCGGGTGTATTCGATGTATTGAATCCAGAGGTTGAGATCGCCGTGGAACCTGCGTGTGGCACGGTCGAGAATAAACAGAATCCGTCGCTGACCGCTGTGTCCTGCCGACCGAATTCCCATGCGCTTGGTTCGCTTTTTGCAGAGAGTATCGAGATTGATCTCATATTCGACATAACGGACAAAGTCGACGGGCTTTGCGCCACGCGCATTCAACTTGTGCTCGAAGTCCGACCGCTTCTTGATAATTGAGGTAATTTCATCCTATAAATTTGTATCAAAGATTAGCGACTCCACCACGTAAGCGCGTTCGGAAGAATTTACCTTGCTGAAAAGCTTCTTCTTCTCGAATTCCTTCAGCTCAGGAACCGACTTCTCAAGAAAGTACCGAGCCTTATCCGTTGCGGCAGACATGATTGCGGTTTGCAGCTGAAAGAAAAAAAAAGTTGCTCCGAACTTTTGTCGATCCCGCATTTTTGACAAAGCAGAGGCTAAGCCTAACGCGGTTAGACCCAGGACCCCAAGGCCACTCCGGAGGCACCAGCAAACCGAGGGATCCGATGTTTTCCTCAGGGGCCCTTGTTCACAATCATCTCTCTTTCTTGACATTCTTTTTAATTTCCTTTTTTCCTTTTTTTTAATCCTCCTCCTATATACCCCCCCCGCGCAGGGTTCCATTTGCGCTACCATGGCTCCCAGATTTAAGGATGGAGATGCCGTGGTCGCTGTACGTCTCCAAACACGCGATAAGGTCCAACTCTGACACGAATTTCAATGCAGATCAATGGCAAATGGGTCGCCTGGACTCACACGCTCTTCGCATATGCTGCCTTCTTCAGCGCGCTTATAGTCGGTGTGGCTCTCCATTATCACAAGATTGTGCAAAATGAACACTACGGTTACCCCGACGAGTGGTTTCCCTCCGTGTCCGCAACAATTGGCGACCGATACCCGGAGCGTTCATTCTTCCAGGTCTTCATTGCAATTACGTCCGGTCCTCGCTTCCTTCTCGTCTTCCTGTGGTACATCATCACTGCGCGCCCCAATTCGACTCTCCCGAAGGTTGTGGCCGGTGTGGGTGTCTTCCGAACTTTGACTTGCGGTGGCTGGACTTATGTCACCTCCACCGATGACCATGATTGGCACGATATCTTCATGATCTCTTATCTGGTAGCGACCCTGCCATGGACCCTGGGATGCCTTGCCTTGAGCCCCAACAACCGCCGTGCCGTGAAGTACCGCAAGATCATGGCGAGTCTGTTCTTTGGAACTCTGGTCCCATTGATCTATTACTTCATTCAGCACAAGGTTCACAAGGTTGCCGGTGGTAAGTGATCCCGGTTTTGATGGCAAATTAATTGTACTAAATCATCTTCTGCTAGCCTACACTCGGTACGCCTTCTTTGAGTGGTCCCTGATCTTGTTCGATGTTGGATTCGATGCCATCACGGTGCTTGACTTCGAGGGCCTGGAACTGGTGGTGCGCGATGTGAAGGGAATTAGCAGAGGGTATGTACCGTGGCTTCCGAAATGACACCCACAAATGTATAGTGCATAAGCTACGTTATGAAACAAAGCCCTTTCTAAAAAGTCCCTCTTCTTAGGCAGTTGAAGACGACTGCGGACTCTGTCCTTGAAAAAGGGTGTGTACAACTTTTAGTCCTTCAACTCGCTCATTCAGTTAACTAGTAATTAGGAAGGGTAAGCCCGTGAGCAACACCTTTGGCGAGGGTTTCTTCTGGACTGAAATCCTGGATGCCGCCGCCGATGTTTACAACGGCTTTGTCTTCTGGACGATCGTGACTGGTCTCCCCGTCCTTGTGTGGTACTTCCCTCTGTGGCACATGGGTATCTCTGGCTATGAGGTTGCCATTGTTGCTTGCATTTCCCCTCTGCTCTTCGCCATTCCCTCCTTGAGATCTGCTGCCACCAAGAACTTGCGGCTGCTGCACCTCGTGTCTCTTACAGCCCTCGTGGCCTACAAATTCCAGGACCCTGCTAACCGACTGTTCATTACTGCCTTTGCACTGTCGACTACCTGTGCGGCGTGGGTTGCTAGCTTCTTCGCCGAGCGCGGAAACACCGCTCGTCTGGAGGCCCGTATCATGGCCTGGGGTGTTGGTCTGATCATGTCAGTTGTTGCCAAATTCGCCTGCACGACGAACAATCCACTTTGGCCCGTCATGCACAGCGAGAATGGCGGTTGGAACAAGATCGGTCTTTTCGTCGCCATTTTTGCCGTCTTGCGTTCCCAGAGGGGCTCCATTACTAGTGGTAGCGATTATTTGCCCGCTAGCGGCAAGAAGGGCTCATCTCTCCTGGCTGGTATTGGTTTCGGAGGTCTCATGTTCGCCATTGTCTCACTCCTTACCGACTCCAGCACTATGATCTCGTGGGTTTGGGATGGTTATCCCGTGCGTGGACCTATTGCTGTGCCTCATGGTGCTGTCACAATCTTTGCCATGGGCGCAGGTCTTGTGTATGGTATCTTCCACCCCGCAGTGGCAGGCAGTTGGACTGCCTACGGCATTGGCTCTGTCGGTGCTGCTCTTCTGACCTACTATCACCACTGGACCGGATACTACGGTGCTCTTGCGCTTGCTTTCTACATCATGGCTGTCGCTCCTGTCCTGATCAAGTCTGGCGTCCGCCACTCCCCAGCGGGCACCTTTGGTATCGGTTTCGTTCTCTACATCTTCCTTTTGCTCTTCCACGTCTGGGTTGTTGCCTACGCCTTCGTCCCTGGTGGTCCACTCGTCCGTGAACACACTGACTGGGTCATGATTACGACTATGCTTGCCATTGGTGCTGGTGTGTTCTCCGCCGCCACTTCTAACTCTGGTCGTTCTCGCAACAAGCCCGTCAGCCCCAACAGCAAGAGGCAGCGCTCCTACTACATTTACGTGCTCGCTGCGTTGCAGCTCCTCTCGGTTTCTGTCGCGTACCTGCGTTTCCCCACCAATGACTATCAGCCCCATCACCCCGAGGAGAAGGTCGTGACTGCTGGTATCTGGACAGTCCACTTCGGTTTGGACAACGACATGTGGGCGTCTGAGCGCCGTATGCGTGATGTGATCGGTGAACTTGAGCTCGATGTCATTGGCTTCCTCGAGTCGGACAACCAGCGCATCATCATGGGCAACAAGGACGTCACCCAGTACATTGCCGAGGATCTTGGCTATTACACCGATTTCGGCCCGGGCCCTAACAAACACACCTGGGGCTCTGCTCTGCTTTCCAAGTTCCCCATTGTCAATTCCACTCACCATCTGCTCCCCTCGCCCGTTGGTGAGCTGGCCCCCGCCATCCACGCCACTCTTGACATGTACGGCGAGATGGTAGACATTGTTGTCTTCCACTCCGGCCAGGAGGAGGACCCCGAGGATCGCCGCCTTCAAAGCCAATATCTGTCTAAGCTGATGGGCTCTTCTCCCCGCCCGCTGATTCTGTTGAGTTACCTGGTCACTAAGCCGCTCGAGGGTAACTACAACACCTACGTCAGCGAGGTGAGCCAAATGAATGATATCGATCCCACCGATCTGGATCGATGGTGTGAGTATGTTCTCTTCAAGAAGATTCACCGCACAGGCTACGCCAGAGTTAGCCGTGACACCATTACCGACACCGAGATCCAGGTAAGTCCCTTGTATGATTTCAGCACCCCTCGAAATATACTAACAGTGCAATCACCCAGGTTGGCAAATTCGTGGTTGGTGAACCCGTGCCAGAAAACGAGATGCGCATTCCTGAAGAGATGGTGCCCGTTGGCCGTCGATTTCCTGCCCTGTTCCGTGGCGAGGGCGTGCGCGGCCACCGCTATCATGTCTTTGATGAGCCTCGGTACTGGCAATAAGCATTACTGGAATCTGACAAGGAAATGTGTTTTATAGATGTAACATGATTTGTCTTTTTTCCCTATGAGATGTGAAATCATTCGAATAAGAGTATTCCAATTTTATCTAGCGTGGCTTCGTAGACAAGTGAATTATCCTCCATGATTTCACGGGCCTAAGTAGATACCTGGCAACGTAGGACTTGCCCAGGTGAGCTTGGCAGTCCAACGTTGGAAAAATGCAGTGGTGTTTTCATGACTGTTTTGCATATGTATCCAAGGTTGTCCCACCTGTCTTCAGGCTCCAGGACTAGGCAGTTGATGTGCCAACCTGCACGGGTTCACATCTGATAGATCAGTTTGCGGCTGAAAGATGGATCCCACACGTTTGACGTTGCTCAGCCCCCATTTGCCCATTCTCGGAAAATTCACCGCCAATCATCCTTTAAATCCCACTAGTCCCGGTCCCTGATCGATGGAAAAAGCGATGAGCTCGGGATCAGGCTTCCCACCATGTTGGTGATCGCAGGCGAACACCTGGTCATTACTCAACCTAAACCCTATCTTAGCCCCCAAACGCACGCCTAGGGTATACAGGATAGAATAAGCCGCGGTCATTCTGCAGGATTAAATCGTCCAGGCTTAGGCCGATAGAGCGCCGGATGACCGAGCTTTCCACTCCCATCATAATCGGAGGTAAATACGAGACCCGCGGTTGACTTTAGATTGTCATCACCGATGCCAATGCCAGGAGCACCCTTGTTGATACGATAAATACAATAAAAAGCACCATTTGACTCTGAAAATCTAGATTGCTCCAATATCTGGTTACTAGAGGACAGGGTAATGCAGGTTCTGTTATGGTCGCAATTGATCAAATGGAACGCCTGATCAGCAGTCGATCTCAGCTTGAAGCCTCTACTTCTATTTCGGGAGCTCCTTGTTGATCTACATGATGGAGGATCCATGTTCTATTTTCCAGGCTCCGCGTTTCCCGCTCTTGGACGATATAAGACGAGTTGATCTGCTTGTAGCTGTCATCACAAGAGCGGATGCCTGATTCTGAAGGTCATGGTCTCCGATTCCTTTTCTAGGTTCCCCTTGTTGGTGGACGGGCTTCAACCGAGAAGGCGTCTTGAGAGATTTTGCAATTAAGCTGCGTCCAGTTTGGCGAGAGTGCCAGTAAACGTAATGCTCTCAAATTATTCAGAAATTTTCCTTGATGACAAACAAAGGCGTGCTTCAATACTGAGACTTGTTTTGAGTGTGTCTATGTCCAGAATTCCCATGAACAGGTAGGTCTTGGCCTGTACTTTAGATACAATAATCTAATTAGTACGAATATGTGTACTCCGTACCTTTTGCGAGTGGCCGTTGAGCCTATCAAAATGAATCCACCTGTTCCCTGGTTGGACCACATACACCCACTAAGGACAATCCACGTCACATGGTACGACCTATTCACAGACTCGGAAATTCTAGGTTTGGATGAGTCAATAAAAAAAATGAGAATGATTGATTATCTCATGCAGCAACGGTTAACAGATCCTTGTGGTCATCCATGTGGTCATGGTTTACTAAGAGATCTCACCTCTTACCGAAGTAGCTAGGCACGCCTGATGTGCGTCCATGGCTGGTCCGTGTGGCACGAAGTGCGTACAATAATCAATGCAGCTTTTTCTGATACTGTCTTTCATTAATTTGATTTCGTATTTTGATTTGTAGTTACATGGGTCCCATTTCAGACCACCTCTTCGTGCCGAAACGAAGCTGACTTGCAATAATTAGCTGCAAGTGGATTCTGCGCGCTACTGCCCTGGCCCTCCAGAAATTCATGGTAATCTAACTGCTCCCGAGCAGTTTCCGGACGCGAGAAGAGTTGGGGGGATTCACTCGGTCCCGAGGGCCAACGATGTGCTTGCACCATAAACACAAGGCGACTCAGGACTCCGAATTCGAGTTTCAATTTGATGCTGTACACCATCGACTTGAGAGTAGTTTGAATGACGAAGGAATACTTCGAGCCGAGGTATTCCAATACCAACAGAATGACGTCCATGACGATGATCAGCGCATTGATAGCGAGAAGTTGGTACATGATTTTGCGATTCGGGTTGTGGCCGGAGGTGCTCGGAGGGGACATGCGAAGGATCTGGACGGCTTTGTAGATGTATAGACCAGAGATAATGAATTCTTGAAGTGAGAACCCCGTCAGCTCGATGCGTTCCATGATGCTGTATGCCTGGGCCCAGACGGGGGTTTGAATGAAGTTGGTGCCATAGGTGAGGACGGTCGTGGGGACATGCAAGACAATCGCATCGATGATGATCATCGCACGAACACGATGGCTAATCGTCAGATCCTGCACGACGATATTGAGCCGCGAAAATAACACTAACGCTTGGCCCGTCACCATGAAATACCACCCAATCGTTGAAAGCGTGAGTGAGAGCCATAATGGAGCGATGCCGAAGTATTTGAGTAGGAAGCTCACTGACTGCGGTACGACGCCGAGTACGGTGGCGAGCAACAAGCTCCAGAAGTAAAGGCCTTGCCAGCGTCGGAATGAGGAGAAGATGAGAACCAGGAGCTCGATAGAGTTGTAGAGGGCGATTGACAGAAACACGGTCAAGGTGGCTTTGGTGGTGAAGTCATCCCCTGCGTACTTCCCAATGATGCCGTTGTCAGAGCTGGTCAACATGATCCCCGGTGGAGTCCAGGTCCGTGCGAACGGACCCAGATGTCAAGTCGATGCTGGGTCGCTGGGGTCGCTTACCCGCAGTAGCGTTCAGGATAGAGGCATGAGATGCCCACAGGGCAACGCGAATCAGAAGCAGAAACCAGCAGGAATTTGCAAAGCATTAGGGAATCCTGCTGGTTATAAGAGTGGGGAAAATCGGGATTTCTGGGGTTTGGCTTGGCTGTTTAGTGGCACGGTCCTATAAGCGACGAACCAGGAAAGGCCGCGGAGTCCGTGATGACCAGCTCTTAGCGCAAAGCAAATCCAAGCGACCAGGGGTTGGCATTTTCATTGGAGGAAATCAAAGGAGCACGATACTTTCTCGCCACACATATGATGGACAGGGCTCCCGGGGGGGAAATGTTTACCAGGATGCGCCAACCGTGGGTGTACGTAAGAAATTGGTTTTCAGGACTGCGTAGGATCCTTGGCTCACAGAGACAATCAGCAACGAACTGGAAAACCCGGGGTAACCCCTGCCAAACAGGAGTTATATGAAAACTCTTCCTACACTAACCATGCAGGGCCATAAGCACTAAGGTTTCTCATTTCCCCGCGTTGTATTAAGCCAAGCGGGGCCGTTCACTCGTGTGGCACGATGGGCCCCTAATGTATCGCCGGAAATACGAACCAGCGTTGCGGCCTTACCAATTCTGGAGAAAGGTCCAACCGCCATCCAAATGCCTTAATTCGCATCGGAGTGACGCGTCAATCAGATGCTGAGCATGGGTTGTCCCGGCGCTAAAACCCCGGAGACAAAAGCGGAGAGGGAAAGAAAATCCTTGTTCAAAACCCATTCACCACTACATGAATGTGGGTAAAAATCGACAATGCACCGCGCTTGTGGAACCGAGCTATAGCGTCTTGGCCATCGAATGACACCCTGTTCTAGCTTTCAAATACAGGTACCGGGGAATTGCTTTATAGGGAAAGGTCTTCCAACCCCTGATCATTAAGAATTCGACAATAAAATATATAGCTAGAATTCATTATCCATATATGGCGCAGGAGAAATATGCAAAGTAGAAGGTATCATAATAACGGTAAAAAAAAAAAAAAAAAAATCAAATCAGAGAAACAGCCACTGCCCAAAGCGCTGCAATTTGCCGAGTATCCCCTTTCGTTCCGGCTCTTGCACCTCCTCTGGAGTGTGGTCGTCGTCAATGCCACCATCATATCGATCAGTTCGCAAGTCCATGTTCGCAGTGCGAACAAACTTTGTGCGCTTGATGAGCTTCCAGCCAACGAACATGACGACCATGAGGGCGATTTCGATGTAATAGGAAACAAACTTCACGCCCTTGAAGTGTGGGCTAAAGCATTTCCAGCCTTGCACCAGAACAAGGACGGTGTTGAGGCCGATCGCAAAGATGGGGCCGTATGGGTACGTCCAGTTCTTGTAGGGGAGAAGATCCTCTAGACCTTGGGCACGGATGGCGCCGCGGAAGCGGAGAGATGCAATACCGATACAGATCCAGGAGAGTTGGTTAGAGACACCAACGATGCTAGTGGGGTTAGCTGGTTTTCATTTCATGGATTCGTCGGGACTAAGACTTACTTCTGTAGCCAGGTCCACAATTGACCCGCGCCGATGTAGCTTGCACCGAAGCAGAGTCCACTGATGACAGAGCTAGCTAAAACCGCGATCCAGGGAATCTGGAAGCGGTTCAAGTGGCCAAAAAAGCGGGGCGCGTAACCATCGATAGCCAACGAGTACAGCAATCGGGTCGCGGCGAAGAGGGCGTGGTTTGCGGCAGAGATGACAGAGGTCATGATAACGGCATTGATGAAGCTACCGGCAACGGAGCTACCGGCCTCTTCGAAGACAATGGTGAAAGGACTAGTGCGAGTGTTCTCATCGTCGAGACCGGGGTAGTTGTATGGGACATTAAGGCCGATGAGTAGGATGGAGAGCAGGTAGAAGAGCACAATGCGGAAAAAGACATTGCGCACAACTTTGGGCATAGTCTTGGAGGGGTTTTTCGTTTCACCAGCGGTAATGGCAATAGACTCGGTGCCGCCACTAATTCATGTTAGAAGCTGTGCAAATAATAAGAACCAGTTCAGACTTACAAGGCAAAAGATGCTGTGACAAAGACGGAGGCAAATCCTCCGATGCCGTCAACAAAAGGAGCCTGTCCCATGTTCCAGTATTTGCCGCCGATGTACTCATGGTTCTTATTCCCACCACAGTTGACGACAATGCCGAGAATGATGAAGATCTGTGAACGTTAGTGAACGCTCCAGTCGGAACACCGAATACAGGCAAGAACATACCACGATGGTGACGACTTTAAGCAAGCTCAGCCAATATTCGACCTCACCATACACCCGAACCGAAAGAAGATTTAGGCAAATGACAACGACGAGGAAGATCAAACTGATGGCCCAACCCGGAAAATTTTCAGTCCAGAATTCCAGTAAAAGCTGCAGGGCAATGATATCTGAAGCCGTTGAACAAGCATCATTGAACCAGTAATTCCATGTCAAAGCAAAACCCAGAGCATCATCTACGTAACGACTAAGAAAAAGTCAATAATCGAAACGGCAGGGATCGACGATCAATGCAACTCACCCCGCATAGGTACAGAAGGATCCGGCAACGGGCACAAATGCAGCCATCTCACCTAGAGACAGCATAGTGATAAATACAATTCCACCGCAAATCGCGTATGCGATCAACATCGAAGCAGGACCGCCGGTGGCAAGAGACGAGCCAGTACCCAAGAACAGACCGGTACCGATGGTACCGCCGATAGCAATCATCTGCACCTGTCGGCCCGACAGGCGACGAGCAAGCTTGTCCGCATTAACCAGTGGTGTCGACCCGAGCCCGACCTCGCCATAGTCTTCTACCGGGGCATGCTTCTCAGGATCTGAGAAAGAACCCATATTGACGGGATAGTGGATCACTTGACCACCAAACAGCAATGCCAAGTTAAGATAATAGCAGCTTGATAGGGATAGGAATCTGTGTCATTTCGTATAAGTGTCTGTCTCATAGTTCACCGCAATGTTGAAGCACGGCTTACCAGAGATCTCGTGACCCGCACGTGGCTACCCCGGATTTCTCAATATGACAGATGTGATATGTTTCACCAGCCAACGACTAGTGATATAAGGAGAGAATCCCATGTTCGATCGACGGGAAACAGAACTCTTCAGGCCATGATTTTTGCGATGGCGTGCTTGCGCGCTTCTATGGTTGGATCGGGAGGGCCCGCATTCTATGACAAGAGAAAAATTCAATCGGATCCACTCATCTTGTGAAGCGGGTAAACACTGTCGACCGAACTACCGTTCTGCAGGGAATGATACACGTTTTCACCAATTAAGCTGGGCTGCATTCTTAACTTATTCATGAATAAGTCCTTGGTTGGACCACTATTTGACTGGAGGTTAAAAGAAACATCTGCGTTTTCTTGCACATAAGCACGTGGTGAAGGGACCCACCCATCAGATTTGACATCATTCGCTTTCAGGAAGAAACATGTCCAAGTGGACAGGAAAAGTTTTTGCAAACCTAATTGAAATTCTGAAGAATGCAGGTCGAGGATTCGTGTGTAGATCTTGAAGATTCGATTGGGAAGCTCAGGCTACCTTGTGGCACGTTGCAATAGACATGAGGTGTCTACATGAGGTGTCTATATCACATAATCCACTGCCAAGCCTTAGGCTTCCTAATCGCTATGTATGCTGCAAATCAACCCTCAAATGCTCCACAAACTCACCACTCCCCGTGAGGACTGGTTGCTAGCGTGCTCTAACATCACTGGAAACTCCTCACGACTGCCAATGTGACTTCCAAATATGAAGCAAACTTTGCCCATCAAATCCTGTGCCCCCATAGCGGGCAATACCACATTTTGGCAGTTTTTGGGATAGTGTCGAGCTTGAGCTGGTGTGCCTTGCGTCAGTCTTCATCCCGGAGCAAATGAATTCTGCAACATTACTTAGTCAAAGGCTCTATATGCAATTTTTTCTTTGAAACTCTGGTAAGGATTTAGTCTCTTTCCCCTCCACTCCGCCTTTGGCATATATAGAACCAATTGCACTCACTCTGAAATTCCACTTGTAAGCATGCCTCAGACTCTCTGTAAGAGTAGAACCAGCCAGACCGCATGTCTATAGAAGCTCAAGTAAAGGGAACTTAATGTTTGATTAGAGCGCAAACTCAGACTTTATCATTAGCTCGCAATATTCCAAAGACCACTACACTCATTTGGTAGGTACTTGTAGATTTATTACATAATGGGTCTATTCCCCATTTTATTTAAGGTATAACATGGCTTGTGTAACCATCAAACCGTTCGCTTTAGCTCACGCCTTCAACTTCCTGAAGGTCTAGCAGCAGATCGGCATCCACACCCAAAGGCCTTCCGATCTTTGCAGAGGTCCTCCCAACTTCAAGCAGATATGCCTCGCTTTCAGTGGAATCTTCCGTGAAAGTGAATCGTCGATATTCACAGTTGCGGTAGGCAGTGGCTGCGATTGTAAATTTTGAGATAAAAGTGTAACACAATGGAGAATGGAGCCTTACATCGTTGCTTACCATAGAATGACCAATCTTCAGTCAGGTAATGCAGGAAGGATCCATGAGACACCAAGAGGACATGCTCGTGTGGAAGCTGCCATAGCCAGACTCGCAGTTGAGCTGCACGCCTTCGCACCGCTCCAGTTGTAGGGACATATAAATCTTTCTGTTTGAATTGTTAGAGACTTTATCTCCACTTCATTTATCTTTTTAGACCCTACCTTTGAATTCCCCAACCATCCTCCAGTAAGCTGGTATCTAAATTCGCCTGGTCATATGCTGCAGCCCCGGATGCGATCAAATGCGGAACCTCAGCCATGAGAACATCACAATCAGACCGACATCGCAGGGCCGCTTACTGATTTCCTGTGCCTTGGGGGCCAAGACGAAGGGAATCTGGCGCTTTTCTAAAGCTGGATGAAAAGCATGCGCCGCGGTTTGAATAGTTCGCCTCAAAGGAGATGCCAGAATGAGAGAGAGATCATCATGGTAAAGAAAACTATCTCTCAAGTCACGACATTGGTTTTTGCCTGTATCAGTGAGATGCGCATCGCGAAGATGGTGAGAGTCCTGTAAATGTTAAAGACGATCATGTGCATTATGTGATTGGGCTCACGTACATGGAGGTTATGCTCGCCTTGGCCGTGGCGGACAAGATAAAGGGCGGGAGGCATTTTGAAGAGTAGTGAATTTTCTTAAGAAGTCTGGCTTCACGGAAGTCAGATCTTAAATTAAGTTTTGTAGAGTCTTTAAGGTCTATGGTAATTCCTTCCAAGACCGGAATCTCCTTTGTATAGAATTGCATTGCTCAATGCATCTCTCATCCCGCAAAGAGTTGGGTATTACCAGCGACGGCTTGAGTACTCAAGGTTTAATCCATTGAAGACTGGCATACGTTCTCTAATTGCTCGCGATCCATTTTCTAGGAATGGACATATCGAGAATCAGCATTTGACTCTATGATTAATGGGCATTTTTACGCTGCGTCAAAGGGGCTCTGTTAGGTCGACTCTTGTAACTACATTGCTTGCTGCTTGCCACGTCTCACAGTGAGATAAGCATGCTTGATAAGTAGAGCACTGCAAGCAGCGCCAAGTAAGTTTAATGGAAGATCTCCCTCTTCCGTACTAGGGGCTCCCGCACTTGCCTTACTGAAGAAGTTGGCGATATAAGTCAGCATAAGGTGGCTCTCTACTGCATGGTCGCGATCAAGATGGTCAATTTCAAACCATGTAAATAGCGATGCAACACTTGGAGCATCGGACGACAAATTCCGATGTTCTTATGTAATGTACGGCGTGCGGTGCACCACCCTCCGCAACGACCCTTATATATATATAGTGCGGGGAGCCAGGTTGAAAAAGGCACATAATTGATTGAACGATGGGTCTCACTATGTCTTCCGTTCAAGGCAAAACCGCCATCGTAACTGGTGCTGGATCGGGTATCTGCTTCGCCTTTACCAAACTCCTACTTGATCAAGGCTGCAATGTCGTGTTAGGCGATCTAGCATTACGTCCCGAGGCAGAAGAGTTGCTCAAGCTCCATTCCACTCCCAACAAACAAGCAAGAGCCATCTTCCACCGCGCCGATGTGCGTAAGTGGCAAGACCTGGACCAATTGTTCAACATCGCCCAGAATGAATTTGCTCGGATTGACATAGTGTGTCCCGGAGCTGGAGTCTTCGAGCCGGTAGCTTTCCATCCCCGCCTCGATACTCGTTCTCCACTAATACTTCATAGTCATTTTCAAACTTCTGGATACCGCCAGGAACAGCCAAATCCCGCGATGACCCTCTGGAGTCTCGGTACTCCATTCTGGATATTAATCTAACCCATGCAGTCCGCATGTCCCAGCAAGCAATTCAACACTTTACTAACGCCAAAACCGATGGTTTTATTGTTCACGTTTCCAGCGTGGCCGCCCAACATGCAAACTTCTTTTGTCCAATGTATGCTGCTAGCAAACATGCTATTTCCGGGTTTGTACGATCCCTCGCTATGTTGGATGACCCTCCGGAAGGGAGTGGTCTGACCAAGATCCGAGTGAACGCTGTCGCTCCGGGCTGCATCAAAACTCCTTTGTGGACCGAGTCTCGAGATCGACATATGTTCGATGAAGAGAAGGATGAGTGGGTTTTGCCAGAGTGGGTTGCAGAGCAGATGCTGCAACTGATCTTGAATCCGGAGTATAAGGGTGGAACAGTACTAGAAGTTGGAAGTGCTGTGAGAAAGGTTGAGATGTTGAATGATCCTGGTCCCTTGGTGAAAGGGAACACTTTGAGCAACCGGAAGATATCAGAAGATGAGGTTTGGGGGAAGCTACGGGATTTGTCTAACGGACAAGTTCAGGTTTAAGAATACATAGAATAGATGTCATTCCTTGGTCACTATACACTCATGCAAATCGATACAATCAATGCTTTTGGGGAGGCTTCGCTAGTACATAAACACAGACCAGAGAAAAGAATACAATATATAACGCCAGAGCGAACCCAGTTCATGAAATGCACATTTAACCCAGTAAGCCACTGGCCAGCGCTTCCAGATCCTGCAAGGTCTCGATCTTGGGCTCGGCAGCCTTTTTGCTCTTCTTGCTCTTGCTCGGTCGGTCCTCGCTGTCTGAATCGGCAAAGGACACACGAGTCTTCTTGCTCGGGCGTGAGTCCTCCCGCTCGGACTCGGATGCAGACTCCATCGGGTCCTTGAAGGGAATGTAGGGTAGCTGGAAACCACCCTCGTCCTCCTCCTCCGCCTCGGCCTCGGCAAGAGCACGCTCGCGGGCCTTGCGCTTCTCCTTCTTCTCGCGCTTCTTCTCGCGCACGACTTCCTTGTCGTCGATATCGGCGCGGCGCGTGCGCTCGGCCTCCTCCGCCACGAAGCGCTCCCGCTGGGCCTTGGCGTCGCCCCGGGCGGCAAACTGTTCTTCGTCCTCCATCTCGTAGACCTCGTGGGCATTGCCGTCTTCATCGTAGACAAGCTTGGTACCCTTGCCCTTGAATTTGAGTAGCTTTTTCTTCGACTTGAGCAGCTTCTCGCGACGCTTAGAATCGATGACCAGTGGTTCTTGACCATCGAGCTGGACTTTCTTAGTCTTTGTCTCGACTTCCGAATCGTCAGATTCGGTAGCACCCTGGCCAAGTTGCTCGTCACCAGCCTCGAATCTGCGCTTGACAGACAGGAAATCGGCATCTTCGTCCGCATCTTCACCGGCCCCATTGTCAATCATCGTACCATCGTCGTTGATAAGCTTCGAGTAATGGTCTGCCAGAACGTCCTGGTTGCGTCGGTCGAACATGCGGTCATAGCGGGTACGGACTTGCTTCTCGTCCTTCTTCTTCTTCTTCTCCTTCTTGGGCTCGTCGTCGTCTGCGTCCGAGTCCTCGGAACCACTAGAAAGATGCGACATTCTCCATGAAGCATTCTTGCGTTCCTTGGTGTCGTCACCCTTGATGAACTTGATGCGGGGAGCACCAGGCAGACCCAAGCTAGTCGCATAATCTTCCAAGGCAAGTTCCTTGATATTGAAAGTTTCCTTATCTTTTTGCACGTAAATTGACTTCGCATATGAGATAAATGCCTTCTGACCCAGATACTTGAGCTCTGGATCCTTGAAACACATATTTTGAAGCAAATGAGCAATGTTTTGCTGCTTGTTCGCCTTGATATTGATGCGTTCAATTGGTACCTTCTTTTGCTCAAGTCGCTTCAGGAATCCTTTCTCCTCGCTAGGATCCAAGAAGAGCACAGCACGACCGACTCGCTCATAACGGGCAGTTCGGCCCACTCGGTGAATGTAGGTATCGGCGTCCTCGGGGCAATCCATTTGGATTACCCAGTCCACGGCAGGGAAATCAAGACCACGTGCAGCCACATCAGTGGCGAAAAGAACGGCGTGCTGTGACGAAGAGAATTTGGTTGTAATATCCAAACGGCCACCCTGCTTTTGGCGGCCGTGAAGATGCATCAATGGGATACCGGGTTGTAAGTGTCGGAGGGATTCATAGACAAAGCGGACCTGCTTTCCTGAGGATAGGAAAACCACTGTCTTCGACTTGAGATTACTACGGATGAAACTCCACAGAGTGTCCAGCTTTTGAGGAAGGGGAGTGACGACATAGTGTTGTTTAAGAGTTGACGGTGTAGCCGAAGCAGCAGCTTCGTGCACGGCAACATACTCAGGCTCCTTGAGACTCAAACGAGCCAAATCAGAGACCTTCTTAGTTTGTGTAGCACTAAACAGCATGGTCTGTCGTTCCTTGGGGAGATGGTCAATGATAGCGTCCACCGACTTCTGGAAACCCATGTCCAGAATGCGATCGGCCTCATCCATCACCAGAAGTTGTAGATTGTGGGTCTCAAACATAGCCGTCTGGTCCAGATGCTGCAGGATACGACCAGGGGTGCAAACCAGGATATTCATGCGACCCAAACGGTCTTGTTCCTCGCGCAAGCTCTTTCCACCGATCACCAGGCCAGCGGAGAAGGCGTGGTAACGACCCACCTTGCGCAGCACTTCGAAGATCTGGATCGCCAATTCGCGAGTCGGAGCTAGAATAAGCGCACCCAATCCATCGTATTCAGTCCATTGTTTGCGGTACAGGTTCTCGAGGATGGGGACGAGGAAGGCCAGGGTCTTTCCGCTACCGGTTTTGGCGGCACCAAGGATATCGCGACCCTTCAGAGCAGAGCTGATAGCGCGCGACTGGATGTCAGTCATAACCTTGAAGTGAGAAGCCGACAGACCATCGGCGGTAGGTTCAGAGAGAGGCAGATCGGAGAAGTTTTTGACCGCGGCTTTGAGATCGAGGTCCTCGACACGCTGAATGAGCGAGGCGAGGTCCTCCTGGCCGCGCTTGCGTTTCATAGTCCTGCCAGATTCATGGTGGGATTTGGGAGCTTTTCCCCGAGACGCCTTTGCCGGAGCCATGGTGAATGAGGTTCTGGGTAATCAAATAGTTTGGTTTTAAATTCTAATCGCTATCTTTTTTTTTCTTGGTTGCTTACTCATCCGCCGATAAGCGCGCCAGGGCGCGAGATAAGAACTTCCCCCAAATCTACAGCTTAAGGAACACTTCATTCTCCATGGCTGACGACGATCAAGACATCTTCGACGCACTGGAGCGTGAAGCCTCTGAGTTTACCAAGGATGCGGAAATCGATCGTATCCGCAAGGCATTCTCCCTCGATGCGTGAGTTGCCTCACTGTTTACTTTGAAGCTCCACTAACCCCAATTTTTCGCTAGTTACGCCGTTCTAGACCTTCAGCCCGGTGTTCCTGAGAAGGACATCAAGATACAATATCGCAAGAAGTCTCTTCTTATTCACCCGGATAAGACCAAGAACCCGGCCGCGCCAGATGCCTTTGATCGATTGAAAAAAGCACAGACCTCACTCCTTGACGAGAAGGAGCGCACCTACCTAGACGAATGCATTGCAGATGCGCGACGTCTATTGATTCGTGAACACAAATATACTGTTGACTCCCCAGAGCTCAAGACCGAGGAGTTCAAGAAGGAATGGCGACAGAAGACCGTCCAGGTTCTCTTAGAAGAAGAAGCACGGCGTCGGCGTCAAGCCAAAGCGCGCATGCAGGAGGAGGGACGGGAGAAACGCAAGGAGGAAGAAGAGCTTGATGCGCGCAAACGAAAGCGTGATCAAGACAAAGCGTGGGAAGATACTCGGGAGGAGCGCATTGGAAGTTGGCGAGATTGGAAGAAAGGGAAGGCGGGCGACGATAAAAAGAAGAAAAAGAAGATGAAGGTTCTTGGATGAGCCTCACTACAACGATACCAACAATTCAATAAACATCAACTTCCTATGGCCCTCCGCGTAGGTGTTAAGCATTACTTTTGATCTACGAGACTCCATGCACTTCCACCGATAAGCCGCGGCGCGGGGAAAACCTAGAAGATTCGCCGCAGATTGACAGCCAATGGAGATAGATTTACATGTTTCCCCTTTATCTTTTATCTTAAAATCTTCACAGGGTTTGTTTTATTATAAATGTCTATAAGATACAAGTCTGCCAACCCTAGTATCTGGCGTTTCTTCCGTACCCATCTTTCATCCCCACATGGGATTAGATCATATTCTGGATTCCGAGCGCCGAGAAACCCACTTCTCCCCCGCCTCGACCTCAAGTCTGTCATTCACTCCCCCAACACAATGGCTGAGCCCTTGGTACCAGGCGAAAGGCCATTAGAGCCTCCAGCTTCTCAATCACTCTCGAGGGCACTCAATCACCTCCGCCCTTTCAACCTGGGGCCCGCAAAACCAACCTCCACTCCGGCCCAACGCGGGGCCGACAAGGCCACCATGCATACTACACACGCGACAGACGCTGATCCACAAAATGGATCAGCTCACGAGAGCGCTCAAAATGGCACAGAGTCCACAAATATCCATACGGACGAAGACATCCCTCCACTCCCCATCGTGATCGAGCGCATCCATGCCCGCGTGCAGGAATTCCTTGCGGAGTCACACCCCCCGACTCGCTCCTCGCCTCGGTCCAGCGCTCGACCCGCACATCATTGGAAGTTGTCGCAAGCGCAGTGGCACAGTATAAACTCTCGGGACTGTCGCTGTCCTACAACGGTGGCAAGGATTGTCTCGTTCTTCTTATCTTGTTCCTGGCTGGTCTCCACCCCTACGCTAGTCATGCCGATTCGATATCCGAAGATACCAATTCTTCGGTCAACAACCCCATGATTCCTGCCATCTATGCTCTTCCTCCTGACCCTTTCCCTGAGGTGGAAGACTTCGTCGTCAGCTCCGCTCAAGCTTATCACCTCTCAATAACGAAATATACCACCGCACCGCCTCATACAACCTTGCGCTCCAGTTTCGAAGACTATCTCGCCCTTCATCCGGCTGTTCGTGCCATATTTGTGGGCACACGACGGACAGACCCGCATGGTGCGAAATTATCGCATTTCGACCGGACTGATGGTGGGTGGCCTGATTTCATGCGCATCCACCCGGTCATTGATTGGCACTATGCTGAAATTTGGGCATTTATTCGACACCTTGGGTTGGAATATTGTCAGCTTTATGATATGGGGTATACCAGTTTGGGTGGAACTTCGGATACGTTGCCAAACCCGCGCTTGAAGGTGCAGGATGAGAAAGAAGGTGGTGAGGGGGGTTATCTACCGGCGTATAAGCTGGCGCAGGATTTAGAAGAAAGGCTTGGTCGCAATTGAATCATTTTGGGACACTTGAGTATGTTGGAGCTGTGGTCTCGTATTTGCAGTGGCTTTTGCTCGTGTACAAACCGACAATACCCCCGGCCTGCTGTCAACTTCATTTCTTTTGGTTCCTAGATTGTGTTTACTGTTGTGCCAGAACACTGGCTTTGTGGAAGATATCATATTAGACTAGTCTTGAGGCAAAAGCACCACGAAGCGCGTTGCCGATAGCGAAATAGGAAACATCCTGAACAAATACTGCAGGAAACATCCTTTCATAGCACACGAGAAGAGAACTGGTAGGAGATAGAAATAAGAATAAATGCAAAAAATAAAAGTGATAATGGATGACAGGTAACGGATAACAGAAGACCTCCACGATGCCCACACGCCCATAAAAGAGATTGCCCGTAAAGAGATGGAACTAAACAAATAATCAAAGTTTTGAACCTCACCCCATAAATGATGTGTAGCACGAAACCCAGCCGAGAACAAAGATCAAAAAAAATCACCGCAAGAAAAAACCGAATCAACCTCCTAGAACCGAAAAAGATAAGATGGATTAGTACTTTCATGGAATTACGACTGCTGATGGATATTCTCAAGAAGATCATGGAGAAGTCGAAAGTCGTAGAACGACCCAAAACTCAAACAACTACCATCAAGGTCTTGTTGTACAGTCGGAAAAATTGAATTTTGTTCCTTAGGTGCAGGAACGGGGGGAAGGAATGACGAATTCCATGCGCGATGGAACTGGGGACATGGAGCCGGCTTTGATGTTTTCCTTCCGGGGACTTGACATGTATGATCGGGGCTCATGGCCTACAGACGGAGCCCTGGCGGTCTTTGAGGAAACCCCAGAAATGTCAGTCAAAGAACGGCGGCCTAAGATCGGCCGATGGTGGGCAGTCGCATTCTCAAGGGCATTGAGGCTGCGAGACGATAAGGAGTCTTGTCGCACGTTGCCAGGAACATGCTTCGGGATGTACCTGTTGATGTAAACAAAAGTGCGAGAATTAATTGGAGAGTGTGCCGAAACATACGGAGAGAGTGAGGTAGCCGGGGTCCATTCAGGGCCAGTTCCAGCTGGAGAGCCAAAACTGGCCGCAGAGTTAGGAGTCAGGTGCCTGGCATGCTGCTGCAAACGTTGCAGTGTAGGCGATGGCGTTGCAGATGCCTGCACTACCTCGACAGAATAATTGTACTCCCCTGCACGGTATGCACGACGCTCGTTACTTTGCTGCTTCAGTACCTTTTGAGCTTTGGTATCCGCAAAACGCAAGAGCAACTTCACATCACCGGCCGAAGGAGCATTGTGGAACTCGTTTAATACTGTTTCAGCGATTTCACGGGTCTCGAAGCTGAGCAGAGTCAGCGAAGAGCACGAGAGGTAAGAAAAATGATATTATACCGAGCAAAGCCCACTTCCTTGCTCACACCTGTCTTCTCATCACGGCTGATCTTCTCTGAAACTACGTGATAGGGCTCGAAATGGCGGCGTAGGTCCTTGGAAGAGTATAATTAGCATCAAAAAGTTTTATATCACTGTATTTAAAAAAAAAAAAAATTTGCTTGACTTACTGCTTCAGTCCAGTCGATCGGAATGTTGGTACAGTAGATGTTGGTTGATGTGCGATCCTCCAGGTCCTTGAGACGGGAGTTGCGAGATTTTTGGGCAAAGCTCGCCTGATAACCTAGATAGAAGAAGCCTCGAACGGCATTTTCGCAAGCTTCATAAGTGTAGTACTGAACAAACCCAAAGCTATTTTCGCGTCAGGATAGGTCCGAACACTGTTCATGCAAGGTCCGTCATACCCTTTGCACAGACTTGTCTCCAGGTCAACTATGGCCTTGCATCGTTCAATACCTCCGAAGCGAGCGGCGTATGAGTGAAGCATCTCATCCGTGGTCTCGGGAAGAAATCCCCGGATGTAGACATTAGTAATGCCCTCGCGGTTCTCGAGGCATTTTGCGAGCGTCATCTCAGAAGGATTCGTCCACATGGCAGGCACTGCACGGGGAATTGCTGGCTCCTGCTGGGTAAGAACCTCCATGTCTTGCACCACATACCCGTTTGTCGTCTTCATCATCTGAAGGGCCGGAAGAGCCCCGGGCATGGGGAGAGCCCCGAGAATGGGTCCGAACGTGTAGGGCGCCGTGCCAGCGCCATCCAGGCCAGCAGGAACATAATTCATGGGGTAATACATGCCCGAATTGTCGGTCTGATTCTGCTTGTCTTGCATGTCATAGTTGACCATGTAAGACCAGGATGGGTAACCATTGGATACCATGGTGGAGGCCATGCCTGGGTAAACTCCGGGTGGGAAGTATTGGTATTGGTTCATTTGGTCCGTCTGGCCAGGAATGAAAGAGGGAACCTGCTGAGACCCTCCAATGACACCAGAGTTGGGTACTAGGATGTATTGACTGGTGTATGAGTTGGGGACAAACTCCGGGTTGTTGATTGTGCCTGGTGTGTTAGTATTGGAACCACGCCTTGGCTGATAATTTTGGTTCATGCCCGTGAGTACTGCGGTATTGCCATCGCGACTAGGCACATTTGCAGCTCGTTGGTAGACAGGGGCGTAGTTCCGGGGGTCATGACGGTATCTGCCATGCCCATTGTGGGCACTAGAATTTTGTCCTCCTCCAGAGCTCGAGGAACCATTGTTCGTCGTGCCTGAGGGATTCATTCTGTTGGCTTCACAGTGAGTGTTAGTGAAGGCATTCTTGACAATCGGTAGAAATGCCCATGTTCTATGACTATGCAGCAAAGGAAGCATTTGTTAAAGGACCTGGGAAGCTCTACCTTTGCAAAGAAGAGAGCAAGTTCTTTGGAACAGTAATAGAGTAGATGAGAAAAGGCAAATCTTGCGGGTAGAAGATTTGCAACGTATGAAGTGAAAAAAAGGCCTAGCCAAATCGATGTTAGTCATTTGAAACATTGGCTTGTCGTCAAGTTTATACTTTTGATGTTTGAGATCCGGAGCGCTCCACAAACCCAAAGATTCCTAGGAACGTCGGGTCACCTTTGTAGATGTTAGAGAAACGGCACTGAGACACTCTTTAGATGGGACCGAAAGATAGGGCCAAAAGATGGGATCGAAAGACAGGATCGAAAGACAAGATCAAGAGACAGGATCGACAGATAGGATCGAAAGATAGAATTGAAAGATAGGACCGAAGACAAATCCAATTTTCATAGGACATACCGCGTTCAATTAGCAGTTCTTTCTTTTGATCAACAGAAAATAATTCCTGCAGGTACTAATTTCTACCCGACGGGGTCTCCACTGGGCGTAAGATGTGAAGCCTGAGATGTGAATTGATCAAACGATGTGACGTATCGATCTCGCGACGGTCACGCGTCGAACAGAGGTTTGATCAGAGAGTAACGGATAGATCACGCTTTCGATGATGGATCATTCAGAAATGATATGGGACGCTTCTTTCGCGTTTGAAACCGAGAAACGAAAATAAGTCTCGGGGATGGAATAAAAGACGATGGAAGAAGAAAGCCCGTTGCTGCTCACGAAATGGAAGAAGCAGAGGAAGGGCTTCCAAGGTAGGAAAGAACGGATCTTCTCGAGACGGAAACCACGATGTTGAGATAACGCATTCACGATATGAGGGATAACAAGAATTGATATTATGCCCGGAGAATGAAGTTGGAAATATGAGGTTGAGGGGGAAGAGGTAGAAGGGAAAGAGGAAGCAACATCATCTATCCGACTGAGCAGATTGATTCGAATTAGCACGTGCAAGCTCATATGGGAGCACGTTTCTTCACTAAAGATCAAAATACCGTTCCCTCTGGGGCTGCTTGGTACGAGACTTGTTCACGAGTACAATAAGTCGCAGATATTGTGCACAGACATCTTGTTCGTTTCTTGTAGAGCCAGTTTTTAAAACAATTCAGTTGTTGCTGGGGTACAAGGACCTTCTGGTACAAATTAAAAAGATAAATTGAGCTCTACCTACTGTACATAGTAGCTCATTAGGTGTGCTATGAAGATTTTTGTTGTAACCACTGGTAAACGACCGAGAAGTCTTTACCTCGGTGAGCTGCCTCAACGGCATTATAGACTTCACGAGCATGATCACCCAGAACCAGAGGAGTACCCGACTTCTCTGCGGCCGTCAGGGCCAGTCGCAGGTCCTTATGCATCAACGCCACCCCAAATCCCCCGTTGTAATCACGGGATGCAGGTGCAGTCTCAACTACTCCAGGTACCGGGTTGTTAACCTCGGAGGGCCAGCATCTCCCAGTAGAAGAGTTGATCATGTCTGCTAGCGCCTTGGGGTCCAAGCCCCAACGTACGCCAAGGTTCATCGCTTCAGCGGTAGCAATGTTATTGATGGCCAGAATGTAGTTGTTGGCGAGTTTTCCTGAAACCCCAGACCCAGGTTCGCCGAGGTGCCACATCCTATTGCCCATGAATGATAAGACACCTTTAATCCGGTCAAGGAACTCCACTGAGTCGTCCGTCTGTGACGCTCCAAACATAAAGCACAGAGTACCAGCCTTGGCACCAACCACACCGCCAGAGACAGGAGCATCCACAAATCGATCGGTCTGGGTGGAGTGAATAGCATTCGCAATCTCCTTGGACGTGACAGGATCGACAGTCGAGGTATCGATGAATAGGCGTTCCTGCTCCAGGGCCGGGAGTTTGCCAGGCTTTAGAATAGAATGAAACACATCGATTAAGTGCTGGGGCTCAGGGAGGCTGCTGATAACCACGCTCTGTTTACGGGTTAGTTAGGCGGTCAGTCCAAATTATCGGTGCATTGGACAAAGCATCACTCACCGACTTCTCTGCGATTTCTCGCGCATCTGTGGCAATCTCCACTTTGTACTCGTCGGCCCCGGCTCCGCTGTTTTGTGCGATCTCCTGTGCTTCCTTTACAAAGCGTTCAGTGGCTGCTTCATTCACGTCTCGCACGATTAAAGTGTCGGATGCGGGGATCTTGGCGCGTAGGTTCTTGGCCATGTTATAGCCTAGTACGAATGAGTTTGACTGCTTTGATAGAATGAGCCGTCAAGTGGTTATTTACATACCCATTTGTCCCAAACCAATAAAGCCCCATGTTGCGTCGCGGTGTTGTGTGGTTGAAAATGGTCGGGCCGAGCTGAACTGGCCGTGGCTAGTGGGCGGCCAGTGACGAATCCCGACTGTGCGCGGAATAGCAGAAGCAAGTCGGATATGCATAGCTCAGAGGAATAAAGAGAAAGACAGATGTAGACAAAAATCGTTAGGAACGGGCTTCAATATGGCAATTAGCATCTATAAAGGTTTAATGGTAGAGGGAAGGGGGAGCCAAGGCCTCGGCTGGGTATTCTCCGCACGCCGACGCTTTCCGCGTCGTTAGCTTTGGGCCGATTGTAGAGTATGCGGGGAAGCGGGTCCTGCGTTGCGGTGGGTGGGTCACGTGTTATGGGTCCGTTGATCTTATCTTTTCTTTATAGCACACGCGTTGCATAAAGTCACGGTCCTCTGCTGTCCGGATTGCTTACTCGCCCAACCACTAAGACCACCATGACCCCACCGCCCACCCCGATGTCCTCGAGTCCACAAGTCCCGAGTCCATAAGTCCCGAGTCCATAACTCCCGAGAGTCCATAACTTTAGTTCACTGTTAGAACTAAAATAGCATGGGTGATTGAAGTATTCACGGACTTGCTAGTTATGGACTCATATACTTCGGACTAATAGGCTTGGTACTTATGGTGACTATGTTGATTAGGATTGAATGGACCCGCTGCTTCCCGCGACCACCCTCACCACAGTCAGTGTCTGTCGCTACATTACTATAGTCACCCCTCAACATAACACACGGACAATTAACCAGGATATCAAGGGAGATTCAATATAACTAGCACTATTTCACACTAGTAAAAGGGGTTTGTAACGCACGCGCACCAGCCGAGCTTATCAAAGACGCTCAACCAAATCTCTGACAGAGTTCCAAAATTGCCATTCCTCAGTAGTTTTCCCTCCCGCCTCTAATATGGTCGCACGAGCACAGATTACATATATCTGATCTTTGTTAACATCCGCAGAAGTCAGGTCAAACTTAAGTCCAATCTGCTGTACCAGCTGCAAAATTCGATCTCGCGCCAAATTACTATATGCCAAATCGTTTCCCAATCGTGTCTCAGATATACGGCAAGATAGCCGCAATGAATTCTGCGCTGGACTGATCCTGTCTCGCTTGTAGCTTGACCACAGGTCCCAGGGTCATGCACGAGGTAATTTCATGAGGAATTTCATACGGCGAGCCTAGCGCATATCCCAGTCGATGAGAAAGCCCCAACCCGCCTATGTTCTGCCCAAAGAGACCTAGAGAAGCGTATGCATTGGCACTTGGACATCGAGTATGCATTGCTTGATATTTGAATAGTCTTCGTGAGAGAATGCAGTGAAATGAAGGCGTAGAAGGAAAAATATATCCTGTATCATATTTCTCGTAAATATCAAACGCCAGTGATCAAAGCACATCTACCAACATCCTTGATAGAGAAATAATATACAGATAGATCAAGTACCATGCGCAGGGAGTGAGTGCTCAAAGGCATGCAGAAATAGGCAAGAGGGTATGATATATGTGGACAATTCCAAACGCCCCCGAAATGATGATTCATGCTGGGGAATAAAGCAGAGGTGAAGATAAAAAGACCGCAATAGAAGACAGAGAATAAAAGCAAAAGATTATAAGCCCACACGTCTAGGACCTTGGGGACGTGGGGTGGCTAGTCGGTCCGGCAAGATACTCTTCCGGTACTTTTGGGACACGGGGAGAGTTGGCTGTTTGGACCATTGCGCGATGTTGGGCGCGGAGAAGATCGCGTTGCCGTTCTTTTTCCCGGCTGTTGGCTGCACCGCCGGTAAGTCGACGCATGCCGCTTCGGATCATGGACTCGATCGAATGAGAGCCAGCTCCTTCTGTTGCGCTGCGGACCATGGGTGACATTGGCGGATGGGCTCTTCTGGCGGTCGTTGGGCGGTCATCTAGATCGGACTGTGTCTCTTCTATGTCGTCATCGGAGAGGAACGCTGATTCACCGAAGCCCACTGGCGGGGTACCATGAGAGCCTGGTGCAGTGTGGACGAAGAGGTTGTTGGCAGGCGAAGTGACAGACCGTGTATGCGACGCGGGCCGAAGACCAGAGCCGGGGGTGTTTTGAGACGTAACGCTGACTGGAGAGGGCATTCCAGGGCCATCAAAGCGGAAATTGGATGGGCGAGATTCTGCAAGGCCATTGTGGAATGAGGACGTGGAGCCTGTTCGAGCGAGGGATTTGCGCAAGATAGGTGCTGTTTGCTGGTCATATAGGTGGGCGTTGGTATCGACGTAGCTACCAGTGAATCCCCGAAGCATGGGCGGAGCAACCGCGTTGAGTGTCGGCACGCTGATCTCCGTTTCCTCGAAAAAGTCATCCAGACTGTCCAATTTTTGGACGATGTCACCAATGTTGCCGTCAGTCTGAGTGTCGATCGATTTCATCGTATCGGCCCTCATAGGGAAGAACGAGTCACTATATTCATCGGCACGGAATTCGACATCGGGAGTCAAAGTGTCCCGGTGGTTCATGTCCTCGGCTTCGGCACATGTATAGAAGACAGCGTGAACATTGTTGCGAGTAATGGTTGATTGTGTTGCGGGCATAGGGACTGACCAGCCCGTGGGCTCGGGAATTCCGTAGAGACTCTGGATCCGCTCGTACTCCTTGCGTATAGCACGCGACGAAGCCGCAGACGCCATACTCATTCGGAGGTGATGACGCTCCATCGGGTTTCCAGAGACGGTCATGATGTTGTCCAAAACCTCGAGGGCCTGTGGACACAGGTTGGTCTGCAGAAGTCGCAACAGAGGTGAAATCAGATCGGGGCCGTGACAAGTGACTTCGCTACGGCGCATGTCGACCTCAGGGATCATGACACAGAGAATTTTCATGGTCTTAATTCGGAACCAATCTGTCGTGTTCGTAAGAAGGCCCATGAGGAAAATAAGGCATTGGAAGTCCAGCTGCGGAAAGTAGTAGGATTTGATTTCCGTCACTATATGATCGAGAAAGACAGCCTCGGTCTTGTATTGCTGATTGGCGAAACCAAACAATGACGCTGCGAGCCGGGGACATCCTTCGTTCTCTGCCACGCGAGCAAGTAAGCTGGCATGCATAATGGGCTTTGGATCAGAAAATTCCTGGTCAAAGCACTCGAGGAAGGAAGGTAAATTGGCCAGCACCGTGAATAGCTGCCGAGTTCCATCTCCGATAAGCGCATTGTTTGGAAGCCCACTGAGGCGGTGGAGTACATCCAATGTACGATTGAATGACCTGGAGGACTTTAGTCCTTTGAAGACCAGGTCTTGAATACCATCAAATCCACCTTCCCACTTAGGGGGCTGTCCTTCTAGGAGCTGAGCCACCACGTCAGGATCACTGAGATCCACCGGATCCAGGAATTTTTCTAACATGCCGAGTGTCTCAATGAATTCACTCTCGTGAATGGTATTTAGACAAGCACACGTCGTCCAGAAAAGTTGAGGGTAATGCAAAATATCTGCGGGGGCCAGAGAGCTGATGATAATTTTCAGTGTAGTGAGAATCTCCATAGAGAAGGTCTGGTAGTCGGTCTCTTCATCTGCAATAGTATTCGAAAGCCGTGCGAGCATGTCCGCTAGCATTTGTGAATCTAGCGACGTCGAAATGCAGCGGAAGATTTGGAATGACCGACATGCCAAATGTCGAACAGGGCAGGAGGTTGCCCAGTTCAACGCCTCCTTGGCCCAAAGTTCACCCACACCCTCGTAAGCATAACTGAAGAACTTGATAACATCTCGGGTTGCAGTAGCCATTGACGGCGGTACCCGGCGATCATCGACTTCTTCTTCTTTGCCATTGTTCTCCTCGTACTCCCAGACAACAACTGGATCACTCTTGCGAATTGCCTCCACAAAGTCTTCGATCGATTGTCGAGCTCCTGCGGGTGCATCGTCCTCTAGTTTGGCAGCAATAAGCTCGTGAATAAGATGAACCAGCATTTCACGAGCTTGCTCTTGCACAGTAACAGTATAGTGATCCCAAAGAATAAGCACAACATGGAGAAGCTTGATCACATCTGCCATTGCCAGTGTGACGGGTGCTACCATAAGATCAACAAGGAAGATGAGGGCCACTTGTCCGAGCGAGAGGCCAGCTTGTTTGTTTCCTACAGGAAGTACCGATGCTAGATCAGCAACGTAGGGCAGGCTTGCTAGATCAGGAGGAGGCGGCGTGAGATCTTTTCTTTCCTGCACCATGTTCTTCGGGACAACCTGCAGCATGAAAAACTCAATGACTTTGGAGCCCGCAGGAGTTCCTGCCAAAAAGACAACGATCTGCTTGGCGTAATCCACAAAGTTTTGCTCTTTTCGCTCCAGGCAGAGACTGATGATAAAGTCAAGAACAAGTTGAACATTGCCTCCGTGAGGGCCAGTTGCTAGTGCTTGCCATAAAGCCTGAACCTGGTTTGGTAGGATAGTGCTGCAGCGGATGGTTATTTCAAAGAGATTAGCAAGAAGCATGTAAGATCTGGCGGTTGGGCCACCATTGGGATCCACCTGCAGCTCCATGGTCTGAACCCATGGCAAGATCGCAGCAACCATATTGCGTTGACTGTCAGGGCGAAGATTGCGGAAGTGCTGGGTAAACTCGGAGAACAGAGTAAAGGCCAGGTCAGAGTGCTGGACCGCTAGCCGTTTCGAAGTCTCGAATTGAGCGAGCTTATATACCGCTGTGGTTTTGTCCGAGATGCTGATATCAAAGTCTTGAATACGCGAGTTTTTCTGATGACGCTCTTCAAGTCGGCGGAGTAACTTGGCCGATTTCATTCGAATTTCGCGCTTCTCATTGCCAAGCGTTACGAGAACCGCACCTAAGATTCTCCAGAATCGAAGCGGGTAGTCCGGGTACTCAATGAGGACTTCAGTCACGACCTCAAAATAGCTTTCAAGTGCCTTTGGTCGCTCGGCCACATAGCACATCTCTATAGATCGTTCAATCAGATAGGCATGCTCCCTGTTGTGAATGATCAGGTTCTTTAGGGCCCGACGACCGATCGAATGCCACTTATCACTAATCGTATTGAAGATTATATCAATCCAAGAGAGCATGCGGCCGACATCAAATTGAAGCACCGATCCACTTTCAGTGGTGATGCTTATTGGGC